AGCTTCAATCCATGTCGTACCGACGAGGGACTGCACATGAGCGTAAGTACGGAGTAATGCGCGTGTATACCGTATCGAGTCGGTATTATTGTCTGGGCCCACCTTGACAACACAGGAGGAGCTGGATCAAATCGACCCCAAGTCAAGGTCAATCATTATTGTTCCCCGATGGGGAGCGCGATGCAGTATGCACATGAAAGGGGTAATCTACCAGCCCTCACCCAGCAGTGATGTAGGTGTGCGTCTTTTTTCCTTTTTCTTTCCCTCCTCTGCGACAGTCAATTGCAGTGCGTTCATTCTGCCCTTTCTTTCCTCCTCTCCGTCATATGGGGATGTCATTATCTGTATACTTTGCTCCATACATATTATGTATGGCATTGTCCCTGTGTCGTAGATTAACAAGCCCTCATGGACTAAGTGGCATATGCGGATGGCTCCGCTAAATTGCACGTCCGTGTCCGGGCTATTTTGATCCCTAACGACGGAGCACTACACTATGATCTCAGGTGCTAACTGCCTCCACGTGCGCATAGTCTTGGAGCTGGCTGGCAGCATGTCTTGCTTACTGAGCATAGGCGATGGTATGAGTGACATGCGCTGAAGGCCACCCACACTGTACACCTCAGGTACAGAGTACGGAGTACAACAGAATATCAAATAATACCATCGTCAAAAAAAAAAAAAAAAAAAAAAAGGATCAGAAGCTCTGCCGCTTTCTTTTCTTTTTGTCCGCGTGCCCCTGAGACGACCTTGGATGCAGAACGCGGAAGGGGATTCCGAGAACAGGCAAAATGCTGCCTGCCTGCCTACGGCACTGATTGCGATCATCAGATGTCGAAAGTCTCGCACCATGATAATCATGCGTAACGATTAGGTTGTCCTTGGTTGATCCAGAACATTGGCCGCTAAATTATTATCATCTACATCGAGGATCGCGAAATGACTCCCTTATTTTGCCGAGGAAGCACCTTAGTGGCAAGCAGATAGGGAAGCCCCCCAGGTAACATGGATGGGATTGATTGTATTGTTCGGTACTCCGTTCGACAACCGTACGGAGTATCATCCTCCTCCTCCGTCCGTCTGGTTGAAACCCACACGGCTGTGCGGCTCACACTCCGACTCTTGTTCGGTGGAGCATCAAATGGAGCCATGGATATGGTTAATTGTGGCCAGGGAATATTAATCCAACCCAGTCTCAGCACTCAGCAGTCTAACGCAACCCGACCGACGTCGCCCCTCGCCAAACTCAAAATCCAAAAAAGAAATGGCAGGGAAAGCTCTCGCCGCGGGCCAATAGGGAGCGCCGCGATTCTGGTCGCGCGCCTTAAGCCTGGTCGATTGACTGTGGACGTCGGTAGGCTAAGGCACCTTTAAGATAATGGGGTCGTGGTTAAGGGTGGTTTAGTTCATCACAGGTCGGAAATCGGTACGCTACGCTGGACGTGCCTGAGGATTTGCCCGTGACGAAGGATGATAGCGAAAACCTTGTCGGATGCAGGCCTCGATTGGATTTGGGATTTTGATAGTGGATGAGATCACGGCATATCGCGCGATGCACGCACGAGGGCTGCTGCGCACCTCCTGATTATTTCATCCCAGCAGCAGGAGGAGGAGGAACGGAGTCCTCCGTGCTCCGTCCGGTACTCGGACTGCCTCGTTTGACCTGGCCCACCCGGAAGATCAGAGACTCGAGACTCGAGACTAGAGACTAGAGAGACAGTATCAGACGGGGCTTCCCCAACTCCAACCACTATCGGCTACACTACCGTCCGACTAGTACCCAGCGAAATGGAAGTGTCCAAGCTCCGGGCATGAGTCAACCGTCCGCATGCCGGAAAGGGAGCCGTCTAATTAATCGCGATATTGACTTGACCCTACCGACCATACTACTCATAATAACGATAACAAGAATAAGGGCTGTTCGGAGAAACAACAGACTGAGACTCAGAGAGACAGAAACGGTTCCCAAATCCTGAACGACCTGACTTAGGTAATGGAGTCTCCATACTTGGTCAGCGAAGACGGAACGAATCACCACCCGAACTTCTCCGTAGCATCATTCCACTCACTTATCGCGAGGCCGGAGGACAACGTGTCAGGCCTATTATTCATGGAGCAGCAGGCAGACCTTAATATACGATATGCTATGCTATATCCAGTTCTGACCTTGCGGTCTGCCAAGCCGGTGTCCCTACTGATTCACGCTGATTTACGATCCGCGACCGTCAGTTTTCGTCCCCGTCGTCGACCCCGACTCAGTTAGGCAACTGGTAGTAAAGCTACCTAGGACAGACTGTATTCATTCAGTACACGATCTCGGAGCTCTACCCTCATTCGCACGGCCAATCCTGTAGTGGCAATCCATAATTCTTTGCTTTTTTTTTTCTTTCTTTCTTTCTTTTTTTCTTTTCTTGTGTTTTCTTTTCTCGTGCCCTAGACAGCAGAGATCACGAGCAAGAGGTTACATGTTCCATGCATATTCTACGCCGGCTCGAGGAATGCAGTGCGTGCAGTTCGGGCTCGATTGGGGCTTGGGGGGGGGGCTTGAAGCCAGGCTGCTGCCAGTATCGGCGCCGGCCCATGCCATCCATTCTTATTACGTTAGGCGTGGCCGGAACCTAGCCAGCCAGCCCGCCGCGTCCACTGTTTAACCCCGTCGTGATAGTCTACTATCTGCGGAAATCCCGACTTCCGCATATTGGACTAGCACTAGTTTCCCACCGGACCCAAACCTCGCAGGACCAGCAACTCAGGAAGCCCCTACCTTAGTGGTTAGCGTACCCGAACCAGAACCAGAACCAGCGCCAGCGCCAGCGCCAGCTCCAACTCCAACTGCGCCGGCCTAACGCCGTCGGGGTTAGCGGCAGATACCTAAACCTGCACTTGCCTAGCCGGGCCTGATTGGCCCTAGCTGATTCTCCCTCCAATACCTCGCTAGTACTCCGTAAACCGTAGTCGTACCGGGGGTTACGGAGAGAAGTACAGACCGGGTACCTTTTGTACCTGGGCGTACGTAACATGGTACCTCGGAGTACATTCCGCACTGCCCTGCCCCAAGGTCTGTCTTGTCGTGTCTTTGTCCAATGTCCATCCATCCATCCATCAAATCAAATCAAATCAACCTCGCCGCTACCTGAGTCTTGACTATCTCCAACGCATGACAATCGCATTCTCTCCGCCAACTATCTATCTACGAACTAGCTTTCTTTCCATCCTCCCTTTCCCCCCCCCCGACCAATCAATCTATATACTCCGGGAAGCTCCAACTGCCGGGTCGGTCCTATTTCGCGCAATTCACATATCGGATCCGATAAATAGATAGATGGATATATGAATGATTGCAAACAATCACCACAATCACAATGCCAGACTCCATAGATACAAGGTACACTCCTCCGTCCCTCCCACCTCCTGCTGCGGATGGGATTAGGATTAGGATTGGAATTGACCCACCCGGAGTCGCAGCAGCAGCAGTAGCAGCAGAGGGATTGGATTCATAATTACTCATTACGCGATATCTTACCCCGTACAGTAAGATAGTAAGGTGACACTGGGACTCGGAGACGCGTCTGTCTGTCTCTGTCAATAAAATCATAACAAGTTAACAAACAACACTCGGCGAATGCGATAACGTGATTTGGATCATGCTTTTCTTCCCCCCCCCCCTCCTTCTCCGAGTTCGTGGAAATCCGCGATGGGTGGCACGAGGGCCATCGATCGAATGAATGAATAACTGAACTGGTCAAGGCGTGATTGTACTGTATGTATGTACGTATGAATGTAGGATATGTACTAGGTAGGATATGTATCTCCGCCGCAAACCGGACTACTGTCGGCGCCACAACCCCGAGGGCGATATCCTGCAGGTCGGGTCTAGATAATTCTCCGCGGGGGCCTGGCAGGCGTTGCGTTGGCGTTGGTGTTGGCGTTGGAGGGGAAGGGAGGGAGGCTGACCTAGAGGGAGGGGTACCAAGGTGCCAACTAGTATGGAGTAAGTAAGGACAGGGGTTGATAGCTAGGTAAGTAGCTGTCTAGCTACACTTCCCTGTCTACTACAGTAATGTGGAGAAAGGGCAGGGAACCAAGAAACAAAAAATGAAAGGAAAACAAAGAGCAAAAAGGAAACAAAAAAGGAAGCCCCCGGCGAGGGTCGAACTCGCAACTTCCAGATTAGAAGTCTGGCACGCTACCATTGCGTCACGGGGGCGTAACTTGATAGAATTCTATCTTACCTTTAAATATCAGGCAAAAGCACCCCCCACATAGATGTCGTCCCTCGTACTACTCTGCACTACAGACTACCACGACTAGCCTACGTACTAACCCCCCGCAGTTGAGCCTCCCAAGTCCCAAGTCCTCCAACCCCGGATAAACCTTGGCCTCCTTGCGCGGATCGCCAAGGCTTGCTTGGTTCGCTGCTAGCGATGTGACAGCCCTCAAGCCGCAAGCGATGGAATGGGGGTGTTGGTCTTGGTTCCTTTTGCCGACGTCGGCAAGAATCCTCGCATCGACGCATACACCTCTCCCTCCCCGTCTCTACTCCCCACGCCCTTCTCATGACTCTTCTCTGTGCTAGACACGGCGAAATAAGCGATGCGCATGCCAAGCCTCACAGCTGGTTACTTTGCCACAAGAGCTCGGACGGATCTATCGCCTGTCTTGGACGTCATCCCATCCATCCACCCATCCCAGAATGACCTTCCCCCAGGAACATACACAGCAGCAGCTTAACCCAGACCCAAACCTGCTTGCCAGCTATTTGTTTGCCAACTAGCTGCCGCTAACCACTAATAAATAACAAGTGGAAAAATATCCTCCGTCGAGAGTTACATCCTGCTGGGATTTCTCCGGAATTTAGATGTTGTCTGCGGGGTATATAGTATGGCAATGCGTATAAAAACTGGAAGGATACTACTAATAATGTGACGATGACTGAGTTCCCCTCCAAATACTTGTCTACTCGAGGCTCAGATCACACAAAGCTTGATTAACAGTTAACCATGCGCGTCGTCACTGCGCAGACCCTAGCCCTGGCCCTCGCGGCTATCCCGGGGAGTCTGGCGTTTCCATCCAGCACCACCGTCCAGAAGAGAGCCTTCCAGTGGGACGAGACGAAATATCTGTCTGTGCTTGATCAAGTTTGCTCTCTGTGACATTTGAGTGGAGGGGACATCTCACAGATATAATGACTGACTGATAAATGTGCTCCAGAATCGCCTTCGGCGACTCGTACTCCTACGTGCAGGGAACACATGGACTTCAGAACTATAGCTTCATCGGGGATCTGCAGGACTTCGCGTATGATCCACAGACCCTGCTCACGGACAAGATTGTTCAGAACCAGGTTCGCAGGCCACGCTGTATAATCTCTATCTTCATCTACATGGCCAATATACTGATGCGGCGCTGTGACGGCAGACTGGGACCGCAGAAGGAGGCCCCAACTGGGTAGAATTCCTGACCGGCTGCGGTGTCGAAGAGGGAGTCATCTCGCCTTTCGACTGCGATAGACAGCTCTGGGACTTTGCGTTTGCGGGATCGGATATCTCAGTTGCCTAGTATGCACACATATATACATTAGACACAAGCCCCATCTAACCCACCAACACCAGCACGCCCCTCCACCACAACTTCACCGTATCCCTCGTGAACCAAGTCAAACAATTCGCCACCTACGGCCAACCCGTCCTCACACATACCATCGAGCAGCCCCAAACCCTCATCTCCATCTGGATCGGCATCAACGACATCGGCGACAGCGCCAAATACTCCGTCGACTTCCCGACCTTCTACAACTCGCTAATGGACACGCTCTTTTCCTCCGTGCAAACCATCTACTCGCTCGGCTACCGCTCCTACCTCTTCATGAACCTGCCCCCGCTGGACCTCCGACCCGGGAACCTCGGCAGCGCCGATCCCAGCCCCAACGCCACGCAGATCGCGTGGTACAACGAGGCCTTGGCCCAGCACGCCGCCGCCTTCAACGCCAATCACCCAGACACGAACGTGCTCGTCTTCGACGCTCACGCCGAGCTCAGCTATATCCTGGAGCATCCGGGCCAGTTCGGGATCGTGAACACGACGGATTTCTGTGCGGGCTATGATCAGCCGGATATCGAGTGGAATTATCAGGCGTATGGGTGTCCGACGCCGCTGAGTACCTATTTCTGGTATAATTCGGGCCATATGACGAGCCATGTGCATGAGATTTTGGCGGGCGCGGTGAGGGATAAGTTGGGGGGATGGTCGGGGTGAGTTCTATGTCATGTGTGGTTAGATACAGCTGTGAGGTAGATGAATCGATATGTATATATATATTATATATACTGCCTGTCATGGTGTATGTGGCTTTATACTATACTACTCATTAGGCAGAATCTAAGAATTATCACCCAGACATGGAATATCATTTATTCGGACTATTTATATTATATACACATGCAATTGGTAGTGATACAGACAACAAACCATATCCTACCCACCTACCTAGTATTTATTACCCTTACAAATGACAAGCAGAGCGCCTACCTAGTCCATGACTAAGATAAACACTCTAGCTTAGGAAAAAAAAAGAAAGAAAGAAGAAAGAAGAAATACCAATCTTCAATCCCACCATGTAAAGCTAGGACCAGTAATTAGTAAATATCTTATTTTAGTTAGAGACGACATGTTAAAGCCAACATCATTTCTATTATTCTATATATAATAAATCCATATAACCACACTCTACCATGAAAAGTATTCTTCCACTACTACTATATCTAACAGGAACTAACTATACATCACTAATATATACATCCCACCTACTTACCAAACAATCCATCTCGCAAAATACCCCAAACCCCAGAATATATAGTTATAGAGAATATCTCTATCCACCATTTTCCCCGTCAACGCTCCCCCTCCAGTTAGCCATTCCCCTCGACATACTATATTCGTATCCTAAAATATACCACCCATGATCCATCTACATCAACATCAACATCGGAATAAATTAAATTGTTGAAATTGAAATTGGAATTATCTAATTTACTCCATCCTATAAATGAAAGCACCCCCCCCCCCCCCCCCCCCATTCCCCTCTCCCAGAGTCAAGTAAGTAAGTAAACTGAGAGAGAGAGAGAGAGAGAGAGAGAGAGAGAGAGAGAGAGAGAGAGAGAGAGAGTACACAACCCCACCCCCAAACCAACCACAAACCATCAACCACCAACTTTCAACTACAAATCGCCAACCCCATTGGTTCTCCCATGTCCACTCATACTCACACTCATACCCATGACTTACCTACCCCAGGTTGTACAGAGTACTCCGTACCATCCCATCCATCCCATGTCATCTACACCCAAGTAAATAATAATACCCCAGGAGATAAATAGGATAGGATAGATAGTAGAGTGACCGACAGGTTACATCGACCTCGGATGAACGGACAAAGAATATACACTGTACACTGTACACCGTACACAAAAATACCTACCTACATGCCTACTATACCTATTTCAGTAGGTAGGTAGGTAGTAGTAGGTAGGTAGGTACTCCGTACATACAGTCCAAGTCTTATCAAGTACTACTTAACTACCACCTATAGTTACTACTTACCCATGTAGACACACCTACTTACAAGGTACCAGGTACCAGGTACCGTACTTACTTACCCACCCACCCACCACTGCGTACAGAAAGAACACACTGCAATGGAAATAAACACGTAACTATTACTTGGGTACCTTACTGAGCACCTCCCAACCAACCAATTAATTAAATATTTCAATAATTCAATAATCAATCAATCAATCATTCAATTAATCCAATCCTTCACTATCTCGTCAGGATCAACAGCTAGAGAGATAGCCAGCCACACACCACCGGAGGCTTGGTTGGATTGGAAATGCCTCTCGGCAGCTGCAGCTAAAATACTTCACTACTATCTATCTAGTAGTAGCTGACCGGCAGGCATCGCCGACGGTACACCGTACTGTACACCGTACGGCTTACTCCGTCATCCCCGTCCGGGTTGACGCGATGCAGCAGGCGTTGCAGTAGCCTTAGCTTAGTACTAGTACGTACTACTATACTACTACTAGTAGTACTCAGTGCGGCAGTGCAGCCCGCTAATGCCGGCACCTTGGAAGTGCACCAGGGAAGGTGCTTCCGCTCGCCTTATCGACTGCTTCTACTGCTACTGGACCATGGTGAGACAAGAGAGAGAGAGAGAGAGAGACAAGCTTGGAAAACAGAATCAGATAGGTACATTTTCTCCAATTATCGGCATGCAAGACTGAAGCTACACACTATCTAGACCCATCCGTCGTCGAATAAGCCAGGTGATACAGAACTTTTTGAGAGCAACACGGCAAAAAAGAAGGAAATAAAGGAAAAAATTAACGTGTATCCATGAAATATCAGTGTGCAATCGTATGGCTTTGGTGGTCCTCCCATGCCGGGGAAGCCTGCTGGAAATTGAGCAAAACACGTGAAAAGTCTATCGTGATATCGATGAAACGCCGCCGGTACCGTTACGAAGATAGCTGCAAATCAAAGGAAAGGAAGAGGTCTACCGTGGTGACAAGTGGAATACAAGCTCAGTGACTGGACTGGGCGTCAGGCATGGTCAGTTTACCAGCGACGGTTGTTTCCGAGAGGAGCCGCGTTGGAAGCAGTGTATTGACCGCCACGGCCACCACCGCGACCACCGCCACGGCCGCGGCCACCCCAGCGGCCGTAGCCACCGTGGCCACCGCCACCGCTGTAGCGGACCATCTCGGCGAGACGGGGGTCAATCTGCTGCTTGGCCTCAGTGAGGATGGTGACCAAGTCACGGGCCTGCTTGGAGTCTAGAGTAACACGTTAGCATCAGCTATACAGAGAAGAGACAGATAACTTACTGTCAGTGGTGAAGAGGGTGATGGCGGTTCCCGTTTGACCGGCACGACCAGTACGACCAATACGGTGAACATAGTCCTCCGAGTTGTTAGGGTAGTCATAGTTGATAACGTGTGTGATGTCGCGCACATCTTCAGACACATATAACGTTAGCAAACAGATCATTAGTAAGGATAGCAATGTGGCTTAGGAGCCCTTTCTCGGTCGTGTGAGACTTGATGCGTCGCTCTCTCTCGGACTGTCATTAAAGATCCGTTGCGGATGAGTCCGAGGGCTGGCAGAAATCGCGGTCCTAGAGTAACCTTGGAATGCAGCTTCAACGAGTCGGTAGAGGAGGAGTCCCACCTCTCTACCGGCCAAGTTCAAAGATAGAGATGGTGAATCAGAACAGAAGAGTAATACGTCTGCTACACTGCACTGTGAGTCCAAGGTTCTCCTGGCTTGAGAACCATTTCAGGAGACCCGACAAAGCCTGGAAGAGTCATACACACCAACGGGTGGTGGTAGAGAGTCATGCACCGTGCCATTATCACACAACCTCAATACGGGTGAGGGTGCCTCGAAAGAAACAAAGCAAGGGGGAGGGAGGGGGGGAGGAGGGGGGGATTGCGATTTCATCATACCGATACCACGGGAAGCCACATCGGTAGCCACCATGACTGGGCTCTTGCCCGTCTTGAATTCGTTCAAGACCCAATCTCTCTCCTGCTGCTGCTTGTCGCCGTGAATCGCTGATGCATATGTTAGTCAACCGTGTCGGGCACATGGAGACAGAGAGAACTTACAAAGAGCGGGCCATCCGTCCTGGCGGAGGAAACGAGTGATTTCGTCGGCAATACGCTTGGTACCGGTGAAGATAAGACACTTGTTGGTGCGGCTCTCCATGATCTTCTCGAGGTGCTTGATCATGCGGTCACGCTTCTCGAATTCCGAGACGACCTCGACAATCTGGGTGATACGGTGGTTGGCGGACAGATCCATGGAACCGATGTTGACCTGGATGTAGTCGTTGAGGAAGTCAGAGGCAAGCTGACGGACCTCCTTGGGCCAGGTGGCGGACCACATGCAAGTCTGACGGTCGGGGCGAATCTGGGAGATGATCTTGCGAATCTGAGGCTCGAAACCCATGTCCAGCATGCGATCAGCCTCGTCCAGAACCAGGTAGGTGACACGACGAAGGTTGGTACGACCAGCCTCCAGCATGTCAATCAGACGACCGGGGGTCGCAATGCAGACTTCCACACCACGGCTCAGGTCACGAATCTGAGGGCCCTTGGGGACACCACCGTAGACGCAAGTGTTGCGAATACGAGAGGACTTGCCGAACTTGGAGATTTCGGCCTGGATCTGAACAGCCAACTCACGAGTGGGGGCGAGGATGAGGACAATGGGACCGTCACCGGGGGCGAGGAGGGGCTGAGCGTTGATGTGAACAATGGCGGGGAGACAGTAAGTCAGGGTCTTTCCGGAACCGGTCTCGGCAATACCGACGACGTCGCGACCGGAGAGGGCCATGGGCCAACCCTGGGACTGAATGGAGGTGGGACGCTCGAAGCCCTGAGCCTTGACCTCACCGAGGACGTACTGGGGGAAGCCAGCCTCATCGAAGGTCTCGACGGGACGGGGAACGTTCCTTCCCTGGACAGCCATGGTGTGTGACTTGCGGAACTCCTCGACCTCGCGGTCAGAGCGAGCGGCAACATCGGGGTGTTCCTTGTAGAAAGACTTCTCGAACTTGGGGAGGGCCTCGAGATCTGGAATACTTTGTTAGCATTGTGAATCGTTCCCATTTGGAGATTCCATAACCTACCCCATTCCTGCTTCTTCAGGCCAGCGCCGAGGTTGGACATGCGGTCTCCGCCGGCACCACCACCGCCGTAGCCACCACCACCTCCGTAGCCACCGCCGCCGTAGCCACCACCGCCGCCGCCGTAACCACCACCACCGCCGCCATAGCCACCACCACCGCTGTAGCCACCACCACCACCTCCGTTAGAGTAACCACCACCGCCACCACCGTTTCTGGAGCTGCGAAATCGTGTTAGCAGGCTAACTCTGCGCAGGAACATCTTGCGTGGATGGATGGAATAAGGCCAAGGAAAGCAGAAGGGTGGTGAGTGGTGGTGCAGGCTGAGCCCATCGCATGCCAAGCGGGTTGCCGTGACCGACGCCAAATAACACCGGCGCAGTCACAGCTCACGTTGTACACCGACAGTCATGCACCTCCACCGGACACCTCATCTGGGAGAAAGAGAGAGCTGCTTACCGGTAAGAATCGCGCTGGTAGCCACCGCCACCGCCGTAGGAAGACATGATGAACGAAGGGGTTGTTGTTATTGTTGCTTAGAGAAGGGAGACGGGAGGGTCTGAACGGGACAGACAGAAGTAAGAAACGAGGATGGAGAATAGATCCCGAAGGATACAAGAGACAGCCTTCGAGGAAGAGGGAATAGGCAGAAAAGAGAGGAGTGAAGGCAGAGGAGGGCGAGGGAGGATGAAAAGGATGGGGAGAGAAGAAAGAAGAGGGAGGGAGAGGAAGGAAGCAACCGGGGCGGGAAGCGAGGAAAAGAAAAGGAAAAAAAAGCGACGGCGAGGCGGAGGCAAACACGCGCCGATCGGGTTTAGCGCAGGGGACGACGGCGAAAATTGAGCAGAAAAAGAGCAGAAAATGCGCCCGCCCCGCCCGCTGATTGGTCCCCGCCGCCACCGCTGATTAAGGCCGAAGTCTGGAAGCCTGCGAGCCTGGAAGCAGCCTGAGGCGGAAGCCCCGTCATCATACAAAGTAAAGACGCCCGTCGCATTGTTGCAACTGCGCGCATTTCTATCTATAGGTACAAGCTACACAGCAACAAAACGTACAAAGTAAGTGAGTACACCAGGCACGGAGTAGAATGCGTATTATCCCCTCCCCGCGCCGCTCAATTTTCCGCCCTCTAACACCCCCCCCCTTCGCTGTCCAGTCGCCCCTACAGATGTTTGCCACCCAACCCCATGTCCCAGAAACTGATCTCCAACTCTGTCGCTCGGATGAAAATCTTAATCAATTCCTCCACCCGACTGGGGGAAACCTGTCGCATATGCGTCTCCAGTAGTTCTAGCCCGTGTCAGATTCCAAATTCTCCTCCCCTACTACGTCATCCCCATAAAAAGAGGTAGGGTGGTGCTTACCGGATCCCAAGCGCACTGCTTCCGTGTAGTCCTCCGCAACATAGTTCTCGATCCATTTCCAGTATCGGTTGCCCTCGCGGAGGGTGTCCTTGTCCGCGTGCAGTCTTTGTGCAATCGCCCCGTATCCGAGTAGGCAGGGCGCGAGGGCCATCTGTAGCGCGAGCCAATCCTCCGATTGTCCTACATCGAGGATGTACCGGCTGTATGCAGTGCATGCTGTTCGTATGCCACAACCTTCCGTCAGGTATCGATTCTGGCAAGGGGGGATTTCAGGCTGCAGGTTGCTCACCAATCGTTTCCGGGGTCTTCTCCATCTCCTCCTTTGACAGCCCAAAGGAGGCACAGTAGTCCAGGTGCAAGGCGGTCTCCCGTTGGATGTGAAGAACAATCTTGGCTGACTGTAAGTGATAACATGGTCAGCGGTGATCAATATAGCCACGCAGCCGAACTCCGCGTCTGTTAAGACGATTGGTTGCCGAATAACCTACCGCGGCGATGGACTCCATGTTCCCTGCTTTATAAGAGGCCAGTGCGTTGCTCCGGGCAAATTGAACCTGCACAACCCGATTAGAGAGTCACGCTCGCAGGATAGATCCCGAACACATGATCCATACCAGGTAAAGGTAATCTTGCACAAGGTACGACTTGAATCTCTGCTCAGAAAGGGTACCGTCGCCCATCCGCTGGACAAAGTCATGCTCCGTAAAGGGCTTCCATACTAGTTGAACATCAGGACGGTCTAGGGTATACTCTATGAAGTGACCACTGCATGACCCGTTAGCAATGCGCGTATTCCGCCTGCACAAGAGTCTGGCACACGTACGGGGCAAAAGGCAGGGTATAAACGGAGTGAAAGTGATTGATCGGTCCACTCCCCTTTCCAAGATCGAAACTGGTCTTGATGCCCGCCTGGACGAATCGAACGGCGCTTTGAACTGCGCGTCTCATATCCTTACCAAGGGCCAGGTTTGCTGAAATGGCCGAGGCAAGAGAGCATCCAGTGCCATGGGTATTCTTTGACACCAGGAAATCCGTCTCGAATAGGGTGGCATCTTGTCCATCGTAAAGTACGTCAATAACTTTCGTAGCATCGCTTGGGTTCCGTGCGGTCTGGTTGTCGCTGGTGAGTGGCAAGTGGCCGCCCTTGAGCAGGACTCCCTTAGGGCCCAAGGCACAGATCTGCTTTGCGAGTTCGATGAGACCGGGAAGATCTGTTGGCTCCGAGACCTCAATTCCGGAGTCCTTTAGCAGCAGCAGGGCTTCGGGGATGTTGGGAGTAAGGATGGTGGTCAAAGGCAGTAGCTTCGTGCGCAGGCCTTGTATAGCTGCTTCAGGCAACAGCCGTGACCCACTCGTGGATACCATTACCTGTTTTGCCTCAGGTCAGAAACAGAAGCTCTCTAGAGAACTGGGGCATAGAACAGGGTAAGGCTACCGGATCCAGAACCACAGCAGGGATCTGATGCGTTGTCAATGCCTCAGCAATGACCTCGATGGTCTCCGCAGAAGAGAGCATGCCTGTACCTTGGTTAGTCTACAACGGCGCGCTGGACAGAAAAACACCAGAACAGGATCGAATTCAGCCCAGCATAAGCCAGTCATACATACCCAACTTGACAACGTCTGCACCGACATCCTCCAGACCAGCATTGATCTGCTTCTTCACGAATTCCGCGGGAACGATGAAAATGTCCTGCACACCCAAAGTGTTCTGAGCCGTGAGCCCGGTGGTTGCCGTGAGAGCATAGCAGCCATGCGCGGCTAGAACTCGCTGGTCTGCTTCTAGACCCCTGACCGAAGGAGCTGCATTAGCTTGACAGGTTCAAGGCTGTGGTGGGGAGGCCTTTGCAGCCGGAACATACGCGCCACCGGAGCTGTCAGACCCCGCAATGACCAGAACCCGCTTGACAGACATGGCGATGGTGCCCAGAAGCCTCGAGGTGATTCTCAATGGGATCAACTGAAGGAATAAATGGGAACCAAAGACGGGGAGGGGGGACGTGTCGAGGGTGTCGAAGAAGTAGAAATCAATATTGAACTGATGCGGGAGGGGCCGTGCAGAGGAACTGAAAAGCAACTGAATTATTGGCGGGGTGCGGGGCTTCCCTTTTGGGATACCCTAAGGAGACCCCCCGGTGGGGATATCTTCAACTGTTCTATTTTAGTTCTCCTACTCCTAGCTAGTACCAGGATGTACGTACTCATGTCTATCGAAGAAATGCATTGTGATTCATGCCAATTAATCTCATCTCATCCCGTCATCTAGAATAAACCAAATAATTATAGAAATAAATGCAATGCTCGCTATTCACATCGGTGACCCAATCCAGAACCCGACCCGCCAACCAGACCTATATACAGACAGACAAACGCGGTTCCACGAGGAACTCTCTAGGGCAGCATGAAGCGGAAGAGACTGTCCATCTCGACCCATTGCCGCCCACACTTCCGCAGGTACGCGTCCACCACCCCTTTGACGGTTCCGAACCGCGTGCGGTTGAACTCAACCAGTGCCGCCAAACTATCCTTCTTCTCTCCCCCGGCCTCCTTTTCGGCCAACTTGCGAGCCTTGTCCACATCCCAAAGGCCGGCGAAGTAGAGAAGCTGGTTATACATTTGTTTCTCCGGATACTCGTAGGTCATTCGGCCGAGGCAGCCTTCCGCGTGGCCTCGCGGTCCAAGGCACCGGTGTCCATACACACTCATCTGCCGGGTCCGGTTTCCGCAGGCCGAATCGTCACAGACAAGCCAGCCTTCGTAGTACTTGGAGGTCTGCGCTCGAATCTGCGCCTCCAGCTGTGCGACAATGGTCAGGACAGAGAACGGCTTTTGGCACGCTTGGCTGGGGCACACAACCCCGTTGGCGGTGCACATATGCGTGGATCCCGCCAGTCCCTCGAATACAGACTTCTCCTTGCAGAACCGACAGGTAAGCGTAAGACGCGTGGCGTTCTCAAACCGCACAGCATCCGGGATTTGCGATTCCAAGGGGAAGATTTCATTATTTTGCTGGTTGCTCCCACTGGAGGTGTTGATCTGGTACTTGCGAACATCAAGCCCCAGACACTCGGCCAGTCGAACGGCATCGGTACCAGGAATGGGCGCACAGAGACGTTCGATGGGGGGGAATATCTGCTTGAGGAGGTAAAACTCAATGTCGGGCTTAAGCCCCGAGTCCGGCTTCATCACATCCTGAGGCGTATAGGACCGTTTGGCCGGCGGGAGAGACGCGGTCTCGGAGTCTCCACTCGTCACGACATACGAGATCACGTCGTTGGGACGAATAGACTTGCCCCGGGCAAGCTCGCGCAAAGCAACCTGGACCGGGGGCATGGTTTCCTTGTTGGGGTATTCTTCCGGTCTCTTGGAGAGTTTCTAGATGGGAAGTGAGGTTAGTGTGCTGTGCGAGAGACCAGGGTGTTTGTGTATCGACAACATACCGTGTAAATGACGTATTTTTGAACAGGAACCGAGAACTCGCGCATTTTCACTGCTAGGTCGTGCAGGTAGTCATGAATTCGATTGAGGACGACCTCTTGATCCTCACCAGAGAGAACCTCATTCAGCAGTTTCTGAGAGACCTCCTTGGAAAGCGAACAGTATTCACGTCTCTTCATGTCCAGACCCTTGACCTCCAGCTTATCCACGTACTTGCCATCTACTTCAGTCATGTTGACAGCGGCATACTTCTTCTTTGCATGAAGAAGTAGACGACGGAAGACATTGTCGATGTCAATTTCGAGCAGTCGGTATCTTTCGTTGACCGATTTCTTCAATTCCTCACCGACCTTCAGAGCGTCGCTGATTGTGTCCATGTTCGTGTTGATCATGACGGAGTCAGTATCACCATAGATGACCCTGAGCTGCTTGGATTCCACCAGCTCTTTGGTGCTTCGGAGAATCTCACGACCCTTGAATGTGGTGAGCATGGCCAAGGGACGGGCATAAAAGCGACTCTGCGTGTAACCCAAGCATCCATACATGGAGTTGGCAGTCAGCTTGAAGGCCAGTTGCTTAGTGTCCCACAATGCGAGTTGCTCGGGCGTTGCGCGTTTGTCTTTCATCAGCTTCTTGACCTCTCGTCGACGACCGACCAAAGTGGCAATGAGCTTGGGTAGAATACCCTGCTCCTGGTCCGTGGGAGGAACCTCGGGCACCTTTTCTTCTTTGTCGTTCTCCGCCTGCAAACAATGTCAATTCATATCCACACTAATCCTTCAGGGAGACTCACAGTCGACGTCCGCTCCACCGTTGTAAAGCAGATATTATACTCTTGGATAATACTCGGGTACAAACTGTTGAAGTCCATCACAAGGACGAACTTGTCGTAAAGTCCTTTCTCGGGCTCGAAGACTAGACCACCTTTGTATTTGTCCTTCTTCTTCTTGTCCGCGGAATCGTCATCGTCACCCTCCAGCATCTTTTCTTCCGCCTTTTGGAGCTTAGAAGAATATTTGTCGGGACAGATATACTTATTCCGATGGAATTCGTGGAGGAGAATGTACTCGTTCCGTTCAGCACGGGTACCGCTAAGTGTTCGCGCCCAAGAGTTACCAGCAATATTCGTGAGCACTTTGGTCAAGGGAAGCATCTGAAGTCGCAGAACAAGTGCTGCGATGAAGTAGGTATCGGCATCACAGTGGTTGACGAAGTTCATGAGGCCGTCTTTGGTGTTGGCCCAGCTCTTCAGTGCTGCCTCACAATCCAGCTCTTGTCTGGCGTTTCCTTTACCGAGGTAAAGATCACACATCTCCGTCAGACCCCACGACTGACATTTCGTCATGAGAGACTTCTTGCAGTTAGTAAAAGCACCCCCCGGATAATGACGAAACAACTTACCTTGCCCATATCATTGGCAACATCGCACATCAGTCTTCCTGCAATCAGATGTCTCTCAGCAAAGAAGCCTCCACCCCTGTTGAAATTCTTGGGCCAGTCCCCGCGCCTCAACCGTCCGAGACGATGCCAGCCAGGCGTCTTCTTCTCTTTCAATCTGTTAAGTAGGATGCTGAGGTCAACTTCCTGGAGCTGATGCCCCATCAGTACATCAGGATCCATCTTCTCAAACAGTGCCAAAAATTTGCTCAGCAAAAACTGTTCACTCTTCTCCAGCATGTACGTGCCTCGCTGCTTTCGAGTCTCGGCCTCAAAGTGCATCGGGTATGAAGAGCCAGAAGGCCGCATGACGGTGAAAGTCTTGCAAGGCAGTCTCTCCGGAGGAGTCGTGTCGGTAAGAGAAACATTCTCATATACTCTTGCACTCGCCACCAAGATTTCTTGCTTATTCTCTTTCACATTGAGCTGCGTCCGGAAAGAAAGACTCATTAGCGTGAGAGGGGGGGCTTCCAGGTTCTCAGAATCAGGGACCGGAGAGATAAGCGCCGGCTTCGATGCCTGGCATTCGAACTTGCACCAGGAGGCGTTGTTGACGGCGGAGAAATCCGCCTCCTCAATCTTGAGCCAACAAGGACCCATGATATTCTTCCAGAGAACAAACTGTTCGAACAGCGATGTGTTTGTCCCAAAGACATGCGAAAAGGTCTCGCCCCGGACGTCCATCGGCAAGGCGGGCTTATCGTAAGGGTAAAGCAGCTTCAGATATTCAGCCTCTTTCGGCACACCGGGCATCTCGAATGCATATTTACGAGTGCAGGGCTTGATCTTGTGCATCCCAACTCGCAACCTTGACATCATTCCATCGACCTCGCCGTAGACATCCTCCATGTCGACCTCCTCGTCTGTCTCCCGCCCATTCTTGTGCCTGTTCTCACGAGGAAGAAAATAGAGTTTCCGGAGGATGTTGTCAACTTTGACGAAGGCACTGGCATAAGAGCCAGTCTGCTTGTTCTTGACCTTTCCAAACAAGCAAAGACTGCCGTTGACTTCTGTGAAATCCAGCCAGAACATGCGCAGACTCCCGTCTTCCTCAACAACATCCTGCGCGCGAAGTTTGCCGAAGCTCCGCATTTCCGACGACGCTGGGCTGCTGAGAACATTCAACTTACTCCTGACGTCGTTCCAAGAAGCATCAACTTCCGGTAGCGGTTTCATGGGCGAAGAGCTTGCGAGAGTCGGATAAGGCTCCTTCTTGAGTTTGGGCGGGGGTCGGCTTCCAGCCATATTGATGCTTGCCGCCTTGGCTTCGTTCTGCCCCGTAGCTTGCGCAACCTCCATTATGTCGTTATCCTCCTCATCGACCTCCTCCACCTTGACAGGGACCGTAACCGACTTCCTTTGTACGGCTTTGCTGATAGGGGACGACGGCATGGGATCACTCATCGGAACATCATCGTCGTCCATGCCGGTAAACGGGTCATCATCGTCATCCATATTCATTGCTGGCTGCTCCTTAACCGGGGAGACCGGGTCACTATTCTCATCTCGTTTGATCTGTCTCTCTTTGCGCGTTCTGTCGGCAAGCGGGGGGGACAAGATGCGGACTTTGCGTCGAGTCTCGGATTTGACTATGTTTCTCGTTGGCACACGGTGGGGAACGGCGTTGGTATCGACATCTCCGAGGAGATCGGCCATGAAAGCATCATCCTCTGCAGTAGCGACCGGCTAGTAGATCACCATCAGAACCATTCCTTTGCCTGTCCGAAGAGAAATCTTCCCACTTACCTTAGGCTTCGGGGCCGACGGCGCAGCACCGCTGTTGAAGTATTTCGAGATCCCATTATTGATCTTCTCCTGTCGCTGCTTTTCCTCCTCGCGTTTCCTCTTCGCCGCCTTGCCCCGGGCAGGCAGTTCGTCGTCCTCGCTGTCGCTGTCGCGGTATTCTGCGGTCCGCTCGTTCCAGACCTCGCGACCGTCATCCGCATAGCCTTCGCCGTTGTCGTCGACGACAAAATCGTCCTGGTCGAGTCGGTTGCGGATAAGCTTCTTGTAGCCTTCGTCGTCGACCTCTTCGTAGATGTCGGCCTGTTCCTCGACCTCGTATGTCGACAGGCGTTTCTTTCCGGCGGCGCGAAGGGCACGCAGCTCCGCCAATTTCGCGCGGGAAGCAGACATGGCGGACTGGCGGACTGGCGGACTTTTTACCACAGGGGGATCAAGCCGTGTCCATGAAAGACTTCCTGGAGGATTGGGTCGGGGAAGTGGATGGGTTGAGGAAGGGGCTGACGGGGTGTCCGCAAGGCGGGCGCGCGGAGGAGAAAGTCGCGCGTGCGGGACGCGGGCTGGACGCGCCTCCGCCAATCCCCGTTAAGTGGTTTGCTTGCCCGTTTCGGTAGGCACCAACCATAGATCAGTGGTGGGTAACTAGGATCTACACATCAAATACAATATCATTCAATTGCCGGAAATTTGATCGCTCTTCAAATTAAATACAACAGTCAAGAAAAAGGACCCCGAAAATCGCTAGAATTGCACAATTTCAATTGCCCAGAGGAGACGATCATTAGCTCCTATCCTAGTCCTGCACAATCTATTCCCAACGCCTGCTACCCAACGCTCAATCCGACATTTCTTCAGAATCCGTGTCGCTAAATTCCTCTGCAACTTGTCAGCTCTCCTCTATGGGACACTCGCAGGGTTAGCCTACCTTGCGCAAGGCCATAATCGAACGACCCATCGAGACTCACTCGCAGGGTGTCTCGAATCACGGTTTGCGCGTCTTCGGTGAGAGTGCTATCCACCGCATTCAGAATAGTCAGGTTGAAGCCTCGATTACCAGACCCCAGCTGTGCAATAAACCCAAGAATGCCATCAGCGGTGAACTTGCTGAAGGCATGGATCGCCAGACTCTGAAGCTTGGGTAGACACAGGAAGGCAGTCAACGCCCCGTCGTCGAAGAAGTCGCCGCTGATCCAGAGCCGCTCCAGGAGGGGGAGAGATGGCGTCAGCGCGATTACGTGGTCCGGGGTAAAGCCGTCCGATATGTCCTTCAGCTCTAATTCCCGGAGGTCGTGGAGCTGGGCAATCGCTTGCACAAGCAATTCGTTATCCTGGGGAAATTCGCCCCCTTCACCGCGAAGGTAAAGCATTTGCAGTGTCTGCTGACAGGCAAGCGCTTCGTGGAATGCATGGCTGCCGGCCATTGTATACCCGGCCAAGGATAGACTGGTCAGGCGAACCCCTTCATCGGCTAGAACCTGCGACAGCAGAGTCGAATCATCGACGAATCGCCTGAGCTCGAGGCGTCGCAATGATCTGCATGTGCATATCCATTCAGCAACCCGTGTGACGGTGGAATAAAAGTTCTCGTCCGGCGCAGCTGGGATGGAGTCTGTCAGCACCAAGACTTTCAACGCTGGTGGTGCGGTCAAGGAAGGCAGTTCCGCAATGGTTTCTATGGTGAGGCTCGTCAATTTCAACTCTGTCAGGGAATTCAGGTGTGAGCCTATGGATTTGATCGAGCGAGGCCCTAGTTGAGAATAGCTGAGGACTTCGAAGTACTCCAGCGTATCAGGGCGCAATTCATTCAAAAAGACCTCGGAGTCTGCCTCCGCGTTTCTGGGTGGGTCGTTCTTCCTAATCCCAGACGATGAGCGTTGAAGCGTCAGACTATACTAGCAGAGCCATACCATCCGTATATTGTAAGCTGCTTGAAATCAGGGCAGTGGTTGCGGAGTTTGTCACCGGCATGTTGGCTCAGAGCATCCCCGGACCATATGGTCAGAGATTGCAGCAAGGGCAACCCATCGAGCCACCCGGTGAGGGTTTCGGGTGGAACTAGAAGGAGTCAGGTATCTCTGTAGCATTCACCCCGTTCCTGGATGGAGACTACCGTTGCAAGATATCCCCCGGATCGACGTCGTCTTCTTCACGATTGCTGGCAGAAGTTAGTTCATCAGATGCTGGCTAGGGAAGCATGCGATGACAGCTACCGGGAGCCTATCCTGAGAAGATAGAACTAACCTGTGCCAACCTTTATTTTGATCCAATCGTTATCAGGGTAGACTCTCGATGAGCGGAGTCGCTTATTCCCTTTAGATTGATAGCCGTAGGACACGAAATCCAATATCTCCGGCGTAAAAAAGTCCCTAGACCCCAGTTAGACAGGCAACAGAACCAACAGCGTCTATACCGCCAAGCCATAGCATACTCTTTAGTCTTCGTCGTGAACCCAGGGTCCCTAAGGAGATCCCCGAAGTCATCGAGATCCAGATAGCGGACATAGCTGTAGTAAGGGAGGTATGTCTGATCGAGAGTCGACAGGACGATGGATCGCCACAGCAAGGCCCATTTGCGAATCGTCGGATCCTGCTCGCTGCGTGCCCCGGCCCAATGGCCCAGGGGACCAGCCACTCTCCTCGTCCTGAAATGCTCATCCTCAGTTCCTCCGCCCCTCACGGGCGAAGTATCACACAGCCTGGCATGATTGATATCAGCAAGCCGCATCACCCCCCACCCCCACCAACTCGCCTGATCAAGCAAAACTCACTTATACAGCACCGCCAGTGCATGTTCCGTGAAGTATCTCGATGATATCGCGCATTGGAACAGGCTGTTGTAGTCTTTCTCATCCCCCAAGATATCCAAGATGATATAGATGATGTCGCCGGGCAACACGGAGGCCATTTTCAACGCCCGAATATCGTCCGCCCCGAAAGAAACGATGTCACTGAAAAGGAACTTGCGCTGATCGAAACCGACGGCCCCTGCATCCGGACCTAACCTTTCCTGCAGCGATGCCCAGGGAGACGTACTGTCAGTACTGTCAGTACAGCCAGGCGGCCGGCCGTACAGTACCGCTTATGTAAGCTCGCGTCGTGTTTGCGGTCTGGCGGGTCGGGGGGGGATGGCCCAGTTCCCAAGCACCTGCAAGAAACTCGCTGGACCCGGGCTTTGGGCGGTGATATCGCGGCATTTGGAGATTGGCTCGTGGAGGAGAATAGCAGGGCTGGCTTTGATATTGGCAGGACGGGGTGCTGTTTTGCCTCCTAGGGGACGAAGATGACCACTCTATCGTTCTCGCTCGCCCCGAAGGCGATATATCAGCTACACGATGCGCTGATGTGTCTGTCCAAGTTCGACGATAGCGTGGCCATTGAAGCTGAATTCGATCTGGTAAGCCCAAGCGGTCTGGGCAAAGGGATAGACGAGTTGTTATGATGGAGCTGACATCTGTCTGAGAAAAGCTTCGCCTCAGCGTGCTCAATTCAACCAAGACGGCATACTCCGCGTTTGCCTTCGAAGCAGACAGCTTCTTCGAGAGTTATTCTTTTGGTGTAGCAATGGGAGGGAGCTCTTCGAGGACCACCAATCCGAATAAATTTAGCTGTCAGGTGTTGATCAAGGTGAGGAATCCCGATCCCGTAACTTAAACAGACTCATCCCCAGGCTAATATCTATTCCTAGGCTCTCGTTTCGGCCTTCAAGGGAAGAACAAGCGGCCGTGACAAGGACACCTCTGTGGAGCGCTGTGAGGTTGAACTCCAAGAGAGCCCCGAGGATGTGGAATGCAGGCTCATCATCAGGATGATCTGTGGACTGGGTTTGTCTTTCTCCACTACGGACGACATTGCCCACCCATAAGCTATAACTAACAACCACAGGCGTTATCAAGCTCTACAAGCTTGCTTACGAATCCATCTATGTGCAACACGCCACATTTGACCGATCCAAGTCCACCAACACGTGGTGCATCGACCCGAAGTACCTGAAAGAGATCACCGATCATTTCGGGCCGTCCGCGGAGCAACTGGATGTCTTCTCCGACCATGGCAAGGTCGTCTTCACCAGTTTTACCACGAAGATCTCAGACGGGAAAGGTAAGTTCGACAAGTGACAAGTTCCATTTACCATGTCCGCTCTACGCTCTACATTTATTGACTCTCATCGCAGAGATCCTTCGGCAACCGGTGCACACTTCAGTGGCCATTGACAAGACAGACTTCGATTACTATTTGGCAGAAGACCGCCTTCATGTGGTTATTTACCTCAAGGATTTCAAGGCGGCGATCGCACATGCTGACACAGTCGATTCAATGATCACAGCCAGATTTACTCGTCCGTGTCGGCCCCTGCAGTTTGCGTACGAGTTCGAGGGCGTGAGGGCCGAGTACACCTTGATGACCAGAGGCGAAGCACCCATGGACGGTACCCCGAGTTCCTCAAGAGCAGTCGCACCCCAGCTCTCTGCACGACAGACCCCTGCTCCCGTCCAGGCAAGCCAGAGGAACACGGCGCCAGACACGAGGCAAATGCCCCCCCCTCCCCGGAGTCGGTCTGTACGTCCTCTCACAGGGTCTACTCGGGCCTCACAATCAAACGCGGAGTCTGGGTCTCACGCAGAGTCTCACGCAGAGTCTCACACGGAGGCTCACACGGAATCTCAAAGACCGCCTCAGCCGTCGATGGAATTCGACAGTTTGTTTGTCCCCGCGGACGATGACAGGCAGTGGGACGTGCCGAACGAGGAGGACGAGGCACCGGCTGAAGACGAACTGGGATGGGACGCCACCGGCGAACAGGTATGACCCGAAGTCGACTAATTCTCCACGCTCAATTACTGATAGAATCTCAGACAAGCATGGGCCCTGGGCTACGAGACACCGAACCCGGTCTGGCAGAAACCAGCCACGAGGAAGAAGAGATGCGCATCCCCCCTACCCAGCGCATGTCCCAGGTAAGCCGGGCGTGTCCCCCGTCGTCTAACGACGAACTAACACGCCATAGCTGCACGGTCTGGGCCTCTTCGACTGAAGCCATTCCACCCCGATCCCGATCCCATCACCGAGTGACAATCCAACTCGTGGCACAACCCGCGCCAACACCCACGACCACCGCCTGTTCCCCCCCGGGCAAAGGAATCGGTGTGCACACACCATCCACATTCCCCCTCTCATCCGTGACCGGTCCACAATTGCCATGCTCGCCCCAACCAAAAGCCATCACCGTGCGTCCATCAATCAGCACAAGAACATGCTCACTCCCCACCGCCAACCCCCTCACCACCCCCATACCAGGGGGCGGGAGCTGTCCACGATCATTCCTCCCCCAAGCCACGACCCCGCCATGCTCCCTTTGTACATAAACCCCATGCCAACTGGCCCCCAACCCACCAAACGGGCCCATCGGGTCCGGAACCCCCTTCAAAACCCCCACTTATCACCCACCCCGCCTATCAAACCAAACAGCTTCACCTCCCCCTTCTTCTTATCCCCCGTAACCACCGTAAACTCCCTCCCACACGCTGCCCTGTCGCACGGAACCCCACCCCCTCCACCCTGACCGGCTCCCACGCAATCTTCCTCCCATCCCCATCTCCAAGCTGCCCTTCCTCCCCCCACCCCACCCATACACCTCCCCACTATCCAGCACCACAACCGTATGTCCCACCCCGCCCGTAACGGAGAGCACTTTCTTCCCCGGCGGCGGAAACCCAGCTCCAGATGCAGAGACAAGGGCAGCCTCCCCCGCCCGCACACAGCCCCCTCCCAGCCCCAATTCCCCTTTCATCCCCGAACCCACGGAAAACACCCTCTCCCCACCCTCAGCAACCAGAGTCGACCCCTCCCATGTCGCGGATACGTCCGCGAACTTCGAGATCACGGCGCCACTGCCCGGATCTCGCACGATGACTCGCCGGAACCGCTGGATGGGGGACGGGGAGGGCGGGTGTCCGCATCGGCCGTCGGGGTTTAGGCCGCTGGAGTAGACGGCGCCGGAGGCGAAGAGGATGAGGGTGTGGTTTCCGCCGGCGGCGATGCGGGTGATGCTTGATGCTGATGGTGGTGAAGAGGAGGGGGAGGGGGAGGAGGAGGAGGAGGAGGGGGATGAGATGTGTGTGCTCTCTGTGTCTGTGTTTGTGTCTGTGTTTGTGCCCAGGGTCAAGCAAGGCTCCGAGTCTTCAAAGAGACATCTTGTCGGGACGGAGACGTCCTCGTCATGTCCGATGCCCAGTTGGCCGGAGCCGTTGGAGCCGAAGGCGTAAAGGGGCATAGCTGGCTGGTTTGCTGGTCGATGGATGATCTAGGGCAACCAGATCCGATCCGCAAATTGTATGTAAGGATTTCGAGTGCTTGAGATTGAGTGCAGGTGTTGTGGGGGGGGGGGGGGGGTGTTTGTGCTAGTTATATGATAGAGAAAGAAAGTGGGATGAAAGGCTGCAAAAAGACAGGCAGTTACAAAGTGAAGTGCCATACCGCCATCCACACCGCCCACCAACCAACCAAGAACGAGCAGGCGCATGATTATTCGGAGATAACTTGCGGGCAGAATACCTCTTTCCGAAAACGGGATAGTGGGGCAACAGGACATGGACATTGATGGCGATGCCGTGTCTGTGCAACGTGACACGGGATTGAAACTCTTGAAAGACGTCAGCGGGGGCGTTTTCGGGTGGATAGGTACTATTAGGATTGTTGCAGTATGCAACGGGCTGATAGCTGAACCGTGGATGTGGATTACTACGATGTATCATGTGGAGACGGGAATCTGGAGAAATCAAGATGATGATGATGATGATGATGATGCGTTCACCCGCCTCTGAGGTGGGGATATAAAATTAATCAGCTTCTATATACTAACGAGTATCTATGTACCTGGGTATTGTTGAGAGCAATGCATCAAGCGGAAACTCTGGCTCGACTAGGAATGCAAATGCCAAAAAAAAAGGAAGAGTTCATCATCCATCCAAAAAAAAAAAAAAACGGATAGCCTGTATCCAAACAATCAAAAACAAAACGCCGTCCCACAAGCTTCTTGAAAATCATACTCATAACTCGGACTTTTCGTTGTAAGATTCGTCCTGCGCCGCCGGAGGCAGCGTGAAGTTATCCGCCTTGGCAGTCTGCTCCATCGGGCGGAACATCGGACTGGTGCGGTGGAAGTAGGAGTGCACGTGGCCTTCAAGGAGGGATTCGTCCGTATCTTGCAGGAAGTCCTCGTCCTTGGGGTTTTCGGCGATCTTGCGGGACATGGCGGCCTCCCACTCGGCCCGGTACTCCTCAACCTTGAGCTTGTAGTCAAGTTCGGCATCGTAGTTCTTTCCGACTCCGGTGAGGCGCTCCCAGAGAGAGAGGTGCTCCGCGTGGACGGCAGGGCCGTGGTAGTCGCTCTCCCGGCCTTCACGAATGTACTGCCAACGACGCTCCTGCTCCTTCAGGTCGAGACCGGTGGTATCCGGGAGGAAGATGAAGGTCAGGAGCATGCCCAGGAGACCAAACCAAGGCACGAAGTAGAACTTGGTTTGGGTGTCAATGTAGTTGTACAAGACAGACGCGAGAAGCGCGCCGGATTTGCCGCAAGCCGCGGACATACCGTGAGCCGTGGCACGAATAGGGGTCGGGAACACTTCGGCAGCCACCAGGAAGGTGACGGAATTGGGGCCGAATTGGTTGAAAAACGAACTCAGGAAGTACATCGCCTGGAAAGCATGGATGTTTTCAGGCTGAGTGTAGTAGTCGTAGTGGAACGCGGGAACCACGAAGAGGATGAAGCACATGAGGAATCCAATCATCTGCATGCGCTTGCGGCCATAGAGCTTGTTATCGACGAAGAAGGAGGCGCAGTAGTAACCGGCCAACTCCACACCGCAATTGCACAAACTCCAAAGCCAGGTAGGCATGATGGAAGTGCTTCCGGGGCTGAGGACTTCAATGAATTCGGAGCTGAAAAGCTTGTTGCCGTAGAAGAAGACGTCATTGGCAAACCAGCAACCGGCGGTTGCCAGGATACGGAAGCCGAAGTAGCGGAAAGTCAGCTTCAACGAGGCGACATCATAACCAGTCACCGACGCCTTCTTCTTCGCAGCCGCTAGTTGCTTGCTAGCCGCCTTCATGTGGTAGGCACGGTAGTAGACGAGCCACAGGGTGCCGACAGCGGGGATGGCGAAAGAGATCCGGTAAGTCCACTGAGTAGCCACCGCGGAGTAGGGCGCATTGCCACTACCGTGGTGGAAGATGAGAAGCAAAAGGATCAGCAGGGCCTGGTTGAGGAATTGACCCCAACCCTGCATCAAGAAAGCACTGGTGACCTTGCGGCCACGGTGAAGGCGGTCCTCCTTGGTCGAGACCTTTCCAGAGCCAACGGCGCCCTCCATACCGCTCGTGGCAGTCATCGGATACTCGCCACCTGTGATCATGTCGTCAGCAACGGCGCACGGAGATATTTTATCCCCCCAGAATTGAGGCACTCACCAACACCGAAACCGTAGATAAACAGGGACCAGGCGTAACAGATAACCCAGCCGTTCTGAGTGACACCCCAGGCGGCGGTAAGCATGATCAAACCCAGCAACATGACCGAAGCGTCTTGAATCAGACCCCAACGACGACCAAGCCTAACGGAAGTCAGTCAATCCCGCTCGCATAGTGTCTGCCACACAGTCACGCGACATACCAGTCACCAACGATTCCGACCGCAACCTGACCGGCAATGATGCCGAGAATTTCGAGATAATCCACCGCGTTGATCCATTGAGCATTGCAGATCTCATGTGTCTTCCAGCACGACTTGAACGAATCCTCAAACAGGGGCTTGATGTTTCCAATCGAGAAAAGCACGTAACTGCAGAAACCAAGATGTGAGTATGCTGCCGTCTGGGCGGTTGAGGTCCCCGGAGCAGTACGTACCCTTCGAGACCCAGACCAGCACCAGGGAGGACCATGTTCCGGAAGTAATGCGAGATGGGTGAGAGGGGGTCCGCCTTGGTCATTTTCCAGATCTCGCCGAGCTCGCGCTTGGCTTCCGCGGCGTCGTTGGAGCCGACGAATTTGATTCTCTTCATGAGGGGCAAGTCGGCCCAATACGTGCCGTCCGGAGTATAGCTGTCATCGGGGCGAATGAGTTCATCGAAGGCACCCTTCTCGTGGATGTCCATGTCCTCGAGAGGGTTATGGGTACCCGACATGTCGGGCCCGTGGGGAGCACGAAGGCCAAAGTCGGTCATCTTGTCGACCGATCGTGATATGCGGAGGTGGGAGGCGGGCGTGAAACGTCCTTTGAGGGGGGGGATGTTCTCCTAAGAGAGGAACGGACTCGAATCGATCGAGGTGAAGGCGTCGGGGCGTCACACACACACACACACGATGCAGGGCCGAGTTGGACACGGCCAGCAAGCGAACTTATATTCCGGACGGTTCACGGCAGACAAAAAATCTCTGGGCGCCGGCGGACCAGACGCAGGCCACCACGGCGCCCCAGGCACATGCACAAATGGTGGAACGTGATAAGCCCAACGCAGGACTGGGTAGACTGGGTAGGATCCAACGTACCATAGTAATAGTGGCGGGGATCCACCGCGCGCGAGTCCGAGGTTCAGTTGACGACTGCTCTGGGCGAGGTGTCGCGTGTGGTGTTGATTGTTAGTGGCGGAGAGCGGGCAAGTCGGCCCCATCCATTATTCATTGCCCAGACCCAACCCTAGTCGCGGCTGAGACTCCCACCATCATGAATTCTGCTGATCCTGCAGGAATCAGATCCTTTCTGCAGTAGTGTGCTTTTTAATTATATTACATCCCATTATTCCACTCAAATAATTTCTTTGCGGGGTCCTGTCCTCGTGCCATCGTGCTTTCCAATACAGACCATTATTTTCCACGTTACTTCCCCCAATCAAGTCATCGACGTAGACCAACTCGACTAGATAGTAATCCCCCCCACGTAGACTGCGACCTAAGGCGGCACTAGGGATTTGGGCCCTGGAGGGGAGGAGGGTGTTTGCAACCCTCTCCCTCTCCTCCGAGCCCTCCGTACTTGTCTCCAGGTCGGTTCCGGTCCGGTCGGTCGCGTTGGACGAGGCGGTGGTAACCTTTTCCCACTCTTGCCCCATTTTCAGAGTGGCGGCGGAACCCGAGCGGGGAGCTTCCGGTCTCGAACTTCCGCCGGCGGCCAATCAACGGCGCACGTGGTGGCAGAATCCCACCGGATCGACGTCCACCGCCTTCCAGAATCACCGCCCCTCCCCCCCACCTGGCCAATCAGCTAGTGCGACCGGACACCACCGGTTGACATCCTGGCGGAGCACGGCAGGCAGAGAAGGCAGAAGAGACGAGAGTCTCTCCACCTCCCAATCAGGCAGGAGGCCCAGTGAGCACGTTGGAAATGATGGAATCCATCTCGGAAGAATGATGCCTGCACCTCGCTGACACAACTGCTGCGGAGTAGGTACTCCGGTGCTCCGTATTATCATCGCCTGAGGTGGGGGACGTTGGATATGGAGAATGAGGGGGTCTCAGGGTTAACCTCATCCCCCGTTCCGATGGGACTTGTTCATGCCCTCCAAGTTGGAAGAATATACTCCGTGCTAACACAATATCTAGTTATTTACTATGGTAGTACGGAGTACTTACTCTCCCTTGCCTAATTGCATCATGCGTGCTGACAGATCGCCAGTCGACATTCCACAGCCTCATGGGTGTTCCATCCCCCTTCCAGATGGCCCGCATTCAGACACGTACACGAAGGACGGGCCGAGGGTGGTGGGCAAAGTTTATTATCTCCATGGACGCGGACATAGATGCATCCTGGTCGATACCTACCCCGATATGCTTACAGTCTTACAGTCCCAGGGGTTCTTGGCGCTCAGACTCTTCCCCTGCAGCCAGTGAGAGGCCGCAGAACCGCCACGTTCCCCGGCCGTGACGCCAACCCAATGATAACGTCCCTCCATCCTCGCGCCCGCCGGCCACTTCGCCTGGAACCTTGTCCTGTGTCCAGTCATGTCCATCCCGAATCCCTAATTTCCCTCCCGGATCATATACTAGATACTACTACTACTATTATCGATCGCGGTCACGGAGAGAGACGGGAGAGACGCAAGGTTCATGGGATGTCAGCCCACATGGAATCTGGAATCCGTTCCCCTTGCTTGATCGATCTACGGAGCGACGTGGACGTGGACGTGGACGTGGACGTGGACGGAGTACAGGACCAGAAACGTGGGCTATTCCCGTGTTTGGACCTTGACCTTTTGATGGGTATTGGCTGACGGTGATTCTAGGTTCTCGCTCTATATCAGATTCCCACGGACCACATCTATTCCGGGGTACGGAGTCGCTTTCAGGGATCCAATCAGATGCGAGCATTCACCCCGTGCCTCTATACAGCCCTGAGAGCGAATGTGTGCCCCTATACGGAAGAGCAGCGCCATGGACCATGTTAGAGGATCCTGTGATCCAAATATCATGACGTTAAGCTCTACTCTTCCAGCCTCTCCACATGTCTCTCGAAGCTGCAGGTTCGCCGGAGACCCTGATTTTGGCTTCCTGCGGGCGTGATCCCTCATCCCTCATCCATCCATCTACCTAGCGCCAGGGAAGCCAGCTACCCACGATTGCCTACATTAGTTCCAACCTGCAGAATCCTGGCTTCAAGACGGACCCCGCCTGTAGGAAGGCTGGAAGCGGGCTCAGTCGGTAGTGCCCGGAGGATCTAGCAGTCGGTATCTAGCTAGGCTCCCTCGTTGCCACTTGCCAGTCCTGCCTGCAGGATCAACTCGCAAAGGATGGTGGTCAGACAGCCCCTTTCCTCATCCCCATACGGTCACCCTGTCCGGACGCCGTCAACTGACTGAGAGTCGCTTTCTTCTCTGTCCATGGAGTACGAGCCTGGATTGATACGGTTCACATCCTGACATGAGATGATTCTGGCCGCCCCAGTCTGTCAGAAGATATGACGGAACGACCACAAGCTCCCTGTATCGGTACGACCCACGCGACCCAGGGTCCAAGGAATGGCCATCGTGAGGATTTCTCTTAGCCTTGCAGCCGTCTACTTCCCCCAACCCGACGGATGCTCCGTCGACGGCAGCTCCCTCGCTCTCCCGAGAACCGAGCGCGCATGCCCCCGTAGTATCTATCTAGTCGTACTAACGACGCAGGCAGCTGGTGCTAATGCAGCGCTTACTTCCGACTAAAAATGGGGTCTGCCGCCGCATTCGACAGACATCAATCAGGTTCTCCTGGTCTAATGCAAGGTAACCCTATCGAGTTAGCAGCCGTCGACACGTTGGCTTGCCTAGCTGCTCAGCTGCTTAGCTCGCCTTACCGATATACCCATGTTCACGGTTACGCAATCTGCCAGCTGATCATGCACGCTATGCTTAGTCTGACTATGTAGTAAGTCGTTGCCTTGTTCAATAAGCTGCAAAATGACGAGACCATGCAGGAAGAGACACATACCAAGCATGTATGGATAAGCTCATGTATATAGTAATAAAGATGGGGCCCAGACCTCTTATCTTCGGTACGGACCCCTTACATGTACGCAGTGTCCCGTCGAGCTGCACTGTTCCTCTTGGCATTCCAGGGTGTCATAGTATTTCAAAGAAGCATCTCGTGAGCAATGCGCATATACGCTGTAGCGAGTCTGACTTTTGTGTGTTTTAAATACGTTTACTACATAGTACAATCACTCGATAATTTTGAGAAGAAAAAAAACAGAGCAATAACAAGAAGTTGGGTCCAGCAAAATCTCAACAGAGCCATGCTGCTTTTCATATCGAGTCATACTAGATTCAGTAACTCCCGGGCCCAACGGTAACTAACTATGGAACATGAAGCAGCCTCGATAAGCAGAATACTACCTATCCAACCATGGCCTATCTTTTGTTCTAATTGACCTACAGAACAAGAAGGAATGGTCCCTAGTTAAGAATCCTATACTGGCGATAAATCCTCAATATAAGAAATAAGACAGGATAACAAAAGCTAAAGTAGCATGGCACAAGAAGGTGAGAAACTTGATCCCTACTATCTATGTTTCCTATAACGACACCTTCCGGTCTGAACAGTCTCTACTTATTGAGCTATGACTTTTTATAACGCTCTTGCTTCGTCTTCTTCTTCTTCTAGCTGACATGATGACCCAGAGGACAGAGGACAGAGGACAGAGGACAACGGACAGATCACAGGAGTAGTTCTGATATCAAGCACAGCATAGCGTTAAGCGTCTTTCACTCACAACTTGGACATACGTATTAATCACAGGTCTCTATCTATCCATCATGTTCGAACCACAAGACATCATTCAATGAATAACTCTCGCAAGAGAGACCTGATATATTATATACCAAAAAAACACATCTAACTGGTCTGATCTGATCTGATCTACACAAAAGCAATCCCATCCCACAGCAGGATACCATAACCAACCAACCCACCAAGGTCCAGATATCAGATATCAGATATCCCAACTGCAGTATACCCATCCATCCATCCATCCACCAACCTAGATCTCCACAGCACCACTAACCACTACCCATCCATATCCATATCCATATTAATACGTACCCTGTACCACCACCACCACCACCGCAACCGCAATATCCAACCCCCCCCCCACAATCTGATTCCACACCACTCTCGTCAACCACCACCACCCCTCAGGCGGGGTAAATGGTAACCTCTCTTTCTCCATCCCTATAACTATCATATTTCTGTTTTCTTTTTTCTCCCTTTTCCACGCGCAACCCAAAGATAAAAACCCAAAAAAATAAACCTACAAAGTCTCCGATCCTCAATTCAACAAACATGAGACTGATTATCAGCACCAGCACCAGAACCAGCACCAGCAGACGGATACAGATGCGGATACGGATATTGATATTGATATTGATGCGGGCGCAGATGCTAGTCGGTTACGGCTGGAGAAGTACGAGATTCCAGGGAAGACGAGGAGACGACGCAGAAGCGTGAGTTGAGTAATTAACCAACCATTCAATTGATTGATTGATTGATTGATTGATTGATTCCATCTGATTCTGGCATTTGATGGGCCAGTAGGATAGATCGGTAGATGGTACTGACATGAAGCAGGGACATAAACAGTCGACTACGTGGAACCTCGTCACCCTCGATCTCTCGCTGTTCGACGAACCAGGCGGAAAGGAGAAGTTAGCGGCGCAGTTGAAAGACGCGGCGCATGGAGTGGGTATGTCAAATCCCTCTCTCGCTCTGTACATCATAAGTGAAATGTGGAGGGTAAATTAGGTTAACCGGGAGGACAGGATTCTTCGGCCCAACACAGGACCAAATCAGCCGTCAATACGCCATCGGGCAGGCCTTCTACGCTCTTCCGTTCTCAGAACAACTGAAACACCGTGCCCCGCTGGAAGAAGGAAACTACAATGGCTACCGCTCCCTCGGGAGTGTAGAAATCACTCCCGGCCTATCCTAGAGTTGCCGGATGAGGATGCGTTGGTCAGGGGACATCGATATGAGGCGAACTGTGATAGTGCGCTGCGGTATATGATGTCGGGGGCGCGGTCGAAGGAGGAAAATGATCGGTGTAATAATCTGTACACGCGGGGTCATACAGCTTTTGGGAGCCTGACCTTTGTTTTCCAGCAGCCGGTGGCGGCGTTGCAGGTAAAGCGGTCGTGGGAGTGGCTGAGAATTCCGGAGGGTCATGTTGCGGTGAACATTGGGGATATTGTTGAGTTTCTGTCGAATGGGTATCTGAAGAGTGGTGTGCATCGGGTCATCTCGCCGCCGGAGGACCAGGCCTCGGTGGATCGGCTAGGGTTGTTGTATTTCGTGCGGCCGAGTGATGAGATGGACTTGGAGGTTTGTGGATAGCCCGCTGCTTAGGAGGCTGGGGGTTTATAAGGAGGAAAACAAGGAGGTGGGAATTCCAGCCACAGGATGGGTGCGTGCAAGGGTCAGGAGGAATTGGACAAGGTCGAATGATCCGAAGGAGGTTCTCGCCATGGGGAGCTTCCAGACGAGGGTAGTGCATGATTGATTTGGAGCTCTTTGGATGACCATTATATCAGATGGAAGGCATATTTGATAGAGTACCTTGTTTGAGCAGATAGTGTCTATGTAGAATCAATCATACTAACTTATGCGTATCCTGCTACTTATATCGCTGTATGAAGGGATGTTGCTGCAGCCTAGATGACAGTAAAAATCAAGTTCAAGGCCTTCCAAAAGATGACTTGACTGTAAGCAACATTCTATATGGAGTCAGTATGATGTTGCACTGTACACCATATGCTAACACACCTGCCTTCCATAGAGTGGTTGCAGCATGCCTTACTCACGGATGGATTAGTTTTCCCACGCGAACCGTCTAAACGCGACACCACGTGCTCAACGCCGAAGACCGACAGAGGATGGGAAGAAACTCCCTGAAAACTATCATCGCGTTGTAGCTTGGAAGACGGACGCAAAAGACCGTGTCTGCAATGATCCAGTACTCTTGGAAGACTGCTCGTGTGGCGGGATTCCAGTAGCGGGCGGACATTCTTCCAGCAGGCGGCCCCAAGGGCTGTGGCATTCTTGGCCTGAAAAGCCACGGGTGCACATTCTAGACATTCCAGGGAAACTCGGTAGCCAATGGAAAGTATTACTCGCGGGTCTGACAGAATGCCGATGCAGATAGTCTGGGTGCCTCGAGGAGGAGGGGAGAAGTTCACACCGTATCGGGCTCTTGTTCCCAATTATCCATGTATACCCTTCTTCGCCCGCCATCGCAAGGAATGACGGAAGGGTCCTGCAGTGTTGAGGCTTTAAGTGCTCGCTCATGCCAGCTGCGGGAAATAATATCCATGTATTGACATGCTACAGACCTGATCAGTCGAAATCATCAGCAAGAAGTCGACGGACCTCCTTCACAATGGGCCGTTTGGTGAACTACTTCCCCACGATAACAGCGTTTATCGCTTTCATACTCACCTTGCTCTGTCTCTTCGCAGGCACTCAGAAGGCCGTCATCCCGGGTGCTAATATCATGACGGTTAGTGGACCTCTTGGATGCTGACTCGACGGTAAGCTGAGTATCCCATAACCTAGGTCCTTACATCCAACAGTAGCGAAAATACGGGCATCTGCGACTTTTACTCGATCTACGTGATGTCGTACTGCGAGGGCGACCTCATCTCCGGAGATCGGCGGATAACCAACTGCTCCTCCAGCTCGATATTTTTCTCATTCGACCCTTCCACGGTACTGCTGGAGGAGAGCGGAAACACCACCTCTCTGTCGAACCTGGGATGGCCCGACGCCATCAGCGACGACTTCGATGCCTTCAGCATGACGACTCGGAGTATGGGGGTGTTCTATAGCATCGGGGCCGGGGTTGCCGGCCTGGCAATGCTGGCGAGAGGGTACCTGGAAGCACGTCGCGGGCCGCGGCAGACCGTGTTGGAGTTGTCAGCGCTGCTGGTAGGAACCCTTCCTCTAGTCATGAGCCGGGTATAGTTTAACTGACTGCGCGTCTTCCAGATTGGGTTCACCATGCTCGGGATCTCATCCATTATCGCGACGGTTATCGCGTTCCAATTTGTCAACCTGGTTAACTCGCATGGCGAGGACTCCGGGGTGAAAGCAGAGTACGGATCACAATTTCTGGGGATGACATGGGCGGCGGCGGGAATGTTCCTGATGGGAAGCGTCACCAGTTTAATGATGGTGTTGTTCGACCGCGGGCGGAGCGAGGAAGACGGCCCCGCCGACGATCCCCCGGAGGAAGAAGCGAAGTCGCTGGTACATTCCGAGGACGACTATGACTCGGGGAACCCCAGCGTGAAGGGCCACGATGATTGAGCGGATCGCAACGATGGAGTGTGGGTGTACTTTGTTTGAATAGCGGACAGAAACTAAAAGGAGCAAAGACCTGACCAGGTCATGAGGTTAGAAGAGCATAGAAATGGATAGAAATGCACAGAGCATCAGCACGGGGCTGTAGCAGATGAAGCTATCGGGGGCCCGCAGACGGCTCTAGAAGAGTACACGGTACGGAGTGGAGAGATAGAAGTGTATAGAAAGGTGGTCGAAGTGTCGGTAGAGATTGAGGTACCACTTACCTCCTGCATGACCAAGTACACTACTGCTGTGTAGCCGGGGTAATGCCCCACCAATTGGGCCTTTCCAGACTTCCCGTCCATGGGATTCTTCTCCGTCCGACCGGGCAGTATTGTGAGTTGCGACTCTGCGAGAGTGCAAATCCTGGGGTGGCTCAGACTTTACACAGAAAACATCACGTCATGAGTGGGGAGGGAAGGTGCGCGGGTCGAATGACAGGAGCGCCTGCCTCGTACGACTCCCGGCCAGTCCTGATATTGCCGGCCTGACATGCGGTGGGTGGGGTCGCGGTGTCGTCTGGTGGGGTGGGTCAGGCTGGTGCCGGTTGGGCTCGACCGTCTCCATGATGCCATGATGCCATGATGGCATTGATGGCATTGATGGGGGCTCATGGGGTTCCTGAGATGATGTAAACCCGTTCCAGCCATCCACCAGCCATGATGGCCAGGGCCAACTGAAACACCCTCCGATCCTAGTTCCGGGCCGGACGTGGGCAGTCCGATGAGTGGCTGCATTGCGTCCATCCTGGCTGGGAATCCCTGAGATGAAGATGTCCACCCGATAGGCAGATACTCACTCGGGCCATACCTAGTGATAGTTGCACTGGAGATGGAACGGTGGCACATGCACCCCCTGCCCTGCACAGCCCGTCATCCTGGCGCGGAATCCATCGGGGGGTTTGGCGAGAGTGACCGTGTCTGATTGGGATGGGGAGACCAGGGGGAAATAGTTTGTAGAGGAGAAGGTAAGGAGGCCCCCGTGATGGGGAGAATTCCTGGCCGTGAATGGGGGGTTCGAGCCTGTTTCTCCCGCACGGCCAATCCCAATCGGGCCTGCGTCATCGCCGCTCATTGGAACGGCCGGCAGTGGTCCTGTTTGGCCTCATTAAGTCATACTCTGGGGGATTCCTTTGCCCTCCTCTCGGCCGTGGATCGGTCAATGGCCTCGCATCGTGAGCGAATTTGAATTCAGTGCCTCTTGGCACCCCCCAATCATAGTACCTGATACCTATTACTACTGCTGTGTACGGTGTAGTAGTCGTGCCTGCCTCATTCCCCCCGGCGTCCTCTTATCCCGACCAGTCCTTTTATACCCCTCCCATTCCCCCTCTTCTCCATCTCTCCCCTTCTTCTTCCCTCACCATCAATCAATCTTCCTCCTTCACAATCAGCCTCGTCCAACCAGTCTCTCTACTTCCTCCGCTTCTCTTATCTACCAACCTTTCTCTTTCTCTACCTTATCCACCACTGTTCTCGTGACTACTGCACCATGGGTAAGAAGGCTATCCAATTCGGCGGTGGCAACATCGGCCGTGGCTTTGTGGCCGAATTTCTCCACGAGGCCGGCTACGAGGTTGTCTTCGTCGATGTCGTTGACAACGTCGTCGAGGCCCTGCAGAACACCAAGTCGTACGAGGTCACCGAGGTCAGCGAGGAGGGCGAGAAAACCAAGACCATCACCCACTTCCGTGCCATCAACTCCAAGACCAACATGGATGATGTCGTCCACGAGATCGCTACGGCCGACGTCGTGACCTGCGCCGTGGGCCCCAACATCCTCAGGTTCATCGCTCCGGCCATCGCCAAGGGCATTGATGCTCGCACCGAGTCCAAGCCCGTGGCGGTGATTGCCTGCGAGAATGCCATCGGGGCCACCGACACCCTGCATGGATTCATCAAGCAGAACACCAACCCAGACCGCATCAGCTCCATGTCGGAACGCGCCCAGTTCGCCAACTCGGCTATTGACCGCATCGTCCCCCAGCAGCCTGCCAACAATGGCCTGAATGTCCGCATCGAGAAGTTCTATGAGTGGGTTGTCGAGAAGACTCCCTTCGGCGACGTTGGCCACCCCGATATCCCTGCCATCCACTGGGTCGACAACCTGGAGCCTTACATCGAACGCAAACTGTTTACTGTCAACACCGGCCACGCCACTACGGCCTACTTCGGCCACGTCCGTGGCAAGCAGATGATTGCCGATGCCCTGGCCGACCAGGAGATCCGTGTTCTGGTGCACAAGGTCCTCGACGAGACCGCATCGCTCATTGTGGACAAGCACGGTATCTCCGAAGAGGAGCAGAAGGAGTACGTCCATAAGATCATCAGTCGCATCTCCAACCCGTACCTCGAGGACAACGTGGACCGTGTGGGGCGGGCTCCGCTGCGCAAGCTGTCCCGCAAGGAGCGGTTCATCGGCCCGGCCTCGCAGCTGGCAGAGCGCGGTCAGAAGTATGATGCCCTGATGGAGGCTGTGGAAATGGCCCTGCGGTTCCAGAACGTGCCCGGCGACAATGAGAGCGAGGACCTGGCCGAGATTCTCAAGGAACAGTCCGCGGAGGATGCCACCACCCACCTCACCGGCCTGGAGAAGGAGCACGTTCTGTACCCTGCCGTGCTGGAGCGGGTGCGCAAGGTGCAGCAGGGATCCAAATAAGAACACGCTGTGCAGTCTTTACATGATGTTCACGATTACGATTACGAAAACTGCGAGCGCCTCCAACGCATTTGTCTGATGCATGTTACTACTGGCACCGCCGCGGGACGGTACGGGCCCTGGGATACGGCGAATAATGGTCGGCGTGGATGGAGCATGGGAATGGATTAGCAGTCATATACGGTTAATGCTGTACTTAGATGCTGGCACTAAGGTCTCGAATACATGGCTTTAATAAATACACCTGCCTCTCGTAGCGAACCAATCACCAGATGCATCTCACATCGCATCACAACTTACTATCCACCCACCTGGGCTTCCTCTTCTCGACAAACGCCCTCAGTCCCTCCTTGACATTCTCGCCCTCCCCGACCTTCACGCCCCACTCCTCCACCAACACCCTCGACGCCTCCTCCGCCCCCAACTCCCACCCCAACTTGACCCCCTCCCGACTCACCACCACCGAATCGGGACTATTCGCCGCAATCATCCCCGCCACTTCCACCGCCCTCCTGACCACCGCACCCCCAGTCCCAGACCCAGTAGTAGTAGTAGTAGCAGTCGCATGGAACTGGGACTGGGACTGGGACTGACCCGGATAATCATCCCCAACAACCTCATTCACAAACCCCCACCTCTCCGCCTCCACCGCGTCGACCCTCCGCCCCGTCAACGCCATCTCCATCGCCCGCTGTCTCCCCACCGTGCGCACCAGTCGCGGCAACGCCCCCGCCCACGCTACCACCCCGCGCTGCACCTCGGGGAGCCCGAAGAACGCGGTCCGCGACGCGATCACCACGTCCGCGTTCAGGATCATCTCGCACCCCCCGCCTAGGCAGAGGCCGTTCACCGCGCAGATTATTGGCTTTTTGCCGGAGCGGCGGGAGAGTCCGCCGAAGCCGGTGGGGGGAGGGATGGGGTTGGGTTTGGGGGGTGGGGGATTGGGTGGTGTGCCATTCTGGGATTGTTAGGATTTGGGTTGGGATTTTGGATTGGATTGGATTGGATTGGGGAGGGCTGAGAGGGATGAGAGGGCTGAGAGGGCTGAGAGGGAGGTATAGATGGGAGGGTAGAAGGTAGGTAGGATAGAGAGTATCTAGGTAGGTATCAATCAGAACCTCAGGGTATGTATGCAACGCACCTTTCAAGTCCGCGCCAGCGCAGAACGCCCTCCCCTGACCGGTCAACACCCCCACGCGAATCGAGGGTTCCTTGTCCATCCACGTCCAAACGGCGTGTAATTCATGGTGGCCGGCGCTGTTGATGCTGTTCAGGGCGGCGGGGCGGCAGAGCGTGACCAGGAGGATCTGCGGGGTTGGGAAGGAGAGCGTGGCGAATTGGGTGGGAGGTGGGGAGGTGGTGGGCATTTTTTGCGGTAAATGGGATGGAATTGTTGGGTTATATGGAATTAAGTATATGGGTTGTGTTTGAGGAATGTTTTTTTGGAGAAGGAGAGGTGGTTGGTTATAGTTGTTAGTGGCCGCTGGGTGGATGGATTAGTCTAAGTTGCCGAGGCCCGGGGATCTCAATTGCGGTTGGATTGCGGAGAAGAGAGGCTACGGCTACGGCTACGGCTACGGCTGTCTTAGTGGTTGGTCGTGGTTGAAGTGGGTATCTTCTCCGACTACTCCGTACTCCTATCTACAAGTCTCTACTGTGCGCAGTGTATTGTGTACTGATCAGCAAGCTAGAATGAAAATAATAATAAAAAAAAAATAAATCATGTCCTTCTAAATTGTAGTGTAATCCACCCATGCAAGCTAGCAAGCATCTAGTCACTACCAACGCCATACTCCATACTAATACTACTGACAGAATTACCTGGTATCGGCTCATACAATCCAACGGCCGTGCCCTCGTAGGCTCCTTCCTACCCCTTGTTGATCCACCCGCTGTGCACCATGAAATCGTAGATTCGACTCGACTTGGTATTTTCGATCTGGAGGATCGTTAGTACATTGCTCATAGTAGATGTCCAAGGGAAAGAAAAGAGACCGACCTTGCTGATGCTTCGCGCATCCTTCTTCTTGAGACTGCCCCCCTGCTTCATCGCCTCCTTCAACATCGTCTCCTTCACCACCAGGTACGGCTTCGGCTGCATGTGCAGCACGTTGCACACCTCCACCTCTTCCTTCGTCAGCAGGTGCAGGTCTGGCGCCCCCTCGTTCTCTAGCTTCCACGGGGTCACCCCGTTGAGCGGCTGCACCACGAACTTCGTCTTCGCTGGCGTGGGCGTGGGGGCGTCGCCGTTGCTGGCGGCAAACATCCGATCGAAGTCGTTCAGCGGCGGCGGGTTGGGAAGCTCTGGCGCCTTGGGGGTGCCGGACGTCTTCTGCAGCCGAAGAGGCAGCTCGGGCGTTGTCAGCTGGCTGGCAGCGGACGGCTGTTCTGGTTGCGGCGCCTGCTTGGTGGGTCGTGTGCTGGCGAACCGGTCAAACGAGCCTTGCGGCGCCATGCGCTGGGAACGCTGTTGCTTCTCTTGCTCGTACTTCTCGCCGCCCTTAAGGTCCCCGATCCCCATCTGCCGCCACTCCTGTAGTTGTGTGATCGCCAGTCGGAGATTGTGTTCGTACTCCAGGCCCTTGTTGAACTCTTCGAAGTCGTCGTGGTTCATCATTCGCGCGAAAGGCTTCGCCTTGTTCAGGAGGTCGCGCTCCTCCTTCGTGCGCTTCTTCTCCAGCGCCGTGTTCTTCCGGTACTCGAGGAGGTTGTGCTCGAAGAGGACCTTCTTGCGCTCCGTGCGCGCCGTCAGCCGCGAGTTGTAGATATCCACCACCGTCATCTTCAGCTCCATCTCCGCATCCAGTTCGCCGTTCGCCGTCTCGCCCGCCCCGGGCTCGAACGTCATGTGCTGCACGGCTTCTTCCGCCTCGTTCAGGAACTCCGTCTCGAACTCCAACCGACCCGGCATGTACCCCTGCACCTCGTGACAGGCCGGTACACTGGCTGTGGGTTTCTGTTTCGGAGTTGTCGGCGGGGCTGCCTTGGCCGCTTCCTTACGCTCCTCGATGCGCCGCTTCTTCCGCGCCTGGAACTCCTCCTTGGAGATGGACTCCGAGAGCCGCTTGTCATCCGGGTCGGCACGTTCCGGCAGCGGGAAGTTCGGACTATCGACATACGCGCTGATGTAGTGGTCGCGGACCTCCTCCTTCGTGCGGTAGCCGCCGATGTGGTCGGCAATGTCGGCCCACGACCCCAGCCCGTAGATCTCGGCGCCCTCCAGCAGCAGGAGCTCCTCGTCGGCGCCCCAGTCTTCCTCGAAGATCGGCACCGAGTTCTGCTCGATCACCTGGTACGGGTGCGTGGAGGGGTCGTGGTTCTTGGACTTCTCGCCGGCCGCGAAGCAGGGGACGCAGAGGTCATATTCATGACAGGCGGGATGGGCGCAGGAAACGCGGACCTAGAGAGGGCCAGCTAGGTTAGATCGGGGATCCCCGGAGCAAAGAACACGAAGACACAGATCAGCAGACCGTACCGTCGAAGTCACATCCACCGAGCAGATATCGCAGTGATATTTGGTGCCCGCTTCAGTGCCGCGCGAGGCGGTCTTCTTCCGTATTACACCCATCGGTCGCGGGTCCCTTTCATCCTCCACTGTTCCCGGAGCCGTTTCGACCACACCGACACGCCCTCCAGTCAATTGAGAGGGCACCTTCGAGAAAGAGAGATGGGGGAGCTGCGCGGTAGGCGAGGATGGGGGGAGACCGGAGCAGGTCGGTAGTAGCGCAAAGGGATGTATGTCTCCGCAGCTGACGGGTGGGGGGGGAGGAGGGCGAAATGCCGAGGAAACGACAGATGGAGTAACCGTGGGGTTGCGAGAAGCTGGTGGGAAAACAACGTGGTCCAGAACCGACGATTAGGTAGCACAGACACGGTTTCTGGGGATGGCGGAGGGATTGTGATAGCTGGAGTCGCAGTCAACTTGGATCGATCGCGCATAGCCGGTGGACGGATTGGAGGTTCTGGGGGGGGCGGTGGCTGAGCGCCGGGGGCTAGTGGCTAGTGGTCCGCGACCGCCCGATCGGGGCTAGCGTGGCAGGGGGGACCTGCACCGCCACGGGCTCAGGAGATCGGGGCCTGAGGCGCGCAGGTGTCGAGGCCGCGGGATCGCGGTGTTCCTGAACCAATGGCGGGCGGGGGTTTGCCACTAATCTATTTTCAGGAGCGACGCTTTCCCTCCCCTCAGTCGGTCTCTCTCTCTCTCAGTCTCACACTCTCTCTCGGTCTCTCCCTCAAAGGCTCAAACACTAACGACGGGTAGACTTGCACTAGCCAGTCACTACGACCCTGTCTGTGCCTGTCGGTGTCTGTGTTCTCCTTCGCCCATCCGCATCGCTCCCCTTCCTTCCCTCCGTCCCTTCCCCTCTTCCCCCCCCCCCATTCGTCTTATCCCCGTCCCTCCCTAGTCCTCCTACCTACGCTTCCTACATCCCTTCCCCTCTCCCCCCAAAAAAAACCCGGCCGATCTTCGTCCGTGTTGTACGATTCGATTGTATTCCGGCCCTACTTCTGACGTCTTCATTCCGTCGTCTTGCACGCGTCCTGTACAGTTGGTGGTGGTGTTCCTGACTACCCCCTCTCTCCCTCTCTCTGTCGCTGACCGCTGTGGCTGTGGCGGTTCTGCATTTTATCACTGCACTTGACTGGTCTGGCTCGTTCGCCCTCCTCTGTCAGGCCTCCGTCCTCTTCTGGCCTCCTATTCCTCTCCTTTCTTCTGTTTAAAATCGTCGGGGACGGCACTGGTTGATCTTCCTTCTGCCACCACCTTCCTTCTCCCTCTTACACCCTGAAACCCGCCCGCTAGACAACCCGTCACAATGTCGTGGAAAATCACCAGAAGTACGTACTACCCCCCCCCCCCCCCAGCGTCCCGGCCCTGCAGTGCAGACCAGCGACTAACTGACTCCCTCATACAGAATTAAAGGAGACGCACCTGGCTCCTTTGACCCAACCCTTCACCCGCTCCTCCTCCACATCCACCATTAAAGGTGATTCTGGCGAAGAGACCCCTGTGGCTTCGCAAGCTCCCACTATCTCCACAGCCAACTCCAATGGAATCAGTATGTTCCTTGTCCATTTCTTCCTCCCCCCCCCCCCACACCGGCCGACCGTCTAACTCTCGAGAAGATGCCTCGGAGTCGCTCGTCTCCCCGCCCGTGGCCCCTGTCAAGCCCGGTATTTTGATCGTCACCCTCCACGAAGGCCAAGCTTTCTCTCTTTCCCCCCACTATCAACAGATCTTCAACTCGCATTTCCAAAACAACGGTTCCTATGGCATGCGTCCGAGCTCGTCATCATCCCACTCCGCGCACGGCCAGGCCGGCTCCTTCGTACAAAGCGCCCGCCCGCAGTCCACCAGCGGAGGTATCAACGCCGCCCCGACCATCCACGGTCGGTATTCCACCAAGTATCTTCCTTACGCCCTCCTGGATTTCGAAAAGAACCAAGTCTTCGTCGATGCCGTGTCGGGATCGCCCGAGAACCCCCTGTGGGCCGGAGACAACACCGCCTATAAGTTCGACGTGTCGCGCAAGACGGAACTGAACGTTCAGCTGTATCTTCGGAATCCTGCAGCTCGGCCCGGCGCCGGTCGGAGCGAAGATATTTTCCTCGGAGCTGTCAAGGTGCACCCTCGCTTCGAGGAGGCGCTGCCCCATGCCGAGGACCCCAAGAGCAAGAAGGACAAGCCGTCGCAAGAACGTCAGCTCGGCCAACTCGGCGCCGAATGGCTGGATCTCCAGTTTGGCACCGGTTCCATCAAGATCGGTGTCTCGTTCGTTGAAAACAAGCAACGGAGCATGAAGTTGGAGGACTTCGAGCTGCTGAAGGTTGTGGGTAAGGGTAGTTTCGGCAAGGTCATGCAGGTCATGAAGAAGGATACGGGTCGGATTTACGCCCTCAAGACTATCCGCAAGGCCCACATCATCTCCCGCTCGGAAGTCACCCACACCCTCGCCGAGCGATCTGTGCTCTCCCAGATCAACAACCCCTTCATCGTCCCCCTGAAGTTCTCCTTCCAGTCGCCGGAGAAGCTGTATCTCGTCCTTGCGTTCGTGAACGGCGGCGAGCTGTTCCACCACCTCCAGCGTGAACAGCGGTTCGACATCAACCGGGCCCGTTTCTACACCGCCGAGCTGCTCTGCGCACTGGAGTGCTTGCATGGCTTCAAGGTCATCTACCGTGACCTTAAGCCGGAGAACATCCTTCTGGATTACACTGGTCACATTGCTCTTTGCGACTTTGGCCTGTGCAAGCTGGACATGAAGGATGAGGATCGGACGAACAGTAAGTCATCCGTACATTATTTTCACCCTAACCCTGCTAACGTCTGCAACAGCCTTCTGTGGTACTCCCGAATATCTTGCTCCCGAACTTCTCCTTGGAAACGGATACACGAAGACCGTTGACTGGTGGACGCTGGGTGTTCTCCTTTACGAGATGCTGACGGGTCTTCCTCCGTTCTACGATGAAAACACCAACGATATGTACCGCAAGATCCTTCAGGAGCCCTTGACTTTCCCCAGCACCGATATCGTCCCCCCTGCCGCGCGGGATCTGCTCACCCGACTGCTTGATCGCGACCCACAGCGTCGGTTGGGCGCCAACGGCGCCGCGGAAATCAAGTCACACCACTTCTTCGCCAACATCGATTGGCGCAAGCTGCTCCAGAGGAAGTACGAACCAAGCTTCCGGCCGAACGTGGTATGTGATCTATCCATCATCGGAAGATGCAACGTGCTAACTTATGCAGCTGGGCGCGCGCGATATTACCAACTTTGACCGGGAATTTACCCAGGAAGCGCCGCAAGATTCCTACGTAGACGGTCCGGTCCTGTCTCAAACCATGCAGCAACAATTCGAAGGCTGGTCCTACAACCGCCCTGTTGCTGGTCTCGGAGATGCTGGTGGCAGTGTTAAGGACCCATCGTTCGGAAGCATCACTGAGTAAAAAAAAACATGTCACGTTATCGATTGACTTGGGAAAACAACGTGTGGCACCAAGACATCAGGGGAAGTTGTTTGAGACAATTTCTTTGCATCTCACTTTGACTCCTCGTTCATATCCTTCTGCATAGCTCGAGCACTTGCTTCATTGCTGGTTCTCCCTTCTCCCTACTGGCACAAGGGGTATACAGTATCTTTTTGTTGGAATCCATTCTCCGTGGCAGTGATCGCAGCTGAGCGCGTTGTGTCTTTCTACCTTGTTTTGCATTTGAAATACAATCGAGGCGGGTTCCTTTCGTGCATTTCTCATTTCCTGTCGTCTACCTTTTTTAACTGCCGTGTCACTACAAATCTCTCGGGCTTGCATCCATGATTTGCTTCGTCTCCGAAAGGCCAGGAAGGCACGGATAGCTGAGAAGGTCTCAGCTCGCTGCATCTTCCAATGCCTGGTGAGCCGGTCCGTCCGTCCTGTTTCTGATCTGCTGGTCCGATCCCTGCCTGCTCCAGCGAAATTCGGACTGCGTCTGGGGAAGTGGAATTCATTTGGGTCGATTTACATACCAAAGTACACATTTGAGCGGTCCCGATTTAGACCTTTTACTTAGCTGTTTCTCCATGTTGTCGGAATTCTCGTCTGGGTGCTTGTTGTTGTTTTTTCTTTTGCGCGCTGTGGCGGCTTCAAGCAGTTAGTTGATGGCAAGGGTGTTACTGACATGACTGGCTCATAGACAACAATGGTTTCTCTACAATTACAGTGTTCTTCAAAGTAGTTGTAGCTTGTTTGGGCTGTTAGCTGCGCAGGACCTTCAGAGTTATACCGCTCCCAGCCAGAGACAACAAGAGAGAAGTACTAGTGACATCAGTGCTTACAAGACCATCACTTCAAATCGTCAAAACAGGGTGATAGATACAGGTAAAATAAAAGCATGGCAACAAACATACAATGAGAATTGGGCGAGCGAAAAGAGGAGGAACATGAGATTGAATCATAACAAACAAGCAAGCAAGCGATGTAGAATCTAAAAAATAAGTTATGTAAGGGAAATATAGGTATTGGACGTGCCGCAAGCCAAGTAAGGTGGTAGGTAGGTAGGTGGGTGGGTAGAGGTAAGTAGGGATAAGTAAGTAGGTAAGTAGGTTGATAGCTGTGCCAACAATACATTCGAAAAAAAAAAAAAGAAATGAGTAAAAAAAGAAATGATTTTGCTCTTTCACACACACACACACACACACACACACACAGATCAGAATGAACAATGATGAAGAAAACACTCCCGCCGTACTATCATGTGCAGTCCGTCATCTCATCTCATCTCATGCCTCGGCTTCTTCCTCTTCCGCGTCTTCCTCTTCCTCAGCCTCCTCGGTTTCGGCCTCGGCCTCGGCTTCGGCTTCAGCTTCCACCTCAGGGGCCCCGTTTGTGGCGGACTCGACGACATCATCCTCGTCGGCGTTCACGTCGATCAGGGACTCTGATGACGGGGGTTCGGGAACAGCGACACCATCCTTCTCAAGACGGAGGTATTCCTCCCACTCGGGGAAGAGGTCATCGTCGGCGGCGGTGTCCGGGCAACCGGGAGGGATACCGACGAGACGGGCGATCTTGGTCTTTCCGGAGGACTCAAGGGAGAGCTTCCATTGAGCGACGAGCTCGGGGGCGCGGGAGGGCTTGTAGGTTTGGGCAAAGAGAACAGATTCCGCGAGACGGTTTGTGCGGACGAGGAGGTCGATGCAGCCGTCGATGTCGCCCATGGACCAGAAGGTGGAGAAGGCGACGTTGTGGAGACCGGACTCCGAGGCCTGGTCGGCCAGCTGGCGGAGGCCGTCTTTGTTGCCGCTGGCGGTCAGGAGAAGGAGGAGGGAGCCGACGTCCTTGGCGTTGGTAAAGCATTCCTGGGCCAGGGTCAGATTCCATCCTGCCAGGGCGGCGTCGCCGACGATCTTCCACTTGTGCTCGACATTGGCCTCGCGGGCAATCTCGAGCGCGATGTCGAGGTTGTTGAGCCCGAGAGCCAGCTCGAAGCGGTGCTCCTGGTCGGTCGCGACTTCGAGGGCCATTTCCTTGTATCCCTGGCCTTCGAGGAAGCGAGCCACCTTGTTCATCTGGTCCTGGGGGACGTCTGCGAGCAGCTCGGCGGCCATGTCCATATCGCCGCGCAGCACCACCGTCTGGTATTCGACCATGCTGAGGGAAAGGCCGAACGATACCACGTTGACGTCCTTGTCGGCCAGATAGACTCTGCCGTCGCGGGGCAGGTAGCCCAGAACGTACATTCCCTGGTCGAAGTGGGAGATGGTGTAGGTCTGGTCGCCCACCAGGTAGTTCAGGCGGTTTGTCGAGTTTGTGTAGATGAAGCAGTCTCCCACCCATTGGCCTGTCCGGACAGACTCGTTGACATCGGTAACAACTTCGAACGCGGACTCCACGCCATCCTCGTCGGCTTCGCCGGCGTTCAACCCGTTGATATAGTTCTCTCTGGAGTACCGGAGGACGTAGAAAGAATCCTCACAGGCAAGGGTGACGAGTTCACCGGATTCGGACCAGTAGACCTATGCAGTGTAAGTATGGGGAGAGGTATGATGTACACGGGGGTATACTTACGGCCTTGGGGTCAACCTCGATACGTCGGACCAGGTTCCCTGTCTCCCAGTCGAACATGCCGATACCTCCCTGTCCCTTGACACCGAGAAGTACACCATCGGTGAGACCCTCGGCTTGGAAGCCTACATCCAGACCGCCGCTAATCTCCTTGAAGTTCTTGAAGATCTTGACGCTGGTGGTGGACTCCCGAATGGCGTAGTCGTTGCTGTTGTCCTTCGCTCCCCAGGCGAAGTCCAGGGCCTGTCCGAAAGCCTTGTTTCTCCAGGCAAGAGCAGTGTAGATAATGTACTCGCCGTCACCACATACGGAAACGAACCGTCCGTTGGGGGAGTGAGACAGCGTCTGGGGGTACACTTCGCATGATCCCAGGTCCTTCGTGGGCAGCGTAATCGGGGCTCCGTCCTTGATGGTGGCGTCACCACCCTTAATGACAGTCGAAACAACTTCGTTGTGTCGGGCCCAAACGACCTTGCCTGACCCGTCCATAGAAACCGCCGGCTCTTCTCTGCCCATCTTCACGACGACCGCACCGTCATCGAAACCCATCGCAACTCCCTGTCTGCCACGCTGGTACGCAACACACCAGGCTCTCTCTAGACCATAGCTTAGAGACTGCTCCAGTCTGTATGTGTTCGCATGCCAGATCTTGATGGTTCCATCCTCAGATCCGGAGATGATGACCGGCAATTCCGGGTGGTAGCAGGCGAACGAAACGTTGCTGGTGTGTCCTTCCAGGGTTGCGATGAGCGCCTTTGTGGTGTAATCCCAGATCTTGACGGTCCTGTCATCGGAGGTTGTGAGGAGATACGGCTTATCCGCCTGCGGGTAATATTCGACATGGTTCACGCCCTTGGTCTCGTGGGCCTCCAGGGTGGAGTTGGCATGCGGCGAGCCAAGACTCCAGATCTTGACGGTCCGATCCAAACAGGCAGATGCGAAGGTGTTCGTGTCCTTGGGGTTGATCGCCAGTCCCATCACATAGTGGCTGTGGCCCTCGAACACCTGGACACACTTCCAGCCCCTCTCCCAGTCCCAGAGCTTAATCGTCATGTCATCGGACGCGGTAAGAACAAACGGCTGAGTCGGGTGCACTGCGATGGAACGAATGTAGTCCGGATGGGCTTCGAACGAGGCGATCTTCTCGGAGGTGTTGTAATTGTAGACGCGGAGTTGGAAGTCATCCGATCCGCAGACAATCCAGTTCTTGCGGGCAATGAACCGACCGGCTCGTACAGGGACCTCGGTGATTTCGAAGGTTTTGATAATTGACTAGAGTGATCGATCATTAGAAATGCATTTGCATGGCTCCTTCTCGGGGCAGCTCACCTGAGTCTCATAAGACCAGATGTATACATGACCTGTGTCTCAATTAGCGCATGCGCACAGGCATCAAGTTCCGCTCAATTCCTTAACGCACCACTGTATAATGTTGTAAGAATCTATAGACAGTCAGTATCGATTGACAAGAGGAATCAGGGGAAGTTGGACACTCACCCATGGCTCTGTGGGATGGAAATCAATGCCCTTCACCCGCTCGGAGCGGGCGAACAGCTGTCTCTGTTGGGTCACAATCACAGTCAGTCATTGTTCAAAGATTTATGTCCCCTGCTATTCCGCAGGCCCCCGTCACCCCGAAGCACTTTATCTTCGGAGCCCAGCTCGTACCTTGACGTCCAACTTCATGGTGTGTGGGGAAGGAGAGTCGCGACTATGTGCGGCGTCGGAGGACGGCCTGTGAGAAGGAGGGGGAACCAGGCCACGAGCCGCTCAAACAGCCCAGCCCGTGAAACAAAAAATCTCCCGAAGGAACAGAGGAGAAGAGCGCAAAAAGAAGAAGGGAGTCCTCGACCGGAATGGCCAGCAAGTCGACGCAGTTGTTGAGGGACTGGCAGCGATGTGTCCACAAGGAGACGGAATCCCGCCAGCTATCTGGAATCGGCTAGCCATAAGGGGCTCACCGCCTACGCTTCGGGGGGGTCCTGACATACGGGATTTACAGGAGCTCTACAGAGTACACCCCCCTGTTGTATATGTCTGGCCGCAGAAGAGGGGGGGAATTGTACAGTGTATCCCAGTCATTCCAGTCTGGAATTCCCTTCCCCCCCCCCACTGCAAATAGATATCACAACCGGAATTGCTCCAGAGAAACAAGAACAACCCATCATAGATAAGGGTGGTACGGAGATAGTAACCGGTTTGGTTTGGGTTCGCACACATGAACTAATAATTACAGGCGTTTTGGCATCCAGGCTCAAGTCTTCCATTCATGAGAGCAACCTTCTACTCCGCGCGCTCAAAGTAAGACCACTGACCGGGTCTGGCCTTCTCCTCAAGCTCGTCCCAACTAGATCAGAGTTAATATTTCTCGCGTTATCAATAAGGACGGCAATCAATCGACTTACGCTTGGGACTTGTACAGCTCGTCAACAACCTTCAGCTCGCCCTCGGCAACCTGGATCACCTCCTCAATGAGACCAGCGCCGATCTGCTTCTCGATCTCAGCCACCCTGGAATCAAATGTCAGTTTTCATAGCATAACCGTATAGGGGATAGGAGCACATACTGCTCGGCCTCCAGGGCGGGTTCATTCTCCCACTTCATTTGCTCGTTGTAGAAGTCCGACTCGACCTTGGGGTCAATCTTGACGGACTCTTCGAGAGCCGCGGTCCACCGAGCCTCTTCCGCCGCCGTACGGGCAGGGCCCTCAGAGGTCGCCTCAATGGACTCTCCATCCCATTCCGATCCACGGGGGTTGTCACTCCCATCCTTGCGCTGGAACGCCGCATATGAACCATCCTCGCGACGAAGAGAAGCGAAGCGCTCGGGCTCAGCAGCCACGACCTTCTTCACACGCTCCAACCAGGCATCGAATCCGGGGGGCTTCGTAGACTCGACGATCTGCAGACGGTGGCGGGTCAAGGTCTCGGTGGACTTGCGGTAGACGGAAGACTCGGGGAACGCCTTCAGCTTGTTCAGGGTGGCAGTGTAAAGGAAGATCAGGGTCGGACGAGGGCTCGGGTGAGTTGTGAGGCCGGCAAGACCGGTGGGAGCGAAGGGCTCCAGGTAGCGAGCCGGCTTGACGTTGGCCAGCAACCGGAAGGTGGACCGCATTGTGATGTGTGTGGGGGGCGGGGGGGGGGGAGATGGCGAGAGGAAAAGAAAGGAAAGCCCAATGGCAGAGGGTAAGCGGTGGTGAAGATATCTAGCAGACGCAGTGCGGCAGCCCGCTGGACCGGGATGGATGCGCGCGAAGGGTTGAGGTGCCGTCGGGCGGCGGAGAAACCCCGTGCCGGCGGCTCTCCTGCGCCTCGCTGATGCGCCTGACAGCGGAGGGTTACAGTAGGGGCGGCTTCGTTCGTTCATCATTCTTCTCCCTCTCTCCTGCATCCTCACTCCATTCTCCTGCTCTTTAGGGCCTGCGGATCTCACCCCCCCCCCCCTCCCCGCAGCATTCTTTGCGCCCATACTGTTTTCGCAGCATCTGACCTGCTGATCGTCCCTCGTCCCTCGTCCTACCAAGTGGCCCGTTCAGCCCTTCTCCTGGCGATTCTAGACCGTCGTTAGTCCAATGTGCCACCTGTGACGCCCTGTTCGGATCTCTTAACGACTCCCCTTCGTTGCGCCTTTGCGTCCAACCGTCTCTCTTTTTATCTGTTCTCTCAAGGTCCCAGGACCTTGCACTACAGCCAGCATGCGGGTGTCTTTGCTGGCGTGGTCTCTTCTTTCCTTTGTCTCGATTCCGGCCTTCGCCGCCCCCTCCGGTTCCGATGCTGTCTCCCCGATCAATCATCTTGTGAAGAGAGGCGATTCGCCCGACGGGCAGTCGACGACCTTCAATGGCATTGAGGTTCCGCCGATCAAGGCCCTGACGCCCGATACCTTCGACGAGACGATCAAGGAGGGTTACTGGTAAGCATCATCCGTTCCTTCTCATCCCCAGAAGCTAACAGGCCGTTAGGTTTGTTAAGGAGTATTCTCCATCATGTCCTCACTGCCAAAAGATCGCTCCCACATGGCAGACTCTCTACGAATATTACTACGTGTGTTATTCTTCCCGGATAATGGTCACTTCGGGCAGCCTTGCTGACGCTTCCTAGACCTCCGATCCTCTGTCTTCGTCGTCCTCTAAGTCGCCCGATACCCAGTCCCTCAACTCCTTCCATGGCTTCTACAACTTCCATTTCGCGGAATTGAACTGTCTTGCGCATGGTGATCTCTGTCGGAAACTCGATGTCAAGTATTTCCCCACGTTCGCCCTGTACCACAACGGCGAAATGGTTGAGCAATATACCGGCAAGAAGAGTATGGAGGGGCTCAGCGAGTTTGTCGAAGAGAAGCTGGAGCAGATCAAGCCTGGATCTCGGCCTGCGAAGGGTCTCAACCTTCCCCAGCCGGGCGACAAGGGCGTCGATACCAAGGCGGAGCCGGATACCCCTGTTGCCAAAGACAAGGATCGTGAGGCGGGTGCCAAGGCCGGGGAGAAGCACAACGAGCAGGCTGCGCAGTTGACCCCGGGAGATGCAACTGCTGAGAAAGATTCCTCATCCAAGACCAAGCCCAAGGCAAAGCCTGCCCCCGCCCCCGCAAACCCTCAGGGTCTCTCTGTCCCGCTCACGGCAGAAAGCTTCCAGAAGCTTGTGACGACCACCCAGGATCCTTGGTTCATCAAATTCTATGCCCCGTGGTGCCACCATTGCCAGGCGTTGGCTCCTAACTGGCGGGAAATGTCCAAGGAGATGCAGGGTGTTCTCAATGTCGGAGAAGTGAACTGCGAGGTGGAATCCCGGCTGTGCAAGGATGCCCGCGTCAGCGCTTTCCCAACGATGTATTTCTTCCGCGGGGGTGAGAGGGTTGAATATGAAGGCCTTCGCGGCCTTGGCGATCTGGTCACCTATGCCAAGAAGGCTGTTGACGTTGGAACCGGCGTTCAGGATGTGGATGCCACCACTTTCAAGGAGCTGGAGGAGAAGGAGGACGTCCTCTTCCTGTATTTCTACGACCACGCGACTACCTCGGAAGACTTTGAGGCCCTGGAGCGACTGACCCTCAGCTTAGTCGGCCATGCCAAACTTGTCAAGACGAACAGTGCGGCTCTTGCTGAAAGGTTCAAGATTTCGACCTGGCCTCGGCTCCTTGTGTCCCGGGACGGTCGCCCCAGTTACTACAACGCACTTGCTCCTAAGGATATGCGGGATTTCCGTCAGATCCTGAACTGGATGCGCACTGTGTGGCTGCCGATTGTTCCCGAGCTTACGGCCTCTAACGCACAGGAGATCATGGACGGCAAGTATGTTGTTCTGGGAATCCTCAGCCGGAAGCACTCGGACGAGTTCTTGCAGTCTAAGCGAGAGCTCAAGAACGCCGCCTTGGAGTGGATGGACAAGCAGACGCAGCTGTTCCAGTTGGAGCGCGCAGAGCTGCGTGATGCCAAGCAGCTACGGATCGAGGAGGCTGACGACCGCAATGACCAACGGGCTTTGCGGGCGGCGAAGAACATGCGTATCACGATCCGCGAAGATGACAAGAAGCAAGTCGGCTTTGCTTGGGTGGATGGTGATTTCTGGGATCGGTGGTTGAGAACTACCTACGGGATTGATGTTGAGAATGGGGAGCGCGTGATCATCAATGACCAGGATGTAAGTGTGCAAAGGAATTCTCAACTGCGCAGCACTCAAGCTAACTTTCATAGAACCGACGCTACTGGGACACATCGTCTAGCGGGGCATCGATCATGGCGTCCCGTACGTCGATCCTTGAGACCATTCCCCTGGTCATCGCCAACCCACCGAAGCTGAAGCCCAAGTCTACTGTTGGAACCTTCGAGTCCATCTTTTTCTTCACTCGGTCGTCCATTAGTGCCCACCCCATCATCTTCTTCATCATTCTGACCCTTTCGGTTGCTGGTGCCACGATTGTGGCCCGGGGCAGAGCCGTTAGACGCGGAGGTCGTGGCGGCATTCTCGGTGTGACCGGTAGCACTGGCGGGGGTTTCTTCAATCTTGATGGAAAGGAGGGTATCTTGAACGGTGGTTCCACGGGCAAGGTGGATTGATCGGGGCGTAGGGTATTGTACAGTTACTGTTTATCTTTTATTCGTCCACCCTAATTTCGTGTTTATTTTTCTTCATTTCACTGGTTCTCTATAAGGTTACTAGTGTCTGATTTTTTATTTTTTTTTTTTTTTGATATCGACGGCTGCTTCTATCATTCTATTTTTCCCTACTGTTTCTTTCCTCTTCTGAGTGGTGTTAAAACCCGGTCTGTGTTGTACACATCCACCTTTGGTTTCTGAATTCGTTGAAATTAGCCATCCGAACAAAAGATAAGCTGGATAATTTATTGGTCATTCCTCAGGAGTGTTGGCTCATTGTACCCAAGTAGTGTCAGTAAGCAGCAGTACTACTAGTAGTAGTCGTCGCATATGGCATGAGAAGTGGAAATGCACGGCCTCTGATTCGACCAGCAGATCTGTCACGTGGATGCCAATTGCCGGACGCTGATTGGGCCGCGGGTGCCGCAAGCACTCGACGTCGCGGAGTCTCCCGGTTTTCGTCGACAGCCTCAGACTCTCAATTGCTGCTGCCGTCATCCTTTACTGGAGCTATTCTCGTTGCCGGGTGTGCTTCCTCAGATCTTGCCAAAATGGTACGTATTCCGCCAGGCTTTTTTTATCGGGGCCCTACCATGTTGGCAGAGGGGTCGGTTCCCCAGACCTGGTTCTGGGTCCTATCCCTCGGCACCGTTATACGACAACAACGGGGTCAATTGGACACCAATATACTGTTGCTAACTTTGTCTTGCTTTGGATAGGTTTTCTCTCAGACTCTCCGCCGCGCTGCGGCCCAGAACGCCGCCGCCTACCGCTCTCCCTTCGCCCCCAAGTGAGACTCCCCGATCCCATACCCTCCACCATCTTTGGCCGATATACGGATAAGCAATGAGGTGCTCATGTCGGCATTGGATTGGGACAATTGGGTGGAGCGTTATTCGTCACCATGGGACACTGCAACCATGCGAACCTCCCGACTTGTTGAACCAAATATGTCTCCCAGAGAGGACCTATATCCAATCCGCGGATGCGCCATTTGAGACCGGACATAGAACCAACATGAAGGGTCGCTGCTAACTTGGCGGAACTAGGTACCACACTCCTCTCCACTGGCAGGGCCTGACCCCCAGCGAGGCTACCAAGTAGTGAGTATCCCGCCGTGCACCCCGGCTTCCTCTCGAACGGAGAGACACGCCTTGAAACCACATGGCCATCATACTTACTCGCTTGGGTGAATATAGCGCCCAGGTTGCCGGCACTTTCGGCGTCGCCGCTGGTACCTTCGCCCTCTTCTTCTTCGGTGAAGTCCCCCGTGTTCGCCGTGACATCCTCCAGAAGGTCCCCTTCCTCGATGAGTACTTTGACCGCACCATCGCCCCTGAGGACAACGTAAGTATCTCCCCTCGTTTGTTCCAGTTCCTCTCTGGAATCCGCGCTTGAATGCAATGCTAATGGCTATCTAGCCCTTCTAAATTGGTGCTGTATGGGACATGCTTTTCCCACCATCTACGAGGCTCGCGCATGCGTGGATATGTTCCCTGGTTGGCTGGGTGGTGAAGAAAAGAGTGGTGCTGTACGTGTAGAATAGCGATGAATTTCCGATAGCACATAGACACTGGCTGCTTGAATCTATCTTCTCTGGTAACATTAGGCGCTCTGCAGTCTGCACTCGAGCCCAAGTATGACAAACGGCTATCTGTGTTTCACCGCTGACTGTCGAGTGAGTGAGTGAGTGACTTTTGGCAGACGATCTTGAGTCTTGATCGGGCCGATTGCAGGCCCGGCTTAGCAGCCTCAGGTTGCAAGTCCCACCGCGATATCCTCCACCCTTTCCTTTCCTCCTTCCTTCTCTCCTTCTTTCTTTCTTCATTCTCTTGCGAGTGCATCATACCACGCGTATACGCAATCATGGTATACAGCGAGAGAATGACAGCTCACCTCAACATGCTCAAAAAAAGACAATCCTCTTCACTCCAACCCGAGGACGAACCCCGTTAACCTCCACATCGCGAGTCACTTGATACTGCACTGGACTAGCATCCCCACCCCTGTCCCGAGACGACCGTAGCGCGGGGCCAAACTACAAGCAAACAACTCGTATCTCGAAACGGGAGCATGTGCAGCACTGCAGTAGCTCTCTATTGTTTGGTGGCGCGTTCCAGGCCCATCATGCCTTGGCATGGAACTTGATTCCACGATCTATTACAATGCCGGTGGAGACTGGGCTTTCCACGTGGACAAAACGGTCCCACAGGTGCTTACAATTGAATGTGCTTTATGGTTTGGCTACGGGGACCTGCATATCTTGGGTCGGTTGACTAGATAACTGAGTTGGACTGTCTCATGGAGTCGAGTCTGGCCGACCATGGAATCAGAGTGGATGAGGAAATGAGGGCTGGTATCGGGATAGCCAGGACAAGTGCTTGGTGTGAAGGTATTTTTATATGGATGGTTCAAGGTCCTGGAGAAGATAATCGCGAAAGGGACTGGAATACAAAGGTAAGGCCTATGGAAAGTATGCATGGTGATGATGATGATCCGGATGAGTTTCTATGCATGTCGCATGCAAGTGCTGATTCAGGGGGTGAACCATGGACTGCAGATGGAAATTGTATACAGTCTGGAGACTGGAGGCTGGAGTAATGGCGGTACACCGATGTCGATGAACTTTCTCTCAATACGCTACTCTGACAAAGGAAGGTATAACCTGGCAAAGTCTGTCACTGTCAACCTTCTCGGAATGCCCTCCTATTTTGGACTCCTAACGGCTCTTATTTCCGGTCATCGCCAGCTGCAGGTCTTATCTCTCCAACCCGTTGACGACAGCGTTTTGATATCTACTCCAGGCTTATCATCCGCCACCCCAACGCTCACAGCCAACCAATTCCCCCGATAAGCCTGTCTCGATGAAATCCCCAGCTTCAAAGGCATCTCCTTAGCCCCGATATCGAAGCTTCCCCAAGCTGTACTGCCCTTCCGCCGCCTGGAGTTTCCCTGCTGAGTTTGGCCTGCACGCCAAGCTTCGAATCTCTGGCCAGCAAGGAGGTAGCCTGTGACTGCTCCCTATCTATCTCCCTCCCTATCCTGCCGAACCATACCCCTCATGCTGGTGGCCAGCTGCAGGCGGTGATCTTGTTTCCTGCCGTTCCGACCGGCCAGTGGGATTGTGACCAGTTGCCAAGCGTATCAGCGTCTGATCCCCCCGCTTCGCTCGTGCCCAGCTTCGAGGTCACCTTGCGGTGTTTATCGTCCTCCCCAAGCTGTTCATCCGTGCCACCGCTATCAGCTCTCCCATCGTGCAGGTGGTTATGTGCCCTGTGCAGATAAGATGACTGTCTTATATTCCGAGACCCTTATATGTATCGGGGCGCCACCCAGTCTTCTAATAGACGACTCCCTTCGTACCCAACCGCCACTGCAGGTCTCCCTATCACTAGGTCACTCTGTGCGACAATACTCGGTGGACGTGTGATCCCGAACCGGCGAGCACCACATCCTAGGGTTGCTTGCTTTTTTTTCTTCCCTTCACCCCGCCTGGTAGCCCGTCACCCTTTACTCTCGGATCGGGTGTGCGATATATACCTTGCCTGCTGCCATATAGACCCTGCCGCCATCATGGCTAGTCCGGGTAGCTACAAAACTCCTCTAAAGGGGTCCGTATACACGGATATCAGCCATGACCCCGTTACAACGATCCTTCCGCAAGGCGATATTCCTTATACCGACCATGAGATGGACGCGGATGAGAGGGTGATTGTGGCCCTGGGATACAAGCAAGAGTTCAAGCGCGAGTTCTCACTATGGACGACATTCTGTGTCAGCTTTTCGGTCCTGGGGCTACTTCCGTCGTTTGCCAGCACGATGTACTACGGTAGCTGTTCCCGGATCCCTCGAGGCGAACGAGCAGGGCTGACTTCCACCAAGGAATGGGCTATGCCGGGACTGCAGGCATGGTCTGGGGATGGCTCATTGCGATGTTTTTCATCCAGTGTATTGCGATGTCCATGGCGGAGCTATGCTCTGCGATGCCGACGAGGTGGGTCCCATCTATATCTCTTTCTGCATTCCAGAATCTGACTTGATCAGCGGTGGACTTTACTATGCCGCGGCAGTGCTTGCGCCCCCAAAGTATGGACCCTTTGCTGCGTGGATCACAGGGTGGTCCAACTGGATCGGACAGATCACAGCCGCACCGTCCGTGGACTATTCGCTTTCTGCGATGATTCTCGCCGCGGCGTCGATGCAGAACCCGGACTACGTGCCCACTAATTGGCAGGTATATCTCCTGACGACGCTCATCATGATCATCCACACGGCTATCAGCTGCATGTCGACCAGGTGGGTCGCGCGGGTCAACTCCTGGGGCTCCACGTTCAACATGGTCGCCCTCATCATTACCCTAATCGCCATCCCCGCCGGAACCACGAACGAGCCCAAGTTCTCCTCGTCCAAAGAGGTCTGGGGCACCATCACCAACTTTACCGACTTCCCTGACGGAGTTGCCATTCTCATGACCTTTGTCGGTGTCATCTGGACCATGTCCGGCTACGACTCGCCTTTCCACCTGAGCGAGGAATGCTCCAATGCCAACATCGCTTCGCCGCGCGCCATTGTCATGACCTCCGGTGTCGGTGGCCTAATGGGCTGGTTCCTGCAGCTGGTCGTCGCCTACACTGTGACTGACATCAACGCGGTTATGAACTCGGATCTGGGCCAGCCCTGGGCGTCGTACCTGCTACAGGTCATGGAACAAAAGACCGCCCTCGCGCTCCTAGCGCTGACCATCATCAGTGGCTTTTCCATGGGACAGGGATGCATGGTGGCTGCGTCACGAGTAACTTACGCCTACGCGCGCGATGACTGTTTCCCGTTGTCCAAATACTGGAAGATGGTCAACCCGTACACGCAAACCCCCGTTAACGCGGTGATCCTGAACGGCGTCATGGGTATTCTCATGTGTCTGCTCATCCTTGCAGGCGACACCGCCATCGGAGCCTTGTTCTCGATCGGCGGCATTGCCCAGTTCGTCGCCTTCTCGATCCCCATCGCGACCCGGGTATTCTTCGTTGGCCACCGCTTCCGCAAGGGTCCATGGCACCTGGGGCCCCTGGGGCCATACATCGGCGGGATGGGCGTGGCGTTCGTGCTCCTGATGGTGCCCGTACTGTGTCTGCCCAGCGTGACGGGGTCCGACCTGACGCCGGATCTGATGAACTGGACGTGCCTGGTCTGGGGCGCGCCGATGGTGATGGTGAGCATCTGGTGGGTGGTGGATGCGCACAAGTGGTTCAAGGGACCCAAGGTCAATGTGGACCACGCCATTCACGCCGTAGAGACGGCGTCCATCATTGACGGTGTGGGGGCGGATGAAGATGTCCCTCAACTGGGGGATACATCGAGTAAGGCGTCAACCAGGTAGTTGTCTGGCTTACAAACCTTCATTTTGTTTTTGGGTCTTAGACCTGGGGTCTATATATAGTCGACATACACAGAATACCATATAATACCCACCCCTACCGTTCATATGGTACTTGCAGTTGCAGTAAGGTTTGCTTAGCCCTTACGCGACCCCTCCTGCACCAGGACTGAGTTCAATACCCCGATAACCATAATAATAACCTTAAAGTTGAAGTATACGGAGTAGTGTACCTACGAGAATCACCTGGTTGGCCCAGCTTCGATATTATTATCACCGGCAGTATGGAGTATACCCCAGTTCCCCCAACCTAAATCCCTTAAGTGCAGTAAATACTCCGTACCTGAGATATACTTACATAGGTACTGTAGACAGGGATGGATGTATCAACGATTAGATCGGTTATTAATAGTGATCTAGTTCCACACATACATAGGTCGGTGTCTACCACCCTAATCAACCTCAAACCTAACCTCTCACCTCTAATCTCTACCAACTTACCAGGAGACAAGCAGGAACGACGCCTGCAAGAACCTATGTATGTATTTAGGTGTGCTAACTATAGGTATTCACCTATCTATTATTAAGTGGTACTTAGATAGATACCTCCCAACAAAACAAAACCACCCCCCCCTCATACAATCCTTCCCACCCCAAACCCCCAAGATCGACCTATCACATCACTTGCATCCCACCCGCATATAGTTACATAGTAAATAGGTACTTAGGTATGTGCATACATAGGTACCAGTCTAGCGGTGGTATATGTATTGGATGGATGGATGGATGGATGGATGAATGTGTGCGGTAGTACAATCTAACTAGATATCTATCTAGGTAGGTAGGCACTTACCTACTAAGTACCTATCTAGTGCAAGTCAGGCTTCCGTTGTACTGATATAGGTACCTAGGTACCAGGTACCAGGTACTTAGCTACCAATTAAGCAGCATTATCAGTGCAATCCTACAACACCTACCCCAAATTAACACACCCATTTCATACCTACCTACCTACCTCCAGACAGGCAAGGGGGGTCTAGACCCGTCGCGGGGAAGCAGTATTAGAGCCCGGATGCTGCTGCTGCTGCAGCAGAAGAGAGTACGGAGTACTGCAGAGAGAATCCTGCAGAGAGAGTCCCTACTGTGTACTGCAGGCAGTGTGGATGTAGGCTGTGGGTTGTGGGCTGTGGGCTGTGGGATGTGGATATCGACGGGACCGGACGAGGACTTCCGGGGATGGGGATTGGATTGGTGGTTTGGGTTACTGTGATATGTACATATTTGTACATATTTTGGGTCTGTGGTTGGTTGTACAGAGTACAGACTACAGTAACTACGGATGCATCGGTGCGGATGTACGTCCGTGGGTAGTAAGTAGTACTTGGTACTTATGTATGTATGTAGTAGGTATGTATGTGTGTGTGTATGTATGTATGTATGTATGTATGTATGTAGGCGGGTGGATGGGTGGATGGGTGGGTGGGTGCAGATCAATGGGGATGGGTGTGCGACTTTACTTTTACCTACTTTCTGCTTTTGGGGGGGGGGATAGATAAATAGGGTAGAGGGTTTGAGGTGGTACGGAGTACAATATGGAAGTAAGTCAATATGCTGTGCTATGTGTAGGTATAAATATAGTATCTAAAGTACTTGCTGAAGGCATGGGGGGGTCATGTGGTTGGATTGGATGATTATTGTTGTTGTATATATCATATGCATGGTGGTGATGAGGATGGAATTGTTGGCCGGTGATAGGTGGGGATTTGGTTGGATAGGTCTCATACAGTCAATCATACCAGGTATATAGTACTTACCTAGGTACGGAGTACTCCATACTGTAGGTATCTTGATTGATTGAAAGTGGCGATCGTCTGATACTGTGTAGGTAGGTTGTAGTAGTATCCAGTTGTGTTTCTTAGGGCTAGATTATCTTAGCTAAGTATCTTAGATTCGGTAGTAGTGATGTATATATAGCCTTTGTTTTGAGGGCAGTGGATATATATTTAGCTGACAAGGGTTGGTTGTTTACATATATACTTAGTAAGTAGGGAGTATAACTATATGTGATCAACATTGTCTGATCAACTCGGCGATACTCCGCACAGTAAACAGCTTAACTATCTAGAACATAGTAAACGGAGGACCGGCGACATCCTACTGCTACTACCCTCTGAATATAGTCAAACCCACCTTAGCCCTTAACCAGCCTCATCCCGTCCACCCCAGACACCAGCAGGCATCATCCCTACCCGATCCACCAAGCCCCGACATCGACCCGCCCCGATCGAACGAATGGCTTCTCCGTTCGACGGACGGGGGCTGCTCGCGCCTTACCCAATAACCTAATAATTGATCCGGTCGGTCGGTCGGTCGGTCGGTTGGCATCGGAATGTTTGGTCTGGAGTGGTGGAGGACAGCCCAGCCCAGCCCAGCTCTGGACGGTGTGGTGTAGTGGAACACACCGCAGGAGTCTGGAGAGGATTTACTGACCGGCTTACTTTATAGAGACAAGTTATAATTAAATCCTGCAGGTACGCATGGTCGCATCGTATCTATCTATTTAGTAGTAGTAGTAGTAGTAGTAGTAGTAGTAGTAGTAGTAGTAGTAGTAGTAGTAGTAGTAGTAGTAGTAGTAGTAGTAGTAGTAGTAGTAGTAGTAGTAGTAGTAGTAGTAGTAGTAGTAGTAGTAGTAGTAGTAGTAGTAGAAGAAGCATTGGACTCGTCTGTTAGTGGGTTGGTTACATACTATTCTGGACGCAATATTGTGTGCTATTTCTACTTAGTCACTTACTTACTTACACAGCACAATGATTGTACCACCTACTTACAAACATACATACATTATTATCGTTATTGCCATTGTTATCATTATTGTCATTATTCTCGTCATTATTTTGGCAGCAGTACCACCCACTGTGCATAATTATACGCCTTATTCAATTATGCTTTGAAATGGTGGTACTACAGGGGTAAGGAGGGGCCTTTTACTAGTTATTATTTATCTCGGTTCTAGATACTATTCTCCTCAACCACGGATGAGAAGACGATGGTATCCCATTATCCTATTATTCCCCTCCATCCATATCCGTCTCTCACCGACATTATTATTATTATTATTATTATTATTATTATTATTATTATTATTATTATTATTACCATTATTATTTCCATCAGTGATATCCAACGCTTTCTTCACACTTCCGAAGACATCGGCAAATTCGTCGCTTTGTGATGGGCGGATCTGCCGATAGTACGGTAAGTATGGTGATTGTTGGGCGACGTCACTATGAGTGTGAGTGATCGGGTCCAGGTTTACAGGTTTACAATTATTATTGAGAGAGAGGGAGGGAGGGGTTTGGATTTGGATAAGATTGGGCAAGAATCGTCGTTTCGAGGCGAGGTTGGTTGGTTCGGTTAGACACCGTACCTATCTAAACCAATCCATACACCATTCGCTATCTACCTTGCTACACTCTTGCACAGAGAAGGCAAGTAGACGAGAAGGATGGGAGGAAGATGATGATGATACCCGGGTTCGGACTGGGTGGACTCGCGCGGGAACCTTATATTTCGCAATAGGGTTTGATTGTTCAGGTACCCCGTGCAGCACGAGTGGTTGACTTACTACTTACTTACGTACGTATTTGGCTTGGCTGGGATTATTGACAGGGGCAGTCAGTCCTACAACCATGTATCTATCTATCGTAGAGAGTAAGTACTCCGTACCTCAGATACACAGAAAGGAATGAAGGTTAGGTTAGGTTAGGTAACTACAGCCAGTCAGTCGGTCAGTCGGCCAGGTTCCGTTCCTCCCGTCCGCGATGGGACTGATCCATCCCAATACCAGAGATGAGGTACTGCTTCCGTACGGTAACCATGTATCTGTCTGTCTGCTGTCCGCCTTGTCGAGTCCACCGCGGATGCGGATGTCAGACTCCTCCTCCCTCTCCCACTGCAGCTTACAGCGGAGACCACCCACCCATCCACCCACCCACCCACCCACCACTGCACCAACACCTACCTACCGTACCTACTACCTACCCAGTTGTATAAACCAGTCCTATAACTTCTCCTACTATCATAACTTCAAATGATAACACAATCGATATTATGACATGACACGCGATCATACCGCTCCGCTCCGATCAGAAAAGTCGAGTCCAATTCCCTTTTCCCTTCCTTTCCCGTTAGAAAATGCCTCTCCCACCGCCGTGGAGAATGCCTATTCAGGAAGGGTGCAGTTCTCAGGACTACTATATCCGCCAGGTACAAACAACCCAGCACAGCACAGCACAGCACAGCCCAGCCAGCCAGCCAGCCATCCAGCAAGTCAAAGTCGGACTCAGACTCAGACTTAGGACAGCGCGGTCCGCGTGGCTGTCCGGCGGTCGGTGGCAAATAAAAAAAATAATAAATAAAAAATAAATAAAAAAAATAAGAACTAAAATAAAACAGTATCTTAGTTGGATGGTTTACACTTTAGATACAGAGTACCTAGGTACTATAGGTACAGTTTACACAGAAACAGTTCCACGATCACACAGGAGTCCGGACAGGACTCAGGACTCAGGACTCAGGACTAAGGACTCAGGACTCAGGACAGGCACGGCACTGTGGTTCGTAAAAGTAAGTAGTAAGTACTACCCCGTACCAACTAGTATTCCCTCCTCCTCCTCCTCCCCTCCTCCCCTCCTGCCCCCCTCCCCCAGCCAACCGCCCGCCCGCCCTGAACCTTTGGATCTTCGCTTTTTTTTCCCCCTGCAGTTGTCGCGGGTTGACGGACGAGTTCATTATCTGATCACGCCTCAGGCAGCCACGTCTATCTGATTCTGCCGCATCTATCTATCTATCTACGGCCGTGGGCATTGATTGCCATGCCATGCCCGCCATGCCCGCCATGCCATCCATGGCCATCCTCGGATCCCAAGCCCATGGCATGGTTCAATGGCTACCGTCGGATCGACGACTGACTCCCTGGTCCCGACGCGACGCATGGGCAGTAAGTAGATCGATAGATAGATAGATAGATAGACAAATTGTAGACTAGTAGTCAAGTAGTCAAATTAATATAATCATTCGATCGAGGGGTTAACTATGTGTCTGTCCGACTGCTATAGTGCCAGTAGTGCTATAGTGTTGGTGGTGGCTGATCAATCCATCCAGCAGCCAGCGCGATGCGCGATGCACCAACAATGTCCGCCAGATCGTACCGGTAACTAGATGGATAGATAGATAGATGCCTACCTACCTAGACTCTGAAGTGCTAATTAACTAACTACTAACCCCGTTAGCAGATACCCTCAGCCCATCTGCAATAAGATCCCGAATTAACCCCCAGGGTTTGATTGTTGAACTCGGGGTATGCTCCAGTCTCCAGTCTCCAGTCTCCAGCCGCCTGCCAACTTGGGCAGTTCAACGGAACAGACCAATAATACCTGGACTCCGTACCTGTACACTGTACACAGTAGGTACGGTACTTACCTACCCAGTCTAGGGCTGCAGCGGACAGCAGCAACACCTCACCTCACCTCAACCTCAACCAGCAGAACGCAGAGGTCCAGAACCAACCGACCGACCGGCCTGGCTAAACCAAACTCCCGACCAGACATGTAACTGGATTACTGTGTAGGGAGTAACTAACTAGTAGATAGGTAGTATCCAGAGCATTTCACTACTGAAAAAGAAAACAATAATCAGGCGCGGGTTCAGGCTCAGGCCACACACACACACACACTTACACACACACACCGAACAACAAATGTGCAAGACGGGTCTTGGCAAAGGCAGAATGAGGTGTGTGGCGCTCTCGCCTTGCCCGGTCCTCGCGGTCTGATTGGCTCGCACGCGAAAGGTCTGAAACTGAGCCGATCCAGATTTGGTGCGCTCGGGATTACTCCGGCCATGCCCGGAAAAACAACCCTGGCTGAGTAAAAGTGCCGAGGGAACTTTCCGGCCGACTTCTGACCGTCCCGGATTCGGCGGGCGATCTGCATGCGGTCGCTTGGGACTCTGGGACTGGGAGGTTGAGTGCTGCTGCGCTGGAGAGACTGAGGCGCCCCCTCCCCGGATGAGTTCTTTTCTGCCTGCCTCGACTCCGGACACTAGATCCGGGAAGGTTTAGCACCACCATATCATGAGTATTATCATCATCCATCATCATCATCATGGTCGTTGTTGGTTTTCGGTACCCTGGGATTGGACTTGGATGAGCCACGCCGTGCTGCGGTGCCTGTCTATCCTCTGCCACGTCGTAGATATTACATAGATCCTCGGGGTTGAAGAACGTTAATGGGCGACAGACACTCTTACTGCACGGGAAAGTCCGTACTGAGTAGGTTCTATATATGGAATTCAATCCAATTCGATTCGACGTATGCAGTATTACCGGTCGGGACGGGTTGCGGTTTCCTCGGACTATCGCATGGTTAAGTTAGCTGCCCTGAGGGGTCGAGTCGAATAATATCCATGACCAATTCCAACATGAATAGTGTGAGTTTCGTCCGATGATGCTCGACGCGAGCAAGCAAATGTCTCACAAGCGAGAGCCAAGCTTTGGGATGATAACAACCAGGGGACGATCCGTCGGACAATTTCTTGCCCACCATGCCGTTAAGCAGCAGGTTTAACCTCTGCGCGCCTATCTAGTGCGCCTTCTCTCGTCCGAGTCCGACAGCCACTGCCCGGCTGGGTCCTGATCTGCCACACCGCCTGGCTTGGGTGCTCCCGTGGAAGTTTCCATGAGCGGGCCACGGCTTCGCTGGTGGAGTCTGGTAGCCGTGATCGGACCGCCACATTGGGCGAGGTGCAGGGCACCGGGAGGCTACCACTGGATGCATCATGCTGGTCTTACCACGCCCGGAAAAGCGTGTCACTGGGATGCTAACCAGAGAACTGCGGGCGTCTCTTCCTTGGAACCTCGGCGCAAGTGGCAAGTCGGGCGAAGATGTTGCAGAACCGCCTGATCCTCAGTTAGTGTGTGTTAGTATGTATCCGATTACTCAACAATAATATGGCGAGGCTAATATATCGCCAGAACGAAATCGAGGGTATGCTTGCGAGGCTCAGGCAGCACAAGACCGCCGTAACCCGTAAAGCCGGATTCTCAGGTAAGCGGCCAGGCAACCAGCGCCGATACGCAGCACGGATGTGTACATACCTAGTACGTACTACTACTGTACGGACGTACGGTACGGACGGTGTATGACGGCATCATCGGATGCAAGTCCTTCCCTTCACAGTTCACGCACCCGAAGCGCTCCGCGGCCACGAGAGCGAGAACCCGGAAGGAGTTAATGAAAAGGAAGAAAAAGCCAAAATAGGCTTCCGCGTTCACAGCAGACGGAACGCTTCATCCGCGCAATTCCGCCATGCGTCGTCGACTTCTTTGGGGGTCTGCTACTCCGGACTCCGTCCGTACGGGCAGGGTTTGTCTTGCTGGTGTGTAGGTAGAGCAAGCAGTTCATCTGCATGGGCGAGAGGGCCGTCCTCTGCCGTATGGTCAGATCAGATAGTCGGATTTAAATACGGAGAATCAACTGCAGCGATTCCACCTCTCCCGCCGCCTAAGGCAGAGGGCGAGGTCCACAATCGAAGCGGGAGAAGCTCCCAGCGAAAATCTCCTGGTGGAGAACAGCCCGCCGACTCGAAGCCTAAACCAGCACCAGGACCCATCCCGATGAAGAACTGTGGTCGCGGGTGGTACGGGGTACAGTACGGACACGGCGGTAAATATGGACACTAAACAGATGTCTTCTCATCCAAGTCGCATTCCGTGACAAGGATGCCTCAGCAAAAGCAATCTTGGGAATGAGTCAATTATGATCTATCATACTTCCAATCGGATGTGGCAACGACACGCACCCCCGAACCACGGGTTCCGTTTGGGGATGAGGTGGTATCGTTGAGCGCTTAGGAATCATCATTGGTGACCGGCCGGGGTGGCATGGATGAAACAAGTGCGTGGCCTCATCGACTGGCCAATTGGCCCGTTTCTGCCACCCCCCATCCCGGGAGGCAAAAGTACCACGCTGCAGTCTAGAATCTCCATGCAGATGATGTATTCCTGAGGCGTCCGATCAGTGGTCGAAGCTCGGGCATGGTGGTGTCTTTGCGCTGCGCACCATCGTCATCTAGAGGGGATTTGCACCTCCAGGCGACTTGGAGGGCAGCCCTCGCAGCCCTCAGTGATCTGAGCTCCTGACCTGTATGATTAGCATCGCCGGGAGCTGAGGGGAACACACACATCCCCTGATCTTATTAAATGCCATTCCACTGCAGCTTACGCAACTCGAAATTAATAAAATGGTACGAGCCAAGCGCATCAACCGGGTAATATCAGTGGTTTTCAGCAGAGCACACGGTAAGACATCGGACATCGGTGTTGACCCTCATGATGTAGCTGAGTGTTTCGTGACACCACAGACAATTTACCTGCAGTCTATCCACTAGACGACCCGAAGGGAGGGGTGGAGGTGACGAGTGTGTGGTGTAGATGAGTGAGGCGCTGAGGCTGCATGAATATCGGCTGTTGCCGCCCGTAAGGCAGGACAAGCATGAAAGCATGGATAGATACTGGATAGATGGATATGGGCGAGGGCGAGGGCGAGGGTGAGCGAAAGCAAGGAACATCGATGCGGACAGGCCGCCCGAGATAAATAAATATGACAGCTGATGGAGAATCCGAAGGCACGCTTGAGTCTCCATGCCCCCTCATATGGATCCCCATCGGAGGATGGAGCACGGCGTATGGAGTATATACTTCTAGATCGAGATTCGAGATTGACAGCCGTGGAGTCGAGTGGGCAGCTCTACCATTGTTCTTAATCCTGAAGCTCAGGTTCAAGCCAGGATGCCACTCCACTTTGAACAAAGATGATAACCCTGATAAGGTTTCCTGCCCCTACCTAACTCATGTGGGATTGTGGATGTGCCATGAGGACTGAGCGCCCGAGGAGCCAATATTGAGCAAGCGGGCCTGTCAACTGCGGAGAAGGGTTGCAGATGTCCATCCGCCTCATGACATCAAGACTGATTGCGCGCGAGAATTTCTGCCATTCTGCTGCATCCAGCGCCGTCGGGGTGTCTCAGTTGCATGCGCTGACGACGAGAAAGAAGGGCATCAGAATGCGACCGGAGTTGTGCTCGGCCTGAAAACAGCAGGCTGGCCTGGCATAGTTAGGACCTGCCTAGTCGGGCAAGTACGTATCGAGAGGTAAGCCTCCCGTCGAGCGTACAGTAATTCTCAAAACTGCACCTACCCTACTTGGGCCGCCCCTCCTACTAGATACTAGATAGATAATATCACCCCTCATCCTGAGGACTTTGATTTGAATCCTTCGTCGTGGACCTCTCCGCCCGTGGATCCGACAAGCGCGACATAGATAGTAGTAGTAGTAGTAGTAGTAGTAGTGTAACCATGACATGCACTGTCCTTCGTACTACTTGCTGGTCATCCCGATGACTTCGAAATAGGAATATCTACGGACTACTCCTACTACCTATCCGTAGGTACCTGAGTAGTCGTCGACGTACTACTTGGGACCAGTGTCTGGCACCTGATGATTGGCAGGACGTATGGCCGGTAACGACATGTTACTGCCAAGTCTTTTTTACGTGGCTGTCTGCGGCAAGGATACCATCGAGGTACCTCGGGGAATGGCTTTCGGTACACGCCCGATGGCCTTCCAACCACCCCAACCTGATCAAGAAATAATCAGGCCAAATAAGCCACGAAAATCAAACCTAAAGAATGACGGACACTGGCCAACCAGCATCGCAGCTCGGCACGACGCCTTTAACACTTTCCCCCTGCTACCGCCGCTGGTGCCAACCAACCCTCGATGCTTTGCTACTACTCCGTACGGGCTTCCCTGTCCTTCCGGGCGACACTCGGAAACAGGGCTCTGGGGCTGTTGAGCCGAAATTACCGACTGCTGGGCAGGAGAAATTTACGAGGCCATGCCATTGCCATGCCCCTTGGAATCACCGAAGCGCCTCCTAGAAAGTCAACCAGAGGCGCGAGATCTCCGTTCACGCTTTCGACGTCGCTGGACCCAAGGCAGAGCGACGAGAGCGCCCCGAAGGAGGATAGTCCCGTAAATTGCAGACCTGGTTCGGCTCTGGACTGGGTTTCGGAAACCGGGTGAGGCACGAATCAGGTCAACGGCACCGGCAACCGTCCCAAAGGTTGGGTGCTGGCTGCGTAGTAATCCGACTAAATCCATCATAAAAATAACTAATTTCGATTTTTTACAAACCCCCTTCGCCCTCGTTTTTTTCTTACGCCCGTCGCCTCTCAGAGTTACGATCGTCACCGCCAATCCCCAGTTAACCTTCAATTAGTAGCGATTCCTTTCCCTCAATCCACCTGTTTTCTCCTTTCCCTTGAGGGTACCTACCGGTAGTGTCGTTTTTCTGCCCTTCCGATAGTGACGATATTAGTCTTTTCTTTTCTTTTCCTGTTTTCTTTTTTCTTTTTTTTTTCTTTTTTTTTTTTCCCTTTCCCACTTAACTTTGTGCCGCCGCCGTTCGTCGCCCCCCTTCCCCCCCCCCCCCTCCATTCCCGTGACTACCTAGAGACGGGCTACCTTGGGTGTTCTCTCTTGGAAACAATTTTTTTTCGAAACCTTTTTTTATTTTATTTTATTTGATCATTCTTTTCTTTTTCCCTCTTATTCTCGGTCCCCCTTACTTTCCTTCTTCCTTTGCCCTGGTCTCCGCACCTATACGCGTTGTCCCTGGCAGTTTTGATTTCCCTATCAGAGCTATCCTGGTCAATCTCGCGCGCATTGTTGACGCGAAGCAAAAATTGGCTAGCAAATTTCCCCTCTAGCACTGCTGGTTGTGTTAGACCCACTTACACGCCGCCTCCCTGTGGATCTCAGAACCATTGACTGTTGTGACAACGTGCGGATAAAAAGAAGTTCCACACAACTCGATTTTCTGGTGGGTGACCGTGGGGAATTCAGATTAAGCATCTCGACCTCATCCTGACCTCTTTTCTGCAGTGGAGTCCGACTCGATCCTGCACGTCTATCGTCGACCTTGGGGATCCCTTGAGCGTCTATTTGCCTATCGCACCTCCTCCTCCCGAAGTACCTCGCTGACAATTCTCCGCGTTCGGTGGGAGCTTTGTTTTCGTCGGAAAAAAAAAGAAGAAGAAAGAAGAAGATCAGGAAGCAACACCGTCGAGAAGGATCAATCAAGCACACGGCTCTAGACAAGAGAAATCTGTGAAAAGGACCGTGGTCAGGAACTGAACTCAGGTGGCATTGGCAGACTTTTCGCATCTCCGGAGCACTGCCTTGGTCGCAAGACAAAAAGTTACGAAAGGTTTTCTCGCTCTGCGATCAATGATCGAGACACCGTGAAAGATTCTTTCGCCTGTCCCATCCCCATCTCACTTTCCCTCCCCCTCCTGTGCTCGACAGCCTCTCCGCGTCACGATGGATCCCAGATCTCATCCTTCTCGGCCCCCCTCCACCAGCCTGCCCCAGGGCTCCACGCCTCTCTCCTCGACACCCATCTCGAGCATGCCAATGCCTCAGTACACCATGCAGCCTCAGTACCCTGTGTCCCAGCCGCATACCCTTCCCCCGCTACAACCTCATCACAGTCAATCTCCTGCCCCTCACTCCTACATGGGCCAGCCGTACCGGCCGGATCTGGCGAGGTATCCCGCTGCCACTCACGATGTTTACGCGTCTTCTGCCGCTCCCATCATGCCTCACACCACCGTGGGCAGCCTGCCTCCTTCGTCCTTCCTCTCCCACCCCAACCCGCAGGCTCAACCTCAGCCGTCGCCACACTACCCGCCTCCTCATAACGTGCTGCCTCCCGCATCCAGCGCCCAGACCTACCCGCAGCCGATTGCGCCCGCGCCTCCCCGGGACCGTCGCTCGGACTTCTCCGGGCTTCCGTCGGGTGCTTTCAGCTACAATGATGGCAAGGGATCGCCTTGGATGAACCCCGACCCGGTCGCCGGCCCCAATGGTGCCGCGCAATATGCTGCGAAGGAGCCTCCCAGGACCCAGGTTGTTGGGTCTCAGGGTCGTCGCGGAATACTCCCCAGCGTTCCGGGACGCGCGACTCCGGTCACGAACGGCGTCAATGGTACTGCGAAGAACACGACCATTCCGGCCAAGGACGCGGATGGAAAGTTCCCTTGCCCGCACTGCAACAAGACGTATCTTCATGCCAAGCACCTGAAGCGCCATTTGCTCCGACGTAAGTGCTCCTTGCCGGGAATCGAATGGTTCCGGCGGGATTTGTTTTGGTTTGCTTACTAATACCTGTTTTGCGCCACAGACACCGGTGATCGCCCGTACATGTGCGTTCTTTGCAAGGATACGTTCTCTCGGAGTGATATCTTGAAGCGCCACTTCCAGAAGTGCTCGCTGCGGCGCGGTAACCCCACGGGAGCGACTCACTTGTCGCATCCCCAGGCGCATCTGAAGCGGTCTCAAGCCGCGGCACCTGTCAAGCCTGTTCAGGAAGAAGTTGCCAGTACCGTCCCGCATCCCAATGGCCTCCCCACTGCGCCGTATGGCGAGGGCCACGTGAACGGCAATGGGATGCCACCCGCTCGGCCAGGATACGCAGACCACCAGCAGCCCATGGGTTACCCGATGTCGTCTGTCAATGGAATGAGCCGTGGCCAGCCCGAAGACGCGTACCCGGCTGGGCAGCACCACCAGAGAGGACCCTGGCTGGCTGCGCCCAAGCAGAACCCGTATCTCGTGCAGCAGCCCGGTGCGGATGCGAATGGCCAGCAGCTGAATGTTGAGCGTCCCCCTATTGACCAGGTAAAGCCCCCGGTTGCTCAAGACCCTAAACGTCCTGTCATGCATGGACCCACTCCCAATCACGCTGGCGAAATTGACTGGACTTCGATGTTTCAGCCCGGAGCGTCCGACGGTTACATCAATCCCGTTTTCCCCCAGTCCATGGCAGCCGGCCAGGAGCCCATCCACGCTCACGTCGATACCGAACGCAAGTTTTACCCCACCACCACCGCTGGCCCTGGGCCCCAGGAGAGTGGGATGAACGGACTGTACCTGGCGTCGACCACCCTGAGCGGTGACGGTAAGCTAACCCCTATTGACCCACGCTATGAATGGCTGATGGCTGATGCTGGACCCAGGTACCGTCCAGCCTGCTAGGCAATAGTGGCGAGATGGAAGCGGATGTCTTAGGTTGACCGCTCCGAGCTTGGTGTTGTGCACATCAAGTGAGACGGGAGAATTCGGCCTTGACGAACGAAGATAAGGTCGTCCTTCTGCGTCCTAACTGGGTTACGTTAAACGATGTTATGCATACGAAATCTTGCGATGTCTTGCGGCACTGGGCAGTTGACTGGTTGATGCTCGCTGGTTGCAAGGATTAAGATGTCGTGCGGGTTTGCGCCTCTCCAGTTTCAACCTATGCGCCTGAATCCGGCCTGGAACGCCGCTGGGATTCACGAGGGACGTGCCAAAAAAAAAGTCACGAAAAAAAAAAAAGAATTACATAGACAAAAGTCCGTTTTGGCCACCGACTCCGCGCAGCGCGCCTCGGGGTGGTCAGACTACAGCATCCGGATTTCTCATTGTTACGAAAACGTTTTTTCTTCTTTCCTGCCGGGGTTTCTGGTCATCCATGTTCTTTTATTTGAAAAAACTCTTGTCAGCATTTCTACGGCGAGTGCAGATTTGCGATGGTTCTGGATCTGTTTTGATTTGTGGTCCACCCATTATGAGTGGGCTGATGGGATGGTGTGTGTGGTTTTATCTGGCGTCCAATCATAGACTTGGGCATGTGCTTTGTCTTTGCTGCTGTTTGTTGGCTCGCATCTTCGACGAGTCCCAAAAGATCTTACGGGGAGGGATTCCGTTGACTCTTGATTCCGACTTGCATGTTTCTTTCTGTGTCCAGTCCCGACTTGCATGGAGGATGAGTGTGTTCGGGTTTTTATTGCATCACCGTCACGGCCGTTTCCAATCCGCATGTCATCCAGTCGATCATGTAAGTAGCTGCAGTGTGTCCGTCGGGGCATACGAGGTTGACCTGGGATGAGAGGTGTTGTGTGTGTTTTATCCGTTGTGGTTTCCTTGCGTTCTGTTTCCTTTCCTGTGTTGCATGTCAGTGTCATTCGGTTTCCTTCTTGTGTGTGTTTTTCTTCTTCTTCTTCTTCTTCTTCTTCTTCTCTCTCTTCTTGACTTGTGAAAAAGGTAGCACGGTGCTCTTTTTGACGGCCCGATTTCCTACAGTTCGTGGCTGGGTTGCATGCAGATCCCGACCGCGGTCTGGAGGCCTCCTGCTGTGTTGGAGCCTCTCTGGACGGGCGGTTGGTCGACCTGCCTGGATGCACGCCCCTGGTCCGCCCTCAGATGTTCCATACGTCGGTTATTTGCTTGTTCTGTCCATGGTGCCGCGTGCATTTTCTCTCTTGTTGTATCTGGTCCCGGAGTCTGGAGACGAGGGAGGCCGTGGAGCCCCCGCGTCGGGCGTGATGGACTGGTTGTCACTTATGGGAGCCCCCGGGGGAACAAAAAGCTAGAATATAGACAGCCAGTGATTCGGAGTTGAACGAGAAATAACACGGGCGATTATCCGATGTTCCAGGGAGGACTGGTAGAGATGTAGAGGTAGACAGGATTTAGCCGCGGCCATGTGGCATTGGAAGCCAGCCAGCCTTTGGTCCGAAGAGGGGAGAAGAGGGGAGAAGAGGGGGTTCCCGGGAATTCCCTATATTATGTATGGTAGTGACACCCCGAGATCCGGGTTCCCCAGGGTGTCAGGGTCCCCGTTTCGGGACTCGGGTCCAAAGAGGCCACTTGACATCTGACAGTTGAGACGGGATGGAGAGATCGAGACTACTTACTACTATACTACTCCGTACTGACTAGAGAGATAGAATGCAGGTCAAAGACTACTTATGTCCAGTCTCGACGTCACCGCCGAGGGTCTTCCCCCGGATTGGTATCTCCCCGCCGTGATTGGCCGCCGCCCACGGGATGCCCCGGAGGGGAAAAGCCAGCCAGACGCCCGTTCGGAGCAGCGCATCGATCGCCTCGTCATTCCTGATTCTTCCCTGCTTTGCGTCCCCGTCGCTCCTCTTGACTCCAGTCCCTGCACTCCCTCACGTCCTCCCAGAGTCCAGAGTCCACAGTCCACAGTCCACAGTTCCTTATCCGGCCTCGTGCTGTCTTCTCGACTTCTCCCCTCCCCCCTCCCCCGCCTGGATCTGATCTACTCCGCTCCTCCGCGGCTACTGTCGCCCCCCGATCTTGACCGAACGACCGACCACCTCCACTCCACTCCTAACAACAGTATATCCTCACCCACGATCCACCACCACGCTCCTCGACCGCAGCAAAATACAGAAACGGTCTCTCTGATCGAGCACACTCTCAACCCTCCAACGGTGCAGCGGCACAACCCAGCCCATACATCCATCGACACAGCGCAACACATGCCATACCTACACTCTACACCGTCTCAACCACCCCCCACGACCCGCAACCACCACCTGATATCCCTCCTCATCACCATGTCCACCAACCGACCCTTTCTCACCAGCATCCTCGCCGCCTTCCGTACCCAACCAATCTTGAAAGCCCCAACTGCCGGCTCCCAATCCGCCAGCGGGGGCCCATCCTCCACGCTCTCCTCCACGCAAATCGCCCAAGGCGCGCGAGCCATCGCCACCAAAGCCACCAACACCGGTGGCAGCAACAGTAACGGCAACAGTGCCAGCAACAATAACAACGGCAACACCAATAACACCGACCCACCCTCCTCCTCAACCCACCACTACCACCACCACTCCACAGCCAGCAGATCCCACTCCCACCACCGCTCCTCCCTCTCCCAGCCTGACCCCTCCTCCACCACGCAACAATCCACCTCTTCTTCCTCGCCCATCCCCGCCGCGTCGACCCCCATCCCCATCAACAACAGCCACGGCCGTCGACGGCGCGGGAGCGATAGTTCCAGCGGCTCCGGCGGGTTCTGCGATGCGCTGGGTCACGAGAAGTGGTATATTGGGGGGAGGACGCCTGGGGCGAAGAACGGTTTTATCGTCTCGGGATGGTGACCAAGGGGGGCGGGAGACTGGGGGGCAGTGGACGGGTAGGGAGTATCGATCAGTTGAGTTTGTGATCATACCTATCCATCCATCCATCATTGTTAGGGTTCTGGGTTGGGATTGGAATTGTTGGTTCGAGGTCTAATTGGTTATTGGTTTTGTGATGCATGCGTGCGTGCGGGTTAATTATATCCTATCTGTATCTGTCTGTGTGTTTGGTTTGTGGGGATTGGAATTGTTGGTTTGGCTTTTGATTTGATAAGATGTTGTGTGTCTTTCGAATTTGTTTGCCGGTTGGCTTGCTGGCTGGTTGGAGTTTGGGGAGGGCATTGGATGGCGTTTCTCTTTCTCCTTACCTTACCTTTCATTTCATTTCATTTCTTTTGTTTTGTGTCTGTCCGTCCGTCTGTGGATTGAAGAGGTGAAAAACATGCTTTATACTTATTCTTTTTTTTTTAACTACCTTTCTTCTTCTTCTTCTTCTTCTTCTGTCTCTGTTCCTGGTACCGTTTCTTCCGGCTTGTTGCTGATCTATATGCTTCTCCGCTCTAGGGTGTGCTGCTGCTGCTGCTGTTGTCTACTGTGTGTTGTGCTATGCTGTGCTGTGTTATGTTGATTATAAAAGGTGGATGGACTGACCACCACCAACCACCAACCACCAACCACCAACCACCAACCACCAACCACCAACACCACTCATGGTTGAGATTAGAACAAACCGACTTACTCACTTACTCACTTACTTACTGACTTACTGACCTGACCAACTGATAACTGGCGTGCAAACCGGTTGATTCTTGACCTTGGAATTACAGTACTAGGGGAAAGGGGAACAGACCAGACAAGTTCAACCCATGGATGGCTTCTTGTGTCTCTGTGTCTCTGTGTATGCCTGCCTGTATCTGTGTCTGTCTGTCTGTCTGTCTGTCTTTCTTGCATGCATGCATGGATTACCAACCCTGTTCGTTCATTCATTCATTCATTTATTAGATATGGAAACTAAAAGCATGATTAATTGGTTATTAATTGATTGATTGATTGATTGATTGATTGGTTGAGTCAATTGTTGTAAATTGTATCATTGGTGTCTGTTTGTCTATACTCTATACTGTTATCTTAAGGGTGTCCAAAATGATCATGACTATCACTATGGCCATGATCATGATCATACCTACCGTCATTACATAGCGCGTAAAATAAGAGAGAGAGAGAGAGCTAGGTGGATGGATAGACAGATATCTAAACCCCACGGCCACCCCCATCCCCATTCCCATCCCCAAGCAACCTCTCCCTCTCCCTCTCATCCCCCCCACCATAACCACAAATATCCTCCTCCCCCCGCCCCATAACCACCCACATCCCCACGGCCGTAACACCACTAACGCCCCCCAGCCCCACCACGACGCCCCTCCACCCCAACCACCCCTCCAACAGCCCGGCCAACGGCCCCAAACTCAGCCCCAGAAACTGCGCCATAGTCTGGATGCCAAACGCCTGGGCGACGGCGCCGCGAGGGCCAAACACGCCCGGTCTGCGCCGCTCCATGAGCTCCAGCACCTGCTGGGTCTCGAGGTAGAGGGCGGGGATGCACATGTTGATGAGCAGGCCGGTGAGGGTCAGGAGGACGAGGAAGAGGATGATTTGGGGGTTGTGTTGGTGGTTACGAGGCTGAGGAGGCAGAGGGGGATGGGGAGGAGGAGGAATGAGAGCGTTGCGATGGGGCGTGGGGTGAGGCGGTCGGTTAGGCGGCCTGGTTGGGGTGGGTTGGTTAGTTGTGTTTTTGTTGGTAGGAAGGGGAGGGGGGGGATTACCGAAGTAGGGCTCTAGCAGGGCGGTTAGGGAGGATGGGAGAAAGGTGAGCCCTGCGCCTAGAGGGGTCCAGTTGAAGTGCGATTCAACGAAGATGGGGATTGTCTGTGGGTGGATTGGGGGTGTTAGTGAGATTGGTTGGCTGTGGATAGATAGAGGGGAGAGGGGGGAGGGGGTACGCACGGCGTCAAAGGCCGCGAATATGATTCCGTGGACGAGGAGGCCCCAAGAGGAGATGAGGATACGCGGCTGCTGGATCAGGAGAAAGAGTGCTGGTTTCTCGCGGCGCTTGGGGGCGAGGTCATTGTCTGGATCATCATCTGGGTGCGATGTCTGCGACTGGTGGTGATCGGATTCGGATATAGTAGACTCCTCGGTTGATATTGGGATCCAGCGCTTCGCGACCCTCTTCTCGATGACTGCGACGCGCATCACCATGTCCACGGCCACAATGGCAAACGCCATCGCAAACACAGGCTGATAGCCCGCGACCCGGTACACCAGCCCTCCCAGCAGCGGGCCGAGCATAAAGCCTAGCGCAACTGCCGACCCTAGGTACCCGATTGCATGGCCGAGGTTGGAGGACGAGACGGAGTCTGTGAGTAGGGCTAATCCGGCGACGGCTACCATGGCGGTCGCGCCGCCTTGGAGGAGGCGGGCGACCACGAAGATGTCGACGGTGTGTGCGAGCGAGAGGAGGAGCATGGATGCGCCGAGGAGGATCAGCCCGAGCAGGTATGGGAGTTGGCGCGTGGGCGCGACGTCGATCAGGTAGCCGAAGATGGGGCAACAGACGAATGCGACAGCGGCCTCGCAGATGAGGAGGATGCTGACCCAGTGTTCTCCTGGGGGTTGGTTATTAGTGGGGTTGGGTTGCTATAGGGTTTGCAAAGCCATAGCCGGGGAAGAACGTACGGTCATCGTAGGGAACGTTGGCGCGGTCGACGAGGGCGGTTGGCATGACGGGGACGATCTGGTGGACGGGTGGGTTAGATTATGGGGTGCGATGGGATGGGGGGTGGTGTTTGCTCACCATCGCATAGAGGAAGTAGTCCTGTTGAATGCGGGTGCGGGTCAGCGGTTGAATCTTCATCTGAGATGCTCGGGGTGCCGGCGCATACCGTAAATGACGAGGTCCATACTGTCGCAATGATGAAGGCAGTGGAGGAACGGAATTTGAGAAGCCACGGAGGGTGCTTCATTTTGTCTGGGTCTGTCAGGAACCACATGGTCGAGCCTGTCGATGGAGCTATGTCGCTGGCTGCATGGATGAGACAGGCTGGTTCCTGCGATGCGGCGGAGTCAAGATCTGCGAGCAATTGGACGCTCAAGAGTCAGAATGAGAACTCATGAAGGCGGTCACCGTCCTGGTTTCGCCGTGGGGAGCGATGCGAGTCTTCGTTGAGTGATGGCGACGAAGCCGCAGCCGCCGACGAGAATGACGTTGGGTCACATGTTCACGCGGCCTTCTTCTCGATCGCACATCGTCTTTCCCCCAGACGAACAAACCCAACCCATCAGCCTCCCATGCAGGGTAATTGACAGAACTACTGACAGGCAAATCCCCTGGCGATCTCCGCCCTCCGCTCTGGACGAGGCCGCATTGCCTGATCATTGCATAGCTTATTATACTATACTAATCCCCGATAAGATATCGCCCAGGAAGGCTGCGGCCGTCGACCTCCGCGGGCATCGGAGCTGGCCGATGCGCTGCTTTGGCCTCTGGTCTCTTTTAAAAGGCTTCCCCCCTGCGGCGTCATTGTTGGAAAGATACTGTCATTTATCCCATCTACTCCTCTCTATACCCACCGAACCTGCTCATTCTTAATCCCCCTTCACCTCCACCTCCCACCCACATAATGTCTTCCCCAGTCACTGCGGCCCGCTACGGCAAGGACAATGTCCGAGTATACAAGGTCCACCGCGACGAGAAGACGGGCGTCCAGACCGTCACCGAGATGACCGTCTGCGTCCTGCTGGAGGGTGACATCGACACCTCGTATGCTATTCACACCCTTTCCTGCCCGTGAACTCTTAATTGTTACTCAGCTAACCGCCCTCCTTATCAGCTACACCAAGGCGGATAACAGCGTGATCGTCGCGACCGACTCCATCAAGAACTCCATCTACATCCTCGCCAAGCAGAACCCCGTCACCCCGCCCGAGCTCTTCGGCTCGATCCTGGGCTCCCACTTCATCACCAAGTACAACCACATCCACGCCGCCCACGTCAAGATCATCACGCACCGGTGGACCCGGATGAACATCGACGGCAAGCCGCACCCGCACTCCTTCCTGCGCGACAGCGAGGAGACCCGCAACGTGCAGGTCGACGTGACCGAGGGCCAGGGCATCGACATCTCCTCGTCGCTGGCCAAGCTCACCGTGCTGAAGAGCACCAACTCGCAGTTCTGGGGCTTCCTGCGCGACGAGTACACCACGCTCGCCGAGACCTGGGACCGCATTCTCAGCACCGACGTCGATGCCGCCTGGAACTGGCGCCGGTTCAGCGGGCTGGACGACGTCCGCGCCACCGTGCCCCAGTTCGATGCCACCTGGGTCGCGGCCCGCGACATCACCCTCAAGACCTTCGCCGAGGATAACTCCGCCAGTGTGCAGGCCACCATGTACAAGATGGCGGAGCTGATCCTGGCTCGCCAGCCGTTGCTCGAGACCGTCGAGTACTCGCTGCCGAACAAGCACTACTTCGAAGTTGGTACGTTGCTCCCCCGTCTGATCGTGCGTGGTGAGACTCGCAGCTAACTGATTCGGTAGACCTGAGCTGGCACAAGGGCCTCAAGAACACCGGCAAGGACGCCGAGGTGTATGCGCCGCAGACCAACCCCAACGGGCTGATCAAGTGCACCGTGGGCCGCACCTCGAAGGCCAAGCTGTAGCGTGATTTGGCGATGGATGGATACACGACATGGAGTTCAGGGCACACTGTATATAGGTCTCTAGGATAGGGTATAGCATCATTGACTGGTTATGATACACGAGACAAGGGTTGTACCTGCGTAGTGCAAGACACATAAGACATGGTGTAAGACACATAGTGCAGACACATAGTCCAAAACACGTGATGCAAGACAACCACCACAACCACCACCACCCATAGACAACAGCCACAGCCACAGCCTTTCGTCTAGCAACTGTTTCAGAAACTGGTTTATAATATCAACAGACACATATATCAGACAGAGAGAAAAAGAAATTCACAAACTCCCACCCATGCGCTAGCAAGTCATATAACATGACAGACAATATCAATGACATGTAAAAATACAGAGAGATAGAGAGTACCCGCAATGGTATCGATCCGATCAAGCAACGATAATTTTTAAGAAAGACGGCACTGTCTTCAAGCGGACGCCTCAGGCTTAGCCGGGGCCGCAGCCTCGGACTTGGCCGTCTCAAACGCCTGCTGGACCTGAGGCATGCCACCGATGACGGTCTCGCCGTTGAACTTGACGAGGTTCAGCTTGTAGGGGTGCGCGAGACCTTCGAAAGCTGTGGATTGTTAGCATCAGTATCAGCATCCTTCCTTGATTCTCTCTTTCTTTCTCCCGATAATCCAATATAAAAATCAGAGGGGGAAAAAAAAAAAGAGGAAAACTCACTCTTCAACCTGGCCAAGCGCTTATCCCGCAGACGATTCTTGGGCAACATGCCGCGGACGGCACGACGCAGGACCTCACCGCCGCCCCATTTCTCGAACATCTGGTCCATGGTCATGCTCTTGAGGCTGCCGGGGCGGGTGTTGTGGGTGTAGTACTTCTTCTGGGCGCGCTTGTTGCCGGTGGTGCGGAGGTCGTGGCAGCCCAGGGCGACGACGTAGTCGCCGCAGTCGGTGGAGGGGTCATAGATGGGCTTGTTCTTGCCCATCAGGACGAGGGCGATGGAGGAGGCGAGCCGGCCGAGGGTGCGCTGGTCGGCGCTGACGTCGACGCGGTGCCATGTGCGCGAGAAGGCGAGGCGGGTCTGTTAGATGATTATATTGGCTTGCTGTTAACAGGGGATTCAATGTGGTGGTGTATAGAGAGCAAGCAAGAAGAGAGAGAGAGAGAGGAAGAGAGAGGGGGACATACCTTTCCAACAGTCTGCGACATGGTGAACGATCAAAGCAACAGCAACAGCAACAGCAACACCTCTATCCAACCATCTCCAGCTCCATCTCCATCTCTCACCGACGAAGTCTGACAACTCCCCACGTGATGACCACCCTCTCACCGCCCTCCATCACCATCCAATCACCCTCCACCCGGCCAAGCCCTCTCTTCCACTCCCGAAACGGCCTAGCGCCGCAACTAAGCGAGCTTTCCGACCGCACGGATGTGGTTATCGCACCGCACCGCCCATCGGCGTGCGCTCCCTCCGGACGAAAAAATTGACGACCAAACGACCTCGACAAACTCCCCCGTCTACCTTACTTCCCACCACCCCAGCACACACTTCGCCCGCGCCCCGGCCATTCATCATCATGGCTTCCGTCCCGAGTGTGCAATGCTTCGGCAAGAAGAAGACGGGTAAGATTCCCTTTTTTTTTTTTTCCCGGTTGGAGTTGAAGGAGGTTGAAAAATGGAGATTCGCGATGGATGGATGGATGGATGGAGGGAGGGAGTTGATATTTGCGGCTTTGAGAGATTGTGGATAGGATATGGATATGTATGCTAACGGGATATTTATTTCTAGCCACCGCTGTCGCCCACTGCAAGGTATGAGAGATCTATCTATTCTTTACACCCATACTCTCTATACATCTACACAATATACACACGCCCTTGAATTTATGATTTATGTGTCGTTCGCGAGTTTGGATCGGAATCGGATCGGGATCGGAATCGGAATCGAAAACACCCACCAGAATGAAATCAATGTGCAACGGGAGCAAGGAGAATATATCGAATTCTTAAATCGCCATGGAAATGAGAGAAACAAACAGTGGAAGGGAGAAAGAAATCGACATATCAAGAACTCCAAAGACCAGACCGATGGCAATGAGAATGAGAATGATAAATGAAAAAAAAAATGGAAAGAGAAGGAATTCTAAGAAGCATCTATCACCCCGAACCGATACCGATACCGATACCGATCAAACGACCGAACGACACATACACATACCCATACCCATCGCACATCGCAACCACACATCTTAATCAATCACACGAAATGAAAAGAGATAGAGAACAAAAACTAACTTCCAAAACAGCAAGGCAAGGGTCTCATCAAGGTCAACGGCCAGCCCCTCTCTCTGGTCCAGCCTGAGATCCTCCGCTTCAAGGTACATACAACCCATACCCAAAACCTGAACCCGTGAAGGTATCGAAAAATAAATCAAGGATTAACATGAAAAAAAAATTAGGTCTACGAGCCCCTCCTGATCGTCGGCGCCGACAAGTTCTCCGGAGTCGACATCCGTGTCCGCGTCACCGGTGGTGGTCACACCTCCCAGGTGTACGCGATCCGTCAGGCCATCGCCAAGTCCATCGTCGCCTACTACCAGAAGTACGTCGATGAGCACTCCAAGAACCAGCTCAAGCAGGCTCTTGCCCAGTACGACCGCACACTCCTCGTCGCCGACAACCGTCGTACGGAGCCCAAGAAGTTCGGTGGTCGCGGTGCCCGCTCTCGCTACCAGAAGTCCTACCGTTAAACGCGGTCACCTCCAAAACTTCTGTGTTTGTGTCTCTGGTCGCCGGCTGCCTCCGCGTGTGCGTGGCGGTGGTCCAAAAAAAAGTGTTTACGTTCCCCTATCTCCTACCGGGAGGGGGCTTCATGGCAAAAGGGATACGCAGAATGCTGGTGTCGGTTTAACGGTGTACGACTGGGGTGGAGAGATCTGGTGTGGTGGTCCCATCCCACCGCTGCGCAATCTAATTCATCCATTGAGGAAGGTTTGGTTGGGTTGCTACAGTGGTTGTATGGAAATTATGGTGCAATGCTGGCTCGGTCTTGGCTGGAATTAGTATAGGCCTGGACTATCTCAAATATCACCCAATTTCTTTTTTTGTCATCAGACCCCAGACGTATCGAACTGGCTCTGCATCCTCCCTGTACAGGCTGTGTATGCGTTGCAATCGTAGTGTGGCAAGTAGACTGGTTTCGTCAATAATGTTCTTGCCTGGGCTGGGTCTTAACCCACCTGCCGCCATGCACGGCGACATCCACCCTTCCGACCCAGTGTCTGCCACTATTATATCAATTTACCCGAAGACCTGCCCAACATCACTGGCTATAAGCCATGGCTCAAAATAATCCTAGAATAAAAGCGCGGGGACCAAATACAGGCAATAAGTGCATGAGGAAATACGGGCAAGAAAGTACCAAGGACAAAGGAGAAGGAAGGCCTGAGGAAGAGAATTAGTCAAGCGGGGACGCTGTTGTCTGCCCAGCACAGGCCGTCGTTCATATGGCTGTTCAGCTTCAGCCCTTCATGGTCCTCGTCCTCGTCAGCCCCATCAAGCGACAGAAGCTCAAAGCGATTGGGCACTACGGCTGCTTTCTCTTTCTTTGGCGGTGCCTGTAGTTCTTTCTTGGGCCCTTTGGCCAAAGACTCCGCGCATTCGTCCGAGTAGAAGCCGATCTTCATGCCCTTGTACATAAAGCGGGACATCATACACGAGCGTGCAAAGAGCGCGTTGTGCACCGAGTTGGTGGATATGTAGGCGTTGTTGTTCCTGAATTTGACCGTGATCACAATTAAGTTGTGGATATGCTCCAGGTCCTTCCGGATGACCCACTCGGTGACGTTGGGGTGGACGTTGTATAAAATGATATTCCGCGATGCGCCATTGTTGATCTTGACCCTGACATACGGAGGAAGGTAGAATTGCCGGTCGTTCCACAACACTTCCACCTGCATGAGTCCTTTGTATCAGCGGCGCTGGCCAATTGCCCAGGTCGATTACTTACGCGCTTCCCAGCCATGTAGAGACCGTACGTCTTAGCATGATGTAAGAAATCCCGGGCAGCGGCGTCTTCAACGAATGAGACACTTGCAATACGCTCTCGCGCTCGCAGATAAATGTGGAGGAGGGCCCCGCCTCTCACAACCGCGACGATATCTCTATGGGTGACCCGATCGGGAAGATTCCGAAGCATCACTGTACGATGGTCTCCCGGGGCGGGTGAAGACTCTGTACTCCTCGTTGAAGACTGATAATCCTCCTTCTCATCGCTACTCTGAGAGCCCAGCAGTTCTTCATCATCCTCATCATCATCATCTTCTTCTTCTTCTTCTTCGAAAGTCTCCGTACCGTGATACTTCACGTCGGAACATTCCTGGTGGCTGACGGGACACTGTTCCACTTCCAGGACCTCATCGGAGCTGGGAGAGGGTTCGGGGTAGGGCTCGCGGTGGATGTGGGGAGTATTCGGATTAGGCAATACGCCGTAGATCAAGATCTGAGTGGGTCAGTAAGCGCAAGCACACGTCAAGTAGTGAACGCGTTCTGACATCTAGAGTCTCTTGCGAGAGCCCTCCATTCAGGAGCGAATCCTTCAGTTTCCCTATAGCCACGGCGTCAGAGTCATGCCAATGCAGCAGGCTAATGATCACACACCGAGATGCTGTGAGTCTTGGAGCTATGGAGATCGTCGGTTAGCGGGGAACCCTATGACCTGTCACATCGCACTCACCAGACGCTGATATTGCGAGCGGGGGATGGTCACTGAGTCGGTACCTCGCTGGACACGCCTATACACCAGGGGCTGTGAGAAGGTCAGCCAATGATGGATGTATATCGTCAGCGCGCGGGTACTGGAACTCACGGCTTGGGGTCTGCTCCGGCGTCAGTTGCGCGTCAACATGGGTCGGGGCACATCAATAACAGTGAGAGAGAAACTGAGACTGACCTCTGAGCGATGTAGGTGGAGTGATTTTCGTGGGAAGTCACCGACGACATGGTTACTGGACTGGGTTAGTTGGGATCAGATGATTGATCTACTGCCACGGCGGTGTCGGCCGAGCATCGGGGAAGCCTTACTTGAATTAGAAAATATGTATGGACGGCGAGCTGCGAGTAACTCGGGTTAGCCAGGCTGCAATCCAGCAGAAGGCAGCCAAGGATGGATCGAGATGAAGACGAAAAGAGGAAGAAGAGGGGAGGAAGAAGAGGAGAAGAGGAGGAGAAGAGGAGGAGAAGAGGAGCAGAAGAGACAGGCAAAAGCAGGCCGATATCCCAACGTCACTCCACATCACGTCTGCAGGCACGATGGACCCATCCGCTTTTAGCTCTGCTTCCTCATCGAGTAGGATTCCTCTTGCTTCTCTCTTCTCTTCTTCTTTGGTTACTTTCCATATACTATAAGATACGACTCACCTCTTGAGCTTCACCTCTCCCCTTCACCGGTCTGAAAACACTCTCGACCACCTGCTAGTAGAAAGAAAAAAAAAGTGAGCTGCAGCAGAGATACAGCAGAGATGCAGCAGAAAAGTTGCAGATGAAATGAAAGGAGAAAACAAGAAGAGAGAGAGAGAGAGAGAGAGAGAGAGAGAGAAGGAAAGCGTTGGCGCACCGCCGAAAAAGGCAGGCGACGAGGCACACCCGCCATTTGAGGCACAACGAAACAACAAAGTAGATTCACAATTCACAACTCAGGATAGGACACAACGCTGAGGGCTCCGATCGCTCTGATCCCCTCCAGCGGCGCTTGTGCGACCAACGGCAAACGGCTGCGCAATCCCAGGCCGGCGTTGGACAAGTCAACCCCCGGCCAGTTGGGCAACATTGTTCTTGTTCCCCCCGTTCGGGCCTTCACTTCATTTAGGTATCTTCCTACATCCAGATAATTTACCTGCCCTCTCCACCATCCAACAGACAGATCACACATCCTGTCATTCATGCATGACTGAAATTCCACCGTCCCCTCTCCCTTCCCCTCCCCCTCCCTCGCCTACTTTTCCTTGGCTTGCAGCAGCCTGTATGTAACTTCCCGACGACCCTGACATGCTTTGATCGTCGGTTTGTATGCATATGCGTATCCGTGAGGAATAGCCAAAGGTACCGAACGAACTACACGCCTCTGCCCCGGACGGGTAGACAGATAGATAGATGTGACCTCCGGCAAAAGGTTGGAGGCTCTAATGACGGCTATTCGCTCGTCCTACCCAAACCCACCATTCTTTCTCTCCTTTGTTCCCCACAAGGGGAAGGAGCTAGAGCCAGAGGCAGACCCGAGAATGACCCTTGTCAAAGCCTTTCGTTCCATGTTGGTAGCCAACACAGAGCCTCCACGAGGGGGGAGGGGAGAAGAGAAGGGGGCTATTATTATCCCCGATGCAGCCCTAGACATTCAGTCCATACTCATTGACATCGGGAAACGGAAACACCGCCCCGCGGATGCGGATAGTTAGCGGCTGATTTAGCTCGATGGATCAGCAGACGGCATTATCCATGTGTGGGAGGGTGCGTGTCAGGTCCCTCGACCCCATCGGGGAGCTCTATCGGGGCTTCTGGTTCGCGTGCCATCGTGGCAGTTGCAGGTCGGCTCGCTACTAATTCGGACCGTCGGACTCGCCGGATATGCACAATGTTGACGGCCAGTCGTGTCGCCAAGAGAGTCAGGAAGATGACCAGGACCAAGGTCTGGGGTATATACAGTTCGGAGTCCCGACTCTGCGTCTGCTGCTGCTGCTGCTGCTGCTGCTGCTGCTGGTCCGGACTGGCGGACCCGAACGAGATGGAAACAGACATGGACAGCGGCGTGAAAGTGGACAGGACCCCCGCAGACGGGGACAGGTAAGACACCACCGGGCCCAGGGTCGCCACGAAGATGGAGAGGATGAGGAGAGGGACGGCTAGTCATAAGACAGGGGTGGATGATGCTCGAGCGCGAGCGAGCCTTATCGGGAGAAAACAGTCAGTGCCAGCAAGTATACGGGAGAGCAGTGAGTGACCAGTGACCTACCACTCTTGAGACTCCGACTTTTTCACCCATTGCGCCACGATCTTCAACCGCTCACGGACACTGGTCGTCGACAAGAGCAGGTACTTCTCGTCCTCCCACTGAGGAAGAACCGTGGCAAACCACCAGGGAAACAGCGCGGGATCAGATGGTGCCTCGCCGTAAGCGAGCCTGACCCGTGTTTGGAGCCACGACGCCCCCTCAAGACGGTTTTTATCCACAAAATCCAACGCCATCTGAAACAGCTGCTGCGTTGGCATCGACTCCAGCGGGAGACTGGCTGGATCCGTCCCTGCTGACGCCGACGTCTCCACGGACTCTTGCCTCTCCTCCTCGGCGATCGGGATATCATCCACTCGCTGCACCGTACCAAGATGATACCCATCCACCAGCTCAAATCCGAGCACCTTGAACCGAGACACCCCAGAAGCAATGACCAGACTCCTCCCATCCGGAAGTAATTCATACCGCTCAATCAACAAGACCGTACCATACTGCATAAACTGGCTCCTCCCCAGCCCCGGCTGGATCTTCATAGCACGGTTATGCATGACCATACCGAACTTCTTATCCCTGCTGCGCATCACCTTCTGAATCATGATACGATACCGCGGCTCAAAGACATGCAAGAACGTCGGCATAGTGGGGAACGAAAGCGCGCTCACAAACAGCGGAATCTTCCTCTGTCCTTCCTTCGCAGTCGCAGTCGCAGTCGCAGATCCCTCCCTCCGCGCCACGACCTGCTCGGGGAAAAAGGCCCCCACCAGCTCCAGAATCCTCCGATTGATGGGCTCGAACCTCACCGTCGCAGACATATCCAACTTGCGCCGGCAAACGGGACACAGATCGCTATGATCCATCACCATGGCGACGCACCCGCGACAGAACGTGTGTCCACAGCCAGTCGTCAGCGGGTCCAAGATAAGCGAGTAGCAGACCTGACAGTCCAGCTCACTGCGAACCGCTTCCTTCAGCCTCCCAAAGGTCTGTCCCTCCTGTGTCTCCAGCCTCTCCAGCCCCTCAGACAAACACGTATACTCCACCTCCGACGCATCATAGTCGAACCCCCCCCTTGTAACCAACCCGTATATCCCCTTCAACCTATCACTCCCAATCTCCGCACTCTCATGCTGCAGACCACTGCCCTTCCACCTCACACTCACACTCACATCCCCATTCCCATTCCCATCAGCAGTAACATCCGCCTCTACCCCACTATACTGTCCCCCCAAAACCCCCCCAAAAACATCCCCCAACCGCCCTAAAAGCACGTCAGCCCCACAATCCCCAATACAATGTTCGCCGGCGCACTCCTCCGTATCCTTCCAGTAACACTTAAAGCCCAGTTTGCGATCCTCGTTGACGGGGTACGTGATGCCGGACCGGGGACGGACGGGCGGCAGACACGACCGGCAAACGGTGTTTCCGCAGGGCAGGCGCAGGGGGGAGCGGAGGGGGAGCGAGCAGCGGGAGCATTGGATTAGGCGGATGATGGCGTGTGGGGGACGAGGAAGGGGGTGGGTTTTGTTGGGGGGGTAGGAGGTTTGGTCGTGGTCGTGGTCGTGGTCGTGCGGAGGGGGGTGCGGAGAACTGGAACTGGGTGTTGTTGTATCTTCCATGCTAGCTAGCTAGCTGAACGGATAGATAGATAGATAGATAGATAAAGATGGGTCGGGTGCTGGTGGAAGGTAAGTAGGTCGATAGAATATAAAAGGTCGGTTGGTTTGGAGAGGAAAGGAGAGCAGATGTAAGTAAGTAACTGAAGGAAGGAAGAGAGGAGTAATCAATTAATCTACCCAAGTACGGCGGGTTGTTTTGCTGGGCTGACAGGAAAGGTGGGGACGGCGGAAGCCGACTTGACTGAACTGATGGAGCTCCGGGCCCGTCATCCCGAGGTACCGTCGGTGCCCTAGCACTAGATTCGATTCCATGCATGCAATGTATGCAGTGTGCTTTTAGTGCTACGGGGAGAGCATCGGAACTACGGAGTAGATAGAAGTGGAATGGCTTGCTTGTTTGTTTTAAGTGACAACCGCTCATGTGAATGCGAGATGCGGTTTCAAATGGACATCGATGATCGTGTTTAGGTATATACAGTACATGTGCCGTAGATGAGGCAGGCAGGGCATTCATCGTGGGCGGAGCAATGAGATCGATACAGTAGAGGATCCTGACTCCCCGCATCCTGGACGGAACCTCTGAATCGGTTTCAAGCAACGCAAAACGAGAAGAACCCGGAGTCCCCGGCACCAACAGGCCACGCGAGAAATCAGGCGGAACAGCGCAAAACATGATATGCTAACATCCTTTCGTTGCTCGTGACCGGAACCATCCAACGCCATAGCCAAGAAGACGGGAAGAAAGGGTGATGGGGGAAGAGTTTCCGAAGAAGAGGAACCGTAATAACATTGCCAGATCCAATGTCTGGGACTGGCTGTCTCATGGGCCCGTGGAGAGGCCGATTGAACGGAAGTACGAAGACCAAGCCAGAACCGGAGCAGCTGATGCACACTCAGTTAGACACCTGGGAAGACGAAGCGTCCGAATCGGAGTCAGAGTCGTCTTCTAGGACTATGCGCCGCATGACGCTCTTGTCAAAGAGATCTAGAGCGAAGCGGCGAGCGGGCAATCGGAAGTGGTGGCCTTCGAGGATACTGAGGGTCTTGCGGAAAAGGTGAGGCTGGTGGAATCGATCGGGCTGTTTCGATTTCAAACTGCAGATTGACGGTGAGCATCTGTCTCCCATGTTCATAGATGAGCATCGCTTACCTGTGGAGGTCTGCTGCGGCCCTTTTGGACAGAACAGTATTTCCCATGTCAATGATCAGCTTCAGGATCTTTTGGTTGACCGGGTCCGGATCAATCGTGGCTCCTCTGAATTTCTCTTGGGAGGAGCGCTTCGATTCGGCATTTCGGGAGTGAGTCGGGAAATCCACCTATACGATGAATGGGTTAGTGGGTTCTCCAAATGCATGACTATGCGATGCTTACCAGGAAGAGCTTGTTGAAATCGGTTGGCAGGCTCAGCCCCAGAGAATTTCCCTTCTGATCAAGAGCAGAATCCCACCCGGCCTCTCTCAAGACCGTCAGACCATGTCGACTGCGAGAGATCAAGCCCAGAACGAAGAATGCCGTTCCCCTCATCGTCAAGACTTCGGCACTTTCGGCGATTTTCACAATGTGCTGGACAATATCACGCTCAAGGAACGGCGCGCCCAGTTCCATGGAGCCGACGTTACCAACGGCCCAGAGGCAGCCTTTGACTTTGAGGAGAGACTCGATGTCTTCCTCATCCAATTGAAAGTCCCGAATAGTCCAAGCGAACTCGTTGAAGTGGCCTGACTGCTCTAGAAGTTTGCACCCCTCGGACGTCCGAGCGAGCTCTCGATAGAAATGCGGCGGTACCAACCCAATGTCCTGCAAATCTACGAGGTCTTCAGGCACAAAGCTACTCCTCCGCGGCTGATCCACATAGGCACGCGAGAGAGCGGCCTCGACGAGACCTACGTAGGCGTCGTTACGGCCCAGAAACCAGTCATCCATCTCCTGCGTGATGTAGTCGAGACCATCCAGATAGTGGTATCCCACCGAAGTGGACAAGAAGCGCAAGAGCAAGGGAGCACCGATTTCGCCCAGATGATCGAGGGACGGCCGGCACTTGACTACAAATTCAAGGTAGTGCCGCTGATTGCATGCCTCTTCAAGGATCTTCACGGCGACCTCGCACACCGACACATCGGGGTCATATAGCTGGGTCACCAAGAGCTTAACCACCCAGTCCGCATTACCAGTAGCCGACTGCGAAGATAGGGGCACATTTCCCACAGCGTATTTTCGAAGAAGCCTGGTCGCAAAGATTCGTATTTCCTTGGAGCCAGTGGTGAGCGCTTTGGAAAGAATGACCCTGAGGTGGCTTTCACGGGCGTAGTCCATGTTTCCGAACAGGGTCTGAATGAGATCGTCTCGATCTCGGAGCTCAACGATATGATAAAACATGTTGAGCATGTGCCATCGCTCCATCATAGAGAGCCCATTGGCATCGCCGCTCAGAACTCCTAGCATCGCAAAATATCCACCACTTAACGTGGTGGTCATCTGATCCTTTGAGAATAACGGGGAAGACGACGTAAGTCCGCTCATGCGATCCACCTGAGCAAGGCATTCTGCAACTTGCCTCAAGAACTTATTTTCCGCAAGATATTTCGTACCCTCTGGGAGTTGCACCAGCGTGCGCATTAGTGCGCAGCCTGTTCGAACATAACGCTGGTTGGGCTTCGTATTCGGTAGCATCGAGAACCTATACTTGAATGGTCGGTAAAACCCCATGAGACGCTTCATGAACTTTGAGCCTTTGATAGCCTCTTCTAGCCTCTTGGGGTTGGTTAAAGGCCCTTCAACTATGCGATGAATAAGATCCCACTTCCATTTGAGAAAGTTCACGGTGTTGAGAACATGTGTTTCCAGGATCAGGTTTCGAAATTGTGTCTCATCCATGGCCGGACTCAATTTCTCTTTGTTTTGGTCGCCAGAGAGAAGAGAAGTAGATATATCGACATCGACATTATACCGCCCGGCCCCATTCGCAATGTTCCCTACGGAGCGGGCTAAGGTCCTGTTTATGCTGTCAATCTGGTAGATGGTGGAAGTGGAAACATCGTGGTTTTCGACATCGAACTGGATGGCTGATGGTAGCAAATGTGGAAGGACCTGTAGCTTTGCGCTGATATTCCGGGGAAGAGAGTGATGTGCCAGCTTCAAAACTTCAGTCAGGAGAAGCGTCGCTTTCCGCCTCAGGGACAGGTCTGTTTCGTCCTCGATGAGGTCCGAGAGAGCCTAAATTCAATTAGCATGTCATCGCAGCCGGAAAAACAGGGAAACTGACCTTTGATAATCCTGCCTCCACCAGAGTCGCAAGGATCAGAGTCGAGAAGTGCGCTGTCAGGTCAAATCTATTCCCATCGTCGTCGTAGAACCCCCGAGCCTGTTTGGCATCGGATTCGGTCCTAAGGTTGGCCACTCTACCGTAGGTCGTCAGTCTCCGGCCAGCGAGAAACGACGACGACCATGACGGCGGCTTTATCCTCAATGCATCGAACAGAAGCTCCATAATGAGATCCCTTGCCTGCGGATCGGGATAATGCAGCGAATCCAAGAGTGATTGTAACGGCTTGGCTCCGTTTCTTGCGAGCACTATCAAACCTGGCCACGTCTTCAGCATAGCAGAAATCGCCCTGGCTGATGACTTCAGGCGTCCATTGCGGACTGAGTCCGACAGGGAGTCGGTGAACGGCGCGAGCACGGCTTCCAGCTCGCACCCTCCCTGGAGATGCTTCCTACTGTGTGGAGTGTCGAGGACATGAAGGAAGCTCGCGATCAAGCTTTCTGATGCGCCGAATGTCCCTTCTGCCAAAGCATCATGCAGTGTACCGAATCCTCCAGCATATGCAATGAGTGCTGGGTCCTTGACCAAAATTTCGGCTAGAGTCATGATCGAGATATTCCGAAGCCGATCCTCGTAGTGCTCGGCGATGGAGACGATCGTCCTCACGACGGCGCGTGATATCTCTCGCACACCATCCTTCACATCCAAAAACGCGCGGACAAACTTCAAAGCCTGCTCCCGTTCAATACTCGCCTTGCTTTCCTTGACAAGGGACAAGATCACCAGCTCGTCTGTATGCAATGACCGGATCATCTGCAGGGATTTCCGATCTGCAATAGCATAGCGAGTCAACCGATAGCCGGCGGCCACAGCCTCCTTGCTATCACTTAGGAGCATAATCTGCACGCGCAGACCGAACACCGACCACTCGAGGTCATATTTCAGGGTAGGATGTCTTTTGAACAGCTCCACCAGACTATTTGCACGCTCAACGTAGTAATCCGGAGACATGCCGTCGATTTCCAGGGCCTGGAGTGTTTCCGCCAGCACATACGTCGGCGATTCCATTTCTGCCTCCCCGTCCTGAGCTTGGTGTTCTTCGAGGGTGGCATTGTTGCGAGTCGGTGAACGCATGGAACTGCTCTGGAACAAACTCGACAAACGGCTCCGGGGAGGCGTGGACGGCGCCTGCGCACGTAGCATTTCCTCCTCGAGCTCATGATGCAGTTCAGCCAGCTTGCGATTGGACGAACTCAACTCCGATTCCACCCTTAACCGCTGATCCTTTGTATGTTTCGGGTTCTTGGCCAGCAGCGCCTCGAGCATGTTCTCCGTTCCTGTTTTGATCTTCATCTCCTTCGCGATCTTGTCCCGGATCATGGCCTGGCGTTCCTCCGTACTGGACATTTCATCGTGTTCCATGAGGCTGCTCGGCCGGCGTGCAAGACCCCCATCCTGTCGGGGGGTCGTGCTCCGCGACGACTTCATGCTCTTGAGCTCGGAGCTGAAGCTACCAGGAGCTCCGACCGAAGGGACTACTGACCCTCCCCGAAGGCCGATGGTCGCACTGCCCCCAGACTCGGAGCGAGCATTTCGCCCCGGCCTCGAAGCGGCGGTCTCCGCCCAGCTCCCATCCACGGAGCCGTCATCCTGACTGGAGTATGACCGTCCATCACCCAGTACACGGTGCTGGATTGATGTGGCGGAGAACCCTGAGTTGTGTCCGGACGCCATAGAGCTCCATCTAGCCGCAAGAGAGGAGTGGCTATCACCTGTCGCAATTGGCACCCGGGATGGAGGACTGCATTGAGTTCGTGGGCAAGAGTACGGGGTGCGTGCTATCGGAGCGGGCCAAGGTCCTTTGGGAGGCAAGGGTAGACGGAATGGGGGTCGACGGGGCTGGGTTGGTGACTGGCGGACGCCTCAAAGGGGAGGGAGGGGAGGGGAGGGGAGAGAGGGGGACGAGTTCACGGCGGTGGTCACGAAGCTAGGTGCGGCGAGGCTGAGGAGGGGACAGTCGGGAAGCCAGCGTCGAGGCGTTGGAGGCGTCTAGGGAACAAATCACAGATCACAAAACGCAGGTAGCACAGACCGCGCGGATGAAGGAGCAAAGCAAGAGCGAGCGAGCGAGCGAGCGAGCGAACAAGCAAGCAATCCGGCTTCTTCTCCAATCCGACGGCGGGTGGTTTCAGGCTGGATTCATTCCATGGCTTGGCCCGAGCAGCTGACTAACCGCATCTTATCGCCTCAGGCTGCCGCCGTCCGACCCTTCCTCACTACGGAGTACTCCGTACAGTCTACTAACTACTAGTACTCCGTACTCTCTGACAATCTGTACGTACTATACATGGCTAGGCGCAGGGCACATCGGGTGGCGTGCAAACACCCTGCGATGCATCCGTCGGAGATAAGGTATGTAATTGTGTAATTGGGTATTTTGAGTAATTGGGTATCTCGGTATCTGAACTGACACACGGCTCGATGTCTATCCACGAGGGACTTGAAACCTTGCTCATGAGACACATGAACAAGCAAGTCGGACTGGTAGCACGGACCTATGTACAGGGAGGTTTCGAAAGGTATAATGCAAGCGATGGAAAATTATTGAAAAAAAAAAAAAAAAAAAAAAAAAAAAAAAGGTATAGAGATCGTGTCGATGCAATAAAATGTTACATGAAGACAGGGGGAAGACAGGGGGATTAAGAAAGAGAGACAAGATGCTGTTGTGGGACAAACTCCAGATATGCAAGTCCCAACGAAAATGTACGCTTGGTAGTACAAAATGCTGATAACGATCGTGATATTCTGTGTAACCTTCATGGCAACCATGCCTTCTCCCGCGACGCCTCGACATCACTGCTTGGCTGGACGCAAAGCGTACTGTCGCTGCTGTTGTCATATTTGACTAGCACTTGTTTGTTTGGGCGGCGTCGGAAGAATGCCAGTCCAAACCTATTCGGGGTTTTCGGCTGCGATTTCGACCTCCGCCAGAGTATGACGGCCACGTAGATGACGAACATCGATCCGCAGATTATGCCATAGGCGATCGGGGAGGCGGGCGGGATATCGGGGTTTTTGGCGGCCGCGTAATGAAAGCCTACGCCGCCATTGATGATTCCCAGGGCTGCAAAGAAGCGTCCCAGGTAGCGATGGGAGATTCCGTACAGAGAGCTTGTCCCTGTCCGGCGGAAATGCAGATGCTGCATAATGCCCAGCACGGGCTGGATAAAGACAACGCCCCCCACGGCCACATAGCCGATGACGGGGTGGTAGCCCCCAATCTCCTGGAGGTCCTTCGAGACAGAAACCCCGACTCCAAACCCAGCCAAAGCCAGAAGGACTGCAAACATCTGCAGAGGGGCGTGGACCCACGGGACGGTACGTCGAGACGGGACATAGTATAAAAGAAGGGCGAAGTTGGGGAACAGAAGGACGAAGGCGACGGAGGTCATCACACCGTGTGCAATGCGCTTCTTGTGAAGAATGGTATCGCTGACCTGTTGCTGATTGATATATTGTGGGAATTTGAGCAAGTCAGACACCGGAACAAAGAACGGGTTGCTGTGGTTGCTACCGACAGCCTGGCTTAGATCCACGGTAAAAGTGCCATGCCAGTCGTGCTGGTACAAGGTCTCCGATACGTTACTGGACATCAGCGGGGGGCCGTGTGTCATGGCCCACATCCAGGAGCTGGAGTTGCTCAAGGCATTCCCTCCGCCGGCCAAGGTCGTGCAATTGTCACATCGGATGTTGGCGGTCATGACGCCGTCGTCTACACCGGACCCATCAAGCAGGTAGGCTTCAATACTCGAGTCATACAAGGGTTCGACATGGCCGGACGCCCTTCGAGTGGACAGGGTGATGTTGCGTTCAGATTCCGAGTAAACGATGAACATGTTCCCATCCGTCATCTGGGAACCCTGGCCCAGGGCAAACCATTTGATGCCGGGAGGGGCCTTCATCTGAAGGTAGATAGGACCGGACCCTGACGTGGAGGTATTCTGGGGTACATTAATGCTGTAGGAGATACCCGCCCCCTCAGAGGGCTTATGGCTGACGATTTGGCTGCAACCTGAGCGCACTGCAGCCAGTTAATCAGCATCTATACTGGAACAACATGGGAAAAACAAGCTTACCCAAGCCAAAGGCGCTCACTGCGGCGGTAAGAAAATGTGAGAATTTCATTTTGATGATAAGAAGGATCGGACTGAGCTGGATAGTGAGAGAATGGAAGGAAAGGTAGGCGATCGATCGTCAGATCGCGACGGATGTAATGGAAAGGGAATGGAAGGAAGGAGGAGCGGACCCAAGCCACTTCACGAATGCGAGTTATAAGGGAAAGGATAGGACAGTAATATTATCATGAAAGGATTGTTCTGAATGGAATATCACCAGGATTGGGTGGTGGCTACTCCCTGTGGAGGCTTCCTGGAGTTGTAGATGCTGGAATCTTGGCTGCTGGGGTACTGGAATTCATAGGCAGATGGGATCGGAAGCATCACTGCGCAGACACATTCCGTCAGTAACGGCTAACAAACATCGGGGAACGCTTCTACTGCATTCTTTCGGAGTACGAGATGAACCCCGTCCTCGCAATGGCGGCCCATCCGGCCCGTCAAGGCCGCCGTCAATCGCCGTCATGCCCATTGCCGAGATTCCCATCAAACGCGTGCGTTGGGGGGGGATGGGGGAAATGAGGGCGGTTCATACTTATAGCAGGATGAGGGTCGAGTTGCACATAGTTGTTCCAAGCCACATAGTGTTGCAGATGCCATGCGACAGATCTGCATGGCAATCGTAAAAACGATGATGAGATGGGAGATCACGCTACCATCCGTGCGAAGAACACCCCAGGCGGACCGGCTAGGTCTAACAACTGCCAGGGAACAGGAAGGCTGAACTGGGAGGTGATGGCAATCAAGCCTATTCAGATCCAGCAGCAATGGAAAGCAAGATTGGGTCCACGAAAGGAGAGAAGATCGTCAATCGAATTGGGCGATTGTCAGATAGATATGCCCACCGCCAGGCAAGCGGGTACGTTTATTTTTTTTTTTTCAGATCAGCCATGGCGAAAATCCTCGGACTTTTTCCAATTTAAAGTTCCCCCAGCTGCCACACCTCTCCGGGCTAACAGTGGACATACTTGGGAGAGTGGAATGGCCACATGGTCTGTGCTTCAGTGCTTTCCTGGGTCGGCAGTGGTCATGCCCAGACAAATTAGAAGGAGGGATTGGCGGACTGGGGGATGAGGGTAACCAGCAATGTCCCGAACCATACTAGCCACTTGGGGGGGGGGGACCCAAGGTGTCTGTTGGAATTGCCTAGACTCGTAGGAGGAGTAGTTGAGTTCGTACTGCGTACTTGGTAAACAGTGGTAGTTAGGGGGAGTAACTAGATAGTATGACTACCTATGAGGAGGTTACTCCGGGTAGTCCGTACCAGCGTACCAGGCAGGCTACCGTAAGCAGGCCCCTAATCAAAAAGGCCGGATTATGCCAATTCCCTGGGAGGAATTGGGGGTCCATGCTCGGGACAGTGTACGGAGTAGTGTAATGTGTATGGCCGCATCCATGCTAGACCAGTGTCTATCTAGTAGGGAGGAGGACGGAGTCGGGAAGCGTAGTGCCGGAATCCAGCATCATGATTTTCAACCGTCGGCGGACGGGGCATGCCATTGGGTCGGAGCCCAGCAGCTGATCAATCAGACCGCGGCCTGCAGCCGGACCCATCAAATGCTGTTCCCTTTTTTTTGAATTACTTTCCCTTTTTTTTTTCTTGTTCCACATTTTCTCCGTCCCTCTTTTTCCTTTTTCCTTTTCCTTTTCCTGTTTCCTGTTTCCTGTTTCTCATCAGTTCCGTTTGATGTTTCTTCCCTGATGTCTGCTGCCGACCTTCCTCCAACTTCCATTGCCCGCAGTGTCGAGGCAGAGGTTCCGTTGCATCATGCTCATCATCTCGGAATCGGGGGATTCCCGGATAGTCGACAAACCAGGAGTACGGTTCAAACAGTACTGCAGTAGTACAGGAAGGAGATGAGGGTGTACCACTCCGTACAGAGTAATGATGGTACTTAATACTGCTTAATATTTTCTTTCTTGGTCCTACTACTCCTTCTCCTTCTCCTTCCCCCTCCTTCCTGAGGAGGATCGTCTCCCCTAACCACTGACCACTAGCCACTAACCACTAACCACACTGGCATTGGCATCAAGACAGAGTTCTTACTTACACAGTTAGCGAGCTGCCCCCTCTCCCCCCTCCCCAAGTTGCTATCTCGTTCCGACTCCAGACTCCAGACTCCAAAGACGTCGAGCCGACTATCTATCTATTTCCTGCTGCTACTACGACGGACCATGTACTCCGCTTAATGTTCCTGGTGCCAATCATGGACCCTTTCGTCAGACGCGCTGAGTGGCCACTCGCCCGGCTGCCCTCGGGCGGATAAATCCTGAAGGGGGGGGGGGTTGGCACCCAATCAGCATCGGGCTCCCGTAGCTAAGACCAAAGTTATCGGATCTCGGAAGCAGTCGTGTTTTCGTACCGATCCAGGGCGTTCTTTTCGCAGGTCGCCCAGGGGTGGGCCCACGGAACAACGGGCCCAATCACACCGTCCCGCCACGCGATGGCTTTTCCACGGGTTGCGTTGCTCGACTGCACTGCGCGATGACTCGAAGACGGCGGTTTTACCTTTCTCGAAATAGGAGACCTGGCGACCTTGGGTGAAGGAAACTGGCCCTTACCCTTTTCTCATAAAGGGGGCTCAACCGTTCAACCTTCAACTGTCCCAAGGGGAACCGCGCGAAGGGAGGGGAAACTTTATTCGCCTTTTATGCCCCGTGCTTCCAGCATAGCACGTCTGTCTCCGTATTATTCTCCTTATGATTTACCTATCTACTGTCATTCTACGGTACGGTTCTCCACGCTGAAGCTCTTGACCGGGAACCCAGGCCACCTCTCTCCAACAGTTCCTTTCTCCTGGCCCCTCTGACAGAAGGTCCGGAATCGACGGAGATTGACCAAAAAGCGTGCCAGCGGAGGGGCCGGGTGTATAGGGCCATCGGTAGCCATTAAAAAAGGGCAAGTATGCCCATCATACTATGGCTAGGGGGAAGGTTGCGCAGCACCGGTTTCAGAAAAGAAGCCCCCTTTGTTTTGGGCTCCGGAAGCTGTCACGCATTGTGACTTGTCTCGCGTGGGCTAGGCCAATAACGCAAAAGGTCTCCGAGCCTCCGACACTCGATCAGTCCACAGCTCGGTTATTCTTAGCAAGAAATTTGCCATGCAACTACTAGCGCAGCCATGTGATACCCCACTTCTGGTGCTAGCAGTAATCACTGTGGCCACTCTTGACACTCCCACACCACTACATCATCTGGTGGCTGAAATACAATGGCCATGCAGGACAGCCCGGGAGCCAGCCATGTCATGGATGATGACGGCCACAGCCGGGATTCCAGTGTCGCTAATTCCGACTGGAATGATACGACACTCTGCCCTACCTACCTACCTACCTACCTAGGAGTCTAGGACGGCCCGGATGGTCCCGTCAAAGAATGGAGTCATGGTCATAGTTATTTCTGTCATACTCACGTTTAGGCAGTTACCTAGATACCGGCCATAGCTCCCTGGGCGCAGTCCGAGCTAGATTCTTGGTTCTCGTGTTCAGCTTCACCTCTGAAGGTAATCTGGTTGGCAGTGCGTCACCACTGACTACTCATACAAAGTTTCAGCGTCGGCGTCGGATCGTTCGCATTGTTCGCATTACCCCGTATCACCGCTGAAGTAAACCGAGCAGCAGACATGGAGTACTAAGGGAGGCAAGTAAGAGTCTCTAACTATCTAGTAGGTACTACTTTTAGGTAAGTAGGAGTTCGGTGTACTCCGTACTCCGTCTCTCCTCTTTGAAATTCAAATTCTGACCTATCCACGGAGTATCTCCCATCTCGATCCAAGCCACGCCCGTCGCCATCTACGCACCTACCTAATTAGTCCTCATACGATCGATAATAAAAGCCCGGTGTAATATTACTCCTCTCTATCTACGGAGTACGAACCGATCGAACCCCAGCGCGCCCGTGGTGGTCCGCGGACTCATCCCATCCGCAATGACTGACTGGGATCGAGACTATCCATATTCCATCTACCTACTCGTCGAAGCCAGTCTAAAAAAGGGCACTTGCTGATTGAAGGATTGGGTAGGTTATTGAGTAGATAGGATGGATCAACCACCCGATTTCCCAAACCAGGCTATGCATGTAATATGAAGGAAGCGACCAGTTGCAACCAGCCACAGCAAGTCTGGGTGTTATTCAGAGGTCAGAGGGAAGTCAGTCAGCCCATGAACCCACAACCCACCCACTCACTATCTACAAAGTCCAGAATACGGTCAGTATCTAGTAGATAGTAGATAGAAATCTACTCCGCCTAAATACGATCTGAAATCTTAGACTTTTGGCAGACTAACACAGATGGACCGTAGTCAGGTACTCCAGCGGATTACCTAGTTACATATTACTATGGAGATTACTTAGGTCTTGGGTCTTCGATGGGAAACCTACTTCGCACTTGGCTAGGGAGCTAGACATACTGGCTCCAGTCTAGTCCCTCTAGCGAGTGGTAAACCGTAATACTAATTGACTGACCCATGAAACGTATGCGAATTGCCCTAAAGGGATAAAGCCCATGCCGGCGGATAGCATTGGAAAAATTCCCGTGCGCAAAGAAAACTACCTAGATACCTCCTAGTAATCTAGTTGGTGGTTGGTGGTTGATGGTTGGTGGTAGTCCTCCGTCGTACCTGAACATACCCCATCCCCATCGGATGGATACCACCTAACAACCGCGCAACACAAGTCAGTCATTCATCCCAACCACCACCACCACCACCACCACCACCACCACCAACAATCATGAAGAATGATAGGAGGCGTGGCGCCACTGACAGGTACGTATCTAATATGAGTAGAGTGTACGGGGTTCTCCGTGCCTGATGTTCCTTTATTAAACACCCACGGACTCCGCGATCCGATGACAGAACTTCATGGCTCATACCCCCTCATACCTAATGTATCTACCTGCTTGTTTGTGATTAGCCCTAAGGGATAATACTTCCGCCACCGTTACTTAGGTACTGGTACTCCTCGTACCAGCTGCTGCCTATTACAAATTATTTGTTATGGCCTATGATTAAGATTAAGATTATGGTTTATGATGATTTATCTACTCGTCGTCGCCTGCGGTGCGCGCTGGCCCCGGTCCCAGTTCCAGTCCCAGTCCCAGTCCCAGTCCCATGGATCACCACGGTCCAGGGAATCGGTGTCTTTTATACTCCGTATGGGACTCGTATATATAAGATACCTTTTTGGTAAGAAGCATACCTAGAGTAAGAATTTCAGGAGTAAAACATAAGATTATTAGTCATATAATCAATATCATAGTATAAAAAGCTCATACATAGGATCATACTCTAATTCTGAGAATATCATGGCTTGTGCTTGGTATGAAGGTATCAACCTTGTTCTCTTGATCTTAGAAAGAAAGACAGACGAAAGTTGCATCCTCTTTTCCGCATATAACTAAAAGAATGCTAACATTTAAGTATCCTTATAAAGATACCAAGTACATATCTAATATTATAATAGAATTATTGGACTTTCTATACAAGTATCTTCATATAGAAATCCCACACAAAAGGTACTGAGTGATTCACTGGTCTGTGGTGGTTCGTCCTCCTACTGTGGCCAACCCAACCCGTCAGGATGAGTCGGCCAAAGTGCCCTCGCAGAGCAGGCGACGAGCAACTAATAAAAACTACGTGCATATTCAGAAGGATAGTAAATGTAAGTAAAATATTTCCTTTTAAAATACTATTATAGCATTATGTGTAGACAGCATGAGCTGCGATTCAAGATATATATAAAGTAAAGACCTGGAAAATCGAACTGTTAACACGAGATCAAAACAGCATAACTGAGACAAATCATCATGAAGAATGGTTTTTGGTTTCAGACAAAGAAAAATAAGGTAGCTGAGATGTTACATCATTGACGGACTGGCAGATTCGCAACCGCCAGAATGGTTAGGAAGCTAGCCACCAGTCCATGCTCGAGCCAAATGCACTCAAGTCATCATCCAAAAGGGAGGGAGGTGTGGAGGGAGAGGAGGTAAGAAAGGCATAAAGTAAAAGCTCACCTATTACGAAAAAGCAAGCCACCAGGGCGATTGTCGAAAAAAAAAAAAAAAAGAAAGAAGAAAAAAACCTCCCGGAAGGAATAAACGAGTATTACCTCCAACCTGCTGCGCTGAGATAGGCGTACATCTTGCCCATGCCAGTGGAAGCAGTCTCCTTGATGAAGCCCATGTTGGCAGTGTCGTTCGGTGAGAACCGACACCGTGCAAGGCAGCAGACTCGATTGAGCCAATGGAGCTGCTGTCTGCTTGCTTGGAAATTCAAGTTGGGGAGAGGAAGATGGGAAGCTGAGGAGACGCAGAAGAAAAATTTAAGTAAAGGTGCTTGAAGCTCGACTCCGGGCCGACTGCGACCCGTTACTCCGGCTGTCGGTTGGCGGCCTGAATGCCTCAAGCCTCAGGCTGCATCAGGCTGCCACTCGCTTGGGCACGGTCAAAGGCCGACGACCGGCCAATCAGAACGTGTGCCGCCGTGGGTAGGGCACACACCAACTCATTTTCCGTATCCAAGCCAACGGCGGCCGCATCGACTCTTCCTCTTTTTCTTCTTTTTTCCCTTCCGTATTCCATCCATCACCAGCACATCGACAAAATGCCTCCCAAGAAGACCCCCACTGCCGCCAAGGAGAACGTCTCTCTCGGTCCTCTGGCCGGAGATGGTATGTACAAAATCTCCCAATGCGCCATGCAGTACAATTTTTTTTCCATAGGTCAGAGTTCTAATGTCGGGGATCTACAGGCAAGCTCGTTTTCGGCGTTGCCCGTATCTTCGCCTCTTTCAACGACACCTTCGTTCACGTCACCGATCTCTCGTACGTCGCATCTTTTCCTTCCAACCGCCATGCACATGTTTCCAGCGAAAACCTCTTCCTCCGCAGAATTTGCGCGCGCGATTTGTCTGGGGAGGGAGTTGGGATATCGTGGAGGAACTGATGTGCCGTGGCTATGAATTGTCCCAGGACACAGTTTGGCTAACTTTGGGATAACAGCGGCCGTGAAACCATCTGCCGTGTTACCGGTGGTATGAAGGTCAAGGCTGACCGTGACGAGTCTTCTCCCTACGCCGCCATGTTGGCTGCCCAGGACGTTGCCGCTCGCTGCAAGGAGCTCGGCATCAACGCCCTCCACATCAAGATCCGTGCCACTGGTGGTATGTTAACACCTGCAAAGAAGAAAAGAAAACAGAACAAGAGCCTCAAGACTAACCCCTCCCAGGTAACGGCACCAAGACCCCCGGTCCCGGTGCCCAGTCCGCTCTCCGTGCCCTGGCCCGTGCCGGCATGAGAATCGGCCGTATCGAGGACGTCACCCCCACCCCCTCCGACTCTACTCGTCGCAAGGGTGGTCGCCGTGGTCGTCGTCTGTAAGCATGTGCGGGTTCGTCTTTTCCAAGCTGTGCGGAGCTTTTGGCTCCGTCTGGCTGGATTGGGGGCTACCGGCTGGGTTTATCCTTGCTTGCAGGATGTGGATGGAATAAACGCGGAGAACGGCCTTCGTCGCCTGGTCTTCAATTTATTACATACCCAAAAGTGTGTTTGGTTCTAGAACTAAGTGGTCTCGTGTCCTTATGGCAGCTGCTCTCGTCAATATAAATATCTGGAACTGTATTTTTGTTACTGTAGCTTGTGACTGGTCAATGTCAGTCATTAGGAATCGTTCTTTTCGTAGTTGGCTTCCTGTCCTGGGGCCAGAAATGCTTGGATCGTAGTGGCCTACATAGATCAGCATTCAAGACCATTGTCTTCATTCACTCATGAATGACAACACTTGAGTTATATATAAAAAGAATGCCATTCCTATAAGCAAAGCGGGGTCCCAAAAACACCGAGGGGAAAAAAAATCAATATAAAAAAAACGGTGATCCAGGCTTATCCCGCGACGATGAAGCTAAGATAAGCAATTTATCACAAATTCTCCAGCCCACCACCTGTCTGTCTGCCTCTCAGTGTCTGCATCTACCCCAGACCTTTTCCACCTGGAGTCCCTTACAGGACCCTCGTGTATTAACCAGTCCAGTCATTCTCTAGTACTTCCGATCCCCCTTTCATCGCGCATCCCGCGCAACCCCGCTTAACCACCGTAACCACCAAGCTAAATTGACGTCAGCTTTGCGATCCGCGCGGTCTCTCATTTCTTTTCTTTCCTTTCTGCATGCAACACGGCCACCAAGCAGACACAACCGGACAGCTTTCTTTCTGCATGAGATCGGGTCCGTGAAAACAATCCTCGTCTACACTGTACACACCTCCTCATCCAACTCAAGCTTGCGCCATCATAACGCTCAACCTCACCCCCTCCCGGTAGTACCGTACCACCCACCGGCCAACTACCGAGCCATGGCCTCCTCCATCTCACCCTCCCCGACCATCCTGCTCCCCCATCTACCCCCGAAAACCCTCGTCGGCATCGACCTGATCACATTCACATCGACGCCCAACTTCCACGGCATCCGCGACCTCCCACGCGGCTGGCACTTCCTCTATACCGGCACGACGGAGAGCCTCTCCCTCCGGTGCGGAGGGTGGTTCTACATCGGCGACATCGACGCTTTCTCCCACCACCATTACCACCACCACCAACAGCACAAGAACGACGCGACGGCACTCGTGCCCTCCTCCTCATCACTCCAACAGTCAAACTCCGTCTCCGATATAATTATCTGGAAATGGAACACCGACACCGAAACCCTATCCCCGCTCCGCTCCGCCAACGACGCCGATAAACAAGAAGCAATGCGCCACAAAGCGAACCTAGCAGCCATCTATCAACGAGGCGGGCTCTTCTCGTACCGCAGCCGGGTATCCTCCTTTACTCCGACTCCGACTCCGGGGTCGGGGGCAGGGGCAGGGGCAGGGGCAGAGTCAGGATCAGGAGGCCAAGCAGCTCGATTTCGGCTCGACGAGGAGGACGAGGAAGAAGGACGACAGAATTGGCAAGCGCTGACGAGTCGGCTCACGCCGCGGCTTTTGGATCGCGTGGTGGGCGAGCCGCTCGTCGATGTGGATGGGAGGGCGCGCTGGATGGTCACGTCGGCGAGCACGGCGCCGAGGGACAGCGATGTGATACCGGGGCTGATGGATTCGGCGCAGGCGGCGTCGGAGCTGGAGAGGGTGACGGGGGAGAAGGAGAGTGGGTTTGGGTTTTTGATGGTGGAGTTGAAGAGGACGTGGAGGGAGGGGGCAGTCGGGAGGGAGAGGACGGAGGCGGCGCAGGATCGGTCGTGGGCGTTGGGGGATTTGGTGGGGAGGTTTGCGGAGGGCGATGGGGAGGCGCAGGTGCTTGGGGAGCTGCAGTTTACGTTTCTGATGGTCTTGACGTTGATGAATTACTCGTGTTTGCAGCAGTGGAAGAGGCTGTTGGAGTTGGTCTTGACGTGTCGGAGGGCGATACGGGAGCGTGAGTCGTTCATGAGCGATGTGTTGAGGTTGTTGTTGTTGCAGCTTCAGCGATGTGATGATGTGGAAGGCGGGCTGTTTGATCTCGATGGCGAGGAGGGGGGTGAGTTTCTACGACGGCTACTTATGAGGTTCAGACGGTCACTTTACGAGGTTGTGGATGGGGCTGAGTCTGTGGTGAAGACCGAGTTTGAGAACCTGGAGGCTTGGGTCAAGGATGAATACGACTGGGAGCTGAATCGCGATGTGTTTGCCCGGCGGGGGATGGTTCAGTTGGAGGATGGCGAGGAGGTGGAGTTGGATATGCACGATAATGATGAAGATGATGAGTTGGGCGAGTATGCCCCCATGGTGGTCGAGCTTGAGGGAGACTCAACGCAGGATGGTGTGGATGTGGATGTGGATGAGGATGAGGATGAGGATTGACCATGAGTGAATGAATTACTACCTCTGGATGTATGTATGTATGTATATATACCTACCCTCAACATTGTCTATGTGCGATTCCAAATCAGTTACTACGGCCAAGTGCACGAGATTACGAGCAAATACATGAATTGAAGAAAAGCGTAACACATCACATGAGTCTAAGAGATCTAGATCTAATCAATCAATGAGGGGTTGTCGTTAGTATGTACAAGGAATGCAACCCCGCCTCGTCTCACCCACCACACCATACCACACCACCCCTTTTCTACACCCGGCTCATCTCTGCCACCCTCCTTCCCAGAAGGACATGGCCGTTTATTTCTCAGACTCGCCCTCGATGACATATCCCCATTCGTGGACCTCGGCGCCATCCTTGCCGAACATGATGGCCTCGAGCCACGACTTGATCTGAGCCGCGTATCCGGCGCGCTCAGCACCAGCATCCAGCATGTTCATATCGACATCGTCGCTGCGGATCAGCTTGACGGGGGTGACGAAGTACTAGAATCCAGAGTTAGCATGGGCATGACCATATCTGTGTCAGGTATGGAGTTGCTCTACTTACAGCAGTACCGCAGACGAACGCCTCGACGATACGGCCCTCCTTCCACGCCTCGTGCACATCGCTGATGGTGAACTGCTTCTCCACCACCTCGACGGGGGCAAGGCTGCCCGAGGACTGGGTCAGACGCTTGCGTGCCAACTCCAGAACACTGCGGCGAGTGACGCCGGGGAGGATGAGCTGGTTCTCCAGGGGAGCGGTGACCAGCTCGAGCTTTCCGGTGTCCTTGTTCTCCCAGACAATGAAGAAGTTGCTGGCGCCGGCCTCGGTGACCTGACGGTCCTCGCCGAACAGCCAAAGGACCTGGTCGAATCCGATGGCCTGCGCCTTGCCGTGGGACACCAACGACGGACCATAGTTCGCGCCGAGCTTGGCGTATCCAAAACCGCCGGGCCAGGCACGGATGGTGTCCGGGTTGGAGGCGAGAAGCTTCAGACCGTGCTGGCCACCGGCGGCCTCGGGCTTCTTCTTGGAGGGGTCGGGCCACGGCACGGCGATGATGAACAGGAGGGCTTCCTTGGGCGTCTGCACGCCCAGGTGGGGGCCGTTGCCAATCATGGCGGGACGGAGGTAGAGGAAACGACCGGGCTGGTCCTTGGGGAGCCAACCTGTGGATGAAGGGGACATGGTCAGCCACGACGAACGGGGATATTATCCGCAATTGAAATGGTGAAGGTGGCGGCACTTACGGGGACCGTCAATCTGCATCAACTTGGCGATGAGAACCTTGAGCTCGTCGAACTTGAATCCCGGCAACGAGGCCCGCTGGGCGCTGCTGACCAGGCGCTCGCCGTTGCAGTCCGGCCGGAACAGACGCAGCTTGCCATCGTATCCACGGTATACCTTCATTCCCTCGAAACACTCGGTAGCATAGTGCAGGCAGGACGCGGTAGGCGGGACGCTCAGGTTCTCGAACGGCCTCACTTCGGGCGTCTCCCAGCCAGCGGCGGCGGTCCAGCGGACGGTGACCATGTGGTCGGTGCAGTAGGAGTGGCTCAGCTCCTCGGGGGAGCCTGGAAGGGGCACATCGCGGAGATCGGTCCGACGGGTGACCTTGACGACGGAGGCATCCATCTCGGCGAGAGAAGGCGCAACGGAACCCATAATGGCGTGTGAAGGAGGGTGAAGCACGATTTGCGAGGGAGACTCGGGGACGCCACCGACTAATATATCAGTGGGTGAGAGGTGATTGGGTGCCAGTAACTTCCGGGGTGGTTATGAGTCACGAAACAGACAGACAATAGCCGTCCTGACGATCCGTTCGGGACGCAACGACCTGAATACAGTATAATATGGATGTGCCGGGATCCGATAACGGAGAGTACTATGACCCGACTTGCAAGAAACGTGCACGTTTTCCACGCTGCCAACGGCCCAAATCGGGAAAAAAATGGATATGCAATTGATGCAATTGATCAAAGCAAGCACAGATTATTATCAATCAGAGCGGAAGTTCGTACCATCCACTTGAATTTAAAGCAAAGGGGGGGGGGGGGAGGGGCACCAGGCCGAGGGGGGGGCAAAAGAAAACTTTTTGCGGGCCGAGATTGAGAGTCCTTTCGCGGTGTTTGCCATCGATATCCGAACCTGAACCGATATCATCACTGACAGGGCGCGACGCGACGCTGGAGGATTCCACTATGATTGGCTCCCATCCTATCCTCTGTCCTCTTCCATTTGTAACGAAAATCCCCCGTCAACCTACGCTATAACGTTAAAGCATACCCTGTTTTTTTTTTTTTTTTTTTCTGCCGATTCTTCCACGCCCTGCATATAATATACTACTAGTGCAACCCCAAGTGCCGCGCCGCCGCCGCCTTTGCCCCCTTCGTATCAATCAATCGGCGTGGATGCCGCGTCTAGCCGAGGGCGGTGTCCGCGCTATCCGATCCGATAGCACAGAGGAGATGGGAGTCATCCGCGCTGGATTAGGCAATTTTTTACATTACTAGTCGGGACTCCCCGATATGTTTCTGCCTTTGTGCCTTACCGCCTTGCTGCCTTGGCTTGATTGCCTTACTACCTTTCTGCCTTAGCTTTATTGCCTTACTGTCTTGCTGCCTTACTGCCTTGCTGCAAATCGCCTGAGGCAGGAATGGAAGATGCGATGCTTGGCGGGGAAGACAGAGAGCGATCGAGGGCTGGAAAGTACACACACACACACACACACACACACATAGACACAGTAATTGGGTATATCCTTGCCGATAACCGGCATACGCTTGAGCTAGTAGATAACTATACCCAGGCGGGGGGTGCATCTGGAGAACAAAGAAATGTTGCATTTAGGGTTTTGGATACATACTATACCTAGGAGTTTAGGACAGCTAAGTACTAAGTATGGGGATACTTAGTTAGTTACTACTACTGCCTTGGGAAGTAGTACTTTCCTACTGAGTACGTATATACCTACTGCATGCTGCATGCATGCTGCACTATAAAAACACAGACCCCGTCTCCACCCACCTCCATATGTACTTTGTAGACCGAGGAGATGAGTTGAGATAGAGACAGATACAAGAAAGAATGAATGAATGTGATGGAAAGCTCAACGGCCCCTAGAAGTTTCCCTGTAGTAGTTACCCAAAGGGCGCGAAAATGAACCAGCTGTTCTTCGCCGTGTTTGGTCGCTCGCTGCTCTGCTGCTATGGAGTACAGTGCAGGCAGGCAGATACTAGGCAGACCGAACAGGGCAGACAGGCAGGGCAGATAATGGTACCTGCGAACTTAACTTTATATGCAGACTATCCTTTTCATGGACAATTTACTTGCCCGGTAATTAGCTAGCTACTTAGCTGCCAGGTAGGTAGGAGTGAGTAGCTGGCACAGGGTGCCGTCTAGCCCTGTGCGTGAACAGTACAGTGCATCTCGTTTAAATCGCGGTGTATGCGAGAAGGGAAGGGAAGGGAAGGAAAAGGAAGGGAAGTAAGGATAGAGAGAGAAAGGGGAGGTGGGGGGGGGTTTTCCGGCTCTAAGTTATCTCCACTCTGGGGAGTGCTAGCTTCGGTGCTAATTAGTATCTGGTATATATAGAGGACTGGTATAAAGGATTTGCATTAGTACTAGCACTATTGTGTCTGTACTTGCAGTCTGACCAACCTACAGACCAAGAAACAAACAAACCTATTCCCCTACCCCAGATAACGGCCCAAAATCGTAAAAGTCCAGGAAATGGGAGAAAATGGGAGAAAATGGATGCCTGAACCGCAAACAAAGAAAGCCATTGTTGCGTTGCTGGCTTTCAGGCCGCCCGCATCAGCCGCCCACCTAAACTCGGACGCTGCAAGGGTTTCTCCCCCCTCCCTCCCCCCCGATCGATCTGCACCCTCGCTGAGCCCGGATTTATATTTAGGCAGGCATGATGTCGGGTAATACAAACCGACCCTTCTGACAGATGTCAGGCCCCTGCATGCGCGTGTCGTGAGGCCGTGATAGGGGAGATACCTGGGGCCGGAACCGGCCGACGGGAGGGAAAAAGGGGCTAGGGGAGGAGGTGGTTGATGACAGCGTGATGACCGTGGACTGCGACTAATACAGTACTAAGTATATAGTTCCCTGGGTTAGAGATGCACATATCAATCACTAGCCAAGGTCCCAGCCGAGATGCCCCAGGGTTTCTTAGTTAGGGCACCGCTAAAGAAAGGGTTGGGATCGAGTGCCGGCAGCGTGGTGGGCGATCGAGGGCCGCGGTTCCGCCAGCGTGATTGGCGATGGACCAGGGGATCTGCGGTGGCAGAGAGGCCTGGCAGGCTGGAGGCATCTCTGGTTTCTGATGCGGTACAAGACCTGGGGTCCCTCGTGCGAATCAGAGGCGTGAGCATCGGGGAGGATGGCAAAGTCTCATGCATGTCACTGTGATGTAAAGGGCCTGTCAGGTGACCCTCAACTGGCAACCAGCAACCAGCAGGCTGCGGTAAAAACTGCCTGCCCTACCATATCAGAACAATCCTGCCAGCCGTATGTGCACACTTCCAAGTTATCATCCTGAACCTGGCGGCAAGTGATCCTAGTGATCGACCGGCACGACCGTTGCCGCCGCATCGGCGGCAATGGCGGGTGGGTATCTACTCCGTGCTTTGTAGATACTAGACGGGATGGATAGTTGACGCCTTTCCCGCTCCTTTTGGGGAACTATGTATCTGGGCATGCATGAGTGCCCCGAGGGGGGAATGTCAACCTGTGTGATCGGTAGAGAGTGATGCTCCATACTATTCTCTACAAAGTACGGATTCTCGCGCCCCAGATTAAGCTTATGCTCCCCAGAGCAGAGCCGGGCGAGGCCCCACTGCAAGAAGACACGGTGCTGTGGTCAGTGTAACAACACAGTCAGTAGTAGATAGACTCATCTGTCTATCTCTCAAACTGTCCTGTGATCATGAGACCCCGGCCCTCACCCGTTCAGCCGGTTTTGCCACGAGGCATGTTGCGGTCACGGAACTTTGCACCGCACAAACCACCGACCTCGATCCCAGGTACTATGTACCAAAGGATGTGTCGATCCTCATCCCAGCCTTGAATGCGGGGCCTGCGACTTTGTACAGGAGATTGGTTAGAATAGACGAACGACGAAAGAAGCTGAGAGCCCCTTTCTATCAGACAGGCCAGCGGTGGCTGATGTAAGAAGACAAGTCTGGCTCAGGCTTGTCGGACCGCCGGTTGATTGTGCTCTGGTGGATCTCAACCTCAGACAAGCGTAGGATGGATGCCATCCCCATAGTACTGCGGGCCGGCGAACTTTTCCACCTATAGTATCGACTGTGCACCTCAAACACCTCAAGCACCTTTACTGCCTCGTGCCTTGTTGCTCTATTTTTCTCTCTGTCTGCCCTCTTTCTTTTTCTTTTTTTTTTTTTTGGCCTTTGGCCCCCCCCTCCCCTCCTCCCCCCTCCCCCCCTTCCCTTGCTTTTACTTTGCGGTTCGTTCGTCCGATGGCTGTCTTCCCCAGCCTGTCAGATCGCGAGTTCTCGATGCTACCCAGAAGTAGACTTTGGTCGTAGTCGTCATGTAATGGTTCTGTATGCCCTCCATGGCATTGGGTGCCATCCAACCTAGTTCGTAGGACTCGTGAGGGCAACCCGACGGGGCCACGGAGGTTGCAGCAGGTGGTCTGCTCCGTGCCACACTCCCCCCTCTGACGGCCCGAAGGTAGCGGCCTAGGGGACTCCATCCCCATCCTGGAATACCTACCTGTCACTCTATATGCCCCTCGCCCCAAATGGAGATTCCATCACGGGGCTAGGCTGGTGACACCTAAGCGTCCCCAGCCCTCGCAGATTGCGCCATGAGCCATGGGAGCTAATCAAGACTTTTTTTTTTTTTTTTTTTTTGGTTGGAAGGAAGAGGTGTAAACCGCCCGCCAACGGTGTCCCTGCCAGTAAATCGAACAGAAACGGATATAAGGCGGTAATAATAGATACGCGGGCAGTCGCGATCCGAGACGCCTTGCGCTGGGCGAGACCGTAATTCTTGTTCAGGGACCGCAAGGAAATGAGTTAGGCTTTATTGTCAGGGCCCCTTGTTGGTGATCAACCAGAAAACCGGACCTCATGCCTGTTTGCTTTTGCCCCCTCCAGAAGCCTCCCATATCAAGCCCATTATTATCTGGCTCAAACGATGTGGCTTTGGGAGGTTGTTAGTCATAGTCCGGGTGATTAGTTATTAGTTGGCTGGCTTGTTTCTTGCTGGGTCTTCGTGCGTCTCCCAACGGCCCCCCCCCCCTTTCCCACCCGGTATAGAAAGCAGATCGCCTTCGATCACGTGCCTCCAGACGTTCCTCATCGGCCAAGTCCTCTCGACGCTCCTGGGTTTATATCCCTCGCCAACCCGCCTCGTGCCTCGTTGTCGCCCCTTTCGTGCCGTGGGAAACCTCCCCAGCGACGACGACCACCGACCGTTAGAGCCTCCCCATCCGTATTGGACATAACATGTCTGTTGATAGCAAGCCCGAAGCAGCAGTTCTTTTTTTTGGCAGTTGACAAGGTTAACAAGCCCTCGCCGTGTTACAAGAGAAAAAGAGGTGAGGGATTCTAGTTTCATATTGTCTTCTGTGGCTAGGTCGAGGGTTCGTTTTCTGGCAACCTGTCTCCAGCGTATGTCAGCCACCTGGGTGGGTGGAAGCAGTACCACCGAAGATTTCATCGGCGTTCCCAGTCGCGTGAATCGACTGACCAAGCGACAGCTCGACCACTAATCTAGTGATGCAATAGCATTCCCACATTCCCTGTTAGCCACCTTTCCTTCTGGAAAGGACGTGCTGTCCACCATGAACACCGAAAACCAGGGTAAACACCTTCCCTCCCTTGCTCCAGGGCCCCGCGGCCCGGTTGCTGCTGGCGCAACCACCTTAGCCAAGTCGAGAAAGAACTCAACGGCATGTTTGCCATGTAAACAGGCGAAGAGAAAGGTAAGGCCAAAATCCTGGACCCGTGGACTGGAGACGAGGGGAAATCAGAGGGGAGAAAAGGCGGGTTCGAGTCACACAGAAGCCACTGGCTCCTCCCTCACTCTCTCCCGATTGATCGATTCACGATACCCCCCGCTATCAATCTTCGGACTAACATTTCGGCTTCCCAGTGCAGTGGACGCCCACCACCCTGCAAAGCATGCCAAAACACGGGAGCAGACTGTATTTTCGACGAGACACTCGACCTAAGGCGGAAAGTTGCTGCTAGACGCACCCAGGGAGAGCTGGAATACTACCGAGGCCTGTTATACTCCCTTCTCGAAACGCTCCGTTCCGCAGATGAAGAGAAAGCCCGTCGAATGCTGGAAAGAATCCGTGGTAATGTTGATTTGAATGACATCACCGCAGCCATTGATGAGCCTGCCAATGATCTCAGTGACGGAAGTTCAGAGCACTCGAAAGGGGCAGAGGACGCCATATCTCAACACGAACGTCTGTTAGCCGACGCCCACTTGCGGATAACGGTGGAAAAGCTTTGCGATAATCCCTTATTCCGAATGCCTTCCGGGCCTTGGACGACTATCACCAATGATGACCACCTCATTTCGCACCTCATATCTCTGTACTTCACCTGGGACCATCCGTTATTGCAGGTCGTGGATCAAGACATATTCCTTAACCAGATGTGTTCTAGAGACAAGAATTCGGAGTGCTGCTCCTCGCTGCTTGTGAATAGCATGCTAGCAGTCGCAAGTGTGCGTCGCTTCCATCACCTGTCCTTTCCTTGAAGACGGGTTTCTGACAGTGACAAGATCTATTCCGATTTCCCAGAAGTGTTCGCCATACCGGATGATGAGACGTCACGAGGCCAACACTTCTACAATGAAGCGGAGCGGTTGTGGAAGGCGGAGGAAGGCCAAGTTTCGCTAGTCAACATTCAAGCCGTGGCCCTAATGAGTCGGTTGTATGATTTGCACAAATTCGCCTTTGCCGTGATCGAATGTGTATGATGACTGACTGTTTCAAGCCTGAAATTCCAGGGTAAAGAGAACCTAAGCTGGCTGATGCTCAGACAAGCGGTACAGCTTGGCCAGGACTTTGGCATGTTCACGTCCCCAAGGACAAGACACCGCCAATGGGAAGTGATGCCTTCCAGGATGCAGCATCTGGGTGCGATTACTGCCTGGGGTATTTTCATCTGCAACTCGTATGACTCCGTCTCCACCACATCTACCGGGCTAACAGCTAACCCCTGCAGTCAAACATCGCTGCAAAATGGCAAGGTTGCAGAATTGAAGCCTCCTAGGTATAAGCCATATCTCGTGAGTGGAATCGACGACCATATTCTGTGGACTCCGTACCCTCGCTTCAACCAGGTCGACTACGTCAAGAAACCGGCGCATCTCCGTTTTGTTGCGACCAAGATGATTGAACTGACGGAAATTGTGATCGATGTACAAGCCCTGTTGTTTGACAAGGGGCTCGACATGAGTATTGGCGAACTATGGATGGCGGCAGGTGGAATATATGTTCGGTTGAAAGATTGCCTTGGTGGTCTACCGGATATCCTCGACAGCGAGGATGAGAAAGTCCCACAAGTCTTATGCGTGTAGTAAGGGCATAAGCCAAATCCTTCGCCGGCTTGGCGATATCACGCACAGGTTCTAACGGCTGGTAGTATCGGATATCACCATACCATCGTGACACTGTTCCGGTTCTTCTTGGAGCATCAACAGTTTGGGCCGGCGTCACACCCATCTGAATTCGAGCAAGCCAAGCAGAAACAGCTCCAATCGGCAAAAGAAATCGTTCAGTACCTCCGCCTATACCATGAAAGTTATGGATTGCGCCAAATACCGCGGCAAATACTCGAGCCCACCAATAGTAGTCTGCTTGTATTGCTGGGCTTGGACGATGACGATTCGAAAGACGCGTTTGTCGAGCTCTGCCGGTTCATGGTGGCATTTAGTAAGAGGCTCGCGCTGGCCAAAGAGATGCTTCGCAACCTTGAAGGTATCGTTCGGTCCGCGAGGCTCAGGCTACCGCCAGAAGCCGTGGCCGTGCTAGATCACAAGGGGCTAGAGACTTCACAATGGCTGTGACCTAGCGCTTTGCGGGGGAGGGGGTTAGCAGTGCAGCCTTATCATACTCAAACAGACAAGATCCGTCCTATTTGTATCATGGAGCCATAGAGATATCAAATGGGATGGAAAGAGAACGAGATTGTTCAACAACGTTAAGCCCTTCCTAGGAAATGAAGTAATTCGCGTCTTGTGCCGTAGGGCGATTTGTTTTGGGGGGAGGGGGGTGAACTGCCACTTCCCGGTCAATGACGACCTGCATTTCGAAAGAGAACACGGGAAAGAAAAGGAACGACGATTGAATGTCTCCATGGACACTCTTGGGGGCCTGGGGGGATTGGGGGTGCCTTGAGAAGCCAGAGAGAGTCAGGAAGGATGAACGGAGCGCGGGCAAGTACGGGGAAGCGAAATTCGGAGAACTCGAGCTACGGCAGGGAGAAGGACGAGACCGGTGGATCGCAGCCCTGATCGAGAAGGACCCATGGCCAGGAGCCACTGACAGCTGGTTCGCCTCAAAGGATACCTTTTCCGCTGGCACGCACCAATGGTCGCCGGTACCATACTTCTGTGTTCGCCCGGCCACTAAGTATGATCCATCCGTCTACGATCCACGATCCATTCTGCACGATACCATCTATCAGATGGATGCATCAACTCCATGATGCAGTAGTGGTTTATAGGTTAATTTTAGGGCAGCCTCTGCCCTTACGTACCCCACAGCCATCGTAGGGACTGTCGTTATGAGTGAGGAGAGAAAGGAATGGCAATGGCAACACGTTCATCCTCCATCTGCGAGTGAACAACCCCCCCCCTCCCCCCCCTTCAATCTCTCTCTCGCACCTAGCACCGAGAACTATAGTGTCTTATCCACAAATGCGATTCCTTCAGGCAGCGGGGAGAAGGAAGCAGTTAGCCATGTATTCATTGCTTAGTCGCCTATGAGTTTATTGACTACCGCACCGACGTGGACCTTCTTCCCCTTAGGGAACCTGTCAATGGTAGTTGGATACTAGTACTAGTGCTCGCTCGCTGAAGGTAGATGCTTAAGTAGCTAAATGCCTCAATGCCCAAGTGTCCACGCACTACGGAGTGGTCCGTCGTGAGGACCAGTACATATTCGTAGCAGTCTCCGTTCAGCATTCAGGGAAGATCTTCTGAAACAACGGACAGAAAAAGGCAGCAATGCTACCACTATCAAGAAGCCCACTTCAAATCCCGATGGGTGAAATGACCAACCGGAAACTCCGAGAAAGACTAGCACGATTACGTATATCTACGCCGTTGGTACACATTCTTCGCGCGCAACCATTGTGGGATCCGCGTACAACCTAAGACAGAAGGGCAGACTCGAACAAGAACAGCCCCCAAGTCCAACACGTAAGGAGACGGTCAGAGCCAATTTTGGCTTTCCATCACCGGAGCACCACAGCAGGAAGACGAATCCCGAGGGAGAGTGAACGTCCTTGAATGCTCGGGAGTGCCCTGGAGCGAGTTGGAGTCCGGTGGAGGTCATCGTCCTCTACCGGAGTAACTAGCCGCATGGGGACGAGCTCGGGCCGGTCGAGGCCGAGCGGAAGAGGGATGCATACATGACTCAGCTTCCCCCCTTATGCACAGATAAGATAGGCACAACTCGTCCAAGCGAAAACCCTCAAAATTCCACTCCGAGTCGAAATCCCACACGCCGACGCCGAGTCGATACGCCAGACGTGCCCACCCCCTCCTCCCCACCCACGACCGCCGACCGTTTCCCCGACACTTCCCCCCAGTCGTCGACACACCTTTTTCACTCGCAAAAAAATGTCGTACGAAGAGCGCGCCAACGCGCACCCCAACCTGGGCGATGAGTCCGATGTCGAGGAGGAAGCGCTTGTCAACGACTACCGCGAGCAGGTCAACTTCGAGGATGGCATGAGTGACCTGGACCGGACGACATCCCTTGGAGGCGGTTCTCAGACCCAGGACCTCCAGGCACAGCTCGCTGCCGCCGCGACCCCGCTGGAGTACCAGGCCACCCTGGAGACCAAGTTCGCAAGCTACGACAACTACTGCAGCCTGTTCCACTACATCTTGAACTCGGATGGACCGGTTGAGCTGGAGGTTCCCTCTGTACGTATTCCTTTGAACTGCCGGAGTTCGTGGGCCGAGGCTGCTGGACTGGGTTGCCCAGTGCCACAATCAAAGCAAGCCTTGCTGGTCTGCCTGTCTTGTGTGCGGCGGAACTCGGTGGTTAATGCACGATGCTAATCGGCTTGCTTTTGCGTGTTCATAGTACTACTGGGCCTGGGACGTCATCGATGAGTTCATCTACCAGTTCGAATCCTTCTGCCGCTACCGCAACCGTGTCGCTCGCAGCGGCTCCAACGAGGAGGAGGCCCAGCTCCTGCGTGAGAACCCCAACACGTGGGGCTGCTACTCCGTGCTCAACGTCCTCTACTCCCTCATCCAAAGATCCCAGATCAACGAGCAGCTGGCCGCCATGAAGCGCGGCGAAGACCCCCTGGCCTACGCCGGCGAGTACGGCTCCCGCCCTCTCTACAAGATGCTGGGATACTTCTCCATCATCGGACTCCTGCGTGTCCACTGTCTGCTGGGTGACTTCAGCCTGGCCCTCAAGACCCTGGACGACATCGAGATGAACAAGAAGGCGATGTTCGCTCGCGTCATGGCGGCCCACTTCACCACCTACTACTACGTGGGTTTCTCCTACATGATGATGCGTCGCTATGGCGATGCCATCCGCATGTTCAGCCACATCCTGGTCTACGTCTCCCGGACCAAGAACTTCCAGAAGGGCGGCAACAGCTACGATGCTATTGCCAAGAAGAACGACCAGATGTACGCTCTGATCGCCATCTGTGTCGCTCTCCACCCCACCCGTCTGGACGACACCATCCACTCGGCTCTGCGGGAGAAGTACGGCGAGCAGCTCAACCGCCTGCAGCACGGCGGCCCCGACGCCCTCCCTCTCTTCGAGGAGCTCTTCCGCTCGGCCTGCCCCAAGTTCATCAGCCCCACCCCTCCCGACTTCGACAACCCGGCCATCAACGTCGACCCCGTCGACCACCACGCCGCCATCTTCATGGACGAGGTCAAGAACACCCTGTACAACCCTACCATCCGCTCCTACCTGAAGCTCTACACCACCATGGACCTGAAGAAGCTGGCTGGGTTCCTGGAGGTCGAGCCCGAGAAGCTCCGCTCCTGGCTGCTGATCAACAAGCAGCGCAGCCGTCAGGTGCGCTGGGTTGAGGGCGGCCTCCTGGAGGGCGAGCCGGTCAACGCCAACGACCTCGACTACGCTCTGGAGAACGACCTCATCCATGTCAGCGAGACCAAGGCCGGACGTCGCCTGGTTGACTGGTACCTCAGAAACCTTGCCCGCGTCTACTAAGTCGGTAGTCCGCTAGACCCGGCCCCCTTTCTGTCATCTAGATACATAAAATGTCCTGCCTCTTACTAAGATCCAGGACATACATCAGGTCTGGAAAAAAAAAACTGGACTGGACTGGACTGGACTGGACTGGACTGGACTGGGTCCATGAGGGAAGAATTCCGTCTCATTCTGGGGACCACGAAAACACTTGAAAGCGCTGGACTGAACAGAAGGCAAGGAGAATGGAACACAGATGGGGCCAGGGGGGAGGGGGGGTCGGACGTTTTTTTTTTTTTTCGAAACCAACAAATCCCTCAAGAAATTGTGGGTTTGAACGGTCATCTCATTCCTCATTTCCCTCAACCTCCTCTCTCTCAACACCCAACAACACCATTATGATTTTTTTTTTTATATTTTACTTATCTTTTCCCCCCTTTTTCATTGTCCATGCTTCTTATCACTCAGGGTTGCAAACCCCCTGACCGTCACGTCGCGGTCTCAGGGTTTGTTGGAGTCGACAAAAAGAACTTTCGAGGATTGATTCAAGGCGTATGCATTATGCTTATGTTTGGTTTTTGCTTACTGTTTGTCACGTCTGGTCTGTGCATCATGACCGTTTGTTGTTGCTTGCACGGTACAGGGAGGATTCAGCTAGCTAGCAGGGGGGAGAGAATGTTGTAGAATCTGCATGATGAAATAGATGATGATTCTTAAAACTCGGTATATCCACCAGACTAGATAGAGACTTGGTAACCGTCTCGACTGACTGACTATCTTAAAAGGGAATAGGGAGAAAAGAGGGGTATAGTTATTACTCTATCACAACCAAATATTCTAGTATGATAAAAATACACATGTACATGTGGCGTCGGAGAATAGACAAACCGGGCAGCCACAGCAGGGTCGAGCTCGAATCGTAATTCATCCCCCATCAACCGCCGAACAGATGATCAATCCTGGACATCGAAACTGGTCCCGCAGCCACAGTTACTCGTAGCGCGGGGGTTATCGACAATCTTGAACTGACTTCCAATCAATTCCATGGTGTAGTCCACCGTGCTTCCAGACAAGAGCTCCAGGGACGGCTCATCCATGACCACTTTCGCCTCGCCGGCCGAGGCGTCGCCCTCTGCCCGCTCCGCTTCGAACACGGTATCTTCCTCCGGGTCGATCTTAGACGCCGCCTCAAGCGACATCATATACTGAAACCCATGGCAGCCTCCACTGGTTACTGTGATCCGGAGGTGGTGGTACGGGTTCTCTTCCTTCGTCACTGACGGAGAAGAGGTTGGGTCTGTGATTTCTCGGAGACGCTGTCAACCACGTTAGTTTCTGAGCAATGGCATAGTGAAAAAAAAATATGGCATCAAAGAGCGTGCGAGCATAGCATATCGCCAGCAAAAAAAAATAAGCCAAAACCAGTGGAATGGACCCTTTCCCTTCCAACCAAAAAAAAAATAAAATAAAAAACATACAACAGAAGGGATTCGCTGGTGGTCACCCACCCAACTACTAACCTCCCGGCGTGTGGCTTAAGTACGGCTGAGCGGACGGGAAGCCCTGTTCTCCACACCCTATGGTCGTATGTGGTAGACAGACCGTTTCCACGGGCCTTATCGTGGCCAGAGCTAAGCCCGTGCTTCGACGCAACGCTCTTCCGTCTCAAGCCATCGCCACAGCTCCTGCTCCTGCCTGTTGTATGTATTCCGAGCCAGACGACAACCAAACAGTGTATATGAACGCACGCAAACAGGGAGATATTCAACGTACCTCCGCGGCGATGTCGGAGATATTGATCAATAGCTCGTTTCCATCGTCGTCAACTCTCGGGTTTTGTGTGACCTTGGCGCCGGGGCGGACGGTGGACGAAGAGAAGGCGGCGCGTTGTTGGAAGGCGTCGAAGCGGAGGGCGGATTGCTGCGAGGAAGCGGTTCTCTGGGGAAGGGTGTTTCTTGATCGAGGGAAGGGACGGAGGGCGGCTCGTTGGGAGATGGAATCGCAGAAGGATGCGGAGAAGTTCAAGGTCGGCGCCGGTGACGAGAATGCAGAAACCGCTGCACGGGGAACATGGGGTCGAGATAGCCGGCGAGCGGCTGTTGATAGGACCGGGCGAGACATGTTTGGTGTCGGAGACGGTCTCTGCGAGGTGATCGCTCGGGGTTGCAACTGACTTTGCTCTGGGTATCTTGAGGCGTTGGAGGAATTGTTTGATTGATTATATATCAAGCCAAGGGTGGTACTGCCGTTAGTCAGAAGGCTCCGCATGACGCCATTGGCCGATCGGGTGCCGGCAAGAGGCGGCAGAATCGCGGCCGCCCGAGATAATCAATCGCGGGGAACCGCCGGGCGATGACTACTACCACTTACTACTTGATGGCTCGGCTGTTCTTCTCTCCTGGAGCTCATGTGGATGTATAGTAGTCGTTGGTCTTGGATATTTACAGGTTGCAGCTGCGCAGGAGTACATATTACGCCAGCCAGACCGACAACGCCCCCGCAATCATGACACCCCACCTGCATGCTGAGCCCAGCAACGGCTCCCCGCCTTACCGCGATGATATCAGGGCGTTCACTAAGGGATATGCAGAGTCTCTCGATGCACAGGACCCTTTGCGCCACTTTCGGCAAGAATTTCTCATTCCCTCTAAAGTCGATCTGACCAGAAAGTCTCTGGCCACTGACGGCTGTACGTGCCATTGCGCTATCCGCTCCTAGATTCCCACTAACCAGTTGTGATTGCAATCAGCCAATGAAGAGTCTGACCCGAGGTGTATATATCTTTGTGGAAACTCACTGGGCGTCCAACCTCGCAACACCCGCAAGTACATTGATCAATACCTTCGAACATGGGCCATCAAGGGCGTAACAGGCCATTTCCTGCCACACGAGGATCAATTGCTTCCGCCGTTCGTCGATGTGGACGACGCCGGCGCAAGGCTAATGGCGCCCATTGTGGGAGCTCACCAAAGTGAGGTGGCGGTGATGGGCACATTGACGGCAAACCTGCATCTGCTGATGGCAGGCTTCTACCAGCCGACCCAGGAAAGATACAAAATTATCATAGAGGGAAAGGCGTTCCCAAGTGACCATGTAGGATTCAACCGGCAATGCCCCTGCGAAAGTATGGTTATTTATTGCTGATGGTTATTGAAACAGTACGCCGTCGAGTCCCAGATCAGACACCACAATCTGCGCCCCGAGGATGCAATGGTTCTTATCGAGCCGGAAGATCTCGACAAGCCGATTTTGCGGACGGAGCAAATACTTCAAGTCATTGACGAACATGCCGACAGTACGGCCCTTGTTCTTCTCTCTGCCATCCAGTTCTATACCGGACAGTATTTTGATATCGAGAAGATTACCGCTCATGCTCAGTCAAAGGGTATCCTTGTTGGTTGGGACTGTGCTCACGCAGCCGGAAATGTCGACCTGCGCCTGCACGACTGGAATGTCGATTTCGCGGCGTGGTGCAATTACAAGTATCTCAACAGCGGCCCGGGTGGCATGGCAGGCTTGTTCGTTCACGAAAAGCATGATCGAGCAGAAGGGGGAAATGCCAGCGGCGAAGGAGAGTCCTTTCGCCCGCGACTCTCAGGATGGTGGGGAAGCGACAAGAAAACCCGCTTCCTGATGGACAATCGTTCGTGCTACCGCCCCTGTACATCGAATATGATCACTAATTGAACCTGCAGACTTTCGCCCCCAACCGGGTGCTGCAGGATACCAGCTATCGAATCCATCCGTCTTGGACATGAACGCCGTCGCAGCCTCTCTCGAGCTGTTTAACCGGACATCAATGGCCGAGATCCGCCAAAAGTCTTTGAAGATCACAGCCTACTTGGAACATCTTCTTCTGGCTGCCCCTTTCGGCTCAGCCTCCTCCGAGAAACGGCCCTTCTCCATCATAACGCCCTCTAACCCAGCGGAGCGTGGTGCGCAACTCAGTCTGCGCTTGAAGCCTGGTCTTTTGGATAACGTCCTGGAGACTCTGGAGGGGAACGGGGTGGTAATCGACGAGAGGAAACCAGACGTCATCAGAGTTGCCCCGGCACCACTGTACAATACCTACACGGAGGTGTGGGAGTTTTGCCGGGTATTTTTCGAGGCATGCGAGAAAGCTGTACAAGCCCAGCAGTAACCCGAGGGACGACAAGAAGACAATTTACGTCGGGTATACAGTACGAAGTGACGATGTTCGACGCTCCGGGCTCACTTCATCTCTCAACTCGAATGGCATCATTCCTTCCATATGAAACCTACTATCCCAGAGAGACTGACATCTGACCTCAAAACATAGGCTCGAAGAGGAGTCGTCCTTGGATACATATCATTTTGCATAAACCTCTCTGGACAAATATTCATACTTTTTTGATCATCTATCGATGGGCTTGTGCATATAGATCCTTACCCAAGCCCCCATACATAATATCTACACTATCTGGTTGACAGCTTCTGCCGAAGGATGAAGGCAAGGCTACGAGAGATGGATCCACAGATTTATTGGATATTGCGACTCATTGTCAGCACTGATATGAATGAATGAAACTCAGTACCAAGCTGATCACAAGCACGCTCGCTTGATGTAAAAACTCGCTATTATCACTCTGCCACTCCGTCATTCTTATTTTTGTTCTTTTCTCAGATGACACCGTAAAATCATTCTGCTGATCGATCACCCAAAAGCAAAGTAAGCCCGCTCCAACGGTTGCCGTTCGGACTCCCAAGCTAGCCAATCTGACCTCGTAGTTCTGTAGCACTGCCGTGTTAGCAAACGTGTCGAGGAATAGTAACCCGATGGGAGATGGAAGCACATACGGCAAAAGTCCCATAGCATTAACCTTCCAAACACCCAAGCACAACAGCCCCAGCTGCATGACGACATAGATAGCCTTGACCCCCAGGAGTTTCGCGTGGGTGCCTTCCGTATCGAACTTGGCGAACACGGCGTTGGTGTTGATCAGACCCTGGATCGGGCCCTTGAACAGCATGAACACCATCATGATGCTGAAGATCTGCAGACTGTTTCCGGACATGTACATCATGATCGCGTTCATGGGGATCTGCTTGGAGGGAGCTAGCGCGATTTCCCACGCCTTCTTGAGCTTCAGGGTATCGGTTTCGACGGGCTTTGCCGGGGCGGAGGTGGCTGCGGACTGTTGGGCACGTTGCTGGACGGAGACATGGGGGTTAGTTTTCGTTGCGCACCCCCCAAGGGACGGAGATGGAGTGATCATCAACGTACATTCTTGGATGCCATCTTCTTCGCGTAGCCGGGAGGATCAGGGATGCTGGATGCGTGTTTGGAGAGGCGCGGCATAGGGGTGTTCATCCTCACAACCCATTCGGGCGGCGGAGGGGGATTGAGAGGCAACGAGGCCATAGTGACGGGATTGAGGTCGCAAGACGCTCAGTGATGGGTGTTTCGGGGAGTCGGGGAGTCGCTGACAGATAGAGTGACGCTGATCGGGGCGGGAAGAGGAGCCTGAGGAGGACATCCGGATGGGATTTCTCCACAAGCGCGCGCGGAGTTGGCGGCTCCCGATCCACTCCTGATTCTCACCCTCTGGACCCTCCAAACCCCCCCCCAAGTCGCCGACGCTGGCCAGAATACATTCACTCCCTCCCTCCATCAATTGAGGTCGCAACTTCCATCAATTGACACCAGGTTGGCTTCTCTCCCCCCTCCCCCCCCCCTCTTCCAACCCCATCGCCCGCTGGCATCCCCCGTGCCATGGACGCTAACGGCTCTAGCCCCCCCTCTCCGATGCATGGAAGCTTCGGAGCAGCAGACCAGCTAAGGATCGATTCCCCTTGAAGCTCCTCGACCTACGCGCGAACGGCCCCCTTGGCGTCCTCGAAACAAACCTCCCATGCCATTTGGCGCTGTCGCCAGAGTCACCATTCCCGCATAATATCCCGAAACCAGAAGACCAACTCAGCGCCGCTGACTTTCGTGGTTCATCATGAGTTCCGGCGGGGGAGATGCGAAACTGTTCGCCAGGGTATGTACCTCCGTGCCTCTAACCCTCCTCTCCGGCGGTTCACCGGACCATCAATCCCATCCACCTATCCACCTATCCACGGTGACAAGGCCTGTGGCGTGTGCTTATCGTTCTCCCGCTTCCCCTCTCTCACATTGTTTCACATGGCCCGAGCCCTGGCTTTGTCCCCCTCCATCAGGTGGCTTGCACTGTCGCCATGCTCCTGTTCCCCCTCCCCGGACCCTATTATGGCCGTGTCGATAGTCAACACCTCCCAGGCTGTTATACCATACGCCCCTCATGTTTCTCATGACCCCTCCCACAGTGCACTATGCCCATGGCTCACCATTCTCTCGTTCGAAACAGGGCAAAGTCGCTGAGCTGCGACAGGAGTTGAACAGCGGCGGCAAGAAAGACAAGAACCATTCCGCCAAGAAGATCGCGCTCAAGAAGATTGTCGCAAACATGACCATGAGCAACAACGATATGGTCGCCTTGTTCCCGGATGTCATCGGCTGCATGAACCTGCCCAGCTTGGAGATAAAGAAGATGTACGTTGGAGAGAAGGCATCGCATTCTGCTAGCACTGACTTATCTTGTCTTGCATCATAGGTGTTTCCTGTTCCTGGTCAATTACTCAAGAGCGAAACCCGAGACTGCAATGAAGGCGCTGCCGATTCTGGTTGATGTATGGCGGAAACTCCCATGGGAAGGCGTTTACAAGCTAATCCGTTGGATATCAGGACATGGAAGACTCGAATCCCCTTGTGCGCGCACTGGCACTACGCACCATCTCCTACATTCATGTGCGCGAGTTTGTCGAGGCGACCTTTCAACCCGTCAAGCGACTGATGGGGGACATGGACCCTTATGTTCGCAAGACCGCCGCATTCTGCGTTGCTAAACTTTACGAGCACGACAAGAAGCTGGTGGAGACTTCCGACCTGATTGACCGACTTAACAACATGCTGAAAGACGAGAACCCGACTGTCGTTTCCAGCGTCCTTGCGTCCCTGGTGGATATATGGGGCCGCAGTGAATCCATCTCCCTATCCATCGACTACACTAGCGCATCCAAGCTGGTCTCGATCTTACCAGACTGCTCTGAGTATGGATAATGCCCACATGCCCGGTGATCGGTTGCTGACATTAGACAGATGGGGCCAGTCTTACATCCTGGAGGCCATGATGTCCTATGTTCCCCAAGATTCCGCAGAAGCCCTGTTGCTGGCGGAGCGAATAGCCCCCCGCCTATCGCATTCCAACTCTGCCGTTGTTCTGACCTCCATCCGGGTCATCCTCTACCTCATGAACTATATTGCCGACGAAAGACATGTCTCCTCTCTTGCGAAAAAGCTTTCGCCTCCCCTTGTCACCCTTCTCTCCAAGCCCCCAGAGGTCCAATATCTGGCACTCCGCAACGCCATCCTTATCCTACAAAAGAGACCAGAGGTCCTTCGGAACGACATCCGTGTGTTCTTTTGCAACTACAACGATCCGATCTACGTCAAAGTAACCAAACTGGAGTTAATATTCATGCTGACAACTAAAGAGAACATCTCCGTGGTCCTTGCGGAACTAAGGGAGTAAGTCACTCACTCGCCCTCTTTTAACTCTCATCCAATTACTAACCAACCCCCCAGATACGCTACGGAAATCGACGTCCACTTCGTGCGCAAAGCCGTGCGTGCCATCGGAAAACTCGCCATCAAGATCGAATCCGCCGCACGACAGTGCATCGACACCCTTCTTGACCTGGTGAACGCCAAGATCCCCTATATCGTGCAGGAGGCCACCGTCGTCATCCGCAACATCTTCCGCAAGTACCCCAACCAGTACGAGAGCATCATCGGCAACGTGATCCAGAACATCGACGAACTGGACGAGCCCGAAGCCAAGGCGGCCATCATCTGGATCATCGGCCAGTACGCCGACCGCATCGAGAACTCCGACGGCCTGCTCCAGGACTACCTGGCGACGTTCCACGACGAGACCGTCGAAGTCCAACTCGCTCTCCTAACCGCCACCGTCAAATTCTTCATCCAACGCCCAACAAAGGGCCAACAGCTCGTCCCCCAAGTTCTCAAATGGTGCACCGAAGAAACCGACGACCCCGACCTCCGCGACAGAGGCTACATGTACTGGCGTCTGCTCTCCACCGACCCCGCGGCCGCCAAACAGGTCGTCATGGGCCAGAAACCGCCCATCAGCGCCGAAAGCGAGAAACTCGACTCGCGCACCCTGGAAGAACTGTGTCTCAACGTCGGCACACTCGCCACCGTCTACCTCAAGCCCGTCCAGCAGGTCTTCCGCTCCGCGCGCACAAGACGCCTACAGTACAGCCCGGCCCTCCAGCGCCCCAAGGAGGAAGCCGTCAACGCGGCCTGGCAATTCCCCGATCCCGCCTCCAGCCCGACGGCCGCGCTCAACGCCGGCGCTTTTGCCAATAACAGCGCGCAATCGGCCCAACCCGCCGACATGAACGCCGCCGTCAGTGCCGCGGACAGCTACTTCAACAGCGTCGGCACCCAGCAGATGGCGGCGCTGGATCTCGGCGGTAGGGAAGATGATGGCGGGGCCGGCGGCGGTGGCGCCCTGCAGACCCAGTACGTCGTCAACCAGAACCAACAGCTGGTGTATCAACCCCAGTTGGCTGGTGGTGCCGCTACCGGGGAGTTGTTGTTGCTGTAATCTACGTATAGACATTCGTTGTCTTGTTAATCATCCTGTCTCTTTTCACTTTTCTTTTTTTTTTCTTTATCCTTTTTTCCTCCTTATAGATAAACGTTTTGACAATTCCTTTTTTGAGCGGCGTCAATGCAATCACTCGCAGGCAGGGACTTGTGATATACATCTTACTGTATTTTTTTTCCCCTATTGACTTTCTTTCTTTCCTTTTTGTGTTCATTTTTTATAGGCTTCATGCTTCATTATTGTGTAAGTTAATGATTGCATTGTTAGGAGGACTTGGTATATGATACATGAATTTTCTGATTGACAACGTCGTAATCAAGGTAAAATGCGTATGATCGACAGAGATATCGAATATGAAAGGTTATTCGTAACGCTGCCGAAGCAGGAAATAGAAACCATAATACCTCATGCTTGACGATACGCGGTGAGACCTCAGACCTTAGACCTCAGACTGACGACCACAACTAGATGGAGATGAACTGAAAGCCTCAATCCTCATCCAACCGGGCCAAGCCGCCACGACTGCGCTTGAGCCGATCGTCCAGACTGTCTCCCTCAAGCTGGCGATGAAGTCCCGACACGAAACGGCCTTTGTCAGAACGGAGTTTCTCATCGTCCTGGAGCTTCTTCTCCTCCTGGGCAGTCACATCGGCAATGCGCTGTCGACGGGAATCTTCCATCTCGCTTGCGTTCGATTGCATCTCAGCCAATTTGCGCTGGCGCTCTTCGTCCTGCTGCTTTCGCTTCTGCTCTGCATCCGCGGCATTGGCGTGGTTGGGTGCTCTGTCCCGAGGGTATGGATCTCTGGGGCCTCTGTTGTACTCCCTCTGATCCCGATAGCGACCGGGCCTTTCTCTGCGATCCTGATCCTTGTCCCGATCGCGTGAATCCTTGTAACCCCCATCCCTCCGATCGTCCGAGCGACGTCTGTCCGAGTCGTAGCGCTCAGCCCGAGGCGGCGAGGGCGATCGGTCATGAAGCGACCCGCGGCGCGTAGACCGGTCATCGCGGTCCCGATATCTGCTTGAACGATGATGATCCTTCTCGTCTCGGTCTCTCTCCCTGTCCCTGTCCCTGTCTCCCCTGCGATCATGATCTCGCTCGCGGTCCCGGTCCCGGTCCCGGTCACTCCTTCGATCCCTATCCCTCCGATCTCTATCATCGCGATGACTCCTCCTGTGGTCCCTACTGCTCCTCCTCTCCTCCGGCGATCTAGAGCGATGCCTCCTGTCTCTCCTCCTCTCCTCATCCCCATGCCCTCTCCTACTCCTATGTTCCCTCTCCTTCCCCCTCTCCCTCTCCCTTTCTCTCTCCCTCCCCCCCTCCTAACCTCCAACTTAACCTTCTCCTCCAACGCCGCCTGCTCGCGCCTCCTAATCTCCAACAACGGATCATTCAACACCTTCGTCATAGTATCCCTCGCATTCGTCTGCATGGAAACTGCATTCCCCCCCGCCGGCGCCGCCCCAACCCCCACATCCGCCCCCTTCTTCAAGCTCTGACTCTCATCATTCTTCAACAGGATCTGATCAATGCGGCGCTTTCCCAGCAAATATCCCTCCATTTCCTCGGAGTAGTGGCCCGTCGCGCTCGACGGCTCCTGGTACATCCAGTCGACGCGCTGCACTTGTCGTCCCTTGCCGGAGTCTTCATGCAGGCGCTGCAATTCTTGGATCTGGCGCTCTTCGTCCCGTTCGCGGCGCAGTTGGTCGATGCGTTTGCGCTCTTCGAGAGCGCGCTTTTCTTCCGACCATACGCGCTCTTGGTTTCGGAGGAGGGAGGGGTGCCATGATCTAGTTTTTGGGGGGAGGGAAGGGTTAGTTGGTGGTGGGATTCCGGGGGGGATTTTGGGGGGGGGGGGGGATGGCTTACTTCTTGAGGTTGAGATCGCCACCCATTTTGGGTTCTTGGGTGCAGACAGCAGCTGCGGGTGGTTTTGGGGAGGGTCGGGTTGGGGTGTACAAGTGTGGTTTCGTGTGGTGAGGAGAGTGTGAAGAGTGAAGAGTGAGGAGCGATGAGTGAGGCGCGAGGCCGATAGATGATGGACTGATGATGGTTGTGCCCGAAGAGGAAGGCGCGGAATTGCCAGGGCGGGCCGACTTGCCGCCTTGGTGCCTCAGGCAATATATCGGGCACGGGGGCTTGTTTGTACCTGAACAACTGTGCACTACGGAGGCAAGATGCAAATATTACCTACAACTACCAAAACAAAAAAAAGTATAAGAGAAGAATGGAATATGTCAATTGATGTCGCAGCTCAATATGCCAGTAGTAATAACAGCAAACGAATGACCATCGGCACGGCAAGATTAAGCACAATGGATAAACATCATAGGTACATACAACAAGAAAGGTAAGAGTAAAATGGGAAGCAGATCACAGAACAAAGAAGACTCAGATCTTCCCCTGCAGTCAGCAATAAGAGTGTGCCTGCGGTTCATGTACCAGCGGAATTAGAATATACCAGAATCAAATCATGTACTCGTTTCTGCTCGCCGCTCCGCACTTCTGATGTTGGGTCCCACGGACACGCCAGGGAGCAAAAAAGGAGGAGAGATGAGCAGGCCTGTCCCACAGTACACTTCCACCTTGTTCGTCGTCAACTGGCCATCGGACGGAAAGCCGATCCTGTCTTGCTCGTCATACATTACTGTTCGTCTATTTTCCCCAGCCCACGTAGCTCCGGGGCATCACACGCCAGACCTTGCACTCTCCACTGCGCATGTCGTTGAGCTTGAAGCTTTCCATCTTGACCTTCTTGCTCTCGCGACCCTGTTCCCACGCACGGATCTTCTTCTTGGTCCCGTCCCAGTCAACGACGACTCCAACGTGATCGGGCTTGCCGACCTCCGCGCTGTACTTCTGGTGCATCGTGCCGCGGTGGCCCTGGAAGCGTGCGTTTCGGAAGCTGACAATATCGCCAGCCCGGATCTCGTCATTCTGCTGTACGGACGCGTTGGCCAGGTTGGAGTAGACCAAAGCACCGTAGGCCCGAGAGCCAACGGGCAGGAGGACATCCGACAAGGGATTGAGCAAGTGCTGTACGAGGCCAAACGGAGTACCATCTGCAACCGTTGTGTTCTGGATCGCATTCACCGCCGAGGCGATACGGGTCCCGATTTGAAGATGGGCGTTCTCGAGCTGATCCTGACGGGGCTGGATGGGAGGGGCCTCGTGGCGCTGTTCAAACGCAGCATCGCTGGGATTACGAGGATCAAAGCTCACTGTGACCACTGTCTGCGAGTAATCGATGTAAAGGATGTAGACATCCTTGGTCACCATGGTCTTGCCACCTCGTTTGGAAGAACTGGACTCCTCAAACTCAAGCAGGACGTCCTTGCGGTTGACAAAAGCAGGCGGGGGAGTTTTCGGATGCGCCCACCAGATTTTGTTCTCGGCCAGGTCGATATCCATGGCAATATAGCCTTGGTCGATAGACGGGCGGGCTACATCCATGGACCTCCGCATACTAGGCTGGGCTCTCGGGATATCCAATGATGCACGGTTGCTCCGTGGCGTGGGTGGGGGTAAGGTGGGAGGCGGAGGCGCCATTGAGGTACGCTTCTCAGACTGTGAGAATGTCGACGCTCCTCCTGAGGTTCCTGGTGGCGATTGCACAGGCGGCTCTTCGTACAAGTCATCCGACTCATCTTCTTCGGCAGGCTGGGCAGGGACAAAAGGCGGAAGCTGTGGTGGTCCGGTAGGCATGGGCGGCGGCGCTCTTGGAGCAGGGAAACTGGGTTGCGAGGCGCTGTAACGGTAAGGATCATATTCATCATCATCACCACCGAAAGATGGCTCCCTGTGGGGTGGAGGAGGAGGGGGTCCTCGAGGAGAATCCACAGAGGCCCTGCCGGCACTCCTGGGGGGCTGAAGAGGGGGAGGAGGCGGAACTGCTCTCGGTGCATTCGGAGGGGGCGGAGGCGGAAGACGACTCTGCGGCGGGCTCCGAGGAGATTGAAGTGAGTGTTCATCAGTCATAGCCCCTTCGTCAAGGCTAGAGTCGCGCCCATGGGATTTCAGTGCATCCTTGAACTTTGCACCAGATGCAATATCCGTATCGTAGTCACCGTCATACTCCGTGACTTCGCCTTCGACTTCCTCGCCGGCTTGGCGAGGCTGTGAGGTTACACTGATTCGGCTGTCGGCGGTTGACCTACGGCGGATGCCAGCAGGAAGTGGTGGGGGAGCCGGTCGGGTCTGAGATGGCACCGGAGGATTGGTGGGAACAGGCGGAGGCGGACGGCTCAGTCTCTTGTCTGCGGGAAGAGTTGGTGGTGATTTGGGAGATGTGACTTCGTACGTCGATGAGCGGCGAGAGTCCAAATAATCGGGGATAGGAGGTGCCGATACAATCGGGCTCGTAGATTGGTCTGCAGCCACAGCATTCAGCGACAGGTTGTGCGTGTGCAAAGACAGTTCATCATCCGATTCGTCACCCGGGTCAGCAGGGGCGACGTTCTTGGGAAGAGGAGGGATTGATCGAGCTATTCCGTTGAAGTCAGTATGTGCACGGAGGGTACATGATGTCAGCGAACTTACATCCTGGCACTGGCGGGGGAGACAAAGGCGCATCCTGGGGGACAGGAGGTGGGACAGGACGCGTTTCGAGGGGCGGGGGCGGAGGTGCCGCGCGCTCTGTACCATGAAGTGTGAGCTAGTGAATCTAAACCCGTTGATCGATGCTTTCTTTCATACCCTGGGGTGCACGTGGCCTGTCAACTGAGGCGCGCCTAGGCGGCTCCTCCTGTACCACATCCTCGACATCTGGAACCTCATATGGAGGATGCTGCTCCGTCACAGGACTAGCCAGAGGTTCTTCCTCCTTTTCGATGTGCGGAGTGGGAGCAGGCCTGCCCGTATTCATTCCGGGAAGCGCCATGATAGGAACCGGAGGCGCAGCAGCCGGAACGGCCCTATCATGTTCTTCCACTGTCCTCTCGGCTTCCACGGGCGCCTTCGGTTTGCGAGAAGCACCCGGAGCAGGCATACCGCCAGGAGGGCCAAAGAAACCCATCATGCCCATGCCACCACTCATCTTAGCCATTCTTTCGCGCAGCTCCATCTTGCGCTTGACCTCGGGATCAACCTCTTCCTCCTCCTCCTCCTCCTCCTCCTCTTCTGCCTCTGCCTCATCCTCTTCCTCCTCTCTCTCTTCCTCGTCAGCACGAGCCTCATGCTCTTCAGCACGTTCCTCCTGTTGTCGGGGCTCCCGGTGCTGAATTTCGCGGTGAGGTTCGGCGCGGGCATGATCGTCAAGATCTTCTTTGCTGGTGGATGTCTCTTCCGCATCCTCGATATCAGCAGCAGCGGAATCATCCGCGTCATTAGTATCGCTGAGGAGCTCTTGTACGGGCGGGGGAGGCATGGCGACTTGTGGAGCCGGAAGACTGGCTCCTTTCACTGTCTCGACGCTGTGGTCTCTCGCAGGTTCGGCCAACTCGGTCTCTTCGGTCACAGGGTCCTCCATGGGGGCAGCTTCTTCATGAGATTCCATGCGCTTCTTGGGAGCAGGACGCTTAGCCTTCTCCTTCTTCTGAGCGACTTCAGCATGACGAGCAGCTTGTTCCATTTGCTGTCTCTGCAGGAGGGCAATCCGCTCCTTCAAGCTTGTTGGCTTGGGCTGGTCCTCTGCGCCTTCCTCGGGCCCATCGCTCGACAGAGGCCGGCCTTCGGAAACGGGAGGTTCTCTTGCGACACGCTCCTGGACCGCTGGGTCCTCTTCCCTTTTATAGATCTTCGGGGGAGGTTCCCTGGGAGGGGGCACGTAGGCATTCTTACTGGGAGGTGGCGCAACGAAGGGCTTTTTGATGAAAGTGGAACTCTGGGAACCCAGACCACCCGGCTTGAAGGGCGCAATCGGGGGTGCGGCAGGTTTGTTGAATGCTGCAATGCGATCTCTGAATGACGACCCAGTCGGTTTCTCGGCAACGGCGGGAGGGGGGGCCTTGGACACCGGCTTGGGAGCCGGTTCACTGATCTCATATGCTGGGGACTGCGGGACTGGCGCCGGTACGGGCTTCGGGGGAGATGCGAACTCTCTCGTCGGGGACGCCAGAGCCGGAGGTGGTGACTGAGGAGGTTGCGGCACCGCTGCGGGGATATCCTCTACTTCCGGCTCCAGCGGGCGGGGGGTCTCAGCCGCAGGGGTCTCAACCGCGACCGCGGGCTCCGGGGGTGCGACCACCTCTGGCTCCTTCTTTGGTCTGCTCGGGCGCGACGGCCGTGGAGGAGCCGGTGGCTCGTACCTCTCGACGAAATTCTTGGGGAAGATGCCCTCTATCTTGTGCGCCGACTCGTCCGTGTACTCACCAAAATACCACTCATCATCTTCCACCGCTGTGACGGTTATGATCTGGCCGATAGCAAAGTTGAGGTCGTCATCGTGGCTCGAAGCGTACTCGAAGACCGCTTTGACCGTGAATGGCGGGCTGGACATTTGGCAAGTCGGGCCCTGTCACGGAGGACGTGGGGTGATTGCGGACGGAGCGAGAACGAGGCTGGTCGACCGAAAAGAACACGAGGGAGAGCTAATTGCAGATAGTGGAGCACTAGATTGTGTACTATCTAATGCAGAGAGACCATGTGCAGGCGTGCTTCACGGCGGAAGGATATGTACTATGCTGTGCAGGGAGAAAAATGGCAACAATAATATGTCAGCCTGGTGGACTGACGTACGTCAGAGGATACCTCCGGAGATCGGAAACACCGCAAGGGGGAGGGGGGGTGTGGATGAGGGTGTTGGATGGGACAGACTCACTACAGTCAAGGACAGTAATGTCCGCAAAGGGGGGGTTCCAGGTAAATGCCAAGGAAAGAAAGGCAGAGGGACCGGATAATAAGGGGGTGGAGGGGGGGGGGGGAGTGGGAGTGGAAGGAAGAGTTGTTTTTGAGGGAGGGGAGGGGAATACGTAGCAGGAGGAGAGGGAGGAGGGACGGAGAGGAGCGAGACGGTGTACTACTACTACTACCACCGTTGCCGCTGTTACTCCGTACTGCTACGAACAACACAGTTTGGACGGTCGTCACCGTCTGGCGGGACACCTGCTCCTGGGGCTCCACCACGGGGCGATCGGCGGCTAATAGGATTGGAAGAAGGGCGACCCTGCCACCCACCACTGCCAGTTGGGTACTGCTGGCATTGTCAACCTGCCTGGGGGCCGTTTGATTGTTAGGTCCTGGGTCCTGCGTGTACTCCATCCAGGAGTTGTAGTATGTTGCGGATAGCAGTGGGTGGGCGGATGGTTCGATGCGCCGTGCATCTCGTGTCGAAATAAGCCCCTGAAAGGGATCGATGATGCATGGAGCATGGAGCATGGAGCATGGAGCATGGAGCAGCCTGCCTTAGTCCTTCCAGGCTTCCACTCCCAGGCTCCCAGGCAGCCAGCCTCATAGATCCGGGGTTTGCCTCCAGCCCGACCCGATCAAACTTGAAACCTACGCCCATCCATCAATTCACCAAACGTACTTAGTACTTCAGACAAACCCCCCGCCACCCCCCCTTCCACCTCTCCCAGTGACGCAAGGCAAACAAACACCCTCCTTGACTTGTTTTCGTCCGAAAAAGAATTTTCTCTCCCTTCCTTCTCTACAATGTCAGCAGGTCGTCCGATCCTGAAGACATCTCTTCCCTCGATGCACGCCGCTTCTGCAGCCTCGACGGGCCCCTCCAAACCCGCCGCGCCTCGCCGGGCGCCACCCAGTGCCCCAGGCTCTCAGTCTCAGCAGCAGACCGGTTTTCTTCCAAACAGACCCGATGCCGATCCGCGCCATGTCGCGATAGCTTTGCATCACGCGCACCAGATCCAGGCCCAGAAAGACACAGAGACCCTCATCCTCGACCGCATCCTCGAACTCGTCACGCTTCCTTCCTCGCCCTCCGCAGATCCTGCCGCCCCATCTCCCGAAGATGCTCGGGCCTTCAAGTCCGCATTGGTCCCCTTCCAGCCTGCCGACTACGACAACCTGCTGCTAGAACGCAAGATCGAGGGACTCTGCGGGTACGGTCTTTGTCCTCGCCCGCACCGCCAGGAAGATGCCAGAGGCACCTATCGCATAACGTGGGGCGCCAAGGGCAGTGGTCCCGGCGGTCGAGGACGCGATATGAATATTGTTCCTAAGGAGAAGCTGGAGATGTGGTGTTCAGATGAATGCGCCGAACGAGCCATGTACATCCGAGTCCAACTGGCCGAGGAGCCGGTATGGGAACGACGGGCGGATGACGCGCGCGGCCAAGATTTGCTCTTGCTCGAGGAGGGGAGGGCCAGGTCCCAGCAGGGCAAGGGCAAGGGCAAGATGAGAAGCTCGGCAACTGTGGGAGAGGTCGTCGGCCAGTTGGGCAACCTACAGATGGACGAAGCGCAGAGTTCAAGCGATATGGCAAATGACATCGCCAGGCTCTCCGTTCGCGACGATAACCGTTCACGTGAACTCGCACTCGAACGTGGCGATGCTCATCCCGCGCTCTATACCGGAAGAGTGGGTATCAATGTTCAAGAGAACTATAACGCCCAGGGTCCAGCTACAGCGCCACAGATGCGTCCCGGGGACGAGACGGGAGGCTCCATTGAAGGATATGTGCCTCAAGACCGTTAAGCATGTGCGCAAGGCAACCATTGTACAAATCGGCGGTAGAAGGCGTTTGCAAGGATAATATGATACCCAGATAAGATAGCAGTTCAGTCGACATCAAATAGATGTGTTGTTTGGCATACTACGAAAGAATCTCAGTAGGCCCACAGCGGAATACGACCGCAGTGCCCATGAGAAACTTCTACGCGTCATCTAGCCACAAGACTAGGTGACGAGAAGAAAAGAAAAATGGCAATCAAGCATCATCTCCCGAAGGAGAATCAGCGACACCTTGTTTGACGGAAACCGTGTTCATTCGTCATCCGTAGACTGCCTAAGCTACTAAAGCTGGCAAGCCAGCCCGGACAAGCATCGAAACGCCATGGATCGACCGAAGACAGACAATCGCGAACTTTTTTTTATTTTCCGTTCAACGGCGCAATGATTTACCGGTAGCGACGGGGGCGGTCCTGGACCTGCTGCTGGGCGACAGCGACGACGTTGACCTTCAGGTTGTCGAACTAAAGCACACACGAGGTTAGTATTGTCACGAGCAAGAACTGGAAGGTACATGAAAACTTACGCCCATGGACTTGAGCAGGTCCTTGGTCTCGGCATCAACGTCAAGCTGGCCGGACTCGGTCTGGGAAACATCCAGAGCGGAGACCTCAGGAACGTACTGATCCTTGCGCTCACGCTCCTCCTCCTGAAGCTTGAAGGAGATACCGCGGACGGGACCACGCTGGATACGCTTCATAAGGTGGGTGGTGTAACCGGCGATCTGAATCACAGAATTCCTATCAGTTTGTTGTTCCTCCTCGCATGGGCTTGAAACCATTGGGCTCATCACTGACCTTGTTGCGGAGGCGCTTGGAGGCAATGATAGCGATCTCATCGCAGATACGCTTGTTGGTCTCGAAGTCGAGCGTCAACTTGGGGTAGTAACGCTCGATGATGACCTTAGCGGAACGCTTGACTGTCTATACGGCGGCATCATTAGAATCTGTCGTTTCTCACTGCTGCGTATATCGTGTCTGCTCACCTTGGTACGGACGCGACCCATTTTGGCGGTTGTTGCTGGCTGGACGGATGTTCGAAAAACGGTCAGAGATAGCCTTATGTCTCCCGATGTTCAAGTTACCCGTCCTCGCTTAGCGGTGTGCGGGTCATGTGAATGACATTTGCCCTCAATATGAGCCCTAACATGTAGCACGTGACATGGAGCTAGAAGGTGGAGTTGTGCCAAGACGTAGAGGTTGCCAAGCGGTACGTATCTACGGAGTAGTTATGACCGAGGGAATCATGACGTTGAACACGTTTTTGAACAATATATTCAATATATTTCAATTATGCTCTGAAGGAGATGCAGCCTGCTTTATATCACAAAAACAAAAAGAACAAAAGTGAAATAGCTATACATTTGCCCAACAACCTAATCATACAGCAAAGTCTTTCTCAAAAAGGAGAGATGAGGATTTCTCAAGCCTGGAACGTGAAATTGACTGTTGTTTAACTCTGACGAGGGACGGCTCGCGACTTATAGGCATGCCGAATTTTGTTGGGTTTGGTGAGACTGTCTATAAGGTTCTTCGCAATATCCCCGGAGGGCTGTCTGTCCATTTTCGGGACAACCCTATGATCGCCTCGGATAATGTCAGAGATGCTGAGTGGGCTGAAGTCATTCTGATCAATCCCGTAGGGGGCTTTGGCAGTAGCACTGGCGCGGTTGGCCTTGAGTTCAATTCTACCCTCCGAGTCGACTGAGGACCGGACGGGATTGACCCAGAATTTTGCACCACCAGGGATAGAGGAGTCGAAGACCGCATTGGCAGCGGAAGAGCCCTTCTCAATGAAAGTATGCATAGTCGACTCATCCACAGCAATACCACCAACACCAGTAACGGCCTTTCCGGATGACCTACCCTTAAAACGTCCCTTTGGCCGCAAGACACGTGCCTCCACGGGGCGTTGGAAAGCCTGAGGTCCGTATTTGGGGTGGTTATAGATCAAAGCGTGTGATCTTGTGTAAGACAATCCAGCGGAAGGATGCGTCTTTGGGGGTCCGAATGCGGTATATTCAGCCGCTGAGAGTTTGGTACCGGGGGACTGGTAGTACTTCGTGCCAATTTTGTTGCTCGGGACAGCCGGAGCAGATGGGAGATCCAAAAGCTCGAAGACGACAGGTCCAAGTGCAAGTGGGTCTGCACGCAGTGATTTGATGTAGGCTTGGAACTCCTCATCGGTAACCTTGACAGGTTCTAGGTTCTCCAGGTTTTCTCCGTTGTCTTGTGCTTGCTTCCACTGTTCGGCTGTGCGCTTCGCGACAAAAGACTCACGGAGCTTTTTCAAAAGCTCCGGTTTGTTTTTTTGCACATATTTCGAAAACGCCTGGAACTCGGTCTCCGTCTGACCAGCAAGCCATGGCCCAGAATGTCTGAACTGTTTCGCTCCGGGTTCTCCAAGGCCTGGGCTGGTATTGGTGTTGTCCAGATGAGATTCAAAGGGGCTGACGTGTTTAGAAACCATGCTGGCGGCGTAAGAGGCCTTCGAGGGGAGTGACATCGGCATATGAAGTTCCTGGAACTTTTCCAAGGTCACCGTATGATCGGCCGCGGATTCGAAATCGGTAGTATGTTCGAAGGTATCAAGTTCAAGCACTCGGACAATGGGCCTGGACGACTTGTCGGATGTCGATTTGGCGGGAAGCGGTCTTTTGAGACCCCAATCCCCTCTTGCCAAAGAAGAAGATGGCGTTACAAGCGATGCTCGGATGGGATAAGGAAGGGTCGCGGTATCGGATTCAGCAATAGCCCTCGAGGTCGGTGCTTCCTGGGGCGGCGTCAAAGCCTGTGGAATGGCAAAGAGACGAGACTTCCGCAGCAAATTTGCTGTCGGTGACAGCCTGGCTGCTGCCATGGCGGGGAATTGAGAATGTGGTGCTTTGAAGTTGGTTCTACCCCCGGAGAAAGATGGAGAAAAGTTGGTTCCAATAGACATTCAACTAAGAGGCGCGCCAAGCCACGTGATACGGCGACCCACAACAACACACTGCGCAGCTTTTTTCTCCGCCAGTTTAGTGGATACTAAGTGTTCTTTCACATATGTACATATCGTTTTCCATGCTCCTGGTTTTCCAACATCTCCAAAGCCTGCAAACTTATGCCTATAGTATGTACATATATTTGTTTCATGCCCCAATCGAAAGCAATGATTTGGCGGTATCGGTGACAGACTCTTCCAAAGACCGGTACTGGATACCCAAGACCTCAATGGATTTCTTGTTGTCATATCCATAAACGTCTGCTGGCTTGTCGCTCGGGGCATCTCTCGGGGGAAGCTTGTCTTCTAGCTCAGGGAAAGCTTTCCGCACCACATCAGCGACGTCTTTATTCGAGTACGAGCCGGAGGTGACAAAGAATCGTTGGCCACCGGCTTCGGGGACCTCGATAGCCCTCACATGGGCCAGTGCGACGTCGCGAACATCCACCCAGAGGAATGTGGCGGTGGGGGGAAGACCGTCTTTATAATTACCCTGGATCAAGTTACTGATGCGCTGGTTTGAAGTGTTGATGGCGTCCAAGGAGTTCAAGTAGTGCACGACTGGCCCGAAGACAAGAGGCGGGTTGATCGTTGCGATGTCGAAGCCCGGCTTCTCCTTTTCAACAAAGTCCCAGGCTGCCTTTTCTGCGAATGTCTGGCCAAAGAAATTAGACCTCGGTCTAGGTGCGAAGCGGGAAACTCTTACCTTGCTCGCGCGGTAGGTCTGAGAGGAATCCAGGGCCTCCTCCCAAGTAACTGGGTTCCAGTTCTTCTCGCTGTACACCTCCGCATGCTTCTGGGGGTTGATGATCGCAGCGAAAGAAGAGGTCACCACGACTCTCTTGACCGCCGGAGCATAGGCCTTGATGGCCTTCAAAATACCCGTGGTCCCCTTGATAGCTGGGTCCAAGAAGTCCTTCACGGGATCTTGAACATTGAAGTGAAAGGGAGAGGCAGTATGCAGAACATAGTCGAATGGTGGGTCGGACTTGACAGCCTGTGGGACAAGCGCGTTAGCTACCTATGCGCACGACTCGACGGCAGTAGTCAAAGAGCCAGAGAGATAAGAGAAGATAGCCATACTTCATCAAAGGCTCCTTCTGCCGCAACATCTTTGACGATGACATAAGAAAGTTTCTCCTTCGATGCGTCGGGATGGGCTTTGAGAATTCTTTGGCCCTTCTCGTCGGACCTGACGGTAACTACGGTGTCAAAGCTGAGAGACAGCCCAGTCAGCCAATTTATACATACTGAAACGTTCTATACATACCCATGTGCAAGTAGGATATCGACGATATGGGCGGCAATGAAGCCACTGCCTCCTGTGTAGTGCTGTTAGCCCTCTGAACGACAACCACACACTTTGCTAGAGTTTAGCCACGTACCAGTCAAAAGAACTTTACCCATGGTTGCAGCGACTGAATATCAATAGAAAGAAAGGGGAATCGGTCAATGATAGGTATTACTGATGGAATAATTGTCCTCTTAAGTTACAATGAGAACCAGCGCCAGGCCCTGGCTTTTTATATCTGCCCACTCCGGGTTGTTATCCCTCATCGATCCCCCACTGAGGTCCACTGTCGTCATTATCTATGGTTGTGATAGGGGTACTGTGTACGGAGTAGGGCCCGCCCGATTACAAATTCCAGTCGAACGGAATTATGGAAAGGCGATTACACCATAAGTCCGGACGTTCATGAAAGCCTATCCTTAGAACTGTGTAACTCGCAATTATTGGCTTCTGGGTGGGTCGAGAACATCTCGGGAACGTTTGCGAACGTTTGCGGACGATGTATGCATCGCTCTAAAGTCCGAGCGCACGCTTATCGTGGTTTGCGGTCTCGAACATTCTCCAGACAAGAAGCAAAGGAAGAAAGAGTGACGTATCGAAGGAATAGGACAGGACAGAGGAGAGAAGCTCTACCAGCAGCACCATTTTTGTGTTAACAACCTATCGCCACCTATCTATTGTTTGTCGGGCTATCCGTGGAGTACCTCGTTACTTTACTGCTGTGTGCCGGCATAACCGGACCAAGATCTCTGCATTTTGTACCCTTTCTGGATAATATACTTATGTACCACTTGGCCCTGCGTTAGATCTAAAGCCGTTTTTTTTTTTTTTTTTTTTGGAACGACCATCAAGAGAATTACTCACTACCTACTGAGGAGGTGCTACTGCTGGCTTGCCTATAATGCCAAGACAATTACCCCTGAGACATGCCTTGGAGGTATATGATACGAAGTACTTATTTCCTAGGTAGATCATTATTCGAAGACATACGGCTACTGCGAATGCGACGCCGTCTTTCCAGGCTCTCTCGAAAGTGAAGGTGGACACCGGCAGCAACTCAAGGAGTAAAAACATGCCGAAACCAGGAAAGCCGGGCGCAATGTACTCACTAGAGAGACATAAGTAGGGTTTATGTCCCACAATGGCATGCAGCCATACATGTGGCCAGGGATCTGCATGGTCTCACCGTCGGGAGTCCCATGACGGCTAAGGTAGAGATTTTGGGCATCAGAAGACCTCAGATATGCAAAGACAGGGATGGACATCCTGTTCTCGTTGAAAGAGACGGCTATAGAGTGAATAACGAGGAAGAAGACCTTGAGGATGTATGAAGGACCGACCACGTACGGAGTGAGCACCAAGTACGGAGTTCTAGGAGTAGTAACACCAAGCCACGACGTAACCACGGGACGGGCGATAGAGAGAGAGAGGGAGAGCGGAAGAGATGCCCCAGGCCAGAAGCACCTGCACCGCACTTGGCCCGTGCGCGATTCCCGAACGCCCTCGACTTCACCTCCCGCATCGCTCAACGCCGCCCGCCAACGGCTTTCTTGCCTATGCCCACTTTCGTGTCATCCTACATGCCCTAGAGGTTGACTTCAAATGTCCACCCTGGGGTGTGTTTCGCAAATATGGCGCAAGCAGGTCCGATCACGGACGTTACTCAACGGCTCTTCACCGAGCTGAAGTCGAAGAATGAGGAGACGCGGATGCGAGCTGCTTACGAGCTCTACGACAACGTGGTTGCTATTTCGCGAGGTAAAGGGCAGCTTCCGATCTCGTCTCAGACCACTCTAACCTCCTGCCTCTACCACAGATTGGCCCCCGGAAAAGTTCCTCGAGTTCTTCAATGCCGTCAGCCAGCGCATAGCCCAGCTCGTCGTTACCGGCAATGACGCACATGAAAAGATCGGTGGTCTGCTGGCTCTCGATCGCCTGATAGACTTTGATGGAGTCGATGCGGCGCAAAAAACCACTCGCTTTGCCAGCTACCTGCGCAATGCCCTCCGAAGCAACGATAATGCGGTGTTGGGCTATGCGGCCAGGGCTCTTGGCCGTTTGGCGAAGCCGGGTGGAGCTCTTACCGCGGAGTTGGTTGAGAGCGAAATACAGTCTGCTTTGGAGTCTCTTCAGTCCGAGAGACAAGAAGGCCGCCGGTTTGCTGCCGTACTCGTCATCCGAGAGCTCGCCAAAGGCTCGCCGACACTTCTCTATGGCTTCGTTCCCCAGATCTTCGAGCTTATATGGGTCGCCCTTCGAGACCCCAAGGTACTTATACGGGAGACTGCGGCCGAGGCGGTTAGTGAGTGTTTTGAGATCATCGCCGCCAGAGATATGCAGGTGCGACAGTTGTGGTTTGCCAGGATTTACGAGGAAGCGCTTCTTGGTCTGAAATCCAGCAGCAATGTGGATTGGATCCATGGCTCCCTTTTGGTTCTAAAGGAGCTTCTTTTGAAAGGCGCCATGTTCATGAATGAGCATTATCGAAACGCATGCGAAATAGTTCTTCGCCTCAAGGACCATCGCGATCCGAAAATCCGCACCCAAATCGTTTTGACAATACCGATCCTCGCTTCTTACGCCCCCCTCGACTTCACCGAGACTTATCTTCATAGATTCATGATCTATCTCCAAGCGCAACTAAAGAGAGACAAAGAAAGAAACTCTGCCTTCATCGCCATCGGGAAAATCGCAAACGCTGTTGGTGTCGCCATCGCACAATATCTTGATGGTATCATCGTCTATATCCGGGAGGGTCTTGCAATGAAAGCGTAAGTTTCCATCCCCCCCCCAAAAAAATTCGCTTTCAAGGGGCTAATATCCAGAAGGCGTAATCGAGCGGCTATCAATGAAGCACCAATGTTTGAGTGCATCAGTATGCTGTCGTTGGCTGTAGGACAGGCACTTAGCAAATATATGGAAGCATTGCTGGATCCCGTATTTGCATGTGGGCTGAGCGAGTCACTTACACAAGCGCTGGTCGACATGGCTCACTATATCCCGCCAATCAAGCCCATAATTCAAGAGAAGCTGCTGGATATGCTGAGCTTGATCCTCTACGGCACTCCTTTCCGACCCCTAGGGTGCCCAGAGAGTAGGCTGCCTCCAATACCCTCGTTTGCCAGAGATTTTGCTCTCCAAGAGCTACACACAGACACAGAAATTGCACTCGCGCTGCATACGTTAGGCAGCTTTGACTTCTCGGGCCATATCCTCAATGAGTTTGTCCGGGATGTGGCGATCAATTACGTTGAAAGTGAAAATCCTGAAATCCGAAAGGCCTCGGCACTTACCTGTTGTCAGCTCTTTGTCCATGACCCGATCATCAATCAAACAAGCAGTCATTCGATACAGGTTGTCAGTGAAGTTATTGACAAGCTCCTTACTGTCGGTGTTGGTGATCCAGACCCCGAAATCCGACGTACGGTTCTGTGGTCATTGGACCGGAAATTCGACCGGCACCTTGCGAGGCCCGAGAATATACGATGCCTTTTCTTGGCGGTCAACGATGAGGTCTTTCCTGTTAGGGAGGCTGCAATCTGCATCATAGGTCGCCTTTCGAGTGTCAATCCAGCCTACGTATTCCCGCCGCTACGGAAACTGCTGGTCAGCCTCCTCACAAGCCTTGGATTTGCGAGTACTGCCCGCCAAAAGGAAGAAAGTGCCCAGCTTATCAGTTTGTTCGTTTCAAATGCAACAAAACTCATCAGATCCTATGTTGATCCCATGGTGACCACTTTACTTCCCAAGGCAACTGATGCCAATCCAGGCGTCGCCTCAACGACACTAAGGGCTGTCGGCGAGCTTGCAAACGTTGGTGGTAGTGAAATGAAGACGTATCTGCCTCAACTTATGCCAATTATCCTCGATGCGTTGCAAGATCTTTCGTCCCATGCCAAGCGAGAAGCAGCTTTGCGCACTCTCGGGCAGTTAGCCAGCAATTCCGGCTATGTTATCGACCCGTACCTTGAATATTCTCATCTTCTCGCTGTCCTCATCAACATCATCAAGACCGAACAGACCGGGTCTCTCCGCAAAGAGACCATCAAATTGCTGGGTATACTTGGAGCATTGGACCCTTACAAATACCAGCAAATTAGCGAGACTGCGCCCGACATTCATCACATCAACGAAGTACAAACTGTCTCTGATGTTGCTCTCATCATGCAAGGACTCACCCCGTCCAATGAGGAGTATTACCCTACGGTGGTTATCAACACGCTTATGCAAAATATTTTGCGTGAGAATTCCCTCGCTCAGTACCACTCCGCAGTCATTGATGCCATTGTCACCATTTTCAAGACTCTGGGTTTGAAATGCGTTCCGTTTCTGGGTCAGATCATACCAGGATTTATATCAGTCATCAGGGGATCACCCCCCAGCCGCCTTGAATCGTATTTTAATCAAATGGCAATTCTGGTTAATATCGTGAGACAGCATATACGCGGATTCTTGCCTGAGATCATCGAGGTCATCCGGGACTTCTGGGATGCATCGTATCAAGTCCAGGCTACGATTCTATCGCTTGTCGAAGCGATCGCAAAATCCCTGGAGGGCGAATTCAAGAAATATCTTGCGGGTCTCATCCCTCCGATGCTAGATACCCTTGAAAAAGATAACACGCCGCGCCGACAACCTTCCGAGAAGATCCTTCATACCTTTCTGATCTTTGGTACAAGTGGGGAGGAATACATGCACCTGATCGTGCCTTCTATTGTGCGCCTTTTTGACAGAGCTCAGAACCCGCAAAGCATTCGCAAGTCCGCTATTGATACGCTCACCAAGCTTTCACGGCAAGTCAATGTTTCAGACTTTGCGTCCTTGATGGTCCATTCCCTGTCCCGGGTTGTCTCAAGTAATGACCGCTTGTTGCGGCAAGCTGCAATGGATTGCATTTGCGCTCTTATCTTCCAGCTTGGTCAGGACTTTAATCATTACATTCACCTATTGAACAAGGTCTTGAAGTTTCATCAAATCACTCATGTCAACTACCAGATTCTCATTACAAAGCTGCAAAAAGGAGACCCACTTCCACAGGATCTTAACCCCGATGAGAATTATGCGACGTTGGCAGATGATACCAACTACGCTGAGATTGGGCAAAAGAAGATGGTTGTTAACCAGCAACATTTGAAAAACGCCTGGGACGCCTCCCAGAAGTCCACCCGCGAGGATTGGCAAGAATGGATTCGGCGGTTCAGTGTAGAACTGCTGAAAGAATCACCTTCCCCCGCCCTTCGAGCATGTGCGAGTTTGGCTGGTATTTATCAACCACTAGCAAGAGATCTGTTCAACGCGGCATTTGTCTCCTGCTGGACCGAGTTGTATGACCAATACCAAGAAGAGCTTGTCCGATCCATTGAAAAGGCTCTCACTTCGCCAAACATTCCTCCCGAAATCTTACAGGTTCTTCTCAACCTGGCTGAATTCATGGAGCACGATGACAAGGCCCTTCCAATTGACATCCGCACTCTTGGCAAATATGCTGCCAAGTGTCATGCCTTCGCCAAGGCTCTCCATTACAAGGAACTCGAGTTTGAACAGGATCAGAACTCGGGAGCAGTGGAGGCTTTGATCACTATCAACAATCAGCTTCAACAGTCTGATGCTGCTATAGGTATTCTTCGAAAGGCTCAGGCATACCGGGATGTGGAGCTTAAAGAGACATGGTTTGAGAAGCTTCAACGTTGGGAGGAAGCCCTCGCTGCATACAAACGGCGTGAAAGAATAGACCCAGATTCCTTTGGAGTCACGATGGGTAAAATGCGGTGTCTTCACGCTCTTGGTGAGTGGAGAGTGTTATCCGACCTCGCCCAGGAGAAGTGGAACCAAGCGTCTCTCGACCATCGCAGAGCAATTGCACCTCTGGCGGCAGCGGCCGCATGGGGCCGTGGTCAATGGGAGTTGATGGATTCTTACCTAGGTGTCATGAAAGAGCAGTCACCTGATCGGTCATTCTTTGGTGCTATTCTTGCTATTCATCGAAATCAATTTGACGAGGCAACCATGTATATTGAAAAGGCACGCAATGGCCTGGATACTGAACTTTCGGCACTGCTAGGAGAGTCGTACAATCGGGCCTACAATGTCGTTGTGCGAGTCCAGATGCTTGCTGAACTCGAGGAGATCATTACCTACAAGCAAAACGTGGGTGATACTGAGAAGCAGGAATCGATGCGTCAAACGTGGAACAAGCGGCTCCTCGGGTGCCAGCAGAATGTGGAGGTGTGGCAACGCATGCTCAAGGTCAGGGCACTTGTTACCTCGCCTCGAGAGAACCTTGACATGTGGATCAAGTTTGCCAATCTGTGCCGCAAATCCAACCGCATGGGTCTGGCCGAACGATCTCTTGCATCGCTTGAAATGGTTGTCTCTGATGGCAACGGCACACGGGCGATAGCACCTCCGGAAGTCACTTATGCCCGTTTGAAGTTCAATTGGGCCACTGGACACCAACGCGAAGCTCTTCAAATGTTGAAGGAGTTCACTGCAAGTCTAACCGAAGACTTAAAACGATACAATGCTCTCATGTTGTCGCAATCTGACCACAATGGCGTCAACGGGGTCAACGGTGTAAATGGGGTCAACGGTATCGCGGACGCAAACTCCACGGGTGTCATGGGCCTGCGTGAACGCATTGGCGACGTTGCGAAGTTTAGGAAGCTGCTTGCCAAGAGCTACCTTAGACAAGGAGAATGGGAGATGTCCATGCACCGGGATACGACTCCAGATGACGTTAATGGGGTACTCAATGCTTACGCTGCCGCTACCAAATACAATCGGGACTCGTACAAGGCATGGCATTCCTGGGCTCTGGCCAACTTCGAGGTTGTTACGACGCTCGCAAGTCAGGTCAGCAGAGATGGCACGACGCTGGCCATGGTACCCGCGCATATGATTGGACAGCACGTAATACCTGCTATTCGCGGCTTCCTCAGGTCCATTTCACTGTCGTCGACCTCATCCTTACAAGACACATTGAGGTTCCTGACACTCTGGTTCACCCACGGTGGTGATGTAGAAGTGAACAATGTTGTTATAGAGGGTTTCACTGCAGTGAACATCGATACCTGGCTTGCGGTCACCCCACAACTAATCGCCCGGATCAACCAGCCTAATTACAGAGTACGGACTGCAGTCCACCGACTACTGGCCGAGGTCGGCAAGACACATCCTCAGGCGCTCGTTTATCCGTTGACAGTTGCAATGAAGTCTAATGTTGCCCGACGATCACAATCTGCCACCAGCATCATGGATAGCATGCGACAGCATAGCGCGAGGCTTGTCGAGCAGGCCGACCTTGTCAGCCATGAGCTGATTCGGGTTGCGGTCTTATGGCATGAGCTTTGGCATGAAGGTCTGGAAGAAGCCTCGCGGCTCTACTTTGGTGACCATAATGTGGAAGGAATGTTCGCGACTCTTGCGCCCCTACATGAAATGCTCGATAAGGGCGCAGAGACTTTGCGTGAGGTATCATTTGCTCAGGCTTTTGGACGTGATCTCGCAGAGGCGAAGCACTATTGCATGCTCTACCGTGAGACCGAGGAAATCGGCGATTTGAACCAAGCCTGGGATCTCTACTACACAGTGTTCCGAAAGATTAGCCGGCAGCTTCCACAGCTCTCGACGCTGGACCTGAAATACGTCTCCCCGAAGCTGAAGGACTATGTTGACCTTGACCTGGCCGTCCCCGGTACCTACCAGAGTGGCAGACCGATTATTCGCATTATCAGCTTCGATCCGATATTACACGTCCTGCAAACAAAGAAGAGACCGCGGAGAATGACGCTGAAGGGCAGTGACGGAAACTCCTACATGTATGTCCTCAAGGGACACGAAGACATTCGGCAAGATGAACGAGTCATGCAGCTCTTTGGTCTGGTCAACACCCTTCTTGATAGCGACGGGGAGAGCTTTAAACGACATCTATCTGTGCAGCGATTCCCCGCTATCCCGCTGTCCCAGAGCTCTGGCCTTCTGGGATGGTTCTCCAACAGTGACACGCTGCATGCGCTGATCAAGGAATACCGCGAGAGTCGACGCATTTTGCTCAATATCGAGCACCGCATTATGTTGCAAATGGCACCCGACTATGATAACCTCACGCTCATGCAGAAAGTGGAGGTATTTGGATACGCCATGGACAATACAACTGGAAAGGACCTGTATCGTGTTTTGTGGCTCAAAAGTAAAAGCTCCGAGGCCTGGCTCGAACGGCGTACAAACTACACTCGTTCCCTCGGTGTCATGTCTATGGTTGGCTACATACTTGGTCTGGGTGATCGCCACCCGTCCAATTTGCTTCTGGATCGGATTACTGGCAAAGTGGTCCACATCGATTTCGGTGATTGTTTCGAAGTGGCAATGCACCGGGAGAAGTACCCTGAGCGGGTGCCTTTCCGTCTGACTCGTATGTTGACATTTGCTATGGAAGTTAGCAACATTGAAGGAAGTTACCGCATTACCTGTGAGGCTGTTATGCGTGTCTTGAGAGATAACAAGGATTCCCTGATGGCTGTCTTGGAAGCGGTAAGTCCAATGCTGTCCCTTTGGGTCTACTGAGGATATGGAGACTAACATGCAACGCATTAGTTCATTCACGATCCCCTAATTAACTGGCGTCTGGGAGTTCGCGAGTCCCCGGATCGGATGCCATTCTCGGCCGAGCGTCGTCAATCGGTTATCTCCAACGCCAACCTTGAACAAGGGGTGCACCCGAGCAACTTCTCGCGACACCGCCGGCCTTCCATCCTGGAAGGTGGTATTCTGGATGCACAGGAGGGCATTCCCAACGAAGCCAGGGAAGCCCAGAACGCACGAGCGCTTCAGGTGCTTGCCCGGGTCAAGGAGAAGCTGACCGGAAGAGACTTCAGGCCCAGCGAGGAACTCAATGTGAGCGATCAAGTTGACAAGCTTCTCGCGCAAGCCACCAGCGTGGAGAATATCTGTCAGCACTGGATTGGGTGGTGCAGTTTCTGGTGATCACTTACTTACTACCCTTTGTTTTCTTTTCTTTTCTTTTTTTTTTTGTTTTTTTGTTTTTTTGTTTCGTTCGTGCTTTCTGAGGTCCTACGACGGCGCAACTCATGGTTACGGATTTTGCATGGCATGACTCTTCTTCATTCCATACTTTGTCTTCTTGCTTCCCCTTCTGTGGCCGCTCCTCCCTTCTGTGTAGCCTTTACTCGGTGTGCTTTTCCCGGTAGCAATAGTGTTCTTATATTTGGCAATAGGGGCAGGGGGCCGGAGATGGTCCGTGGTATAGACAGTGAATTTGAATCTAGCAATCTTTATCTGACATGAAGTGTGAAGCGCAAAGTAGAAAGTGTCAAGGATGAGGTATGCCGTGAGTGTTTATCACGAGGGATCGCGAGAAATAGCCGAGGTCACGAGCAGCTGGCTGGGCTGAGCTGAGCTGAGCTGAAATCCGCCGGACGCCCAAAGCCTAAACTTCCCCTTCGTCACAGTCTCTCTCCACCCTCCACCCATCACTTATCTTCCCCTCAGGATGTGACATGCTCGGCGAAATCCTGGAGACATCTGCAAAGGAACCTTTGAACCCACTTGAAGCTTGATGGTCTCGTACCATGGCCTCCGACTCCACGCCCAACACCGACCTCCATCCGGGGGTCCGCAACGCTCTCCGCATTTCCCTCAGCGCCAAGGAGTACCGTCTGCTCCACGAATACGCCATCCGGCGCACCCCGTCAGCTATTCAGAACAAGCTGCCTACACCCTCAAGGTTCGAGGCGATTGTTCGCTCCAAATACAAATACAATGATGCCGCAGTCCGGGCCTCCTTGCGGGTCTTTCTCCTCTCCAGCTCCCTGTTGAAGCTCGTTGACGTCGTGGTGGGGAGGATCCGCGGCGACCTATCCACGTGAGTTTCGACTCCCCTCATGAGCATAAATTAGAACTCGTCACGAAAGAAAAGATGAGTCCCGGGTCAGGCTAACATGTGCTTCGTCCCTCCAGAAAGAAAGCACCGCGCACGTCTTTTGTCCGCTCGCCGAACTTTCGTCTCTCGGCCTCTCTCTCGCTCATTCTCCTCTTCCACCGCTTCCTCTATCGCTTCTTCGTTCGGTTGCGAGCGAACCTCCGTACCGATGACGCGCGACCCTTCCGCGACCGTAACCCGCGCATCTCCAAGGCATTGACCTCGCGCTGTGCGCCCGCTGTCGGAGCCAGTATTGCCGGGTTTGCGCTGGGGATTTGTCCGCAGAATCAGCTCCGACTTTCAGCGGCCATTTACACGGCGACTCGCAGTCTGGAGTTTCTATTCAACTCGCTGGATGAGAAAGGATGGTTTGAGAACCGTCCTCGGTGGTTTGGAAGTTGGTTGTTGATGCCGGTTGCGTGCGCGCAGCTCTTCCATGCTTTTGTCTTTGACCGGGAGACGACACCGAAGGTTCGTTCCTACTGTTTGTCCTTGGCCTGGAGCGTATGCTTACTCGAATACTTAGTGGTTTGGAAATGTGGTCTTGAGGCTCTCCCCGAGCTATGTGCGTGATCGGCCTGATTCTTTGCCGTTGAATGTTCCTTGGCCGGGGAAGGAAAGCGTGGTGGATTCGCTGGCTAATATCGCTAATCTACGGTGGCCGTAAGTTTGACCGGCCGTCTGTACTCGTGGAGACCTTCCGCTGACCATAGAGCAGAGCGTTTGCCTCCCCTATCTTACATCCCGGAAGCCCTAACCCTTTGCCGTCTTCACTGACGTCCATTTCACCCATCACGGGTCCTGCCCACCCGGCTATATCCAGCCTGTCGTGCGCATTGCTCCACCCCAGCAGCCCCAGCTGTGGGACCGCATTCCTACACCACATCCTTCTCTCAGTTCCACCTCTTGCCCGGTTCTTGACCACTGTCACTCTGGCACTCTCTCTGCGGAATATCAAGAGCTTGGTGTCCGAACCCATCACGTCGATCAACAAACTCTCCAAACAAATCATCACTTTAACAGCCATCCTCTCTGCCGCCGTCGGCTCCGCATGGGGCAGCCTCTGCCTTTGGAATTCTCTGCTACCACGTTCCGTCCTCCCCCAGAAACGGTTCTTCCTCAGCGGTGCACTTGCGGGTCTTCCATTCGCCTTTCTTGGAAACAGCCGCAGCATCTTCATGTACTTCTTCCGAGCCGCCGTGGACTCCGCCTGGAAGACAAATGTCAAGCGCGGATTGTGGAAAGGCTGGAAAGGCGGCGACCTGTGCATCGTTGTCCTGGCATGGGCGCTCATGGGTGCTATTCTGGAAAGTCGACCCTCCGCTGTCCAGGGCAAGAGCGTGAGGAAGGCTTTGGCCTGGATGAAAGGGGATGGGTTCATCGACCCGGTTGATGCTGCTGCGAGGAAAAGGGCCAAGAAAGCGGCCGCGCAGAAGAGACCGGAGAATGAATGAGTGAATAATGCATGGCATTCATGAAATATTGCCACTTGTCGTTTTTCATACTGGGATTTGCCGTCGGTACAGGTTTACTGATATCGTCTTTTACTGTATCATTCATCTCGTGCTCATACCTGGTAACTCGATCTTTACAGCGGCGGGTGGGTGGAGTTTGTAATTAGGAATTACCTATCTGTTTCGTATGAATTGCAACTATGTAGTTGTTCATAATCAGAGACATACATCATCATCATCAAAGCTGATTTTTCAGGCCATCGAAGCCGACATTTTTTCAAGGAAAGAAAGAAAAGGAAACGAAGATAGAAAACAGGAAATAAAAGCAAGCACGCGACCACAATCCGGTAAATTTCAATCACCTTGCACATTCTACGCTCAACAATCTGCTTTCCCACAGCCAGTGACCTCGAATACCGAAGTTGTATCATCTCAAGAGACGTCGACTCCCATCCTACAAGGTAAATTAGCACACCAATCTCTATCACATAGCAACAGGAGAATGCAACTCACATTTGAAAACGAGATAAAACACCGGATCGACAACCATCTTCGCACGCAGCTGCGCATTCAAAGCCCCGCGCCACTGACTCGACGACCCAACAGGGACCGTCATCGGGCGACCGGCCGGGGACTCCTTGGCGGAGGGGCGATACTCCAAGCGATGAACGGTAGCGTCATAGCCACACTGGTTCTTCACAATCAGAAGCCAGTCCGGGAAGTTGAGCTCGGTGAGCAGAGGGACGGTATCGACGGAAACAAGACCAGCTGTCAGCTCCTGCACAGTGCACAGACCGTGTCTGCTGGAGTTCACCTCGTTGATGACCCAGATATTGCGGGACAGCAGGTCATGATACAAGTGAGGAGACTGTTCCTCCAGATATCCTGCGCGAAGCTTCGGTCCTTCAGCGCCTGGAGTAGAGGATTCGTCCTTCAGCTTCCGCTCAACAGGGCCCACGCTGTAAGCGATAGTGCTGGCGCGATCAGTCTCGAGATCATTGTAGTAGAGAGACCGGGTCAGAGTGACAGCGGGGGAGCTCTGGCGGGTGAACTCGATCGGCTCAGACTCAGTTTCAGTTTCATTTCCGGTTGCTACCACGCGGGCCCGGGTCTCATGGGCTGCTTCTGAACCATCGCTCTCCTCGCCAGCGCTGTCGCTACTGTCATAACGTTTGATATCAAGATAATTGCCCGTCGGCGCAGTCATCATAAGCCGCTGTTTCGCTTTATGGTCCCGCTTGATGACGCACACGAGGCCCATGATGCCCTGCATACGGCGCAGATTGCTCGACGCATCCTGGACATAGTCGGGGAGGTCGGATATAACAGACAGAATGAATTCCTGCTGCTGTGACCTTCCGCTCGCTCTGCTGCAGGAGTTGTACAGCTTGTCGTGCGTCAGGAGCAGGTCGGTCAGGCGGATTCTCAGCCCCCGGAGGTCGCGCTCGTCGCCGCCGAGGTAGGAGATCAGGGTCTCGCGGTTCCATTTGAATTTGCCTGGTAATCTTTAGTAGGGGGAAAATATAGTGGGATTTGAGGCATTGTACCCATTTTGACGTTCCGGTTTTGTAGACAGGGAGATCGTAGCAGTCTGTCTAGGAGGACCTACTAGGTGGCCGAGGATGTAGAAGATGAAAGGTAAATTCGCCCATCGTGGGATGAGATTATGTTCCAGCGTGTGAAAGCATGGCTGGTATTATATAAGCGGGGTTAGCTGGCTAGCTAGCCCTTCTGTTTGCTTGTCTGCTGCGTATTGTGAGATGATGTCGTTTGGAGGGTTGGAGATTCACAGTTTGACGATGCGATGGACGATGCGATTGCAGGTGATATAACACGGGCAGAATGTCGGGCGGTAGGCTTTCTGCTGGCGGTCTGGAAGGCGGAGAAAAGCTACGTTTCTTGGCGGTCAGAGAAAACGAGCGGACAGAGATTCGACGGAAAAAAGTGTTTGTTGTTTTTTTTTTTTTTTTTTTTTTTTGATGGCTTAATTTTGGGAGGCCAAGTTGATCAAATTTTGTACATTTTGTGACACTGGCAAGAAATGAATAGATTTTCGCAGATGAAAAATAGTGTATATTTTGTAGTATTTATGGCAGAATGTCTGGACGGTCGGTCAGATACCGGCTGAAATTTACACGTTTCGAGGCGCCAAGAGAAATCGAAGAAGATAAAAGCGTACGGTTTTCTTCAACACTGTTTGCATTGTAGAGAGTTGACAGCTCGGAAAACTCCGGAAAAGTTGTATAGAGACATGGCAGCAGGTAGTTAAAAGCAAAAAGAGAATTCCATTGCGGGGAATCGAACCCCGATCTCCTGTGTGAAAGACAGGTATGATAGCCGTTACACTACAATGGATGGTGTTGTAAAATTTCGCAAATTTATTGCCATTTCAGCTGGGGGGCGAGTATCCGTGTTTTATTTACTCAGTAGCCTGTCTGGGGAGGCTGTCTCAAAAGCTAGCGATATACACAGGTGTCTTGTAATCACTATGATGGGAGCACCCAGCATAAGTAGCATCCCGGGGTCTTTTGCCCAACTCGGCTGGGTAGCGCCGGGCCCCAGGCCTAACCCCGGAAAAGGAATGAATCCCCGCAAAGCCCCGGGGAAGTTGCCCCGTAGACCCATCCGGCCTCCCGGGTTGCTAACTTGCTTTAGCAATCGCAGCTCTCACTCCGTACAAAGCTACAATCCCACTAGCTGACGACAAATATTCCCGACTTCGGCCCTCTGGCTGCATCACCGCGACAGTTTTTTCCTCATGAGGGGACCTGTCGATTTATTCATCACACCTATCATGTTTCCCCCGCCTGGAATCCCTTTTCCGACCGTCTCCCTGGCCTGGGAGGCTGGGTCCAGACTGGATGATATCCGGGGTTGCAGCGGCAGTCCCCACTGGGATCAGATACCCCCCAGGAACTTAGGAAAGCAGGGCACCTGCCGGCTATTATAGTGCGCTAGGTAAGTACCTAGTCTCTACTCCCTGCAGTAGTGGTTTCTATACAAGGCTGACTGGCCTGCCTACCTCCCTAGTGCTCAATCGTCCTCCTACCAGCTTCTTGGCAGCTCCAGCTCTTCACGCCTCCCAGGAAGCCAGACCGACTCTTGCTGGAGCTCGTCGCATCGGTTAAATTCCTCGTCCTCGTTGTGTCCCTTTCGCTCCCTCGTCCTCAATTCTCCTCACGCAAGCTCCATATCTTTACATACCTGTATCTTCCATTCTTCAAGGCAATCTTTTAGCACAACCACTTTTCAGCCATCATTTGTCACAATGTCTGCCAGAAAGTTGAAGGTTGGTTGCGCCGGTCTGGGCCGTATGGGCAAGCGCCATGCTCTGAACTTCTTGCAGCGTACTCCCCGTGCAGAGCTTGTTGCCGCCAGCTCCCCGGATGACACTGAGCTGGAGTGGGCAAAGGTGCACCTTGCACCTTATGGAGTGACTCTATACAAGAACTACGATGACATGCTGAAGCACGAAGGGCTGGAAGCCGTTGTGGTTGCGTCTGCTACAGCTGTGCATGCCGAACAGGCCATCAAGGCCATTGAGGCTGGCAAGAATACTCTTTGCGAGAAGCCCTTGTCGACCAGCGTTGAAATTGTATGCTCTACCTTACCTAAACTTTTCCTCCCGATTACAACTAACTGGTCCAACTACAGTCTCAAACAGTCCTCGATGCAGCTTCCAAGAAGCCCGAACTGAAGGTGATGTGTGGCTTTTCCCGCCGCTTCGATGCCTCATACCGCGATGCATACAATAAGACGTCTAGTGGTGGGATTGGTGCCCCCTCCGTCATGCGCAGTCAGACTTGTGACAAGTTGGACCCGACCGGATTCTTTGTTGCTTATGCCGAGTTCTCTGGGGGGATATTCGTGGACTGCTCCATCCATGATATCGATCTGGCCCTGTGGTTCTTTGGTCAAGACAGCAAGGTCAAGTCCGTGTCCGCGGTGGGTATCACGGCTGTGGAGCCAGACTTGCGCAAGCACAACGACCGGGACAACGCTGTTGGTCTGGTTGAATTCTACAGCGGCCAGATTGCCTACTTCTACGCCTCGCGCATGATGGCTGCCGGCCAGGAAGATACCACCGAGATTATCGGCACGAAGGGAAAGCTGGCGGTGAACACTCAGCCCGCTCTGAACCTGGTCAATATCTTCGACGAGAACGGTGTCCGTCGCGAGATCCCGCAGCATTACTATGACCGCTTCGAGTACGCATTTGTCACCGAAGCCAACGAGTTCACTGCCTGTTGTCTGGAGAACACACCCGTTCCTTTGAAACTTGAGGGTGCGGTCCAAGCCGTCCGAATCGGCAGTGCCCTTCAAGAATCCATGATCACTGGCGAGAAGATCTTCTTTGACGAGGCCGGTGTGCGGATCCCCAAGGCAAGGCTGTAGACAGGACGAATTCACGATAAACCTCTTTCTATATTACAGTTATTCTATTGCGTTCTACGAAGACAATGAAAAGCGTTATCGTTATAGTTCTTGGTACTATTCGAACTAAACCAGTAACATCTTTGGATCTCTATGTCTGGAAACAATTGCCCTCAATGTTCAAATGTTGCTAAACCACTCCGCATACCCATTGCCTTGGTTATACCACAACCAACTATTCGATTCAATTCAATTCAATTCAATCCAATCCAAGTTCCATTAACATGACCAAACCCGCTACTTCTTCTAGCTACTCGACCCTGTATGTAGATGTAAACGCTTCCCCAGCAAAGCAGGACCAACTGCCGAGACCGTCGGTACTGTACTTGCCAGACCCACCCAGTTCTCGGCAAAGAAGAGTTCAAGACTGGAGAGATCCTGTCACTAGTACTTAATATCTACTACTGTCCCATGTCCCTCCATTATTCCCATGATTGCCACCAATTCGGGACCTTTTTTCCGAAGGGTGAGTAATAATGGCAATGACCCCCGTGCATGTGGAGTTGGATCGGGAGTTGAAGTTGATGCGGGTGGGCCTGGGCCAGGATATCGGTTTCCGAGGCCGAGGGACCGCAACGATGAACCGCAACGAACCACGGGCTCACACGCACGGCCCGTCTCGCCAAGTCTGCCTGCCTGCCTCCCTGCCTCCCTGCGGTGACGATCATAGCATCGTCATTGTTAGTACTAGTGGCTGGGGTTCGGGTTTGTGCCTGGTTCCGATCTCGATCCGAGGGTCACTCGTACTGTGTACACAGTCGGTGTTTCTGGGGTGGGTGGAGCGGAGCGGCTGGTCGAGGCCGGCTATTGAGTGAGTGAGTGAGTGAGTGAGTGAATGAGTGGGGGGCCAACTAGATTTAGAGGAGTACTGCCCGTATGCTTCTGAGCTCTGTCGCTTGGGTTGTAAAAGGTTTGGACGACCGACGAGGGGAGAAACTGTGGTGACTATTGGGCAATTGAGGAAATAAGAGTTGAGGGGATCTAGATACTCGAGTGAGAATTCTTCCAGGAGATATATGCGAAGTACGGAGTTTGTAGCGAGAAAATTGCAAGCGTGGGGGGGGGGGAGCAACGGCCGAGGCCCGTGATTGATGGAGAATCTTAATCGGGGTGATTTGGCCCGGATGGCGGGGAACATTGGAGGGGCTGCGTGTGGGGGGGGGGAAGCTGTTTTTTTCTCTTAATTAAGTATCTGCCTTTTCTTCCTTTTCTTTCTCTTCTTCCTCTTTTTCATTTTTATTCTATTTTATTCTCTGGTTATAAAATAGTATTCATTCGCATTTTCTCTCCGTCCATACAATTCAATTCCATTTCACAATGGGTTCTACGTCGACTGTCGCTGATACCCGCTTCACGCTTAACACTGGAGCGGAAATCCCCGCGCTTGGTCTGGGTATGGGAATTGAGTCTTTGTCTTGGTGACTAGAGGAAGGTCCTGGCTAATTGTTACGCAGGGACATGGCAATCAGGCCCCGGGCAGGTCGAGAAAGCTGTGGAGCATGCCATTGCGGTGGGATACAGACATATTGATACTGCGTTTGCGTACAACAATGAGGGGGAGGTCGGAAAGGGTATCAATGCGGCCATTGCGTCGGGGATAGTCAAGCGAGAGGATCTGTTCGTCACCACCAAGCTCTGGAGTACATGGCACTCTCGGGTGGAGGAGGCGCTGGACCAGAGCTTGAAGAACCTGGGGCTGGACTATGTCGATCTCTATCTGGTGCATTGGCCTGTAGCTATGAACCCCAACGGTTAGTGTACTTTCGCTCGGACAACTAGGGGCTTGTACTGATGAAGCGAAGGCAACCACCCCAATGTCCCCACGCTCCCCGACGGCTCCCGCGACCTTCACCTGGACCACTCTCACATCACCACATGGAAGAGCATGGAGAAGCTTGTCGGAAGCGGCAAAGCCAAGGCAATCGGTGTCTGCAACTATAGCAGACCGTTTCTCGAGCAGCTGCTCGCCGAAGCCACCGTGGTTCCGGCCGTCAACCAGATCGAGAACCACCCGAGCCTCCCCCAGCAGGAGGCTGTCGATTTCTGCAACGAGAAGGGCATCCATATCACCGCTTACAGTCCGCTTGGGAGCACGGGTAGTCCGCTGTTGACGGCAGCGCCAATCGTGGAGGTTGCGAAGAACAAGGGCGTTGATCCCGCCACGGTTCTTCTGAGCTGGCACAGTATGTGTTCCCTGCTGTTGTTGTTGCTCTGAAAACGATATCTAACAAATCTTGCTTTTCCAGTCAGCCGTGGCTCTTCTGTCCTCGCCAAGTCCGTGACGCCTTCCCGGATCGAAAGCAACCGCAACTTGGTTGCCCTGGATGAGTCTGATATGGCTGTTATTGCCAAGTATACCAATGATCTGGCGGAGAAGAATGCCTTCCAGCGTTTTGTCTTTCCGCCATTTAAAATGGACTTTGGGTTCCCGGATAAGATTGGTCGTGTATAAGGGGAGGATGAGTGCTTGGTGATCGATAAGTTGGGCATATAGAAGGAAGAAAGGACGAGAGAAGATGGATCTCAAGAACTAAACCAGTCATATTTCGCATTGTCAACTGTACATACACAAGTGACTTCCCCTGAGCATAGATCAAACGACCCCATTCAAGATCCAGTCGGCCCTTTGATGGGACTTGCAGGCAAGAAAGAAAGAAAGAAACAGACAAACGCATTCACCGCGGCCAATCCAGCCCAACCCCAAGCACGTGCCCCCCCTGAGACCTAGAAAAAAACGAACGCACACACGCAAACACCGCTGAGAATCTGGAATAGCAAATTATGGTGCAGCTCACCGCCTCGACCCCCGGCTTTTCTATTCCCCGCGCGTCTCTTCTTTCGTGTTGTTGTTTCCCTTCTCTCCCATCCGCCCTTCACTCAACCTTCACCTTCTACCATCATCTTTCATCCCCCCACCTTCACGAGAGCAGTAGGCAACACAAGAGAAGAAGAGTCGGGTGGGTGGTGGGCGGCACACCTTCTCTCCCACTTATTCATTTGATTACTTGGGAGAGAAGGTGTGATTGACTACCGTGATCTCCGGCACGACAAGACCAGTCCACTCCCGATCAAGCATGATCTCCATTGACACCGTTGCGGAACCTGGTGCCTCAGAGTACACCCCTTTGGAGACGAAGAATTCTTGATACCCCAGTTCTTTGATATCATCTGGGATATCCTTGCCGCGTGTGCCGCCCTGTCGAGCCAGCTCCCGCAGAGCCTGCAATCGTCGTGCCTCCCGCTCAACTACGACTGTCTGGGCAAGGTTGCTGGACAATACCCGCCGAGCATTCAAAGTCTTGAAAGCCTCTTTCAGCTGGGCGTAGGGGAGCGAAATCAGAATAGCAGAGGCGATCGTGTTTTTGCGGCCGGGCTTCTTGTCAGTCAACGATCCAAACTTCACTGTGGCAAGTCCTGGGTTCGAGCAGATCGCCCCGGGCACGGACTGGAGATGCTCTGGGATTCGGTTGGGAATGCTTATGCTCTGGGCTTGGGGGTCCAAGACAAAGTCGGCATCGATATGGTCCACAATGAACGTCAACGCGGCCCGGACCAGCAGGGGGGCCCAGATCTCATGCAGCTCTCGGCTTCGGGTCGACGGATTGACCGGCGTTACTTGACTGTCATGGACCTCAGTGAGACTGGAAGGTACACTGCTCTCGAAAGAGATGGAGAAGTTCTCAACGCGAAGGCCGAAGTGAAAGACGGCCTCGACTGTATCCCAATCGATGAGATTCAATACCATTCTCACGCCAGCTTCGAGGATACTGTTAACTTGCAAGAATGCACCTGATGTTGCGTACGAGAACGCCAGATCCACCATGGCTATCTTGATTGGGAATGGGAACATGTCTTCGTTGTCTTCGGTATACCCAAGCAGTGCAAGTGTCGTTGCTCGGAGATTTTCACCCTGCAGATGAGGCGATCCGTACAGGTTACGAGCGGCATATTCAAAGCCTTGTATCATGTTGGCCTGAATAGCGAACACGGCGATGATCTCATAGTGTCCCTGCTTGTATATCGGAGTCTCCAGGAGGGCGGCGACGAATGGACTGCGAGCGATGACGGCCCTGTGGACGGGCATTACGACAGTGGGGAACACTCCGCTCGTTGATTTCAGTACGATCTGAAAGTCACAAAGCCGGCCTTTCTCATATAACTCGAGAAAGTACGACGAGAGTGTGTCCGCGCCAACCAACGTATCCTCTTTCCCTGGAATTTTGTCAGCCTCGAATCACAAACACAATACTTCTGCTTTGAATTCGACTCACCTTTCTTGGCATTTATATCACTACTCTCGACCATCACGATGCAATCCACCTCCTCGACTGCCTGGACATCGCCATTCACCACCTTTCCAGCAGATGCCGGTTTGCTGCTAGTCGCCAAGCAACTGCAGCAGTCACCGTTGTGGTGCAAGCAGCAGCACGACTGACTTGGAGGACAGCCGCAGTCTGAAGGTGGCCTATGTACGCAGCAATTGGGGTTATAAACGCACAAGGCCCGTCGGTGCACCTGGCAGCACGGCGCAGCTCCGTCGGGGACGTTGTGAGTCGAGTTCTCTCCCCCCACCTCACTGGCGACCTCGTGGATAGTTTCGGCCGAGGAGTCATTCGCAGCCTCAGCAAGGCGACCAGCGACATGGTTTTCTTTCGCGGAGGAGCGTTGTGCAGCACCGACGTTGCCAGCTGCAGTGTATTTGTCTTTCTTACCAGACTGTACCACCATCGACAAGGCACTAGCCACGACATCTCGGACATTACGCTGACTGTCACGTTCATCGGACACACGACGCAGCGAATCGCGGCCAAACGCAGCACGATCTCCATCGCTGGGGGCACTCAGAGCCGCGAAGATCCTATCCCTCAGGGAAGTCTCACCCAACAGGCCCAGACCAGCAGCAATGGAGTCGGCCTTTGTCTCGACCGCGCCAGCCATACTCACATCATCAGCGACACTCTCACACGACGCCTTCTTGTCATTGTCTCCGGCAGTAACAGCATCGGGAAGCTCAGACTCATCACCTCCAGACTGCAGGATCGCGTCGACCGCGTCATCGTCATGATGATCATCCACCTCCACATCCTCCTCCTCCACCTCCGTCTCCCCGTTCTTGTTCTTCTTCCTCTTGTTCTTCTTAACGTTCTTGTTCTTCCTCTTCGTCTTCGCCTTCCCCTTCCTCCTATTCTCCGTCGACCCGTCCACCTGTTCGTAGCCAGGCAGGACCGGGTCCGATGACCGCGCCCGCCGCCCAGACGCGTCCATATCTCCGGGATTCCGCGAGATATTGAAGAACTCGTCTAGTCTGTTCACGACACAAGGCAACTCGGAAGTGCAGAACGAACTGCTTCGACCCATCCTTTTTTTTTTTTTTCTGTTATCTTCTCCGTCCTGCTGCATATCAGGGAAGAATGGTAATGGTACGGTTACTCACTTTGTTTCGAATGATTGGGGAATCTTCAATGCAATGCAGAGACCCGCCAAACCAGACGACGAAGATACAGGGACAGAGAAATAGAGAGATGGTCGTCAAACGCGTCCGTCTGTGTTGTGCTGTGTTGCGTTGCGTTGCGTTGCGTTGCGAGGATTGTCGATTGATTGACTGAATGATTGAACTCAGCTTGATCCATGAGGGTCAGTCAACATGTCCATAGAATACTCCATCCATCGGTCCGGTCTATCCATCTCATCTAATTTGATATGAGAAATGGAGAAACATACTGTACGTAAGCTAAGCGATATTAAGCAAAGCTCAGCCAGAGAGAAATTTCCTATTCAAAGCAATCAGAATGAATCTTTGCTGTTGTGTGTTGCTTGCAATTTCAATATCCTTGACAATATTACTGTCTTGGTCAAGGAGAAAGAAGTGGAGTAAAGGAAGTCAAGTAAATTCGTGTCGTGTCGTGTCGTGTTTCTGTTGTGTTGTGTTCGTGGGTCGTGGGTCTAGGTAGGTATAGTAGGTTTAGGTCGTTTGCTCTTTTCTCTCTTTTTCTTGTTCTTGTTCTTGTTCTTGTTCTTCTTTATGCCTACTCTAGTTATCTACCTATCTATGGTATGTTAAAATACGCCGAGCCTACTACGTTCACTGTCCCTGTCTCTGTCCCTGTCCCTATCCCTGTCCCTACCACAGTCTCTTCTCTTAGACAGACAAGTCCTGTACATATGACCGGATGATGGGAAAATAAGAAAAATGAACCGTGAATCCCAGCAGCAACTTAGCTTAGTCTTATAGGCCTGTGAAGGGGCATGATAGTAAGTGAGAAAGTAAGTAATAAGTGAGTGAGTGCATCCATGCATACATCCAAACAAAAAAAAAAGGTTAACAATATTCACAATCTCCACAATAAACAGACATATAGAACCTCTCACCCCTTTGAGCAATAATTCCATACATTGTGTTATTTGGTTTCGAAAAAGTAACAATTGGAGTACCATTCATGCCTGAATTCCATGGCACACTTTTTAACACGCACGCTGAGGGTTCGATGGATACACGTGACATGACTGTGCTCTGATTTGATTTGTTTTCCCACGATTAACACCTAGGTCCTTATCGAAGGTAGTATAACTAGTTAGTTAGTAGGTAGGAGTATTATATAAGACTTTATTGCAGTTTGCAATTTGCATCTAGCGATGCAGTGAAGAAATAATATTCCTCTACTGGGTAGATAACTAGTAGTTACGTGTTTTCTGATTCTTACTTTACTAGTACTGTTTGTTTCTTGCGGATAGCCCAGGTTCTTTTTTCTAATAATAACAATAATAAGAAGAAGAAAAAAGCGGGGAAGAGAGGTTGTTTACAACCACTTAGGTAGACATGGTTAACCATGACCATAACCATAACCATAACTATAACCATTTAATTTCCACACAAGATGAAGAATGAGTAATTCAGAGAGAAGGTATCTCAGAAGTAATGTATTTTTTTTCTTATTCTTATTCTTATTCTTATTTCTTATTACTATGCCTATCTTCAAACAATGGGATCAAAAAGACATGAGTCTTCTAATTCTTCGGATCCTATCACATACCGAGACAGAAAGAAAAGAAATCGCTAGATGATAAAAAAAAGGATCGGATGACTCAAGCTGATACACAGACAGACAGACAAAAAAAAAGGAAGACAGTGGTGGCCTGTCCGCTCAACATAACGCAGTTGGTATATCATGATGTATGCGAAACCGGTATTCCAAATGAGAGAGAGAGAGAGAGAGTGAGAGAGATAGAGAGGTATCGAACATAAGAGAATGCAGCAATGCTAGTTAGGACATTGAATAATACATCATGGTCGGAGAAGGTAATCAATGAAGGGAAGGGAAGGGAAGGAGAAGAGTGGGTGGTAGTGAAGGTAGAGGGTCAATGGTAGAGAGTGAGTGAGTTATGATGAACGTCTTGCGAGAAGGTAGGCAGGTCGGTAGGTAGGTAGGTAGATCAGAACATGCCTCCATCCATAGGAACCTTGGGTGGTGGATACGCAGGCACGGCGGGGGCGTCGACCATCGACATGAGCTGGTGGCGGGCCTTAGCGTTCAGGTTGCCGCCCTCGCTGGAGGTCTTGCGCAGCCGGGCCCGGGATCGAGGGCGCTTCTCCCCGTCGTCGGAGAAGTTGCTGGTCTCTTCCGCCATGGCCCCGTCCATGGAAGGAGCGTACTGCGACTCGTGTCTTTCGCCCTTGAGTGCTCCGAGGATCGTCTGGGTAGTGGTTTGACGGCGACGGCGGGGGTTCATAGGGGGAATTGGCGGCGTGACCATGCCGTTGCTCAAGCTTGCGCCAGGAGGGAGGCCGACGGTTGGGACATTCGAGGTGCATGAGACAAAAGTGGGCTCGGAGATCAATGCCTTGCTGACCATGCGCTTCTGGAGCATGACGTGCCCTGGAGCACGCTGGGGAGGAGCATTGCTATTGTTGGTGGTGGTGGTGGTGGGCACTGAGGGCGACGAATGGCTGCGAGCCGGATCCTCCAAGGGTGGTGTGGCATTGGCGGAATAAGGGGCAATGGGAGACGGCCGTGGGGTGGCACCGATCAGAGAGGTGGTGCTCGCAGCTGGAGGATAGAATGGTCTGTCGTGGTAGCTTGACACTGCGGATCGGCTCTCACTGCGGTATCTTCCCGAGGCGGCAGAGGAAGAACGATCGTACACGGCCGGCTCGTTGACTTCTACGGATGGGCGGTTAGACGAAGGAACAGAGGACATGCCGTGCTGATCATAGTCATTCGCGAACGGCTTGGGAACCCCATGGGCGACTTCCTCCAGCGTTTCCAACCCATCCCTGTCTCGTCGGGTGCGGCTCTTGGAGCGACCTGACGCATCCGAGGTCGAGCGATCCCTGCGAGACCTAAAGCTCGAGTGGGGAGACGCGCCGCGGCTCCGGCTGGACTCGCGGGAATCCTCCTGGCTGCTTCGCCCGAAAACCTTGGATCGGAGGGATTTTTCCGCGGCGATGTGGGGGGAGCTGGAGTTTGCGTGCTTCGCGAAGTTGAACGGGGGTCTTTCCTCGTCTTCACGCCACGGGTCTTCCGAAACCAAAGCCGGCGTCGACGCGTTGGCAAGGTTCAGGCCCCTGGCGTTCTTTTGGTCCCGGCTAAACAGATGCTGCTTCCCGGGCTTGTTCTTCAAGAAGGCGAACGCATTGCCCGGTTTGTTGGGGGTCAGATCCGGAGTCTGACGCCCGGAGACGGGGCTCGCGGACCTGCTCTCGCCCTCAGCAAACCCCCGAAGCTTTTCCTGCACCCTGCGCCGCCTCTCCGCCAGCTCGTTGGCAAACTCCTCGCGCTCTCTCTGTGTCTCGGTGCTCCCTTCGCGTCTATGCCTGTACATGAGCTCACTCTGCCAGTTCGAACTATTCGGGGCCCCCGCATGGTGTTGTAGAATGTTGTCCTCCGGGGCGTCCTTTTCGATCGGTTGCGGAGGAAGGTCTGGAGAAGGAGGCAGAATGGACGACCGATCGCTATCCCGTCGGAGATGAGTACGGATGAGGCCACTGAGACCCAGTCCGGACGGCCCCAGTGTTGGCGAGTCGGGCTTCTCGGGAAGGTCGTCGCCATTCTCGGCTCTAGTTTCAGCGATATCGTGTTCTGCGATGGGCTTCAGGTCACCGAGGTCCGAGTATCTGACCTCAGGCAAAGGGCTCCGGTGTTCACTGGTAGGAGTAGATGGCTTGGAGGGCGTTTCAGGTCGCAACGCGGGATGGATATCGTCAGTAGTGTACACCATGTCTCGCGAGCGCAAAGCACCGCCTTCATCCTCAGAGTCGCTGGGACTGGGGTTGGCAAAAAACGTTTCAACACCGTTCCTCGCAGGGGAGGCGTGCACAGCAGATCGGCTGCCCGGGCGTTGAATCTCGCTGTAATGAGAGGATGCAGAGGAGCCAGGTCTTGACCGATAGCTCGTGTTAGACATACCTCTCATGCGCCCAGTGTGCTCCTGGGGGATGATCGGTCCGGGAGGCGGTGGAGGGCGTGTTGAAGGCGGCGGGTAGGCTTGGTGCATCTGTAGCTGACGTCGCGTGAACTGGCTTTCATCGAACGCGCCGCTGGGTTTGTTGAACATGCCCGTTGCTGTGGCTTTCCCGTGGTCTTCGGGCTGTATGGCGGCCATCAGGGGAGCCTTGTCTTCGTGCTCGCTCGCTGGAGGGCTCAAGGGAGGGGACCCGTATGCTGAATTCGCCTGAGTTTGCGGTTCCTTGGGATTGGCCTCGGTTGACTCTTCTGGCGATGTGGACAGTGACGGAGGGCTGGTCGGCCGGACAGGAGGAGGGGAGGAATGGACAATGGACATCGGTTGCATTCTACCGCGTAGATTCGTAGCGCTCCTGGAAAAGGTTCGGTTGAGGGCAGGAGGGAATTCCGGGGTCGTTCCTCGTTGACGGCTTAGGCTCTCGAGTCGCTGCAAAGTAGACGTCTGCTGGTTCTGGGCTGATTGCGCCAAGCCCTGTCCGTAAAGCCGGCGAGACTTAACCGAGCCACGCTCAGGAGCCATGCCGGGCATTGGTGGCTTTGGCGAGGCCGTTTGCCCCTCGCCCACAGACGATTGCGAAGGAGGCCCGAAGAAGGACGGTTCGTCGAACGAAGTCGCCGCGGTCGATGTGCGGGTATATGAAGCAGGCCCAGATGCTGTCGAGGAGAAGGTCGTCCGTTTTGCGGACGAAACCCTGGACAGAGCATCTTCAGACTCCTGGGTCGGGCTATCCTGCTGTGCTTCTTGTGCTTCTTGTGTTTCTTCCATCGCCGCCTCTTCGCGCTCCTTGAGTTTCAGTCGTTGAAAAGCTGATAGATTCAGGTCGTGGTCATAGAGCGCACGGCCACCCATGCCCCCGGATTCCGGACCTGGTGTGGAAGGCGACTTGGAGGGAATCTTGTACACTTTTTGGCGACCACCGAACAGGTTGTTTCCTTCGGTTCGCCGACCTCGGCTCATGATGCTGCCTTGTTGAGAGCGGTCGTCATCCGTGCCATAACCATTGTTATCCGAGGCCATGGAGTGTGTTCGTCCGAGAGCAATGGAAGGTCGGCCATCCAGGGAGACCTCGTCGATGTCCGACAATAGGCTGGGGTTGTGGCCGAAAAGGTTCAGGCGTGAGGCGCGCTTGGGGAACAAAACGCTGTCATCGCTGGCTTTGCCGATTATTGATTCCGGGTCATCTTGCTCTCTCAGCATGCTGAATCGCGCGGACAACTTGGGCATGAGGAGACTGGTGCGAAAGTCATCGGATGACGGCAGGGCGTTGGAAAGATCAAGGTCCGGTAATTGTTCTGGCTCCTCCTTCTTTTTCTTCGACGGCTTCTTCGAGCTAATGCTGGCCGCACTGCTTTCCAGGACCTCGCCATCCTCCTTCACTTTCTCCTTCTTGGTCTTGCGGAATCGATTCATGATGGGACTGGGCGGGCGTACGGAGGCGCAGCGACGGTCAGGGGGGATTGCAGGGTCAAGGTCGAACTATAACGGATCACCACGTAAAGGAGAGGCAGGGGTTCCGACCCATGCACTCGGACAATGCTGTGTAAACCACGCCAGTCAGCCACTTGCAGATCGGGGATAATCGTCGTCGTCGAATGCTGGGCGGGATTTCGACCTACCGGACGAGACGGTGACGGGGGTTAAACGAGCGACAGAACCCGACGTAGGATATGACGAGGGGCAGGTAATAAAAGCTAGAGCGATGGATGCGACTTCCAATTTGCACTCATCCCCTGGAAGCGAAAGAGTCACGGGGGTGGGAGGAGGGGGGGGGGAGGATCAGAAAAGAGGCCGTCGGCGGCGGGTAGATAGACAGTAGTTCTCCGGACAAGTGCCAATAGTGGGCGTGACTTGCAGGGTGGGCTGTGGTATAGTCGGTCGATAAAGCGACTGAGGGAACAATGGTCGAGGAGAGCTAATTGCAGATGCTACTCCGTAGTAGTATCGGTCGAATTGGACAGATTGAGCGCCTGCATAAGCCGGGAAGGAATGTGGCTGCACCGTCGACAGCGGGAGCGGAGTACGTAGGGATGCTGAGGCCGGCCTGATATCGGGTGGAGGCCCCAGGGAAATGATGGCGCAATTGAACGAATGGAAGGGTCGATGCAAGACGCGACACGCGCAGCAGAGGGGAGAGGGTGTGTGTAAGAAAGAAAGAAAGAGAGGAAAAAGAAAGGTGAGGGAGGTGGAGGGAAAAGGAACGATCGAATTGGAAGGATGGAAGGAATTGGGAATAGAAAAAAAGAAGGGATCTGGATGGATCCAATTCGATCGTCCGTCCAGCTACGGCCGACCTTTTTTTTTGTCCTGCCTGTGCCTGTCCTTCTCTTCTTCTTTTCTTTTCTTTTTTTTTTTTTGTTCTGCCCTTTTTAATGAAAGGACACTAGCTCAAGGCTTGCAGTTGACCTGACTGGCCCGATCAATGATGGCTCCATTCGCATGACGGTTCTGATAATTACGGCCATCGCATTATTGGGCCCATGAATAGTAGTTAGTACCTTCTCCGTACCGTTCGGTGGTCCTCCAAAGAAGCGGATCGACACATGAAAGTCCTTTTACTATTTCTAATGGATTCAGCGCATGGCGGTTGGTCTTTGCTTTTTTTTTTCTCCCATTCAGTTGTCCCTTTTGTTTTATTTTTTTTTATTTTTCCCTACGCTTGTTTTTTGTCCCTATTCTTCTTGTTTATCTATCTGATGGGGACTCGAATTCAGTCGCAGGGCGAGTCCCTTGGGATGAAGGTTTCGTAACCGTGGGCGATAACATTTTCCCCCGGCACTAACAAGGTTATTTACCTTACCAGACCCCACCGAACAGAAAGCAGAAATGGTGCCTGAATCAGATCCCAGCAAAGCAACCACAATAATAAACTGTCACAGAACCCATGGATGGGGGTGCAATTACCGTACGGTACCGCGACTAGGGCCCAATGCCCCTTGCAGGCTCCACTGCCAAATGAACCGCAAATCGGACAGAGCTCTGTGACTGGGCCCGACGCTCCGGGTACCTTACGCGCCTATACCGTAGTCCGTATTGTCGTCCCTGATGCCTGTCAGCCTGGGGCCTCTTCCAGACCGACTATGGACTTAACCTTCAACTAACGGGGGCGGCGTGCTCAGGGTTGTGAGATGGAGATGGAGATGGGGATGGGGATGGATGCATGGCCAGCGATTTCCTTTCCCTCCACCGGAACCGGTCCTCAAGTCAACCAGGTCACCGGAAATCAAAAGCAAAATTGGTATCTAGGTAGATACTTACGATCGATGTGACCGCGTCTCGCGGGATGTGGGCCGATCTGGGGCTGAATGAAGGCTGAATGAAGCCTACGCCTCAACAGTCAACAACAGGGCTTGCTGTCCCCAAACTCTCACGTATTCCAGGCAACCCTCACTGTTGCTTGCGCCCCAGGACGGTCGGTCATTATTGGCAGTGGTTGCATCGAATGAAGCCGCAGTTGCCTCCCAGCACCCCTTTAGCGGAGGCGTTCAGGATAGACTGGCCACCTGAAGCCGCCAGCTGAACTGAATCCCTTCATCCTCGCCTAATATGACCTGTCTACTGACCGCATGCTGTTTCATGCCTTCGAACTTTATTCCCAGGACCGCTAGAGGGGTTTCCGGAAATTTGGACGAGCGGGACGATCCCCTCGACTGCCGTCGGGTATCTAGACTATCCCATATCCCATCCTTACTGGATCGATGCTAGCCCCCATGCTTGGATGCGAAGTACCGGTACGGAGTACATAGGATTTGATATCATCGCCATTGTCGTGTGCTGCGGACGGACTGGCGGACAGGACCAGAGTACAAAGCATGCAGTCATCCTGCACGGACATGGACGCTGTGAGGGTGCAATTGGGGGGGGGGGGGGGGGATCCCCGAACACGGAAGCTCTGCAGTTGAAAGAGGACCCGATCCTCCCACAGGACGAATAGAGTCCGGGACGGAGGAGGGAGGGCAAGGGCAGCATTGAGCATGCATGGAATAGACTGTACCTCTCTTTCCGGTAGGTAAGTTCCTTGTGGACCACAGCAGGGTCACCACCTGAGTCATCCGTGAGCCCTCCACAGGGCCACGGAGACGGTAGTTTGTTGGTTGGTGCTGGCTGGAAGTGTACAAAGCAGTATCCTTTTTTTTTTCCAGAGGACCATCGGACATGTTACTACATAGTTCGTGTCTTTCGTAAGCGAGATATCCAGGAACCGGTTTCTCCTTCGAGCTAAATGGCATAGTTCTCTGATCATCTTGGATGCTGTGGACCGGTTCGCAATATACTATTCCAGTCCAGTGTTCCAAACTTCGACCTTCCCAGAACCATCCAATACGTCATCTCCATGCTCCGAGGGAATCGCAGGACGGGGTGGAGGCATAGCGACTCCTCGCAGGGCACACGACCAAGTAGGCAGGCCAGAGTTTGTTTGGCGACTCCGCGGGAAGAGTGACAGCCGTTGGATAGTCGAACCTACCTTAAGTCTCCTCCGTCTGCCGTCCCTTGGTTACTTGGATAGTCGGCCCTGATACGGTACTGTACCTTGTACCGTCCCTGGTCCCTTTCTGGCCTGTTAGAACTTAGTAGGCAGTTGGATATAAACTGTTACCTAGACTGTGAGACTGTTAGTAGTACACCGTACACTACTTTCCGTATGGAGGGGATGGGATGAGGAGAGGAGGCCAGCCAGTCAACAGAAGCCAGGCGGCGGGTGTGGTGGATGCCCCTGACTAGGCCGTAAGTAAACAAACTACTTTCCTCTACGGAGTATCTAGCGGTTACCGTACATATACGCACAGTACCGGACGGGTCCGGATTATCTCCGCCCACTTTTTCCAGGCACAGACAGGTTCACTGGTTCAGGCACACGGCAATGTAATGATGTGTACGGTGTACCTAGATATGGATAGATGTTATTGTTGGAGCGTAAGTGAGGCACAGGCTCAACGCCGGTAGGTGCTTCCTCGGGAGAGGCACGCATCCACGCATCCACGCATTCCATACCATCATAATGAAGTCATTAACAATCTGGCTACCATCATCCATCCCGTATAAACAAAGAGAAGCCGCGACCGGATTCGCTCCCCTCTCCCCGGTGGACCGCCGCCCGACCAGACTTGGACGGTCGAACCAAGATTCCCCCTCTCCTCCCGAGGATCCAGATCAGTCCTTTCGACCTCCCGTTAATTAATGCAATCTCCGGGATCCAGCTCTCCAGAGGGAGGGGGAGCGTGCCTGACTAAAATTCTGCTGTCCCGCAGCAATCGCTGATAAATTTTCGGTATTATAGCCAACGATCAACACTCCAAGTATCGAATCCGGTTGAGCCAGAATCTCCGATCCATCGGGGCTGCTCAAGCTTGTGTGCCCAGTGCCAGGCCAGGCAGTGCAGGCAGGCCTCCTTCCCAACCGATCGGCCGGTGTTTCAGTGTTTCACAAGGCAGCTGGGTCGGGGATGGGTCCTTTCATATCCCCAGTCCCCCCCACGACTTTGGTCTGGACTCTCTGACTCCGACTGGCTCTGACTGACTCTGCGGAGCAAGCTCGACATCCATCATTCTTGAGTTTGCCCACACGAACAATCCTGCCATGAGGTTGCTTTGATCTAGTCTCTAACAACCGCGCGACTCAAAAAGCTGGGCCTCCGGATTTCCAGACGTGTGATCGACGACCATCCTTCGCCCTTGGTTTGATTTGGCCTTTCGCCATTCAAGGGGTCTTGCAAGGCGGCATCCCTGTTATCGATTGAAGCGATGTTGCCCGGGGTAGGGGAGGGGAAGGGAGGGGATATGCGATCAGACGATATTCCTCTCCTTGCAGGAATCGCGGCATCTAAGACATCGTCTGTACGCAGCAGTCCGTAGAGGGGCCGACGCTGATGCATACATGCATCGAAGGCCGTAGAGAAGAACTGTCACTGACCAGCCGCGCGGGGGATGACGCCATGTATTGTTCCCCCTCATGACTAATCCGGCCTCCGCATCCAGCAGCTCCAGCTTCACAGCTTCACAGCTTCACAGCTTCACAGCCTCATCCCACCTCTGCAGGGTTCCCTGGGCTCTCTCCTCCCGATACATCGAGCATTGAGCATCACGATCCCTTACCCAACCATGCATGTCCTCCTTCTAGGTGGCCACGGCAAAGTGGCCTTGCATCTGACCCCGCTCCTTCTCGCCCGCTCCTGGAACGTCACCAGCGTCATCCGCAACGCAGAGCACGAGAATGAGATCCTCGCCCTGGGCCAGGGCGCCCAAGGCAAACTGGACGTCCTCCTCTCCAGTTTAGACGACGTCAAGAGCGATGCCGACGCAAAGAGCATCCTCGACCGCGTTTCCCCGGATTATGTGGTGTGGTCGGCAGGTATGCAACCGTGGCTGTGATTGCAACCACGTCCCCACCCACCCCCCAAAAAAAATACCAAGCATCACATCACATCTGCACCTTTCCTTGCAAGCTCCCCACCCCATCCCATCCCATCGAATCCACACGTCACATCCACACATCCGCACATCTACACATCCCCCAGACCACCCATCCTACGTGTAACAGAAGGCTGTTCCAGCTAACCAACCCCCCCATTTCCGAAACAAAGGCGCCGGCGGCAAAGGTGGTCCCGATCGTACCTTTGCCATCGACGAACGCGCCGCCAAACACTTCCTATCTGCCTCATTTGCGCATCCCTCGGTGACCAAGTTCCTCCTCGTCTCCTGGCTGGGCAGCCGACGTGTCCAACCGTCCTGGCTGAACGACGACGAGTGGGCCGGTCTGCAGAACGTTTTCTACAACGTCCTCCCCACCTACGCCAAAGCCAAACTCGAAGCAGACGAGTACATGACCGCGCTGGCGGCGCAGCGCAAGAAACTCGTCGCAACGGGCGCCGCGCGGCCCCTGCAGGCCATCAATCTGCGACCGGGGACCCTGACCGACACGCCGGCCACCCGGACAGTGGACCTGGGGAAGACCAAAAAGGGTCGCGACAAGGTGACCCGCGAGGATGTGGCGATCGTCGCGGATCAGCTGCTCGCCCGCGATGACACAGACGGGTGGTACGATCTGCTTGAAGGGTCTGAACCTGTCGAGCGAGCTGTGGACCGGGTCGCCAGGGAGAAGATCGACGCCGTCGACGGCGAAGACGTCGATGCCATGGTGAACCGTTTCGGTCTGGGAACCGTTTGAACGAACTTTGGCCATTCGGAAACTCGGAATCCATGATTCCAAATCCCGTTGCTGCATCCATCCCTGTGTGATGTGGTGTGATATCTCGCCTGCAGCGCCGTTGATACGTGGATAGCGCAGCGACTTCCCTGCTGCCTGTCCCGTTTCTTGTGTTTTATGTAACTAGGTATTTAGCTACTTATGTAGGTATGGTAATGAGACATGCTGTTTCTGACTTGTTGGATCTGGTTTCAGTTTATTTGGCAATGGTTGACGGCGAGCCGTCCTTCTCTACCTTAGGTACTGTGTAGTAGGATATCTGTCTACTAGGTAGTAGTTTTATCTGTCATTCCAAATGTTTGGCGCGTTTGGCGATGCGCCACACCGACTGATAGCATGCATATTGCATACTACTAGTAAATAGTATCTAGTACTATATCTTCCGTGGTATGCGGCGTGGCGTGGCTTGCGGAAATGGATTCCGCATATCGACTACCTACCTACCTACCTACCTATCACCCACACATCTATCTAGGTACTAGGTACCCATTACCTTACCTAGTACCTGTTGCAAGTATCTATCTGGACTAGGTAGGTAGGTAGGTAGTAGGTAGGTAGGTAGGTAGGTAGTAGGTAGGTAGGTAGTAGGTAGGTAGGTAGTAGGTAGGTAGGTACATGAGTAGGGAGTAGGGAGTATATTTGTGTACAGTACAAACCCACCATCGATAAATAGATAGATAGATAGTATAGTATAGTATACTACCAGTCCCCCGACAACTTCACCACGCTAAAAGCCTCAATTCAATCATCATAAATTCATCCAAGTACGATAGAAAGTATGTACACATCTAGTCCAATCCAATCCAGTCATGATACCTGATACCTGATACCTAGCTGGCTAACCAACCAACCAGATATAACCCCACGGATGACGATCACGATGACGATCACAACTTCGCCTTCGGACCGGCAGCGCCAGCACCGACTCCCTCCTCCTTGGCCTTCTTCTTCAAGACACGTCTTAGGATCTTCCCGCTCGGGCTCTTGGGGATCTCGTCGACAAACCAGACGCCGCCTCTTAGTTTCTTGTGATACGCGACCTTGGCGTCTAGCCACTTGACGATATCTGCTGCGATTTGGGGCGCGGGGTGTCCGGAACTCAGACTCTGTGCGCTCCGGACGACGTAGGCCAGGGGTACCTCGGTGCCGTGGGCCTCGCTCTCGATGCCGATGACGGCGACGTCGTCGACGGCGTCGTTGTCGATCAGGATACCCTCTAGCTCTGCCGGGGCTACCTGGAAGCCCTTGTATTTGATCAGCTCCTTGACGCGGTCGGTGATGAAGAAGTTGCCCTGGTCGTCTTGGTAGCCGACGTCGCCGGTGCGGAACCATCCGTCGGGGGAGAGACAGTCGGCTGTGGCGGCGGGGTTGTTGTGGTAGCCGAGGAAGACGTTGGGGCCGCGCATGTACAGTTCGCCGACCTGGCCGGGGGGAACCTCGGTGGAGTCGGAGCCGTCCTCGGGCATGGTCATGTATTTGGCGTCCATGTTGGGGAGGAGTTTACCGACGGAGCCGATGGTGGTGCGCCATTCGTCCCAGGGTTGGGTGTGGGTGGTGGGACTGGTTTCGCTGAGGCCGTAGCCCTGTTTGATGCCGCAGTGGATGCGGGCGTAGACGGATTCGACGAGTTCTTGGGTGAGCGGGGCGGCGCCGCAGTTCATCATGCGGAGGGAGGAGAAGTCGTATTTGTCGACGATCGGGTGTTTGCCTAGGAGGAGGACCACAGGCGGGACAACGTAGCTGAATGTGATTCGGTGGGTTTGGACGTGAGAGCACCATTTCTCGATGTCGAATCGCGTCATCACGAAGAGGTGGTAGCCTTGGTACATAGTTTGGTGGATGAGGCAGTTGAGGCCTGTGTGGAGGTGGGTTGTTAGGGTGGGAGGGGGAGGAGGATGTGGAGGATGGAGGACGAACCGTAGATGTGGAAGAAGGGGAGGAAGGCGAGAACTCGGTCGCCTTTACCGTCTGCGCCGCTGTTCCAGCTCAGGTTGCCTGCTTCGCCGGTGGCGAGTTGGAGGGTGTTGGCGATGATGTTACGGTGTGAGAGCATGACGCCCTTGGGCACGCCGGTCGTGCCGGACGAGTAGACTAGGAAGGATAGGTCGCGGGACGGGTTAATCTTGGTCTTGCGGAACCGATTGGCGCCTGAGATGTTGCGGATGGAGGTGAAGTGTTTGATTCGGGATTGGGGATCGCGCTCGTCGCCGATGAGGATGATGCGGTCTTCGGGGATCCCGACTTCCTTGGCGGCGGCCGTGGCCACGGGGAGAAGGTGCGCTTGTGTGATAAGGGCTTTGGCACCGGAGTTTTTCAGCTGGAAGGCCAGCTCCTCTGTTGTGTAGGCTGGGTTGGAGGGAGAGACGACGCCGCCGGCCCAGTGTGTTCCCCACATCACGACGGGGGTGTCGATGCTGTTGGGGGTGAAGAGAGCGAGCACGTCGCCTTTTTTCCAGTCGAAGATGGCTTTGAGGCCCTGGCCGAAGGAGAGGGCGCCATCTTTGATTTGTTGGAAGGTGAGGGATCGTTGTGTGTCTGCGTCCTGGTAGATGACTGGATGGGGTTCAGCGGGGCTGTCTGGGGGTTCTATGTCTTTGTAGGGGAGAAGTGTTCTCGTCAGAAGCATGTCCACTTACCCTTGTCATTCGGGAAGGCCCTCTCCTTCCGCTCGAAAAGAAAGGTCCAGATGTCGACGTCGGGGATGGCTACCGGAGGGTAGCGTGAGGAGACGGGCATGGTGACGGTGACGGTGCGGGGAAAGAGGGCAGCGAGGGGAGGTGGGACGACGCTCAGGTCGCTCGGTTCAGCTAGGAGGAGAGGGGTGTCACCGTATCGGTGGCTTCTTGGGGATGAGAGAGGAGCAGACGGAGGCCCGTTAATAAACGCACAGGGGGATTCGGCCCTCGGCTCGGCGGCCGATAAGGGCAGTTGGAGAGGCCACGAATAGCCGCTCTACGCTGGCTCTCTCCTCTCTCTCCGCACTCCTTCCATCACCTCGATTCCTCGATTACCTCAGCCACCTCTTTCTTTACCTCCCCTGGCCGAACCTTGGTTGGCATTTCCGACTCTCCTTCCGATGATTTTGTTTGACCCCCGGCTTTTCGGTCGATCGGAGGCCATCATTATTTCCGAATGGTCGATTGATCTGACTCTCGACATTTCAACGGTCCAAGCCAAGCTCCAGCGGCGGCCGGGGAAGTGGGGACGCCCTTATCAGTTATCACTGACTGTCAGGGGGTTTGTGTGGTGGCAACTTGACCATGATACTTGAGTACATCATCCGAACATTCTAGCAAGTGATTAATACCGGTACACTCTAAAGCCCTCTCTATATCTCACCGCTCCCGTTTTGTTCTTCTTGCATCTCTCACAAGCAGATCTCAGTCAGACAATTCCCCTTGGGCGTTGCCTGGCACGTCAACCCCGTTGTCGGAATCACGCACGGTGATAGTTACCGCATCGCTAATTGGGTCGCGGACAAACGATCCATATTTACTCTTGCTACTCGATCCCTTGACCGAATCCCCGCTTGATGGTGAACTTCGACGTCTGGCTACAGAACTTGGCCTTGGTCCCGCTCACCATGCCCTCCCGATTGTACGTCCCGGAAATGTCCACGAGGTTGTCGTTCAGTTAGGTCCATGGATGTGTATATATCTCGGATTCAACCAGCTCGCGGCCTCTCGGGCCGTGACGGACATTGCGGCACCGTCTGTGTCCAAATAGGCCTCCCGCAAGCCGTAAAAATCCGTCGAGGCAATCACGAGTGCACCAATCGCTGTGATCTCACAGCCCATACTACTTTATTGATGCCTGCCTTCTACGGATCTTTCACGTGTGGTGGGAGTCAGCTGCCAAGAAGCGACATCGGGAAAGATCCAGAAGGGTGAGGAGGCAAGGTTTCTGCGTGTTGTGGATCGAGTCACTCGAGGCATTTTTGAGCAACAGCTGTGTGAGTGAAATTCGGAGGTAGGTAGTAGGTGGATACTAAATGGTTAGATAGTAGAGGGTGTTTGGCGGGGGCTTTATCTCTTTCGAAAACGGCAAGAACCGAAGAACCTTAGTAGGTAACAGTGAACAGTCCCGAGACAAACCGTAATTACATTACCAATTCTTTTTTTTTTTTTTTGGATTCTTGATGTCAATTTGGTGCTGGCTTACTCATTTTAGTGGTTGACAAAAAAATATTACCATTCACTCGAGAGTCAGAGATCATATAACCGACTTGAATGTGTAGTTAGTTAGTGAGGTTGCTTACTTATCTAGACCTCGTGGCTGCATGATGTATCGCCTGTCGGAAAGTAGTACTATATTTTATAGACATATTTGATGATCAGGCCCCAGGAGGAAGAGACAGCTACAAATACTCCGCAGGTGAGAACGAAATAACTGAAAGAGGGCCGTGTTCGACCAACACCCTCCTAAATCAGAGCGATCTAGTGCGATCATATGATAAGTATATAGTATACATCAAAGAGAATGTGGGAACAGCCCCCCCCCCCCCCCGGTTCGCCCAACTACTCCGTCTCCCCAATTAGGGGGTTAAGTTATAATCCTACCGCCTCTGTTACACCACCCCCCGGCCTGTGTATTACTAGTACCTGCCTACGCGTTACCTGGGCGTGTATCTTGCTTACTATAGGCATCCTAATTAAGAAGGTCGAACAAATCCGAATACCTACATATTCAACCACCTGCCAAAAGGCATGAGAATTCCCAAAAATCAAAGTAAGGAACATCGTTGTTGACCAACATCCTCTTGTAGATAGCCAGTGTAATTAGTGGTCCGTGGTGGTGCTGGAATCTGGATGGATGTTGGATCTCTCTCCGGACATAGTACCACTGTGAATATACAATACTATCATTATATTGTACTGGCAAAGCCTAGCAAGGATGATGAGATCTGCTAATATAAAAAAAAAATGGACAATAGTAGTCTCGGGTATCCCTGACAGTGAACTATATACATACATACATACCCATACACAAAAGAGAGAGAGAGAGAAGAGAACCAATGCTAACCGTGACGTGCGTAACGCTCAAATCGCCAAAGAGACAGAAAGATAGATATACTTCATAACGGAGGGTGGGACCGGCCCCCCATGTTCGTGGAATAATTCGAGAAGATCATGACATCAACCTGCTTCGTGATCCTGCCGTTCTCGAGCTGGTGCAGCTCGGTATTGCCGTCGAGAATGAACTCGGCACTTTCCCGCCCGGGGGTCTGAGATGCTTGAACGCCAGTCCAGTTGCCGTAGCCCTGTCTGCTGGCAATCGGTCCACTGATCGTGTATTGATGTGACCGTCCTGGTCGCGAACGGGAGACACTAGGGAAGTTCCGCACTGACTTCCGGACTGAATCGATGATCAGAGACCGGATGCACGGAAGAGAGGCCGTGACGATGACCAGATAGCACTCCGTCAGAGCCCATCGAGTGAGCCGGACTGTTACTGCGGTTTGATCGCCCCGTTCGGATATAGTAGTCAGATAGACAATGCGCATGATCGAAGCTATCATGGCTCTGTGGGGTGATGTGGTTAGTACCATGGCCGTATAGGATCGAGGATGTCGGTGATGTACGTACATTAGGCCCAGACTCATCAAAATGATCAACGTGATTTTGATGCGCTTCTTCAGGTTCAGGCTCCAGAAAGTGTACGTCGGGAAGAGAGCAAGGAAGAGATCGGTCCCAGTGTTGATCGCTGGAGTAAGATGATTAGGAGATGCCGCGGCAGGTTGTGTCTGCAAGACTTACAGCATTGGACATATGCGTAAATACGATCGACATTCGGATCCCAGCATGTGGAGATAACGGTTGTGTCCCAGATAGAATTAACATTCTGGCATTGAGCGAGAACAGTGATCACGGAGACACAGTTGATGACAATTTGCAGCCCGAAGATGACCCATAATATTATCTCCACTGCACGTTTTTGACGCAGGATGTTTAGTAGGTATATCGTGAAGGCGGCTCTCCCAGCACCAGTGGCAACGATTGAGAGGCATTGGAAGCCTGTGTAGTATTTGAGTGCGAGCACCTGGCTCGCATGGCTCAGCGTCCTGTAGTGCCGCCCATAGCCATTCTCAATGGCCAATGTGATCATGATGGATGCGACAAGAGCGAGGGCCTGGCGCGAGTCAATATGGTATGTTAGAGTAGCATGCGCCGGAGACGTCACGGGTAGGGAAAGTGTGGAAAATGGGAACCAACCGATGCGCACAGCATGATCGTATCGTCCACGGCGAAATGTCGAATACGGAGCTTGGCGATGACCCTCAAGGCCATGACCAAGATCGTGATGGCCACGGCCGTCCAGTTGAGAACCAAAATCCCGGGGCCGGCATTGTAGGAAGACTCGAGCGACATCAGCGGTGGGTTGAGGCTGCACACCAGCGAATAGACCGGGATACGAGTTCAGGAAGACCAGGCAGGTCCAACGAGGCCAATGGGGGTGGGTGTCAAGGACGAGGGGGGAAGAAGAGTCGGATCCATGAGAGCAGAAGCAGCTGTCGTCAATGACAGTGCGCCACCAGGGAGTTTATCTTTCTTAATGAGCATGAGGGTTATATCATTTTCCACGCAGGCCGGCCTTCCGTTCCTTGGATCTCGACCCGCTTTGATTAAAGTTTTGGTAGGAATGAGCAGGAATGTGGTCAGTTCTTCATGCTTCAGCCCTTAACGCGCGTTGCAGACGGTGTTCCCCTCGCCGGTCGCCGCTAGAGACCAAGGGGGCAACCGGGTATGCACATCATCTAGGCCTGAGTTGGGCTGCTCCACCGGCCCCGTTCGGCGCTCCCACAAGATCATGCGGGCCACGTTCAAGGGCGAAACCAGCAGAACGTTCACGCAGGCCATTTTGCCTCCGGTCTGGGTGTGTTTGGGTTTAAGTTGGGTGGATTGGATAGAGTTCAGGGTCCAATGTTCAATTTTGGGGATGGGTGTTGCAGCATCAATCCCCGTGGCTTTTCTTTTGACCACGACCAGTAATAAGAATAAAGTCAAGGTGCAGATCCGGACGCATTATCTTGGCTGCATCTCCAAGGATGTCCGAAGGAGTAACTGCAGGCCCTAGTAGTAGTGCGGACTGAACCTATTTCAACTGTGGGTTGATCTGATACAAGATGTGACTGCTTTGCCACCGACTGGGCTCTGGAACGGCTCCGCAATTTTGGGTTTGTTTCTTCTTCGGGGCACTGCTGGAGATCTGGAAATTTGGCCATCTGCACTCATTACTCGTCTGGAGATCTGGAAGATTCACACTCATGCAGCCTTGGATAAGAACAATAAGCGGGGGGGGGGGGGAGAGACAAGAGAAAGAGGGACGATATTACAATGGGCCCAGGAGGAGTGCTACTGCAGTAGTCTAACAAAGTCCCCGCCTGCTGTATAGAGACTGGAAACCTTATTGTCTAAGTGGCGGTTGCCTGACGCCAGAATAAATCTTCCAGGCCAACAACACAGTATTCTCCTTCCGGGCGATCACATCACACCTTCTCACCATCCCACCAGTGACCATGACTCCCGGAATGCTCGCTCGGGGACGGCTTTCAAGACCCGCCAGGCACATCCCTACCCGAGATGCAGAAACTGTGCATATTACTGGATTGGGACAGGACTCCGCAGAACCCTGCACTCGATAGTCTATCGTCGTCATCCATGATCCTGATCCGTGATCCGACCCCATGTGAAACCGGGACAGCTTCATGGGTTCAGCCGAACCCTGGAATCGAACTTTGGAACGCCCATGATTCTTAATATAGCTACCACTTCGCGAGAAGATAAGAGCGTCGGGATCCTTCGGATGCTTCCAGTCTCTAGATAGCACCAACCCCTTTCCCTTCATAACTATCGACGCGCAGGATCCTGGAGGCTTACCATCCGAACGATCGGTGTCTACCGCGAGCCGGGATGCATAAGCCTGCGCCCAGGTTGGCTCGCTTGGAATCAATATCCGGCCGGTCGCCGGTCGCCTGCAAGGCAACGCGTACCGATGCCTTAATCAGTCCGTCTCTTAATTAAGTGCATCCCGTATTCTCCCTTCATCCTTGCATCCTTGAATCCTTCACACCCTCCCAGCATATTACCCCGCAGAAGGCTACGTACTCACCGTCCGCCCGTGGCTGAAGGGCAAATTGCACTAGGCGGGCCGCGGGCAACACTGCCCTCCTCGGCATAACGCCCGTCACTAAGTCCTCTACATCAAACATCCAGCCCTGCCTGGGCTTCCCTTCTTCAATAGTTTCCTCTTCCGCTTCGGCCTTCAACCTCCTGGATTCTAGATGAATAGACCCCGAATCAAGCTACTAGATATCTGCTCCCCTTATGGAGTACGTCGTACCGAGATAGTAGATTCACGAGCATTGGTATTATTACTCTATACTCAGTAGAATCCACCTTCACCAGCCGCCGGGGAAATCAACGCCTCGGCCACCAGTTACCAAGAAAAGAATCCCTCCCTCTTCCCCCGTCCCAGAGCAACCACTTACATAACAGTAGTCCCCCAGTGCGATGATTAAAGAAATTGAACCCCGAGGATGTCCATCCATCGAACCATCACCCCTCATCCCTCACCTCTTACCTCTTTCTTACCTCTCACCAGGAAATGACATGACAATAATGCTATGGTAATGATATAATAATCACAGCATAGATAGATAGTACCACCCACTCACCCAGTGTCTGTGCCTCGGATAGCTAGTAGTATTATATTGCCCCAGCGGCCGGACAGCCATGTGCATGTACTGTACCCACAGACCAGACCACCATCCACCTAGATAGATATCTACCCAGTACCCACGGACATCTCCGTAGCCCGTACCGTCGATAGTATGTACATCTCTCCTTAATAAGGCAACCCCCTCTTGTCCACAGTCCATGAGATGGGCAAGTATCTACGGAAGTAGTACATCTCCCGTCCCGTCCCTCGGGACTACCCTCCCCCTCCCACTCACCGACACCCCTCTTCCCCTTTCGACAAGCTCTCCGCCCACTGCCCACCGCCCAGACCATGCTAGTCGCTAACTAACTAGTTAGTTAGTCGTTAGTCGCTTAGTAAGTGTACTCCACTCTACCCGCCTCTCGCTTCCCCAACCAATCAAACCACTCCATCTCCCGCAATTGTCCTATATAATCCATTGTAAACAGGACTCAAGTGCCTTCGGGCATTTGGTCAATTTGAAACGATACAGAGAAGATTAGCATGGCCCCTGCACTAAGGATGACACGCTCAATCAAAGAGAAGCTACCAGTTTTTTTTTCAACTCTTACCGACCTCTTTTCGAGGTAGGCGGCTTTAAGGGGGCGTTGGCTGGGTGTTATCGGGAGACTGGGGGTTCGAGTCGCGGGTGGTTCGATCTCTTTTTTTTTTTTTTTTTCTTTTTTCTTCTTTCTTTCTTTTTGATTGCTGCGGTGCCATCTTTCTTCACTCTTCACATTTCACCCTTTCCTGACCTCTGCTCTAACTCATTGTTTATTATATGAGGAGGGGGGTTATCCGTATAAATATTTTTTTTTTCTTAAAGCATTGGTGGCATTGTTACGTTACTAGTACTCTAGCGCTATTGCTATTTACATAGGAGAGCAAGCAATGTAAACTACATGTACATGATATCATCCTGGTCTTTCTTCATCACATTAAGCTGGTCCGGCCTCCGATCTCGCGGCCGCCTTCGCCGGTGGGCATCTCGCCGTTCCGACCGAAGACAAACTCGTTGTAGATCGCCTCTAGACGGCGTCTTTCCGCATTGCTGAGAGAGCTGCGGGTTGTGTTGAGGGAGCGCTCCATGTGCTCCCACCGAACTATGATCTCCTCGCGCGGTTCTTCCTGTGCGGGTCCGTTGGACGCTGCTCCCTGGCCACCACCTGGGCCCTGTTCCGACTGGCGCTGACGGCGTCGTGCATTCTTGATGGCGTCCAGCTTGGAGGCGACGACCGCAGGTGACGGCATGGAGACTGATCCCGCGGTCTGTTCTGATTCGGAGTAGAGGAATTGGATGAATGACTTGGTGCTGGTGCCTGTTGAAGACGGCTTCGCGCCGTTCTTTGCCGTGTACTTGTCGTTCGTTGACCGGTCGCCCAGGGCGTCGTGCACGGCTTCGAGATGCGCGTTATATACAACAGCCTGCAGGTCGGCGCCGGAGAAGCCTGCTGTGCGTGCAGCTACTTCGTCCAGGCGAGAAACAACCTCCTCGCTCATCCGGAGTTTCTTGCTGACAGCGTGGATGATATCCGCTCGATCTGAGTGGTTGGGCATATCGCAGATCAAGGACTTATCGAGACGTCCGGGTCGAAGCAGCGCGGGATCGATCAGATCCGGCCGGGAGGTCGCGGCGAGAACGTACACCCCCGAAAGACCCTCGGCACCGTCCATCTGGGTGAGAAGTTGGTTGACCACGCGGTCGGTAACACCGGTAGAATCGTGACCACGCTTGGGCGCTATACTGTCGAACTCATCGAAGAAGAGAACGCATGGGCGGGCGGCCTGGGCTCGTTCAAATAGATCCCGCACACTCTTCTCGCTTGCTCCGATATATTTGTTCAGGATCTCCGGACCCTTGACGCTGATGAAGTTGAGGCCACACTCGCCCGCGACGGCGCTGGCGAGAAGGGTCTTGCCACAACCGGGGTATCCGTAAAGTAATAGACCCGAGCGCAGACGCAGGGGACATTGTGCGAAAATGGGAGCGTACTTCGTGGGGTATTGCAATGTCTCGAGGAGCATTTTGCGGGTTTCGGTCAAGCCACCGATGGCGGAGAATGTCGTGGTGGACGAGGTAAGAGTGACGTTTCGGAGGGACGCGGGGGTGAAGCCTTTGATGGCGCTTTCGAAATCATCAGCCCCGAGTGTGATCGCTCTGGCTGACGCTAGAGCGTCTTGCACAGAGCGTATCAGGGCTTCGTTTCGTGCACGCGAGACCAAAAGGACCAGATCTCCAGGCATATACCCGTCCGTCTTGCCAGCAAGGTCTAAGAAATCCACGTCTCGTCCAAGTACGAATCCATCTGCTCCAGCTGAGCTCGGACGGCTTCCGGGATTCGAGGGGTCCAGCCACGAATCGTGGGTAGATGAGCTGGCGTTTCGAGCATGACCATTCATTGCGGGGGGACCTCCCCTGTCTTGACTTGTCAGCTGCTCCAGCACTTTTCGTCGGCCCTCCTTGTCCGGAGCCCTCAGATGGATTATCTCTCGGACAACATGGCCCCCGACTACGATGTTGTTCAAGGACTCTTTCGACTGTGCTGTGGCCAGCAGCACCACCGAAGAGTTCATGGAGCAATACTCCCGGACCATAGAACAGATCACTTCACTGTTTTGGCGGCTGCGACCATTATCCCCTCCGACCTGCAGCTCCGTTTCCACGGGGCACAACTTGTCGAGATCGTCCAGAATCACAACCGACTGTCCGCCCAGACGGGCACACCAAGAGGCAGACATGAAAAGGCGATTGAGCGTCTCTTTGATGTTTGAGATACGTGTCTCGTCAGTGACCAGTTTCCGACAAGAGAAATACTTCACGTTGAAAAGGAAATCTTTCCGAACACGATGGGCTAACAACTGGCTGAGTGCTGTCTTTCCCGATCCAAGACCACCTGTGAGCAAGATAGAAGATGATTTGGTCAGGTTATCAATCGCCTGTGAGATAATCTGATCGATTCCAACCATTTCAGGAGCGGCAGATGGTATCAAATCCTCCGACGGATGGGCGGATGAACCAGACTCGGCCGGACGAGGTATCTCAGCTTGCACTTCTAGTGACAGCTTAGCATCTGATCCCAGGATCCACCCCGTTGCTGGTTTAGCTGCATCGGAACCGCCCTTCAGTGGAGGGTCAAACCGGAGAATAGCACCATCAAAGGCAGACGATATAGCCCGATAGTCTGCACTTGGTAGGACCATCCCATCCGTCAGAGGTCCTGACAAGAGTCCTTTGTCAAAGCCAGAACTGCCATACAAGACTTTGATGCGCTCCGCCAATGCATCCCTTGCAGCTGCGGTGTCAGATCCAAATTTCAGACCATCTTTCTTCTTCGATGTATCAGTCATGAAAGGAAACACCTTTAGTGTCTTCACGGTAGACCGTTGCAACGGTGGAGGAGCGGCTTCGACTCGAATAATGCCGCCTACCATGCCCTCAGCGCCCAGGGAAGCAGATAACAAAGTTGAGACAGCAACGTGTTGGGTGTCTGGGGCGTCAACCCACGGCATCAATTTGGCCACCAGCTTGGTTGCTGGTGTTCCGGCATCACTGCCCTTTTGTTCCGTTTGTTCGATCTGCTGCTGCGGGTCAGGCGGCGCCTTCAGGCCGGCAGGCTGTACGACAGAAACGCAAACCCAGTCGGCCCCTCGTAGTTCGTTCGTGGCGAGCATGTCAGGGTCAATCCAAACGCGAAAGCCCTCATTGTGATCTTCCTCCGCCTCCTCCTCAAAGTAGGGCTCGGACAGTTGGCGATCAATCCCTCTAAAGAAGAGAGAGCCTCTGCTTGTCGAGTCCGACCGGCTGCTCTTCGGCCGTACCGTGCTTCCACTACTCCGTCCCCCGACACTTTTCTTGCTGCTTCCGGCAACGCTTCGACTATCTGCTCGGGAGGGTCTCGGCCTTTGGCGTGTCTTTGGGGCAACAATAACTTCCGCATCGGCGGCTATCTTCGCGAAGGGGGAAGTATTCGGGGGCGCAGGCGTCAAGGAGGTTATGACAATGTTGGCAGTCGATGTCGGTGAAAGATGCAACGCAAGCGGATGCATATGGTCGGGCTGTGGGGTGGCATATGCGGGGTTGGGGAGGGCCCGAATCTGCGACAGAAGGTTGAGCTCCAGGAACGTCGCGTGAAGCTCAATGACTGCATGGCGTCAGCGTGGCCAGGTGGATGCGAAGGCAGGTGTATACATACTCTCCCAGTCCTCCGGGGTCAATGGCTCAATGTTGATAGTAGTGGCGACAGGCGGATCGAGGTGGATGTATATTCCGACCTAGGCGCATCAGTAACTCTGGCAGCCCGCATCTTTGATGACATGCTTACCCTTTGTCCCTCGGCAAGGCCCAAGACCCTTCCGAATGTTGTATCCAGCTCAACAGTGGAGATATCCTGTTCTCTGGCAGAAGAGCCACTGCTGATCCCATCTCTTCCAACCACTGGGGCAAGCTTGCGCTTGCTCGGCATTCCTGTCCATCCTAGATAGCATGACCGCTGTGCGGGGCTGCCATTGGCCTTTCCGGTGGTTGAGCGGTATTGGAGTTCGACAATTACATTCTGTGCAGGCTTATTGGGAGTCAGCTATGAGGGGGGGTTTTGGATCTGTCCTGGAGGCACAGCTAACTTACCGTATTGGCGTTGACCAGCAGCGCGACCAGCGATGGCGGCAGGTTTACAAGACAGTTCTTCAGCGGCACCAGGGAGATCTCCGCGGTGGTGGAGGGCTTTCTGGGCGCCATTCTCAGGCGCGAACAAGCAGGCTTGAGCGGTCAGCGAGCGACAGAGAAAGAAGTCCAGGGTCGTTGGGAGAGAAGGGGAAGAAGACCAGAGTTCAGCAGCATCTCCCCGGACTCCGTCGTCGCATCGACTCCGCAACCAACCCAACCACTGACCAGACCGACGCCGTCGGCCGAGGTCGCCCGCCGCCGATCCTCGGGCCGAAGCTTGTTCCGATCCGGAGCACGTGCCCAGACGCCAGTACGCTTCCGGACTAGCGCTGTTTCTGGAATGAGCGACGCGAAATGGACGCGTCGCGACGTGTTGCGGCGCCGGCCGAAAGAGGCAAGAAGGCAATTGATTGACCCGCCAACCGCCCTGGCGGCTTTGGAGGCTACTAGTGCGCTTTCGTCGAGCCGCCGCCTTCTTTTCACTCCCGGCCTATGCGATTTTAGCACCATCATAACCCCCCCCCCAATCGCCAGCTGTGGTCCATTCAAACTGGCTTGTCGCCCTGTCGCATCATGGCTCTGAACACCTACAACGTCAACATCGACTACGAGGCCCAGCTGGGTGCCTTCAAGGATTTCTTGAAGCACTTTAAAAGTTTTGAATCCGCCTCGGAATCGGCTGCGACAGAGGCCCTCGAGGACCTTCACATCGACGAGGATGGCACCAGTGACGAGTACGACTTCATGGACGATGTCGACCAGGAGGGTGGCGCACAGAGAGTCGGTCGGAGGCGTCGAGAGCCCAAGTTTAAATACATGCAAATGCTGCAGGAGGTGGCTGACCGGGAGCGCACGAACATTCTGGTCGAGCTGGATGATGTAGCAACAGTGAGCGATCACCTTCCGTCCCAATTCCATCGAGTTGGTCTAACTCGATGCAGTATGAGAAAGCTCTCCCCGAAGACCAAGACCTGGAGCTCGTCAAGAACGTGCAGAAGAACACATACCACTACATCGATCTTTTCTCGCGGGCGGTCGATGATCTGATGCCGAAGGAAAGCAAAGATATTACGTATGCAGGACAAGTCGTGTGACAGAAACCCAGAGCTAATTAGACGCAGGTTCAAAGATGATGTACTCGATGTTATCATGTCGCAGCGTGAAAAGCGGAATGAGGCCATGAACATGGCTGCGGAGGCCAATGCCGACACAGATGCGGCTCAGTCTGTTTTCCCGCCAGAGTTGACCCGCCGGTACACGATAAATTTCAAGCCTCTCACTTCCTCCGGATCGAGCAGCGAGCAATCCAAGGCTATCGCCGTGCGCAACGTGCGGGCTGAATACATCGGCGCCCTGATTACCGTGCGGGGTATTACGACTCGAGTTTCGGACGTCAAGCCGGCCGTCGAGATCAATGCCTATACCTGCGACCGCTGTGGATGCGAGGTGTTCCAGCCCGTCACTACCAAGCAGTTCCTGCCTATGTCGGAGTGTATGTCGGAGGAATGCAAGACGAACAACACCAAGGGACAGCTGTTCCTCTCCACCCGCGCGTCGAAGTTTGTTCCTTTCCAGGAAGTGAAGATCCAGGAGATGGCGGACCAGGTGCCTGTTGGCCACATTCCCCGGACAATGACCATCCACTGCCACGGCAGTCTCACCCGTCAACTCAACCCCGGTGATGTTGTCGACATCGCGGGGATTTTCCTTCCGACTCCCTACACGGGATTCCGGGCCATCCGCGCCGGCCTGTTGACCGATACCTACATGGAAGCCCAGCACATCACACAGCACAAGAAGTCCTACAACGAAACGGCCATGGACAGCCGGACCCTCCGCAAGATCGAACAGCACCAGAAGTCCGGGAACATGTACGAATACTTGTCGCGATCGATCGCCCCGGAGATCTACGGCCATCTCGACGTGAAGAAGGCTCTGCTCTTGCTCCTCATTGGTGGTGTGACGAAGGAGATGGGCGACGGCATGCACATCCGTGGTGACATCAACATCTGTCTGATGGGTGACCCCGGTGTTGCCAAATCTCAGTTGCTGAAGTACATCACCAAGGTTGCTCCCCGTGGAGTGTACACCACCGGTCGAGGAAGCAGCGGTGTCGGTCTTACGGCGGCTGTGATGAGAGATCCTGTGACAGATGAGATGGTACTGGAAGGAGGAGCCTTGGTCCTGGCCGACAACGGTATTTGCTGCATTGATGAATTCGACAAGATGGATGACTCGGATCGTACGGCCATCCACGAAGTGATGGAGCAGCAGACCATTTCTATTGCGAAGGCGGGAATTACAACTACTCTCAACGCCCGCACATCTATCCTGGCCGCAGCCAACCCCCTGTACGGGCGGTACAACCCCCGACTATCGCCCGTCGAGAACATCAACCTTCCCGCCGCGCTGCTGTCGCGTTTTGATGTCATGTTCCTGATTCTCGATACCCCTTCGCGCGAATCGGACGAAGAGCTCGCCAGCCACGTCACCTTTGTCCACATGCACAACAAGCACCCCGAGAGCGAGGATGCCGGTGTGATGTTCACTCCCCACGAAGTCCGCCAGTACATCGCCAAGGCGCGCACCTACCGTCCGGTTGTTCCCTCGTCGATCTCCGACTACATGGTGGGCGCATACGTGAGAATGAGGAAGCAGCAGAAGAAGGACGAGGAGGCCAAGAAGCAGTTCTCTCATGTGACACTCCGTACACTGCTTGGTGTTGTCCGTCTGTCGCAGGCCCTGGCGCGTCTCCGCTTCAGCGACGTGGTCGTCACGGAGGATGTGGATGAGGCTCTGCGCCTGATGGACGTCAGTCGGGCATCCCTGTCCAACGATGGCCAGTCTGGCATCGACCAGAGCCCTAGCAGCAAGATCTACCACCTCATCCGCAGCATGTGGGAGAGTGGCGCTGCGGCCGTGGGCGATGGAGACGAGGGCGAGCTCAGCATGCGGAGAATCCAGGAGCGAGTGCTCGCCAAGGGATTCACCGAGGATCAGCTCAAGATGGCCATTGACGAGTACCAGTCGTTTCACGTAAGTTCTCCATCCAATTTTGATTTTATACGCAGCCACCAGTTACTAACTTTCCTTTTCTCAGGTCTGGCAAGTTCTGGGCGACGGCAACCGTCTCCTCTTCCTCGATGCTATGGAAATGTAAGAAACAACTACTACCTAATCTAGCACAAGGTTACGCTTTTCCTATATCACTGGACTTTTTATCCTTCTTATTTCCCAAAGCTGCTACTGTTTTGAGTATTTATCTTCATACGTGAGAGACGAGCATGAGGCCATGTGAGATTTTTTTGGAGATGGGAAGACGGGATGGGACTGGAGTTACGGTGTACATGGCTTATGTCGTCTGTTTCTGATTCAACGGTGGGGTCTGGGATAACCAAGCAAGGAATGACTTCTTTAAATGATATGGTCTGTCCTCCGTCAAGAGTTGTAGGATCGTAAAGATACTCTCCCGATACATAACCACACAACTATATAACTACCCATTGCCCTACCCTACTCTCCAGCTCTCTTCCACCACCACCACCCCGATTACCCCGATACTACACAATCACAACCATCAATCAACACGCGCCACCCAACACCCCCCTAAACCTCCGTCCCCAGTCATAGCCACCATTATCATCACCACAAGTCCACAACTCACAACTCACAATCCCTCCTTCCCCATGCACCCCCCTCCTCTCATCTTCTCATATCATCCTCATCCTCTCATCCTCTCATTTCCCCAATTTCTCTCCAGTCCTCCAGTCCCTCAAACAGCACACCCATTATAAATCGGCACCTCCGCACAAAGCTGCGGACTGGCACCATACGGATTATCACACAGCGTATTACACTGGGTGGACTCAGGCGTGAACACCAGGAACTGGTACCCGGGGACATTGAGCCGGAACTGCTTGTTGATGTCGTTGTTGTTGGGCGAGGCCTTGTAGCCGGCGCGGCAGGCGCAGTGGAACCGGGTCCCCGTGTTGATGCAGGAGGTGGTCACGTCGCAGTGGTTTTCGCCGGAGAGCGGGTTGCAGGTTCCGCATGTGGCGGGGGGTGGGGCGGGGTTTGCGGTCGTTAGGGTTAGGAGGGTGGTGGTGGTGGTGAGGGTGGTGAGGAAGGTGAGGAGATGCATTTTTGTTGGTGGTGGTTGGTTGGTTGGTTGGTTGATTTGTGGTGTTGGTGTTGGTGTTGATATTGTGTGTGAGTGTGAGTGTGAGTGTGAGTGTGAGTGTGAGTGAGTGGATGGGATGGAGGACTACCTGGGGGATTGGGGGTGGTTATATACCTTTTCCCCGGGGGATTCGGGGAGGTATCTATCATGGGAATTGAAGAGATGGGGTAATGGGGTAGAGTTGAGAAAGTTCAGGGTCGGTCAGAGAGAGTTTCCCTCGTATAGAGCGTCCTCAACCCGGCTCGATCGTCGGGATACGACCGACACCTGTCAATGGATGCTGAGACTCTGAGGGGCAAGATGAACGGGGAAGGGTAGTAAGGCCATCATCCATCATCGATCCAGCCATCACGAGGCGGACCACTGGGGATAGAGTAACGGTTCTGCTGAAACATGTTTCTCCGGATTGGGCAATGTAGCTTTTGACGTCCGGGAGTATATCTCGAATACGAGCTCTGCCACACGGGGCAGACGGGGAGCGGAGTTTCTGTGACATGGTTGATCGGCGATCAGGGTCCTGGATGGGGTGGATGTGTCTGTCAGCAGTGACTATGACTTGATCTGGGGTTGGGATATACTTCTCCAGAGCAGGGGAGACTGCCTGCAGCTAGGGTCCTGCTACTACTTCTTGGTCGTGTATGCTCTCATTTCCCGTATGGAGTAGCCTGACAGCGTCCGCCATGGGTGTTTCTGGGATCGACGCAGATGTACGCGTAGATTGCTTGCACGGGTTGACAAGCGTTGGGCTTAATTTCTTGGATGAGAGGGACTATAATGTCTCAGTTATGTTGAGGTTCTCACCAAAAGCTCAGCAAAGCAACATTGGAATCGAAGGAGTGATCCCTCCCGGGCGTTGGGATCCCAGAGAGCCGTCAGATGACGTCTGATAGCTTGTCCGTTTTTGACTTTCTAGTGTCAATGCTCTCTCGAGTCTTTGCTGACAGGATCTGCAGCAGGTACACACGCGGAGTTGCATCCAAAGTAGGAAGAAGAACGAAGTAAGGTTGACGCGCCCGAGTATCCAGACAAAGAACTTAACGCCCACGGGCCAATCAGCGCAGGGACCATTTACACATCGAAAGTAAGCCTAAAAATAAAACAAGCTTCCATAGTTTTAAGACATGGGCTAGCCATGGACCTAGATATTCACCGAATCCGAGTCCCCTCCCCTCTCTATAGACGCATCTTGGACGCTTCCGGCTCCCCAATCAGCTTCAGGAAACTCTCATGAACCTCATCGGTGAGGTCACTGGCCTGCATGCTCCGCCCCTTGGCCAGAAACGCCCGCCGAGAGCACTCTCTCGTGATACTGCTGCCGGCAAATGCCGCCAGGAGCAAGGTCGTCACGGGCGACATCCTCTGGTTCTCAGATTCCAGCTCCGCCTGAACCTCCTGCTTGGTCTGCGCCTCCTTCTCGTTGTCCCTCTCCCCGGAATCCCACAGCCCGTTATGGTACGCCGCGCGCCAGGCCATGAATGTGCCCAATGACCCGGTGAGCGTGTCGCCTTGTCCTCCACTACGCTTCAGCCCGCCCTGGATATCGGAAACGATACTGGTGACCCCGTTGGAGATGATATCGTGAGGACCCTTCTGGATGATCGTCACGCCGCCGAGCGCCTTGGAAAGCTGTTCGCAGGCTCTCGTCGCCTCGCCGCCATCGCCGTCGGACTTCGACCCAACCTGGGCTTGGCTGGGGACGTCGATACCCAGGGCCTTCGCCAGACGACTGAACTCATTCACGTTTGGGGTCAAAATACACTCCTTGTACCCCTTGACTAGCTCCGGGTCCTCCGTGACGAGGAGCAGACCGTCCGCATCCAACACAAATGGGATCGACTGGGACCGCGCTTCCTTCATCACCTCCGTCACCACCTTCAGCGTGACTCCGTCCCGACCCAGACCCGGCCCGATCACCAGACAATGCAAGCGGGAAAGCATGGCGATGATAGGGCTGGCGAGAGACGGGGCGTCAATGGATTTGGGGTCTTTCACACTGTCGCTGCTTGGCAGTAGCGGGTGAACCATCAGGTTCGGCGAGTATGTTTTAATCACCTATAGATCGTCAATAAACTCCAGCCTCTCCAGCCCATCCAGCCCCAGATCAGAAGTAGATGGAGATCGCAAGACATACCACTCCCGCCGACTTCTCACAGATAACATGACTCTGCAACTCGTCAGAAAAGTCATAGTCGTGAGTTTTAGGTTTCACTTTTCCCCCCCCCGCAAACATACCATATCACATCCTGCAATTTCCGGTCAGTCGACGGATAATTTAAGTTCGTGCGTGCAGAGCGGGTTACCTACCTAGTCTCGCGGATGCCATTGAGGAGAAGTACGGGGCTCCTGTGTAACTGGGATCCTTTCAGCTCGTTGCGCTGATGAACTGGGTGGGAGTGGGAAAAACGAACTCGGCGCATCCTCCGATGACTGCGACGCGTCCGTGTTGTCCTTTTGATGGTTAGGAGATGACTTCCTCCTGGGGGTAGAGTAATGCATACCTTTGTGGAATTTCTCGAGCATGGGCGGCACCATGTTGCGCACTTTCTTCAAGAGGGCCTTGGACGAGGCGGATACATGATGGGCCTCCATGTTGTTGGGAAGAGAGCAATGAACCAGGGACTAAAAAAAGAGAGAAATGAGGAAAGACATCGACTTCTGAAGAGGGGATTGTGCTGAACTGTCGAGCAGTTGTTGAAGAGGGGAGCTGGAGTGAGAAAGAGAGGAGAGAAAGAGGAGTGATGTCACCGCCTACGGGTGGGGCGGAAGGGGGCCGCGATAACAATTAAGCAATTAAGCATGGCGGCCATTACCAGCTATGACGATGATGGGCTGCTCCATTCAGGGAATGCGTTGATTCAATCTCACACAAAGCTAGCTAGCAATGTACTAACAACAGTAATAACAAGAGAACAGTGACGCCCGCTGCTATGTTACTCAGGGGGATGTGCGGGTGTATAAATATGTGAATGAAAAGAAAGAGACTCGCCCACCATCTATCGACACCTTGACGCTCGCTGCTGATGCTCTTGGGGAAATGGGAAAAAACACATATATGAATAAACAAACACAAAGAAGAAGACTTGCAACGTCTGATGTAACGCACCCTCGGGGTATTCCTCGCTGATGCTCCATTCCAAAAAAACAAAGGGAAAAAATCAAGCAAATGCTCAAGCCAGTCAATCTGCCATGGTAGGTCGGGGAAATGTTGATTAGATCGGCCGTTGAGTGATGGTGATGGGCAACCTCATTATCGTCGCGAGGACAGTTCAGCGAGCCTCTTGCGGCGTTCCATCTTTTCCTGTTTGGCCTTCTCCTCTGCCTTCCATTCTTCCTCGTCTTCCCGTCTCGCCACGGCCAATGCATCCGCTTCCTCCCTCTCCATGGCATCCAGGCCGGCTTCCATATCCGAAGATTCCGAGTAATAGTCGTCGTAGTCATCTGCATATTCGCCTTCGTCTTCTTCATCGGTTCCGAGGTACTCGTCCATCCGAGACCGTCTGTTGGCCCGAGACTGTGCGTGTCGGTCACCAGGGTTCTTTCGAGCCGGCAGCCCGGAAGTTCCACGGTACTCGCTCTGTCCCGAAGATGGCGTTGGTCTCGCAGTGCCCTTGTAGGAGGGCACCTCGGGGTCTCGTTTCTTCGCAGGTTTGCTGTCTCCGGATCTGACGTTCGCGGTTGCGCCAGGGGCAGTTCCAGGTTTCTTCCCCGACCGGGCATCCTTCTCCTTGGTCTGTGCTTCGATCGCACGTTTCTTGCGTTCCACCTTGCTGATCTTTTCTTTCGGAGCAGCCTGGTGTTTGAACATACCCACTGTGGTGGGGGCTTTCTCCTGGGCTGCCTTGGCCCGCGCTATGATATCCGCGTAAGAGCCTTTAGGGGGGGCCTTGGAAGAAGACATGGGGGGTGCCTTCTGAGGAGTTGACGAACGACTCTTGATTGCAGTCGTCGCAGTGGGTCTGGAAGGCACATTTGAACGGGGTTTCGTGGCCGTGGGCACATATCTTGACGTGGTGGTGGTGGTGGTAGTTGTCCTGGCAGGCGCTGCAGGTGCAGGTCTTGCCGCAGGACGGGTTAACGGTTCCTCAGCTTTGCGCTTTGTTCCTGTGGCAAGAGGTTTGCGCTCGGTAGCGACATCTCGAGAAACGGGGATCGGCCTGCGAACCTCTGCCTTCGCAGTCGAGGAGGATACAGGAGGCGACGGAGCGACGGAGGTGGGTGGCAAGCGAGAGGGTTTGCCCGTCTCGATGGACGAAAGAACGGAATCGAGAAACTATCAGACGATTAGCCCGGCCATCTCGCCGCGGGGAAACATGGAGTCCTTACACTCATTGTGATGCCCAGCGAGCCAGGAAAACTCAGGGGGGGGCGATCAAATAGGCGTAGTAATGAAAGGGGGAGGGGGTAGATTCACCGTCGGTGGTTCGTATGACGGGGTAACTTCATGACTTCGTTGCGGAACGACTAAAAATGGAGATCCCAAGCTAGGAGCGAAGCCGAAAATCACGTCCGAGAGCCAGACATCCGGCACGACGTGAAGGGAGCACGCAACCAAGACAGGCGAAGCAGGCGCAGGATCGAACGAGGTCGTCTGGATAAGGCCGGCGGGCAAAAACCACGCAGGAAGTCGCCATCCTGTCTTCTAGAAGCAGCGAGCCCACGTGACCGGGGCCCAAGGCATGCGAGGCGCCGCATGCGCCACGCCCGCTCGCTTAGCCGGAATTAGCACGATCCCGCTCCAGCCACACCCACCAGCCGCACCGCACTTTTCTCGCTTTTTTGCGCCGGCCGCTTCGACTTTCTTCCCTCTCTCCGTCCATCACATCGCTAACCCCCAGCGAACTCGACGTCTCAGTCTCCGCCCAACTTCGCGGTTAAATCGATTGATTCTCGTGTTCATCACAAACTGTATGTGTTTCCCTCACCAGGTCTCTCATTGTCACGTCGCATCTGGCGGCATTCTCCACGAATCGCTTCTAACCCCGTTCTCTGCAGATTCAAAATGAAGCACCTCGCGGCCTACCTTCTCCTGTCCCTCGCTGGCAACGCCAGCCCCTCCGCTGAGGACATCAAGTCCGTCCTCTCCTCCGTCGGTATCGATGCCGACCAGGAGCGCCTCGAGAAGCTCATTGCTGAGCTCCAGGGCAAGGACATCCAGGAGGTCAGTTAGACCCTGCGAAAAAAAATTATAATTTCACACTCGGACTCAAACACTAACATTTCTTCTACAGCTGATCGCTGAGGGTTCCACCAAGCTCGCTTCCGTCCCCTCCGCCGGTGCCGGTGCCGCTGCTGCCCCCGCTGCCGGTGGTGCTGCCGCCGCCGAGGCTCCCGCTGAGGAGAAGGAGGAGGAGAAGGAGGAGTCCGATGACGACATGGGATTCGGTCTGTTCGACTAAGCGTATCGTCTCCGCTGAACATCGAGAAAAACGTAACAGTTCGTGGGGGGAGAATCTGGCGGTTACTTTCAGTCTTGGGAGGAAAATTGCCCAATATTGGTCCAGGCAGATCGGTGTACTTCCGGCTGGTCTGATGCAGTTACGAGTTATGCATACGTGAGCTGGAAAGAGCTTATAGCCAATGCAGATTCTCTGACCTCGAGTGAATTGTTTTGAAGTGATGCGTAGTTGTAGTAGCCTGGACGTTGAATGCCTGGTTTTCCGCGTAATTTGGTCCATCTACATGTACATACTGTACTCCGTACTACAGAGGTGAAACGGCGATAGACCCATAATTTACCACAGTAGTTGCAATCACCACATTCAAGATCCAAAGATGGAATCATCCACCCACCAATCAAGCATCATCCAACCCGCCGCAACAGTCCAACCAGACGTCCAAAGACTGGAATTACCCCAAAGTTCCTTAGGGCAGCTGGACCTGCGGCCCTAGGCGGCGGTTCCCGTTCGGGCCTAGCGCGGGTAGGGTCGCAACCCTAGGCTAGTCGCTTAGACGAGGCTCCAGCCCACCTCCCAACCCAGCGCAGAGGCACAAGAGACGCCCGACGAACGTTCATCCGCGACCACGACACGACAACCCATCGTCCTTTCGCTTTTCGAGTCCCAGTCGGAAAGCGACCTTGAGAGGAACACCCGAAAAAATGGCTGACGAGCACTACGTGAGTTTGTCCGATATCAGATATCCGTCCTACCTGGAAGGGGGGAAAGGCTTGAACTTGGAATTAACGTTGTTTTCCTGCAGAACGCCGAGGAGGCTGCCGGTACGTTATATCACTTTGAATGAACCACCCACACCCTACCCTATCCTACCCCTATATAACGCCTGGGCTCGAGACAAGTTGTGGAAAATGATGGCTTGGGTGGAAATATTGCGATGGGCTGGATATGTTTTTTTTTTTTCGATGCGACTTTCGGATGGATGAAAATTTGGGAGGGAACCACAAACGGCCGGACTTTTGTCGATTCCTCTTGTCTTTGATACACCACGCAACCACGAAACCAGACATACCAGACAGACAGACACTGACGTATATTCGCGAACAGAGTTGAAGAAGAAGAGACAGTTCCGCAAGTTCACCTACCGCGGTATTGACCTCGACCAGTACGTTTTCTCTCTCTCATACTCTCCTGCACACCTGCACACATACATTCCGACCTCGACTCCGAACGAGCGATACTTGCATTGTCATGACGGATACGGATGTCTGCGGAATCCTCGTGAGAGTCGAGGTGATGGAACAGATGGATAGCGACACGATCTTGATGGAAACGATGATGATGATGGAATCTGACGGATATGACAACACAGGCTCCTCGACCTCTCCTCCGAGCAGCTCCGTGATGTTGTTCACGCCCGCGCCCGCAGACGCTTCAACCGCGGTCTGAAGCGCAAGCCCATGGGTCTCATCAAGAAGCTCCGCAAGGCCAAGCAGGAGGCCAAGCCCAACGAGAAGCCCGACCTCGTCAAGACCCACCTCCGTGACATGATCGTTGTCCCCGAGATGATCGGCAGCGTCATCGGCATCTACTCCGGTAAGGAGTTCAACCAGATCGAAGTCAAGCCCGAGATGGTTGGCCACTACCTTGGAGAATTCTCCATCTCATAGTACGTCCCCCTCCTCTGTTCTCTCATCTATGTTAGACGTTTGAACCGAAAGAAACGAATCTAACAACCCCCCAGCAAGCCCGTCAAGCACGGTCGTCCCGGTATCGGTGCCACCCACTCTTCCCGTTTCATCCCCCTCAAGTAAAGAAGAAAAGCTTTATTGGAGTGTCGTGTGGAGGATCGGGCGTACGGGAAGGAACTACGAAAAAATGGATGGATACCCTGTGCATTTCTTTGGGTTCATCTACTTGTATGTCAAGTGCGGGTCAGCTGTTTGCATCTCAATATAAAGAAGGTCTTGTCGGCATGAGAACGAAACCCAAAAAAAAGCCGGATCCTAAAAAAAAACCCAACGTTTCCCCCCTCTCAGACCCAAGGGAGGGGGGGGACGAGACTTTTACTGTTCCTGTGTGTTGTCGATTAGCTTATAGGGACTGATGGGAGTCTAAATTTTAACGATTTCACTTTTCACGGGTTGCGATGAGTAGATCGATCGGGGTCTCGCTGACGTGACGTGACGTGACGTATATCCAGCATCCCTTACTACCCCGTATATGCTATCTATATGCCCTCCCCCCTCCCCAAGCCCCTCCGGTATATAATATGTACTATGCATAAACAATATACCCCGTACTCCATCCCACCCAATCCAATCCATCTATCTCTCTCCAGATTCCAATACCAATCTACCTAACTAACCCTCCCTCTCCAAAACCTCATCCACCAACCTCCCCACCTTCCCCCACTCCCTCTTGACCTCCGCCCCCATCGCCCTCGGATCCAACCCCCCCGCCAAAAACTCCCCATGCACCTGCCCAAACGCCTCCCTCACCAGCCCTTTAAACCCAGGCACCGTACACGCCCTCTCCTCACCCGCCACCAATTCACCCAAGACCGCCCAAATAATCAAACCAAGATTGACCTCGAATTTCTCCAACGCCACCTCCTCTTCATCGTCATCAGAAGAAGAGCGATGACTAACATCCACGCCTTGCGAGAGCAGAATGGCCAACTTGGATAACGACCAGGCGTGGAGCTGGCGGATGGGGTGGTGGGGGGCGTAGACGACGGGGTCGATGCGGGTGTAGCGGATGGTGGCGTGCGCGAAGGCGGTTTTGAATTTCCCTTGGGTGAGGAGGGAGACGATGAGTTCGTCGCGGAGGGAGACGGAGGGTTGCGTGGTGATTGGGGTGGGGGGGAAGTGTGCTGGAGGTGGGATAGGGCGGTGGTGAGGGTGGTGGTTGCTTCGGGTGGGGAGAGGGAGGGGGATGTGGCGGCGTTGAGTTGCGTGTAGGCTTTGTGGATGGCGGGGGGGAGGTTCCAGGTTGCTGCCTCGGATCCTGATGATGCCGAGGACTTTGTTGTTGCCGCTGTCTCTGATGATGTCGGTGCTGATGATGATTCTGTCTGACATCTCTCGCACCGACAATCAAAATAATATCTCCCGCGCAACTCAGTCCGACGCACAGAGTACGGATTGGTAGCATCAACATAGGAGATAAAGATCTGATCGCCTTTCGCAATAGGACGTAGAGCTTTAACATAGAGCTCATCTCCTTCAAACCCGACAACCGCATTCGCAGTACAGCTATGATTAATCAACGCAGCATAAGGGTGTAGATAAACGCCAATACGATCATAAACAGCATTGGTGAGATTGAAGGAATTCAGGTCAAGCTGTGCGAGCATCAACACATCAATATCCCTGCTGTAGACAACAAACCCCTACTGTGGAGGTGAGAATGAGATATCATACCTTGGCCCCAAAAGCCGAAATAAACTCCTCCTGCATCTCCGTGCCAGCGTAGGTCTTGACAGCCTTCGAGCAGAGGGCAATCCGCTGCCACTGGGCCTCATTCTCGTCCCGGATATCTTTGATATGCGTCTCCAGTTCAAGGAATAATTTCATCTCCTCGGTGCCGTACTTCTTCCGCCCGTTGCGCAGAACCATCCGCAGCACGGCTCGTGCGTTGATGGGCAGAATCCGCGGCTGGAGTTGCTGGTAGATGCCGCATTCGAGAGAATGCGCGAATTTCCAGTCTTTGGATTGGCAGGTCTGCAGGCTATAATTAGCAGATTTCTTTTTTTTTTTTTTTTTTTTTTTGTTTCAGTTCTTTTAATAAAAAATAGTATGAAAAACTGAAGATGAAGAATTGAACAGACAGAAATACACCCACCTTATCGCAATACTTCACGACATGACACCCTCTACACGCCTTGAGTGTGTTCTCGTAACTGCCCAGGTGTCGCTTTCCGAGGCATCCAGAACAGGTGTCCTCGAGACGCGGTTTGTCCAGGACTGCTACAAAGGGCGTGGAGATGTGCAGCACTGTTTCGCCGATTGCAAGATCCGTTGAGGCGAAGAGACCCCTTCCGAGCCCGTCTGAGGCGGGGGCGGGGGTGGTTTTAGAAGACATCAGTTGAGGGAGTTGGATGGTGTCCGTGTCTTTGGTTCAAGCGGTGGTTGATGATGTGACTACTCCGTACGCATAGTCTGGAACTAAATAGATGTTGCTATACAAAACCGAACCGGATTGGTCTGGCGAGGGCCCGGAGCGGAGAAACAATGATCCTGTCAGATATAGATAGCACAGGATCTTGTTACGGGAGTTCCAGGGACCTTCATTGGGTTCAGCCATTTCAGGAAAGAAACTATTTAAGGAAACTCATGCCTTGTCCTCGTTAAAGCTACAGGCCTCTCGCAGTTTTCAATCGATCTCAACTTGCTACGCTTTCCTTTCCCGGCCTCGTGCACAAATTGTGTTCAGTGCTCTGTGTCTCAATGGCCCAACTTCATACCTTGGAACGGTCGGCACGTGTCCTCGGTTAACCTATTCTTTGGGTATGTGAAAGAAAAGCTAGGAGCTCTGGGACATTGTAGAGAGAAAAAAAAAAAAAAAAAAAAAAAAAAAAGGGGAATTGGTCATTAATCGCAGCTCATCCCAGTGAAGCCTCACTCAGGCCGAGCCAGTTCAGAAGGGCTGGCAAGCTGGTTCAGGGCCGAATTACCATATCACCAATCGGGTTGATTTCAGTATAACAGGGATTAAACGGCGTGAAGATCAAGCGATTCAATCGGTATCTCAGCCACCCACACTGGGAATTCTGAAAAAGATGATCATGATCATAATGGCTTTCGATCCGATTCAGGTCCGATTGCGTTCTGTGACGCACTTGACCTGGAGCAGAGGCACAATGACTGTGGCGAGTTGGGGTATTGCATAGCAATGCTAACCTCAATTCCCACAGGCCTTGCGTCTCACTGTGCGAGACTTGTCTTCGTGCTCGTACTGCCGCTTCACCGTCCTTTTCACAACGTCAGCACCGTCTTTGAAACGCAAGGCATTGTGACAGTGTCGGTGTCCCGGGAGTAATAGATCGGCCACAAGACGCGGTCGAAAAGTGTCAAAGGGTTTGAAAGGGATCATTTTCCGCGTGATGGTCGGCCAGTTCGTATAGGCCGTAGCAGCTTTCGGGTTTTCAATGGCTTCCAGAAGCTCGGAGGTAAATTGAGCCTCGTAAAGATAGATAAACTCGCAGTCTGGCCACTTCGCCACAAGAAAACGCGACTCTATCTAAAGTTTAAGCTGTGGAATCCCACTGAAGATATTCCAGCTAACAGAGACGTACCGTATGCGTTGCTTGCTTTTTGATTGTGAGGCACCGCTCCTGCAGTTGGGCAATAGACAACAAGATACAAACGAAGTGTGGGTCCTCCTCCCAATTAGCTGGGGTTATTTGTGCCAGCCGTCTTTGATGGAGACGCCCGACGGGGGCTTTATTGCCACTTCCAGGATGGCTTTGAGCCTGGAATTTATCTTTCCGGCCGTAAGTGGCGGAGGTGTAGTCAAAGTAGCCTATCAACGTTTGAAAAGCATCGTCAAGAGGTTGGTTGGCTTGTTTGCGACGACCAAACACGGCATAGCTTGGTCGATGAATCGCTTGGCCTGCGAAGTAGAATCTAGGTCCTTTCTTGTTGTTCATGAATACCGTTCGTCATCTTGCTTGAGCTAGTCACCCGTAGACCAACGGCATTGCCTACCAACGCTCTTCAAAGGGGCTTCCCTCATACTCCAGAATGCGGCACAGGGCAGAGAGCTTCACAAGGGGGGGCGGAGCTCTTTGCAAGTCGCTCGGGGTCCGATGGTGGCGGCGGTGGTATAGGAGTGGGTCTGTGGCCGAATTCAGTGTTTTGGGCTTCACACGTATCGTCAACATCTTGAGTGTTCTCCTTCGACTCAAGCGGTTCGAAGCGACATCCTGCCAGATCCAGATGACGGGAAGTCCAGAGCAATGGGTCCACAAGCAATTCTCGGTGATAGCGCATAGGATAGGCAAGTGGTTGGGGCTTCAAACCGGACTGCATTCCGAAGCGTAGATTTGTTGTGGTGGGTGGGATGCATCCATAAGAGCGCTTCCTGCCAAATCGGGATGTTGACCGCCTGAATCACATGACTCGGGGCTAAGACTAAAGACAGCCGCTCCACCGGTATCCACACCGGCTCCCCCCTCCCCCCCGCACTCCTGAGGTCAGATCCACGGACGAGAGAGATCCTTTGGCTGACAGTATGGCTAATGGTCAGCCGACTAGTTCGGACAATTGCTTCGCGCAAATGACTTGCGAGGCATTGGTAGCCAGATTAGCTGATCCGTTTAGGGAGCTGCAATCCAACAGGTATTGCTTGGTCTTTTTAATCACCTTCAAGCTCGACGCCATCGTGATAGATATACTATCAACATAGGGCAGAGTACTGCTTATAAATGCTACGCAGCACTATATATGCTTTCTTGATTTTGAGATCCCGGATGAATATCTCCAGGATTTTGAGTCAGATGCGCCTACTTGTTTCCTGCGTGTTAACTCAACACCGTGGTTTAAACTCGGCTCTAAAAGCGGCAGAGAGCAGGTGGTCATGAACCTGTGTGCTATCATGCACTGGACCCAGAGATGATCCCGCATATGCCATATAATAGTTGGTGATAGTAGTCTAAATCTTAACTATAATAAGGGTATTACCAAGAAGACCACAGCGTGGTCTAAGCACGGTGGCAGAATCTCAGATCATCATAATCCTTTTTTCGGACTGCGATGAGCGGCAACCCAACAGATCCTCTCCTCCAGGAAAGTGCAGCTTAACTATTGATCTTATCCATGCCCATCGCACATATCATTCTAGCCATAACAGAAGGAAAGTCCATACAGAACAAAACATAACTTGAAGTAGTTGAGATTGGATATAATCAACATGCTATACTACACACCACCTCGAATCAAAACAAGCCGTGACTTTTCGCTCACGCAAAAGCCGGCCTACAAAACTATGGACTGTGAAAAAGGTGGGGATGGGGGAAAGGTAACGGGAAAGAATCACCCACAAGGCCAAAAGAAACAAAGCAAAAGGGAAAAAAAACCACAGAGCGCGTGACCGTAATTCCTCATATCGCCTTTGCAAAGACGATCCACAAAAGCCCAAATGTCCGGGCTAAGCAAACGACATATCTATATCAACATGGAGCCCGTATCCGCTACGCCAAACACGGCGGCTTTTCGGTGCCTGGAAAGATGAACCAATACACAACCGTAATTATATGTATGAAATCAAACTTTTGTCCTTTTTTTTTTGTTCGGTAAACACTCGTTTACAGCAGCTTGCCGCCGGTGAAGTTGGACCAGGTGCGGACCTCCGCGGGGATGCCTTCCGCACGGGGCAGCTTCTGGTTCATGGCCTGGGCGAAGAGCAGAGCAGTCTGCACGAGGGACAGTTAGCATCAAATAATAGCATCGATCAGGGAAATGTTTCCACCATACCTTAGTCTCCATGAAGAGGGGCACGCCGAAGTCGACGGCGTTACGTCTCATGACGTAGTCCTCGTCAAGAAGGGTCTTGCCGCGGGTCTTGGCAAGGTTGAAGGTACCGCGGACATTGTACTTCTCGAAGACACCACGGAGAGCACGCTTGTCCTCCTTGGGGAACTCAATCACCTGCACGGAAACGTTGGCAGCAGCCTCAAGGTGCTCCTTGACAGCGGGGCTGGCAGCGAAGAACTTGAAGTCCAGGGGCTTGAGGTACTCAACAATCTGGGCCAGAGCAGGGTTGGTGATATCACCACCAAGCAGGATACCCTCACCAGGCTCGGGACAACGGAAGTTCATGGTGGACTGCATGGAGGCCCAGTAGGCCTCGACCACGTCCTTGCCGAAGCAGGCAATCTCACCAGTACTGGCCATCTCGACACCGAGGAAAGGATCGGCACCAGCAAGACGGGTCCAGCTGAACTGGGGAACCTTGGTGGCGAGGTAGTCGCGCTTGACGCTCATGAGGTCCACGGACTCGGGAACGTCACGTCCGACAAGGGCCTTGGTGGCAACGTCAATGAAGTTGGTTCCCAGGACCTTGGAAACGAAGGGGAAGGAGCGGGAGGCACGGAGGTTGCACTCAATGACCTTCAGCTCGGGCTGGGCACCCTCGACATCGGCCTTGATGATCTGCATGTTGAAGGGGCCAGTGATGTTCCAAGCCTTGGCAACCTTCTCAGCAATCTCCTTGACGCGACCCATGACAGCCTCCTCCAGGGAGGCAGGGGGGAGAACCAGAGTGGCGTCACCAGAGTGCACACCAGCAGGCTCGACGTGCTCAGAGATGGCGTGCAGCAGAAGCTTGCCATTGGAAGCAACAGCATCAACGTCGATCTCCTGGGCACCCTCGATGAACTTGGTGATGACAACGGGGTGGTCGGGGGAGACGGCGCTGGCGTTGAGAAGCTTCTCCTTGAGCTCGTCGACGCTGTAGATCACGTTCATGGCAGCACCAGACAGGACGTAACTGGGGCGGACCAGGACGGGGTATCCAACGGCCTCAGCGAACTTCTCGGCCTCAGCGACGGAGGTGAGCTCCTTCCAGGCAGGCTGGTCAACACCGATGCTGTCCAGGATGGAGGAGAACTTGTGTCTGTCCTCAGCACGGTCAATGTCCTTGGGGTCGGTTCCAAGCACATGGGCGCCGCCAGTCTCCTGCAGACGGAGGGCAATGTTCTGGGGAAGCTGACCACCGACAGACACGACAACACCGCTGGCAGCCTCGAGCTCGTAGATATCCATGACACGCTCGTAGCTGAGCTCCTCGAAGTAGAGCTTGTCAGCAGTGTCGAAGTCAGTGGAGTAGGTCTCGGGGTTGTAGTTGATCATCACAGTCTTCTTGCCCATGCCGCGCAGGGAAAGAGTGGCGTTAACGGCACACCAGTCGAACTCGACAGAGCTACCGATACGGTACACACCGCTTCCCAGAATGATGACACCGTGGTCATCGAAGGAAACATCGTGGGAGGTGGCGTTGTACGTGGTGTACAGGTAGTTGGTGTCAGCGGGGAACTCGGCGGCGAGGGTGTCGATCTTCTTGACCCAAGGGCGGACGCCGAACGACTTACGGCGAGCGCGGACATCATCCTCGCTGGAGCCAACAAGGAGAGCGATCTGCTTGTCGGAGAAACCGAGCTTCTTGGCCTTCAGCAGGATCTCCTTCTGGAGACCGAAGAGGCTGCCGATGTCCTTGAGCTCGTGGTGGCAGTCCACAATGTTCTGGAGCTTGTAAAGGAACCACTTGTCGATCTTGGTCAACTCGTGGACCTTGTCCACAGAGTAGTTCTCGTGGAGCATGGCCTGGCCAACAGCCAACCAGCGGCGGTCGGTGGGGTTCTTCAGGACATCATCAAGGTTCTCGAACTTGTCACCCTGGAAACCAAGGAAGCTGGGGTCAACCTGACGGATAGCCTTCTGGAAGGACTCCTCGAAGGTACGGCCGATGGCCATGACCTCACCAACAGACTTCATGGCACTGCCAATGTCACGCTTGACGTGCTGGAACTTGCTCAGATCCCACCGGGGGATCTTGGTGACAATGTAGTCCAGACTGGGCTCGAAGTTGGCGGTGGTGGTCTTGGTGACAGCATTGGGAAGTTCGGGAAGGGTATGGCCCAGACCGATCTTCGCAGCAGTGTAGGCAAGAGGGTAACCAGTCGCCTTGGAGGCCAGAGCAGAGGAACGAGAGAGACGAGCGTTGACCTCAATAACACGGTAGTCAAGGCCATCGGGCTGCAGAGCGTACTGGACGTTACATTCACCGACGACACCCAAGTGACGGACGATCTTGATGGCAGCAGTACGGAGCATGTGGTACTCCTCGTCGGACAGGGTCTGACTGGGGGCAACAACGATACTGTCACCGGTGTGGATACCCAGAGGGTCGAAGTTCTCCATGTTGCAAACCGTGATGCAGTTGTTGGCGGCATCCCGGACAACTTCATACTCAACCTCCTTCCAGCCACGGAGAGACTTCTCGACCAGAATCTGAGGAGAGAGGGTCAAGGAACGAGAAGACAGGTTCTCCAGTTCCTCGGGGTTGGCAGCGAAGCCGGAACCCAAACCACCCAGAGCGTAGGCGGAGCGAACGATGATGGGGTATCCAACGGTCTCGGCAGCCTTCAGGGCCTCGTCGACGGTGCTGACGGCAATGGACTCGGCAATGGGGATGTTGATCTCGTTCAGAGCCTTGGAGAACAGATCACGATCTTCACTGGTCTCCAGGGTCTTGACGCTGGTTCCGAGAACCCGGACGCCGTAGCGCTCGAAGATACCCATACGGTTCATCTGCACACCCAGGTTCAGGGCGGTCTGACCACCGAAAGACAGGAAGATACCATCGGGTCTCTCGCGCTCAATGACATAAGTGACATACTCGGGGGTAACCGGCAGGTAGTACACTTCGTCAGCGAGCTTGTGATCGGTCTGGATGGTCGCAATGTTGGGGTTGATCAGGACGGACTGCACGCCGGCCTCCTTGAGGGCCTTCAGAGCCTGGGAGCCTGTAAGAGAGCATTGGAATTAGCAACTGTCCGAAAGCGCCTCGGAGATGGCTGTTTCCCAAGCCTTCGGGTTGCCTTTCCTCGGACCCCGATCAATTGATCGGGGCCCATCAGAAAATGGCGCAGAGGGTAGGTCTCTTGCAAAAGTCCAAGGCTAACGATTTGTTTCTTCGACTTACCAGAGTAATCAAACTCTCCGGCCTGTCCAATGCTCAGACCACCACTACCGATGACCAGGACCTTCTTGACATCGACCAGGTTGCCACCGGGCTTCACGATCCCGCTGGCGAGGTAGCTGTCGGCGGAGGGGGCGTTGGGGGACTCCGAGGCCAGGCGGCGGAGGGCACTAGAGAAGGAGCGCAGCTGCTGGGGGCACCATGGCGAGGGGGCCTTCTGCAATCTGAGACTCGAGGCCGCGGAGTGCGCCGTGGTCTGGGAGGAGAATGGGCGCAGAGCGAGGGCCGAACGACGAGACTCGGCCAGACACCGCTGACGCAAAAGGGCGGACGTAGCCTGCCCGCAACGAGCGGCGAGAACCATTGCGCGCTGCGCTGGTGTGAAGGAAAGGGGAGAGAAGAGTAAAGGGAGGAGGGTGGTTGGGATGAGTCAATTGAGAGGGAGAGTTACCCTCTACGGCGCGGAGAGGGAGGGAGGAGGATAGATATGGAGACTCTCTCCGCTTTTGGACCGGGACTGTGGGAATTTTTTTCCTTGACGGCCGTGGATCAAGAACCTTGAATACGTCCCGGTTTATGCCACACGCCCACGACACAGGGGAGGACTCAAGGGAGATGAATGTCCAGACGGACTTGTCAAGGAAGACGAGATGGGGTTAAGAGGATGGAGGAATAGCTAAGAGGAGAAGGGAGAGGAGTGGAAAGTACGAGGAAGCGGGCAGCACAAAAAGGTGCAGCGGAAAGCGGCGATGAGTCAAAGCGGCACTTTTTTTCCCTGGAGTAAAGCCCACCCAAAATGAAGATAGGCTGGCCGACCGACTCGACAGGATCCCCAAAGTTCCCAACCTTCAGGGCCGATAAGAGCTCCGGTGTGCGGAGCCCTTTTTTTTTTTTTTTTTTTTTTTTTTTTTTTTTTTTCGTCGTCGGATTCGCGGGTTCGCGGGTTTGCGGGTTCGCTGGGGCTTTTTTTTTCCCTGCGCGGCTTCTGGACCTCCCGAGTGCTCGCCCACCGCCCAGCCCGCCCGCCAATCCGACGCCGCGCTACACTACGGGCAGGCGCAGGGGCAGCGAGGGCCAGTCGCGACTAGAGCGAGCCTAAGGGCGACTAGCGGCAGTAGTGGCGGCGATGGAGCCCGCGGTTAGCAATACCGATCACTAATGTTGCAGATAATAGCGGGCTCCGTGATGGCCTCAATGGGCGCATGGCCATTCTCATAGGATAATCATTATTCAATCGTTATTAGACACCACCCCCTCCCCCGTCTGACTCAGGAGTCAAGACTGGATGAAGACTGGAGGGAAAAGGGACAGACCAAGGCGCTGCCCGTGCTCGACGGGAAATTCTGGTGGTTGATGGTTCATCAAGCAGATCAATGCCCTTCTAGTCTCCGCTTAGCCTGCGCTGGGCTCGCTACCGCGCGAATAGCATCGTCCCGAAGGAGCACCGGCTTTCGGAGGGCTCCACGCCACGGGGACCACCTCTTACGTCGTTCGTAGCAGTACTAGCTTACTCTCCTCTCATGGCGTAGAGTCATACTGTCATCCGGCAGATAGATATCTAGTCGGTATCCATCTATCTATGAAGGATCTACGGCAGAACAGTAGCATCTGTGTACTTTTTATACGGGAAGGTCATAACTTTATCCAGTAGTGGCAACGTTAAGATATACTTTATATTCGTTAATTGCAACCGCATCTCTGGCAAAGTCCTTTACTCCGTATAGATATCGACAATGACCACAAGACATGGGTCACTCCTCGACTCCCACCTGGCCATTCAGTCCGACCCAGGGTCCCTTGGCCGCCGATTGACTTCGATGCGATTTGGCTTGTGACCGGGTCATTCGTGCCTCAGACAGCCAGATGTCGCTTTCCCCCGCTCCACCTTCAGCGCCCTCTCGGAGCGCATCCTCGAGGTCCTGATTGAGCAGATTGTAAACCCCCTGCAGCACCTGCCCCGCTTCCTGGGCCATTTCCATCCCTTCCTCCAACTTGTGCTCTACGTATTCCTGTTCGTTGGCTCCCGCCGCATCGGAAGCAAACGCCCATGCCTCCGCCATCGCGAGGATCTCGTCTGGCTTGGCAGGTTCGGGGTTCGTGCCCTGGCGCGAAGCTAGGGCCGCAGCCGCATGCTTGAAGCGTGGTTGACGGGCGAGAATGGGGTACTCGGGGAGAAGGTGGCTCTCGTCGCTCAGTCGGTTGAGGATGCGGAGAGTCGACGCTTTTTCCTTGGCAAGCATCCCCGACAAGTAGGATCTCTGCAGCGCCAGTGCTCGTTGGCTCTTGGAGAGCGGTTGGAGGACATCGCTGGTGAACGATAGAACCCGCAACGGGTCCAAGGAGGATACGTCGCCCGGCGCCTTTTTCTCCTGGACCATGCTACTCGGTCGTGTCGGGGGCTTTGTGGGCACTGGTGCGATGGGCTGACAGGCTCGAGAGGCTGCATCGAGAAGGCGTTTGCGAGCATCCACATACGCGGCATATTGCTCCGCAATCTGTGCTTTCTTGTCCTCGAGAAGACGCGCAGACTCCTCAAGGTCTTCGGGGCGCAAGTCATGCGCGCCCGTGCTGGTTTCGCTATTCCCAACAGCCATCAGTTTTTCCTCCACCCATTGCACTAGTTCGTCCCGAGTTCGCTGTAGTGCCTTGAGCTTGACCGCGGGTGGAATTTCCCCAGGGGGGTCCGATGCGCGTTGTGCCTTCAGCTCTTCCAGTAGCCCCTTCTCTCTTTCTAGCTGACCCTTGGCACGAATCACGGCTCTCTCCAACTTATCCATCAGTTCTTCGATGTTGTCCCTCGTCTTAGACTCATGCTGGCTATCCCCAAGGTCACCTGGTGGCGTAAGCTGTCGATACCCCGCCCCTGTTTCTTCTAGATCCTCTGGCTTGACCGTATCCCGTTGTTTGATCTCCTTCAGGTAATGCTCGAAGACTTGGAGCTTTGCGTGTCGACGGCGATCACGGAGAAGACCGAGGTACTCCTGTAACGCCGAAGAAGGATCTGGCGCGGGCTGTTCAGGCTTCTCTTTCTCTTTGTCAGTCTGCTGATTGACGGGGCTCGTCTTTTCCACAACCGACTGGTATTCCCTCCTCGCGGCAACGTTGGCCTGCAGCGCCTCCAGGTATTTCCTCCGCAGTCCAGTCAATTCCGGCGGGATGCGCTTCACGTCGACGACCGCATCGTGGGGTACCATAAGAGAGAGGCGAGACTGGCTGTAGCAGCCCGGATGATCGGGATCATCGTCGGCGAATTCGATTTGCGAACGGAGGTAGACGGTCAAGGCTTGCCGGATGCGGAGGATCTCCTGGCGACTCTTGATGTAGGGCGCCAACGGTTTGGCAACCTCGGGAATGTAGCTAGGGGCAGATTCGTCGGGATGGGCCATGGGGCCGACTTGTCAGCAGCTGTGGATTGGGGAGGGGGTGTATCACTGGTATGCACTAGTAGGGAGCTTTGTGCAGTTTGTTTGTGGTCTTTTGCGGAGGGATCGGAGCTGGAGCCTTCCTCCGCCTTGGGCTGTTTCACTGTTCACTGTTTACTCGGCCCGACGCGGTGCCGCTAAAGTGGGCTTGGCTGGTACGGAATAGCCTCTATCTACTACTAACTATATCTATTAATATTTCGAGCACCATATTATTTCTGTCCAGTCGGTCTTGCTGGATGCACAGTAATATCACTGTTTATGTAGCATCCATCACAGAGATGAATGCATCTAGATCCACAGGCGAAGCAAGCAAACTACGGGAGAGGCACCATTGCAGCCCCAGGTTACACAAACACTGGTTCTCGCATACGAGAGTATGGATAACTAGAGATTATCAGAACATATTGACTCTGGGCTACAGAGTACCTCTCGACCCATACCCTCCGTCCATGCAACAGACGTCAACAGAGAGGACTCCGGACAGAGCACGAAGTACAAGAACGACGATTCCACCGACCGACCGACCGACACCAAGCGACGATTTCCAGGCTGAGTCAGATTATTGATGAGCTGGATGGAGCTCGCTGTAAGATGCAAGCTTAACGCTGCATCGACCCGCCCACTCTGTCAAATTAAAGGTACCCAAGCTGTGACTACAGCAGCTCTTATTGCTCCTCTCGATGACGGTCGCGTTGCTGTTTGGACAGTGACGTAACGATCTCGATGATGATGATGCTGAAAGACCATCCGACGTGGTCGTCTTGGACGTCCTGTGTGTCCTGGGTTCCTTTGTGTTTTCCTTCGAGTATTCGGTACGCCTCTGGTGGCTGCAGCATGCCGTGGCACTTTGCTTTTCTTTGTTGTCCTTTGATGCAGATGGATTCTGGATAGATCTCAACAGGCGGCCAGGGCTGTGGGGACTGAGGAGGAGGCTACCGCGGCCCCTAGCTGTGGACTAATTCCGGGGTGTGGGCTGCTGGGGCCGTCGTTCCCAAGGAGACTTCGTAAGATCGACCAGTACTGCCGGTGACTCCATTTCTATAGTGGTAGATAGGATGGAGGAGTAGTATTAAATTTTATTCTGTAAGTGCGCCGCGTCAGGGCGGAGGATTTCAGTTCTTCTCTCGGCTGCACGAATGGAAGAGTGTGTGGTGGCCGGAAGGGGCTTAGGGTGCCACCTCCTTGGCCGCCTTGTTTGGATGGCTGGATTCTGGAGGTGCCTGGGGTTGGTTAGTTACTGACTGTCTTATTTTACGGCTAATTACTAAATCGATTCATTCGATGGTTAGAGAATGTATTGCCTGAAACGATGAAAATGGTCAGTTACATCAGATTTATACATAAGCTTTGGTAGCTATGTTTCAAAGAAGATCATGTCTCAACCATACAGTTATATCGAAAATACAGTTATCCCTACCTAGGTAGGTAGGTATCGCTGGAGTCCACTACGATGTCGATGTCGACGCACCGCTCCGCTGCAATGGCATCCATCATCCACCCTATCGAAGCGCCTCCTACGGCACCGTACCAATCCGCTGCAGGAGGGAATGATAGGTCCCATGCACTCGGCACCAGCAGCTGAAGAAGACTCTCGCAAATCAGCGGTGGCTAAAAGAGTGGTTGGTATGTTTGGAAATTCCAGGCCGATCCAACCGGCAATAGTGTGCTGCTTTGTCCGTCTCTGCCTGCTGTACCTCGTACCTTGGGACTAACCCGCCCTCCGACTATTTACTGCCCTTATACCTATCAAATTAACTGCTCCTCCGGATCCTTTCTTTTCCACTCGTCGCCTTTCCCACCACAAAGCACTCCACCATCCTGCGTCGTCTTTTCATCATATAACTACCCAGATGGCGTCAGAATTCAGTCCTGTCCCCTTTTCCTCTCCCAGATCGCGACCTCGGGCTGCAACCGCAATGCAACCGGCCACCACCACCTCCTCACCACTCTCATCTCGACGCCTATCGCAAGTCATGGTTCCTCCAGTTGCTGCATCCCCACCGGTCTCCCTCACAGGGAACGCCATCCCTGGAGTTGGCGAACAAGGAAATGTCAGATCCGCATCAGGTAAGTCTGAATGGATAGTAACGAGGGTCTAGAAGCTCGCTCATACCGAATGTCCCAGGCCCATTGCGTCACCCCAAACCACTCACCCCATCCGACATACATTCGATGCTCGAGCAAGAACAGGAAGCAATGGTACGAGTTACAATTTCCCCGTTCCTCCAATCCTCAGCTGTTGACCATACTTCTACCCTAGGTAAACCGCCTATCTCGAGAACTCTCTCTACTCCGCCAGCAAACGAACTCGGTCGCATCAACAGCATCGTCCACATCAACCACACTCAATGACGCCGTCGATACGCACCATGCCTCGCCATACATTATCAGTTCCACACACCCTACAGCATCGCGAAGACATCGCTCGTCATCCAGTCTGAGCTCTTCCTACATCCCGGCTGTTCAAGGGTCACGGGCGGGGAGTGTTTCTGGAATTGCGCCGGCGCGCGAGGCATACCTTCCCACCGCACGTCCGGATCCTTCACGGACGGGACGAAGCAGGGAGTCGTCTCTCACATCCCCTGGACAGTCGGAAGCGGCATTGTCGGCATCAGCACCACACCACCAGACGCAGCAGGTCGATCAGCAGTCACATCCAACCGCTGGGCAGCCACATCGCACCTCACTCTCTCAGCAAAAGACGCCGATGAGTGGTTCGATCTCTCGCCACGATGAGATTGCGTACCACCGTGGGGAGGTCGACTCGTTGAAGCGCGAGAATGAAATGCTGCGCCGGCGGGTACGAGAACTCGAGCTCTCCGTCACGAACCTCCAAAAACAGGAATCGGGCTCAGGACAGACGGCGGAGAATAATACCAGCTCAGCTACTGCTGAGGTAGCGCAGGAACCATCTGGCTCGGGGACGAAGGATTGAAATTGAGGTGCTTGGGATATTCTATTTCGACTTTACGTTATGCGGAAGCACGGTCTTTGTTTTGGATCAGATCTATTAGACTAGGAGTCTTGTTCGGGCGCAGATCTCGGTTTTCTTTTCCAATCTCCTATCTTCAGCTTCTAGACATTTGGGTTGGTCCGGGGAGCTATTCCTGTCCCGGCAGTAGATATTGACCAGAATGCTACTGCCTGACGGGGCCTTTTGATGGAGTCTAATAATAAAGACGCCCTCGTAATAGCCAGCGCCGTCTCACATGCCGCCCCACTGTGGCAGTGCGGGACCTGCCCCTCGCGACGTCATCTGTGGCGCGGGATGCTTGGCCCGCCCCTAAACATGGCCGCCATTAAATAACAGCCTCGCTCTCTCCCCTCTTCTTCTCCCCTCTTCCTCTCCAGACTCCCCCATCCTTGCAGTGCACCTTCCAACTCCTACCCTGTCCGTACAACTACATCAATACCTCTTCAAACCACAAACCACTCTTCATCCCCCACCATGTCTCGCTCCACCGTTCACGTCGAGGGCATTGCCCCCGCAACCTCCGACAAGGAGGTCCAGGACTTCTTTAGCTTCTGGTATGCCCTGCCCTGCAGGCATTTGGCCCCCTTGCATGAGAGCTGCAGCTGACACCGTCGCAGCGGAAAGATCACTTCCCTCTCCGTCACTCCTGTTTCAGGCGAGGCCGAATCCCAGAAGTCGGCCACCGTGACTTTCGAAAAGGAAGCGTAAGCTACCCCGCACCTTCCCGCCCTCGACCCAAATCACACCACTGCCCTGCCCCGGTCCCAACCATACAACCATAGACTCGCTAACTTCCACATGATTCAGTGCTGCGAAGACTGCCCTCCTCCTGGACCACACCCAATTGGGAACTTCCGTCGTGAACGTCAAGGCCGCGCAGACCCTCGATGACATCGCGGGCGCCCAGGCTGCCAGCGCCGGAGAAGCCAAGGACGAGCTGAACCACGACCTCGAGCAGGAGGACAAGCCCCGGTCTCGCATCGTGGCCGAGTACCTGGCCCACGGCTACACGCTCAGCGACAACGCCATCGAGAAGGCCATCTCCCTGGACCAGAAGCACGGCTTCTCCACCCGCTTCACGACGGCCCTGTCCTCCTTTGACGAGAAGTACCACGCCACCGACCGCGCTCGGGGTCTGGACGAGAGCTACAAGATCAGCGACAAGGCCTCCACGGGCTGGCGCAGTCTGAACCACTATTTCGAGAAGGCTCTCGGCACCCCCTCCGGCAGGAAGCTCCGTGACTTCTACTCCCAGACCGACAAGCAGGTGCGGGACATCCACAACGAGGCCCGCAGACTTGCGGACCTGAAGAGCGGCAAGTCCGCCGAGGGCGGCGAGGCCCCTGCCGCTGCGGCTTCTAGCACCGCGCCGGCTGAGGCTGCTGCCCCTGCGGAGCCCAAGGCGTAAATCCCGTCGAATTGGCCAAGCAAAAAATGAAAACAAAAGGAAAGGTATTCAACTGAGGGATTCTGTCTCGTACACGGTACACGTCACATCACGACTTCTGTTCATGTAATACTTCAGTGAATGCGCTGCTATTCTTGTGCAATTTAGTTAGCTGTCTGGAACAAGCAATACCTTAATACACGATTATCGATTATGTCTGATCTAGTCTATCCTTATAATAGTTCATTGGCCTTGAATTACTTCCATGAAGAGACTGTGTCCTAGACATGAACTAGACTAAGATTGCCTTCTATATACAACCACCGTGACGCCTGTCTTAACTCAAAAAGCCTTAATGCCGGAGATATTTATCTAGTACACTCAAACCCCTCCCCAAGCCATTACAAGACAACCAACCCTCTACTACAGATACCCACCCACTACACGCAATCCCACAATCCATTACAGACACCCTCACAATACAATAAAATAATCTTAACCCCCATCCAATTTCCAATTCCCAATTCCCGTTCTCATGACAATACAATCTCATACAATCTCCTATCTTATCATCTCATATCATTAAATACATACGTACATACATACACACACACACACGCACATCATAACCCAATCAAAAGAAGAACAAACAAACCACTTTTTTAACACTTAATCGAACGAAACACTCCCCTTAGTAAACTTCGCGGCCTCTATATCCTCCAACGGATGCTTGGGGTTACTCGACAGGCCGGCGGTCTGCTCCTCCTGCGACAATCCTTGGCCCTGGGTCGAGTGCTCCGGGGGCGGGTACTTGTGCTGCGCCTTGCCCTGCGAGATGGGATCCCGCTGCTGCGCGCCGGTTTGGCGCTCCGGGGAGGGGGATTGGCGGCCGGGGTTGGGGGCGGACATTTTGGTTGGTTGGTTGGTTGGTTGTGAAGGAGGAGTTGAGGTGAGTAGGTGCGAGGCGTGTGCGGTGGTGGTTGTGGTGGTGGTAGTGGCTAGAGGGGAGGGGGGGGGGTGATTATGTTAGTGAGGTTCTACTATATGTTTTATCGTCTATGGTGGGTTGGATTGAGTTGTTGAGTGGGTGGGTTATTGGGTAGGGACGGACTCACTTTTGTTTTTTTTTGTTTTTTTGAGGTTGTAAGAGTAGTAGAGTTGAATAATGATAAGAGATAGTTTTGCAGAGGTATTTTGGTAGATGGATAGATGGATAGATGGATAGATGATAAAAGCCCAGTACATACGGCAGAAGAACCCCCCCCCCCCATTTAAGTACAATATCCAACCAGTACTATAGTACCAGTACTAACTACTTGGGGGAGAAAAGTTCAAACTGGTTTCGGGGAAACATCATCATGACGTCCGCTGCGGGGACATGAAGTGATTATGGTGTTGGCGTTTGCGTTTGCGTTTGCGTTTGCGTTTGCGTAGCTGGGTCCAGGCTGGTCTTGGTCTGGTCGGTTCCACTATCTGTGACCCCTGTGTTGAGAGTAGTTGACCGCGCTGCTGGGGTTTCAGGGTAAGCAACTAGCAAAGAAGGATGATTGATGGGAGGGGATGATGGATGGGGAATAGGATTATGTCAATCATGCTAGTATTAATGATACTATGTAATTATTAGAGGGTGATTGTACTGGGTTGGGATTGTGGTGGTGGTGGTGGTGATGATGATGGTTGCATCATTGTGATGATATGATGTCATGTATCGGCTGTTTGGCTTGTTTGTATTCCTTATCACGTGATAATATATTTTGCGAGGATTGGGATGATGTATCTACTCCGTGTTGCTGCAGGGTGGCTGTGACAATAATGAGCTCAGATGTTGATCTTGAGTTTTATTCTAGAATTACAGTTGCTCGACTACTATTATTAGGTAGCGAGTTATAGATTTACCGCTCTGGTCGAGTTCAGGGAAGATCTTCCTCCTTGGACCCTCTACAGCCGTCTCAAGAGTGTACCAAATATACAATGCTGTCAACCTTGTCGCCGGTCACACTTAATCCAGCTAGCCCGGCTCGATTGTCGAGAAACACAGTACATGGAAGAATTAAAGCCATATTGTATTGATCTTGCTAGGAGGAGGGTCGCGAGCGCAGACCCTTACAGGATCTTGAACACTGACTGACTGACCCAGAATATTTCTCTCAGAGTGTACGTCCAACGGTCACATGACCAGCTGCAGTGTACTAGATTCAACGGCCTTCACCACTTTAACTAACCGCTCGCCCAGAATCTTTCCCTGAGTGTCTGTTTGAGAATCACGTAAGCAGTCATAGAAGAGACTCGATTCACTTCACTACATACATACACGGGTAGGTTTCCAGAACTACTATGGACGGCACTATGCAACTTAGCTTCTAGCTATAGCTATAGTAGGCAGTAGTTATCCTATCCATCCAACCACCACCAGCTAACCGACAGCACCATATATCCAATCAAATCACCGCATAAAAAAAAAGAAAGAAAAGAAAAGAAAAGAAAAGGATTTACCTATCTCATGAATAGTCCAATGAAGAATAGTAGACATACCGGCCGTTAACTGTAATGCAAGGATCTAGGGTATTTACTATTTACACGTTTAACAACCCCTCTCCCCCAATACGGGCTAGATTTCACCACCGCCATTGCCACGCAGTACACCAGGGAAGGAAGTCATTACTGATGCAAAGAAGGAGAAGAAAAGGGGGAAAACCGAAGATAGGAAGAAGAAAGCCACACCGTACCATCCATCCCGAAGTATTGATCATTCATACTCGAGTGCTAACGTTGGCAAGATGCAAGCATGGATGTAGGTTGATAGGTTGGTGGGTTAGTTGGTGGGTAGATAGATAGATAGATAGGTAGGTAGGTAGGTAGGTAGGTAGGCAGATAGGTACCTGTTCCTAGGTAAAAAGGCAGTGTCCGACATTATAACCATAAGTCAATTGACATGACAGGATTAATTTGGGGGAATCAATCGATCTCTGAATTCTTGCAATGAAACAATCGAGTGCAAGATCGGGGAGGGAGTAAGGGGTAGGTAGGATGAAGGGATGGGGAGGGAAAGCAACTTTTGAGAAAACCGGATGACATGACCAAAGAGAGAGGCTTAGGTTAGCAAGAGCCTGAGCCTCAAAAACAGAAAGAAAAAGAAAAGAGAAAAAATTGTTCTAAATGACAAAGGAAAGAAAGATGAAAAAAAAATAAGAGGCATAGATGGCGTGATAACGTATCCAGCAGGGCCGCTCGCTCGACTACACAAATCGTCGACACGATAGATGATGAGGAAGATTCTTTCTTTTTTTTTTTCAAACATGCCTGCTAAAACAGACATCCAACCTGGGATGGATGACACTTTTCTTTTGCTTTTGTCCTTTTTAATTTTTCTATATTCGTGGCCTTGAAGATCCAGGAGAGACCGACTGGCTCGTCTCGTCAGCCCTCGAGGGTCATCGTGGCGTGTCTAATTCCCGTTGGTCTGGATGTTGGCCTCTGCGCTCGCGGCGGCCAATGCCTTCGCGTCGGCCTCGTGGAACACGGCCTGGAGCACTGACTGCTCCTCGGCGCTGAGGACCTTCGTCAGGTTGTCGTAAAGCTGGGGTTGTTCTTGTTGAAGACCTGTTGCAAGTTAGTGACGGCGTGGATTTACCCCTTCAGAAATATACGTACCCATGAACACATGCTTGAACATGCCATACGGCTCGATCTTATCCAGAGGAGTCTCCAGCAAGCTCTCCTCGTCAAGGTCGTCATCGTCATCATCGGTAAAGGAGCCGAACTTCTGTGCCTAAACAATTACGTTAACAGAGGTCACCTATATCATTAGAATATATTGACTTACCTCCTTGTTCAGGAAATCCAGGTAGGCGGCACTGTCATCGGGAACATCGCCATCCAAGGCGCCGGCCTCACCCTCCTCACCTTCGGTCCACTCAATCTCGCCATCCCAGTCGTTGTCCTCGTCAACTTCCTCTTCCTCGTCATCGAAGGTAAAGTCGGACTCCTTGGTGGCATCTTCGCGTTCTAGGGGTAACGTTAGTACATGGGTTGGTAGGACATGATTTCGTAACATACGCTTAATGGCAGCGGGCAAGGTCTGGAACAGCCGGGTCACTCCCTGGAGCAACCTGGGCCAGCCTTGCTGCACGCTAGGCGGAACATCACCGGCCTTCAATGTCAGCAGGGAGCTGATGGCGGCAATGGACAGCTTCTTATCGTGGACGCGTCTGAAGTTGTCGATGTTGGAGAACCAGGTGCTGAAGAACTTGTTCGTCCAGCCCTTGGCTTCCAAGACCTGGAGACCGAGAACGGGGTTGTAGTAGATGGCGTTGATAACCATCTCCATCAGGTGGATGCGGTAAGACTTCGTCGGGGCCTCGCCGGCATCGATGACGCGCATCGCCAGCTCAATGAAGACCGGGATGTACTGGTCGATGCATCCGCGGAGGTTCAGCATCAGAGTCTCGGCGAGCTTGCAGCCGCATATCCGGTCGACACCACCAACCTTCTCGTCGCGGAAGATGTCCTCGACCATGCTGACAACGGCGGCAAGGTACGCGGGGTTCTGGACCAACATCTGAGAGCCGTAGGCGATGTAGTTGTCGAGGGCGGGCAGCATGTCTTCCAGGTACAGCTCGGCACCGGCCTTGAAAGTCTTGTGGATGAGCTCAAAGGCCTGCCACATCGTAGGGGAAATGGACTTGGATGCGAATGTGCAGCTGTCGATAATCTCAAACACTTCGTTGTACAGGTCGTAGAGCTTGTTCTCGAGCGTGATGCTGATGACGGGCATGAGGATCGTCTCGAGGTGGAGGAGCACATCAGGGGTGCTCTCGAGGGTAAGGATCAGGGTTCCGATCGTCTGCAAGACACCGAGAGCGGTGATACTCTTGTCATCCAGGAAATCGCCGTACGCGTCCTCGTCCTTGGTCGCATTGCGCTCCAGAAGCTCACCAACGATGCGCATGTAGGTGTCACGAAGCTGCTCGCTGAGGGCCACGGCAAACGGAGTGAGTTCCGCGGAGAAGACCTCGACGAAGTCCTCCATGACGTTGGCCAGAGCGTCCACATCCACCTCGTTGGCGAGCTTGAGAAGCTGCTGCATGATCTGGGGGATGTTCTGCTGCATGGAGGTCCTGATGATATCGTGACGGATAAGGGGCTGCAGAGCCAGCGCGGCTTCGACCCGGACGGGCAACTCGGGGTCGGTCATCGATTCAAGGATATTCCGGTAGATGATCATGAGGTTATTCGGGTCCTGGAAGTCGAGTTGCTCGAACTTCTCCAGAGTGTCACAGGCACGCGCTCTGAGGAACCCGTGGGGGCTGCGGAATTCGGGGAAAACATGGCGGACGAAGAAATATTCCACCTGGTCCGCGATGGGGCTCTTCTTGCCGAGAATGACCGAGGCCAGGGAGCCGATCATGCGCAGGGCACCTTCCTTCTCCCTGGGCAGCTTCTGGTCTTCGGGGGCAGACTCGTACTTGCTGACAACGCCGTTGACAAACGTGAGGATCGCGAAAGTCTGCTTCTTGCGGTTCTTGGTCAGGGCCACCAGGAAGTTGGTGGCAGCGACGTCGGGCGCGGAGACCTCTTCGTAGTAGTTCAGCTTGCGGTGGAGGTATTCGGACGGGTCGGTCTGGAACAGTTCGATGTCCTCATCGGACTGGCACAGGATGGGGAAGATGAAATGGGCGATCAAGTTGTCCATGTGCGGTTTGAGGTGATCCCACATGGCCTTGGGCTTGACACACTCCTCCAGGAAGATCAGGGTGTACGCGAGCGCAGGGTTGCTGAGCCACTGGCCCTTGGACACCCACTTCTCGATTTCCTGCAGATATCCCTTGAGAATCTCCGGGGCGAACGTGGTGATGAAAGCCTTGCCGTATGCGCTGTAGTCGGGGGAGCTCGACTTGCTCATCGTCGTAGGGTTTCCGTATCTGCAAATCCACGTCAGATGGACGACCACTGCACAGGCCACCAAACCAAGTACTCACCTGATGAAGAGACGGTTCAGGTTCGCATAAGACCACTTCTTGCACTTCCACCAGTGGTTGAGCTCGCGCTCCTCCTTGGCCTCCAGCATGGCGCTCGCGGGAGGATCCTTGGCGATGATCCTCAGGAAAAGTGTGCACCAGTCCACCGTCGCTTGCTGTGATTGAAGATGGGGCGAAAGTTCGAACTATCACACCCCCGGGTTAGTCTCACTATAGCACACATACGACATGTTTCGGTAGCCTTGTTGGATGACCCACGTAGATAGCATGCTTGTACGCCTTCACGACTATGCGGAGCATTTCCGCAGCCTCCAAGCTCTCCTCATCGACGAGCTTCAACCCGATGTTCAAGAGCTGAGGGAACGAGTGTTCGACGATTTTATCGAACTCCTCCCTCTTCTCTCCGGCCTTGAACCGGTACACACGGCAGATGGCCAGCAGACACTGCAGGCCAGCGTAGACAGAGTTCGCATCGGGGGTGCCCAACAGCTGCAGGGTGACATCCAAGAAACCCGGCCACTGCTCGGGGAAGTCGTTCTGGAGGATCTTCTGGAGGAGAGGGACGAGTTGAGCCCGAACGTTGGGCGGCGTGGATGCCAGAGCCGGAATCAGTCTCTCACGGAACCCTGGTTTCTCGGCCTCGGGGATCGGTGTGCGCAACGGACTTTCTTCGATGACCGACCAGCCACGGTTGATTCGGTTCTTCAGGTAAACACCGGCTAAGGAGCAGCAGATCATCGATCAGTTAGATCCAAGTACTTTTCCCTCCCCCCTCTTTCGCACACACCCACACACCCACACACACACTTCCCCTCTCTCAGATAGGCGGAGAAATGGCGGTGGATAAAATAGACCACCCGAAATGAGGTGGGGGGAGAGAGAGAGAAAAAATAAAAAAGGGTAACCTACCCGACAACTGAACGGCATTGTTCTGTTCCCCTTGCAAGATATCCAACAGCGCATTTATGAAGCCGGGTTGCGTCTCGGCCTAGAGGAGAGAGATGAAAGATAAGTCAGGGCCGGAGCAGGCACAGGGCCAACCAAGCCTGGAAGGGCAAGGGCAGCACAGGGCAGCACAGGGCACGAATCCCACACGTACATATTTCAAATCCAATTCAGCCTGGCGACGATTGTCCGCATTGGGGTCGAGGGTAGACTGTATGCGGTCTCGTAGAGCGGCGACATCCATCTCGCACCGGCAAGGGCCCCCTGTGATTATAAAAAAAAAAAAGTCGAGAAGTTTATAAAGGCCCGGTACGCGGTGATGAGCCGGGAGAGGGGCGATCGATGTAGGGGAGGAGTGGAGGAGGGGGAAGAGGGCGAGGGCGAAGAGGGCGAGAGGGCGAGGCGATCGAGTAGTGGGGGGGGGGAGGAGGAGAGGATCGGAGTAGGAGGAGGAGTAATATCTAGTGGTAAAGTAAGTCGTCGTTTGGTTGTGCAGACGACAGCAAAAGAGCCCTTTGGGTTGGTTTGTTGGGTTTGATTTGGTTTTCGCTCGTGGTTTTTCGCATCACATAAGCGTGTCCGCCCGCCCCGCGCCTATGGCAGCTAATCAGAGCCGGTCTCGCCACGCGCGGTAGCAGAATTTTGCTTGTCGCCGGTCGGTCCCTTGGGCGGCCTTTGGGCTGGTTTCTTATTTTTTTTTTCTTATTTTTGAAGTCTTCATCGGATGCGCTGGTTTGGAAATGTTTGTTGCCGGTAATGACAATATCGAAGGTATGTCGGAGTAATACTACTATCTAATACTATTTACTAGTAGTAAGCAGTGAAATGTCCATACCAGTGACATACCAGTAAAACAAAAATAACGAAAAGAAAAAAGAAAAAGTTCCCCACGTGGGTTAGCTTCCCCTCCTCTTCGCCCCAGAACCCGAACCAGCCTTTCACCTGTCTATCCCACATTGGCCAGTTGTCTGTCTACATGTACAACGACGCCGCAAAGATCACGTCCCGCTTGATCAGCTCCTGCGCCTGCTGCATCTTTGTGTACAGCGTCGGGTCGCCCACCAGCTTGGCGGCATTCTTCACCTCCCGACACGTCTCGTCCAGACGAGTAATGGTCCGCACGATGGTGCCCTCCATCACATCCGTCAGGTCGGTGATGCGGTTGAACGACATGCCCTTCGCCCACTCGTAGACCACCTCGGCCAGCCCGAACCGCGGCTGACTGGCGAAGTCGTTGCTATCTTCACTCGTCTGGATGACCTGGTGTAGAATCTGGAAGTCATTCACCCGTTCCGAGATCTTCACGATGGCCTCCTTGCCCTTCTCCAGGCGAGGCGTCAATGTCGGGACATTCTCCGTCTTCTCTTGGAAGACAAACGCCGACAACAGAGAGACGATCTCCTCGGGCTCGTACTCGGCCAGCACGTTTTCGAGGACCAACTCGGTCAGAACGAGCTCGTCGGCGGAGTGGATCTCGCACGCGACCTTTCCTTTGAGCTGCACGCGAGACTGCTCATCCACAAAGCCCAGCTCCTTCAGAACCTGGATACGCTGCTCGTAATCCGGCAGCAGGGCAAGGTTCTGGTCGGACATGAGTTGTTTCAACTGCGAGATGTTCTCCTTGACCTGCCATTCGTCGTGTTGCATTTCAAACTACCGGGTGTGTAAGTGTAAGTCCGAGCCGCGGCATGATGTCAGGGTCTCAAAAATGGTCGATGGTCACTTACATGTTTCGAGAAGCTCGGGCACTGCAGGCATTTGCATGATTGGGCGATGGCGGCCTGCTTCTGCCGCTTCTCCAGGATGTCTCTGACCTGCAATTCCTTGATCCGCGCCCAGTCCATCTCGTCCCAAACCGGAGTCGTCCACGAAGCGCAGTACTTCGACAGCTCCTTGTCGGCGAATTTGATGGCCTCTGTTCGCTGTGTTAGCCCGTCGCTACTAGATTGGAGTCTCGTGTGCTTACCCTTCTTGATGTTGAGGTACCAGATCGGGCCTCCTAGCTTCACTACCGTGTTTGTGACGCATTCGAGGTCCATGAGGGGTACCTTGTAGGATTTCAACGCCATGTCGGCAGAACGAGTCGGCAAAGGTTGTAGTAGATGTTTAAATCCGGGGAGGAAAGGAAGAATGTCGCTGGGATGGCGCCTGCTGCCTAGCTTTCCGATCTCAAGAACCTGTATGCCAGGCGACGGACCTCCCACAACGCCCTCTCGAACAATGATACCTGCAGTGCGGTAGCCCTCCTGTCAAGCAGTTAGCTAGGCCAATTCATCAGTCAAATGGGGGGTTGGCCTACCTTTCTGTACACAATTAGGCGCTTCGGCACGAAGAGACGCTTCCCAACAGGTGATGAGAGCAGTCCCACGTGGAGCTCACTGGTGAGCTTTTCATACTCAATAGCCGCGTCGTGGCACGCTGCAAGGTCGATATCACAAATGTCGCAAGGCTCTCGCTTGATTTTCGCCAAACTGGCCTCAGAAAGCTGCACCTGCTTTTCATGCTCCGGGAGAAGGGCCTGAGTGGCGTTCTCACTGAAGCTTCGTTTGATCATTTCTTCGATTTTCAGGGCCTCCACGCGTAGAAGGTTCAGTATCATGTTGTATGTCAGTCTGAACTGGGACCGCAGCTTGGTTGGATCCCCAAGGATCATCCTTCTCAGGGCACCCGCCGGAGGGGCTTCATCTCTGCCAGGATTGACGATAATGACATAGCCAACAGTATCAAGACCTCTCCGTCCAGCACGTCCAGCCATCTGGGTATACTCGCCGGGCAGCAAGTCTCGGAAGCTCTTTCCATCGTGCTTGCGGAATCCGGAGAAAACCACTGTACGGGTCGGCAAGTTAAGACCCATAGCGAATGTCTCAGTAGCAAACAGAACCTTGACCAGTGACTTGGCAAATAGAATCTCGACGATTTCCTTCATGATCGGTAGAAGACCGCCATGGTGCACAGCGATACCTCTGCTCAGCAAGTCACGGAGCCGAAGAATTTGTGGGAGAGTCCGATCTTCTGGCTTGAGCCTCGTGAGGGATTTCTCGATGAACATATGGGTCAAACTCTTCTCTGAGGCAGTGGAGAAATCTTGGTTGGACAGGGAATCGGCATTCTGCTCACATCTCTTCTTAGAAAAGACGAAAATGCAGGCAGGCAGCAGATTATCCTTGCGAAGATGCTGAACCAGTTGCACCCAGACAGTCTTGTCCTGCGCAGCTGTCGTCCGTCCACCACCTCTCCCGGTGCGGGCGATGTTTCCTGTGCCTCTATTTGCGGGCTGTCCTCTGCCACGGGGAGCACCACCGCGTTGCCCATTACCGCGAGGGGCACCTCTTCCACCAGCCTGGCCACGTCCTCGTCCCTGTCCCTGAGGAGCTCCTCTGCTCGCCTGCGACTGGGCCTGGGCCTCGACAGCCTTCTGAGCTTTAATCTTATCCCTCCCGGAGATGATCTCATCGGCCTCTTTCCACCCGTTCTCGAGGAACCGCTTGTTCGAATCGACGATCTTATACTTCTGCTTGCCGCCCCAGAGATAATGCTCGAGGGGAACGGGTCTCTTTGCAGTCGAGATGACGTAGATGTCCTTCTTCTTCGTACGACCAACCCAAGAGGCAAACTCGTAGGTATTAGGGACCGTAGCGGACAGAAGGATTAGAGTGACGTGTTCAGGAAGCATGATAATGACCTCTTCCCAAACAACACCTCTCTCCAGGTCGTTGACATAATGCACTTCATCAAAGATCACAAATTCCACGTCTCGGATCAGATCCGCGCCTCTGTACAGCATGCTTCGTAAGATTTCGGTGGTCATGATCAGACAGCTGGCTTCCGGATTGATCTGGACATCTCCTGTCAGGATACCAACATCGTCAAACTCAGTTCTAAAGTCTCTAAACTTCTGGTTACTCAAAGCCTTGATAGGTGACGTGTAGATCGCTTTGGTCATGTGTTTCGCGGCTAGTGAGATAGCATATTCGGCAACAACCGTTTTACCAGCCGATGTGTGGGCAGCGACGAACACAGAGTCGCCACATTCGAGATGGTAGACAGCCTCCTTTTGGAAGGTGTCCAACTCGAACGGCCACTCTCGCGCCATATCCGGGACGAGTTCGCGGAAATTCGGGATATCCTTATTGACGTCGACGACATGGGCCCATTCTCTGCCAGTTTTCCTTTGCTGGACGCCTGCGAGCAGCGGCGCGTGGGGTTCCAATGCCGGGAACTCGACTGGAAGCAAGGAATCGATGTCTTCCTCGTCACTAAGTTCCGCTTCGTCGTCAATCTTGACGCCTCCCGCATCCGAGGCTGTCTCGTCCGGCTCGACATGAAGGTCGCTCTCTTCCTGCTGTAGGGCATGCTCCACTTCTTCATCCCCCTCAGCAGCCTCTTTAGACTTAGCTTCCTCAAACTTCAGTCCTCGAGAAAACCCCGGGGCGATTTCCAGGAGACCACCTTCAGCGCCAAAGTTGATAATCCGGTCAAGACCCGACTGCTTTCCACCGGCTCTGGGATGCTCTGCAGTCTGGGCTTCAGATTCCATCTCAGCAATGGCCTCCACCCCCTCCAACCCACCTGGAGCGAACGGGAAAAACCCTGCCGCGCCTCTCACGAAATCCGCACGACCGGCCGGTCGACGAAGAAGAGAAGTCGAATTCTTCGCATTTGCACTGGTGGCCGGAACGGTCACTTCATGATAACCAGTGACGCGTCCTTCCAGACCATCGCGATCGAATCGGACGATAGTGCGCGTTTGAGTACCGGCAATCTCAAAGATGTCGGTATAGTCGGTAGAGACGTCCCATTTCCTGTATCGTATTAGTCAAAGCTCGTATCCGTCGACGGACCGCAAAATAGCACAACAATAGATAGAAAGCCGAATAAACTCCATACAGTGCTCAAGCTCCAACCGTCCCACTATCCTGACAACAAAAAAAGGTCTACCACACAACATAGGGCTGATCAACCCCCCAAAAAAGCAAACAAGCAGAATCAGATAAAAGACACGGGACAATTCTACCTTTGCAAACGGTTCAGCCATTCGGGACTAAACTCAGACGAGGGGGTCAGGAAATCACTCTCGAGCTCTTCTTTTAGATCAGCCGCATTCTGGCGGGCCTTCTGTCGCGGCTTGCAATCCTTATAAATGCCGCTCTGCTCGTCGGCGAGTCTTGCGTCGAAGGTCGCCCCGCTGAGGGTCTGGGAGTGTAGATTGAGCTTGGCCATGGCCGATGTCAAATTGTCCGTCATTTTGGAATGTGTGGACGCGACTTCGGTCAAGTATGTGGGGGATAGACTGGATGTAGAGTGGACAATCTATTTCAATTCCGATTTGGGGGGGGGAAGAGGTCCACGACAATCCCCGCGTCACGGTTAGCCCAACACGGACAACGGACAGGCTGCAGTGAAAGAGCAAGGACGTAAAATCAGCAGGCGGGGAGCATGTGAGGGTCACCCAGTCAAGATGTCATTCACAGAGTGCTACTGCTGGCAGTGCACGGGGTCCACGGGGAGCTTGAAGCCTGAAGATGGGAAGAACCATTGGCGGTGTTTGGCGGCGGGAAGTTGGCCGGCCACACACTGCCAGACCAACCAGCTCTGACGTCGTGTGGGGACTGCCTCTTCCGCCCTCTCGACTGAGCTCATCTGGCTGAAGGTCTGGACCAGGAAAAAAAATACATCTCTACTCTCTTCTTTACTCCACTATTTTAAACGCATGGATTTGGTGCCAATATCCAATTTCTCAGGCTTCACGTTAATCGCTCCAGAAAAGCCCAAACAAACATCACCTAGTCAACCTGCACAGGTTATTAAAACTTTTATTCCCGTCCAGGTAGCTAATAAATAGTGGTCCTTGTACATAAATGGTCATCCTAGCCTGCTGCCCCAACGCCAGAGACCAATGCCAAAAAAAAAAAAAGTTAAAGAGACGTTTGGGCTCAATGATACAATCGGAATGCTCCCAAAACAAACGCGAGCAAACACACGTGCTGGAAAGGGGGAGAAGAAAGGGACAACAGGGGGTGAGTAGTCAATGCTATTCCAAACCCCTTGACTTCAAATGTGACACTCTATTTCCAATCGTCGAAAATTTTATGCTGAAATGAAGTGGTCCGGCAATATCTGCGCCTTCCCATGGACCCGAGAGAGAGAGAGAGAGAGAGAGAGAGAGAGAGAAATCAGAGGGGAAATCAAAAAAGCTCAAAACAACATTGAAGGTCATGGAAACATCAGACGAGCCCGTCATCCGTTGCGAGGGATGATGTACTCCGGATAAGCGCGGCGAATTATGTTAACGGTAAGTGATGACAGGGAAGGTCTTCCGGTCCGTTACATTGACCTGGTATTCAAAGATGCCGTCCACAGTTGCGATATACCTGAAAAAAAGGTCACGTCAGTTCAGCCGGTGATACCGTTGGTCCGAGACATGGCACCTACAGTGTTCTTCCATCCGCACCCCAGCCAATCCCAGCTGTACTACCTGGGTCTTGGTCTCGGTGTCCAATCCCCATGCTGCGGTCGGGAAGTTCGTTCAATACACTCCGAATCCATCGAGGAGATCGGGTTTGCTCGAACCCCCATGGTTGCTGCCGATACCTTTGCTCGCGTTGGTCATGCCGACTGGGTGGTTCATTCATACTTTGTCGCTGCCGTCGAAGGCGCTCGGCAGCCACGCTGGCCCTCAGTTCAGTGTTCGAAAGCCGCGGTGGGTCGGGAAGAGCGTCGGGCGTACTGCTTTCCTGTCTCTCCAGTCGTCGGTGGCCAGAGCGAGATCGCTGGTGGTTCCTGGGCCGGGGCAACAACTCCGCGGTCGTGTTGGAATAATCGAAGTTAGCGGAGGGTCGACCTATCGTTCCATGTGACCGACTGACGGGTCCGGTTTCGTTTCCAGAACTACTGGGGTCACTCGAACTTGAATCTACGGCGTGCAGGGGGTTCTCCGGGTGCATCTCCGACGGCGAAGCAGTCCAACTGAGTGTAATGCTAGGCTGCGGGTCCATGCTTATCGGGCCCGTTTCTTGAGCAGCCTGACTGTTCGTCTCGTTATGGCTCGGAGTCAGGACAGCAGCGCCTTGATGTCTCGCCTGTTGCCTGCGATCGCTAGCATCTCTTGGTCCCCGAAACCAGCTGGGGATTGGAGGAACTGCATCGCCATGACGTAGGGGCGAGGTAGGACGAGAATTTCGATTGACTCCATCTGTGGAACCATGAAGCCGCGGGCGAACAGCAGGGTGCGGGTGAGCGCTCGCCCTAACTCGTCGTTCTGTTGAACCATCGGTCGTTCTCGACGTATAGCGCGCGGTGTTCAAGAATTCGACTATTAACCTCTCCCTTTCAGAGAGCTCCTGGACCAGGCTTTCGCTGGGCGACGATGTGTCGTCGGAACCCAGTGCGCCTTGGTTATAAGGCGGCCCCTCAAACGAATCAACAGCAACGCGCTGGTTCGCGTCAAGTTCATGGCGCAGGTCTGGAGAAATCCGACCATTGAGTTCAAATACCAGGTCATCCATCGATAACTCGGTACGGACTTCCTCTATTCCGGGCTCGTTCATATCCAACTGGAGGATTTGTCTCCGGACGAACCGCTGACGAACATCAGCAATACCAGCGCGCCCTTTGTCCTCGAGCCATACCAGGAGGTCCCATGGCTCGGGTGCGAATGCCATGCAGCGCACAGCGCCGCCATTACAGCAAGGCCTGGACGAGTTAAAACGACACATGATCGTATTCTTGCCGAGAGGCTCGCGAATGATGTCTCGGATTGTTATCAAATCAAAGACGGTGATCACTCCGGACTGCGATCCAATAGCACATAATCGACTAAACTGAGAAAACGCGACGGTGAAACAGCATCCATCATCGAAACGTGTGCCTATATCCATCTCTATGCAGCGAAGGAGACACCAGTTCCACCCACAGAGCCTGTCGCCATTTTCCGTCAGAGCCACCTGATCGAGGTTGCGGGAGACATCATAGAAATATGCCCGGGTTTCGTCGCCCACTGCGGCGAGCACCGTCGAGTCCGGAGACATGATTGCATAATTCATGCATGATGGATGATGAAGCACTTTCAGGACTTTCGACCTGGCCAGAGAAAAGATGGTAACGGTTTTGTCATTGTTACTGCGGGACCGGTTAGCATGCTGCCGGGTCGGTCGCTGGGGTGTCGGGTTAATACCTCAGAATGGCTATATCTTCATCCACCAAGTCCTTCCCGTCTCCCGGCAGACGGTGGATGGTCACTGAGTTGACAATACTGCCCCCGAATTTGTGCAGCTGCAGTTCTGGAATCTGCCTCCTACCGGCAGAGCGAGCGGTTCCAGGCTCATCGCCGGGCAGCCAGGGAGGCGAAAGTCTTGTGGGAGGTTCGAGGTCAATTGGCAAAGCGCTATCGACGTCGGACGGCTGGAAGGCCGGGGTGTCGGGCCGGGCGCGCGCGCTCCGATCGGAGAGTCTGATAAAGGCGCATTCGCCATTATCGGAGCCCCCGACGCCAATCCAGCCGTGGGCAGCAGCTAGGCATTTGGGCTCAAAGGGAATTTCGGCAATAGTCTCTCGCTTCTGCGACGAGATGTGGATGGCATATACGAGTTTCTCGACGACGACGTAGATTCTGTCTGGGTCGGCGGTGCTGATGTAGTTGCGAAGTTGCTGGTGGCTATAACACTAGGATTAGTGGGGGATCCACGGGGCTGACTGCGGGCTCGAGGTACGGACAAATTGGGGATTTTGAGTGGGAAGAAGCGGCGCTTTGTGGGGAGGATTAGGGACTCAGTCGGATGATACCTGGGTAGCCGATAGGACATTAGCTATCGCCGAGACGGACTATCGCTGGGAGAGGCAAGGGAAATAGAAAACTGACGAAAGCGAATCCGTAGTCATGATGAAGAGGAGTCCACATCAAGGTGACATGATCGGGAAGTACAGCTAGAGTGAGGGTCCCCGATGCTGCGAAAACGACGGACAACGCAGAGGAGGACGGAGGGAACGGAGGAGGTGGCGGCGGCAGAGGCGGCGGGTGAAGGTGAGGGTGAGGGTGAGGGTGAGGGTGAGGGCGAGATCGAGGATGCGAGGATGCGAGGATGAGAGGATGATGGGAGGGGACAGTTGATTGATGGCAAGTGACAATGAAAAAGAAAGATGGTAGCAATAGAACGACAAGGAAAAGGAGGCCGGTGTCGCAGGGAGTAGTTAGCTTGAGAAGAGTTGAAAACTAGAGCGAGGCAGCGCGACGAGGAGGAGAGGCGGCGATGAAGGCCGGCCGGGTCTGGCTGCAGTTGGTGCAGTTGGTGCAGTTGGTGCAGGTGGTGCTGCTCCCACCACTAACTACTACGTACTATAGTCGAGTAGTAGTAAGTAGCACTAGTAAGTAGTAGTACTTCGCTCGCCCACCGGCGAACCGCACGCACCGGCGGCCTTTGCGTTGACGATTTCGGAGGGTCATGGCGGGTGCGAACGGATGACGTAAGACTTACCGGCCCCAATCCGGGGAACGTCCCAGCGGCAAGTCGATCCAAGTCCGCTTCCAGCCCTTCAATCGTGGAGAATCCGGCAGCCAGCATTCTGCGAGTGCGACTACTTACAGTTACCGACAACGCTCTTGTCATGCACGCGGCAGTCCCGGCCATCCCTTGAATCCGGCAGACGGTCGCACCCTTCCACCCTTCCGCTGATTGGGTTCGACGGCCACATAGCCGGTCTCGTGAGGCGGATTCTTCCCCCAGGCTCCCTCCAAAGCAAGTCCCATCTCCCTCCAACCGTTCGATGACGCTTGGCAACCGCTCTCCTCTCCGACCTGACTATGGCTACGCAGATCCCTTCTTCATTGTCCCTATGTCAAGTGAGGGTGCGATGGTTGCCTGGGGAGGGTCGTCGGCCAGGGCTGGGGGGTACGGCGATGACCACAGGAGGCAATGCATAGTCAGTCGTCCTAGACGGGTCGGCACAGTGATGCAGGCACAGTTCGCGTCTTCTACGAACCCTGCAGGATGGCTTAGGTACGTCAATCAAATAAGCTCCAATGAGGACGGTGTGTGTGTGGCCTGGAAAATAAGGCATGAACAGTCAAAGGGCACAAAGGGCTCCTGGAGCCCATTCGAGTAAGAATGCAGGTGAGCATTGCAGATTTGGGTTCTGTCACCTTGTGGCATGAAAACAGGTGCGGGTCCCCTGAAATCCAGCTATTTGTTCAGGCAATGTGGGTAAAGAGTGGTGGGCAACATGATGGTAGCACTTTCACTGGGGGCAGTGATAGAAGATATACCTACTGAGTACGGAGTACTATATATAGCTAGCCATTCCACCGCTGGGGATCAAATAGTACCAATTTGTTAGTAAGTTGTAGATCCATAGACCATCGAACAAGCTCAATCGCCAACCCGATGGAAACAGTCCATAATAAGATATGTCCTTTCAAAAAACACCAAACTATCGATACAAACAAGCTAGCAGAGGGATAGCAGTGCTGCTCACTACTGCTGTACTCCGAGGAGAGAGCAGTCATAGCTCGACACATCATATAATAACCGCGGCCCAGGACAAGCTATGCTTGCGATATAATCGTTACTATATTATGTGCACAGTACTGTCCTCAGCCATGCAGGACAATGTCTGACCCGGAGTTTGCGCGTCCTCCTCCACTGTATTGCCCCGACAGCTGAGGAAAACACTGCAGTGGCAATTACTGGTACCTTCTGGCCTCGGAGCAAGGGCCGGAGGCGCATTGGCTCGGCTACCGCAGGTGAGAGCGGTCTAAAGGGAAGCTCGGCTGCCATTGGGCGAGACCGGCGGTGCGGTGATTCTACCAAGTTCGACGACGGGCCGAAGCTCTCCGGGACGATTTTTACTACCACCTGCCGTCTCCCTTCTTCAAGTTCTTCCTCCCCCAGAAAGAAGCTGAAAAATCTTGTCTCCTTCAACTCTCCTCCTCCCTTCATCACCTCATATACCCTCCACTATCCTCCCGCCCTTCGATTGAATCGATTGGGGTCCTCCTATACTCCTTTTTTAATATCTGTATTATTTTGTTCTTTTAATCACACTTCACAATGCTGTCCTCCCGTATCTCCCGCGCGGTACGTCTTCGTCCCCTTGACAACTATACCTGTATAGGTACACACGCGCAAAGCCTTCAAAACTAACGTGTTATTCCCCCACAGCTCCCGCGCACCACCTCTTTCGCTCGCGCTCCTGCCTTCAGAGTTCCCGGTGCTTCTCTCCGGAGATGGAACTCTACCGAGGGAGGAGAGGAGAAGGTGAAGGGCTCGGTCATCGGTATTGACTTGGGTATGCTGGCTCCTTGCGAATCATAGTCCCTCAGACCCAGAGCTAACAAGACCGCACAGGTACCACCAACTCCGCTGTTGCCATCATGGAGGGCAAGACCCCTAAGATCATTGAGAACACCGAAGGTACGTGAAGATTTTTTTCGCCCCGACCCACGATTTGGCCAAACCTTCCCCGAACGGAGCTATGACCAGATCAGATAAATGACGCGCACTCCAAGAGATAAGAAGCTGACTTGCGTCCAAAGGTGCCAGAACCACCCCTTCCGTCGTCGGTTTCGCCCAGGACGGTGAGCGCCTGGTCGGTATTGCCGCCAAGCGTCAGGCCGTTGTCAACCCCGAGAACACTCTCTTCGCCACCAAGCGTCTCATCGGTCGCAAGTTCACCGACGCTGAGGTCCAGCGTGACATCAAGGAGGTCCCCTACAAGATCGTTCAGCACACCAACGGCGATGCCTGGGTTGAGGCCCGTGGCCAGAAGTACTCTCCCTCCCAGATTGGTGGTTTCGTCCTCAACAAGATGAAGGAGACTGCCGAGAACTACCTCAGCAAGCCCGTCAAGAACGCTGTCGTCACCGTCCCCGCCTACTTCAACGACTCTCAGCGTCAGGCCACCAAGGACGCTGGTCAGATTGCTGGTCTCAACGTTCTCCGTGTCGTCAACGAGCCCACTGCCGCCGCTCTTGCCTACGGTCTTGAGAAGGAGGCCGACCGTGTTGTCGCCGTCTACGATCTTGGTGGTGGTACTTTTGATATCTCCGTTCTCGAGATCCAGAAGGGTGTCTTTGAGGTCAAGTCCACCAATGGTGACACCCACCTTGGTGGTGAGGACTTCGACATCACCCTCGTCCGCCAGATCGTCCAGCAGTTCAAGAAGGAGTCTGGTCTCGACCTCTCCGGCGACCGCATGGCTATCCAGCGTATCCGTGAGGCTGCCGAGAAGGCCAAGATTGAGCTGTCCTCTTCTCTCCAGACTGAGATCAACCTGCCTTTCATCACTGCTGATGCCAGCGGTGCCAAGCACATCAACCACCGCATGACCCGTGCCGGTCTCGAGTCTCTGGTTGACCCCCTCATCAGCCGCACCATCGAGCCCGTGCGCAAGGCCCTTAAGGATGCCAACCTCCAGTCCAGCGAGATCCAGGACATCATCCTGGTCGGTGGTATGACCCGTATGCCCAAGGTCACCGAGTCCGTCAAGTCCATGTTCGGCCGTGAGCCCGCCAAGTCCGTCAACCCCGATGAGGCTGTTGCCATCGGTGCTGCCATCCAGGGTGCCGTTCTTGCCGGTGAGGTTACCGACGTTCTCTTGCTGGATGTCACCCCCCTGTCTCTCGGTATCGAGACCCTCGGTGGTGTCTTCACCCGTCTGATCAACCGCAACACCACCATCCCCACCAAGAAGTCCCAGACCTTCTCCACCGCCGCTGATTTCCAGACTGCTGTCGAGATCAAGGTGTTCCAGGGTGAGCGTGAGCTCGTCAAGGACAACAAGCTCCTCGGAAACTTCCAGCTGGTCGGCATCCCTCCTGCCCACCGTGGTGTCCCCCAGGTCGAGGTCACCTTCGACATCGACGCTGACTCCATTGTCCACGTCCACGCCAAGGACAAGTCCACCAACAAGGACCAGTCCATCACCATTGCCTCTGGCTCCGGTCTCTCCGACTCCGAGATCCAGTCTATGGTTGAGGATGCCGAGAAGTACGGTGCCTCCGACAAGGAGCGCAAGGCCGCCATTGAGGCTGCCAACCGTGCCGACAGTGTCGTGAACGACACCGAGAAGGCCCTCAAGGAGTTCGAGGACCGCCTCGACAAGGCCGAGGCCGAGCAGATCCGCGAGAAGATCTCCACTCTCCGCGAGTTCGTTGCCCAGAACCAGGGTGGTGAGGGTACCGCCACCGCCGAGGAGTTCAAGCAGAAGACCGACGAGCTCCAGAACGCCAGCCTGACCCTCTTCGACAAGATGCACAAGGCCCAGAACGAGCAGCAGCAGCAGCCTCCCGCTGGCGAGGGCGAGAAGAAGGCCTAAATGTACTACTACTGAACGTCCGAAGGGCTGACGCAGCCCGGGCTTCTTGTATTTCTCACTTCTTTTATTCCCTAGAGCCTTTTCTCTTTTCTTCGATGTTTTAACATGCATGATATGTATACATACCTGATAGCTCTGCTCGATCTATCTTTGCTTCGGTGTACGGGTGTTTTTTTTCTTTTTTTTTATCTGTGGGCTTTACCTCTTTTCCTTTCTCCAATCCCCTCTTCATACCTCTTGGGTCACGGGTGAGCGTTTGCGATTCTTTGACAGGATGGCCATCCGTTGGGACGGATGCATGGAGTCTGCATTTTGTAACTTAATGACATTACGCTGGTGGGCCACGAAAAAGGATGTGGTGGGCTGGAACTTGTGACAATAGATCAGGAAATTCTCCTCTCGATTCAATAACTCATGTGTTCTGTAAATTTCAAGCAGCTCTGTACTCTGTACTGTGTAGCAAAGATCGAAACAGCAAGTTGTGCAGTAGGTTTACACCCACCCTCGTGATTTCCGATTCCGGGGGGTGAATCAACACCATAGCACAGTCTCTCACTCTGCCCCGAACCAACTTTCCTACACTCTACGGAGTACACAGACAGAGACTTAACCAGATAGATTTCTAGAAACTCGAGAGTCAAGACAGACAGACAGACAGACAGACACTTGTTCTGGAATCCGTCCGAAGCCAACCCAAGTGGGCCGGCCACCACGCGTCCCCAACACCGCCGAAATATTAATCGAATCGATTAATAAATACCATTATTAGCCGGCCCAGCTCACCCACAACCCTCGGTAATCTTATTCTGCTGCGTCAATATATCCATCCGATCCTTGATGCTGATTAGTGCGACCCTCCCTCCATACGTACTTGACTGTTTAGCAGCTAGACAGTCAAGTTAGCTAGTACGGTAGCTATCTTTCTACTTTGTCGATAGATATTTAAGATCCGGTCGTGTCTCACTCACTCTAAAGTAGTTCTTGACTAGTACCGAGATAGCTGCTATTTACAAATATAGCATCTGCCGAGGTAAGTAGTATCGATCTAGATAGGTACTCCGTACACCCGTAGATGGTAGGTAGATAGTAGTGTGAGTCGACAGTCGACAGTCGACAGTCGACAGCTTCGCCGCCAAGCTAAGTAAGCTACGCTAGTTAAGCTAAGCTATCCAAGCTAAACTCATTCATCCATCCATTCACCCATCCATCCATCCTCAAGAGCCCAGAGCCCAGAGCCCAGAGCCGAGTTTAGATGAGCAGAGCAGTAAGCACCAGAGCAAGCTGAGTGTCGTGTCGGGTGTCCACACTTCACACTTTACAGCCATGGCTTGCCCCCCCCCCCCCCCCCCCCCTCTCAAAAACACTAAGAGTAAGTAAAACCAGGGCCACGGTCTGGGATAGACTAGTCTCTTGACTAAGGAGTGAACTAGCTCGAGCTAGACAGATGTAAGTACTTATCTAGTAAAGACGGAGTCTGACTGACTGACTGACTGCTGACAGACGGTGGATACTTTTGGTTCTTCTTTCTTGTTTCTTGTTTCTTGGGTTGGGGGGGGTTTTCCCTTTTCTTTCCCGTCGGTATGTTTGTGTATTTATCTAGTATCTAGCTGGAATCTAGAATCTAGAATCTAGATAAAATACCGATTTAGTTAAGGTAGTATTTAGTTAGTAGTTTCGTGTCGTGTTGTCTTGCCAGCTGTGCACCATCCATCTATCTATCTAGTTCACTGCTGATCACACAGAAGCGCCAGCAGAAAGGAGGAGAAGAGCAGAGCAGAGCAATTAATTCAAATGCAGCAGGATTTGTAGGTATACAGAGGGTACCACTCTGTATATCTAGTGCTCGAAGTACTCATCCGGTAGTTACCTCTACTGGACAGGCCAGACTGGACAGGGGCGCACGGAGTACATTTGTTGATGTCGGCGCTTGGCGGGTGGATTGGGGGTCCAATCGGGGAATGTCAGCATTCAGACCGGGAGATAGCATTGGCGCTAGTCGGGGGGTTGAAAAGCCTCAGACTGAGTCCTCAGTCCTCAGTCCTCAGTCCTCAGTCCTCAGTCCTCAGTGGCTTGGTGGATGTAAGAGAGAGAGAGAGGAGTAAGAAGGGGGGGGCAACTACGAATCTACATACATACTTTAAAAACATTGCGATCCAGGCACAGGACAGACTGTATCCACTACTGTCATTAATTAATTAATATCCAGTACGGACTACGGAGTACAAATTGCCGCGATTTTCTGTTCTCTTCTGTCTGTCTGTCTGTCTGTTTGTTGCTTCTGTTCGGAAATTTGTACGGTAGGGCTCAGGGACAAAAGAGAAATGTTCTACTTAAGTAGGTACAAAATAGATACCGAGGTGGGAGGATTCCTTGCATAGGGGGGGGAAGATGGGGGGTGGAACATATTGAATAATAATGATTGGATTGATTGAATGGGGGATGGGGGATGGGGGAGGGGGGGAGGGGGAAGATGTACATACATACATACATACTACATAGTACATGCGCCGTACGAAATACTGAGTGAGGGTTGAATGAGAAGTTGCCACGAGTTTCACACATATGCCATCATTTTCCATTTTCCCTGTTCTGGGGATGGACGATCGATGATCTCGGCCAGTCGGCAGACTCGAAGCTTCTACAATCTACACTGTACCTAGGTGAATAGTCCCAGGGCAAGGGCGGCGCGTGGGAAATTTTTTTTTTCTGGACTGGAATGTGTGTGTGTGTGTGTGTGTGAAATCATATGGGGGACTGGGGGAGGGGAGGGGAGGGGAGGAGAGGGGGGTGAGCAGCTCCATCCAATCCATCAATCAAGGCCGAACGAAACGACGAGGGGGAAGGGAAGTGGAGCCGGATTATGCAGGATTGACAATATCCTTTGGACTGATCGATCCAGTCGATTTAATATAGTTCAATGGTTCCCTTGCCCCCCCGGCAGGCCAGAACATCACCTCCGGATAGATTAATTGAATGCACAGGACGGAGGAGTATCTATGTAACACGCAGCTTAGTATGGGGTAAAAGGGGACTTTTTTTTGTCCAGTAGGGAGTATGGAAGTAAGTATACCGGGTTTGCTATTTGCTATTTGCTATTTGCTAAATGCAGGCTCCCCTATCAGGGTGCAGCGATCGCAGCCAACAAGCAAGCAAAGCACACCATATCCACCGCAGTCGAATCACGTTAAGGTTAGAGGAAGAAGGAGGAGAAGAAGAAGCAGGAGCAGTACAGTACTTCTGCTCTTATCGGCCGCGCACAACTGCAGCCAATCCCCAGTGGGAGACTTGCAGGAGCGTTGCAGCAGAGGGACAAATCATCGTGGTACACACATGCAGACGGGAGCCCTGGCCAAGGAATCTGGCGGGTTTCTAGAGTGGAAGATTGGCAAGTGGACTGGAGGGGGTGGAGGACACCACCGGGGATTTCTTTGCTTTTGGCTTCTCTGATCGATGATGATGATGATGATGATGATGATGATGATAGCATTCCATTATCCGGATCGTCTGACATTTCCGCTGGTACTACCCAGTAGATAGATACCTTCCACCTGAGTCCTGACAGGGCTGGTGGTTCTTATTTTCTTCTAGGTCGATGGATAGTACATGATTATTACTCCGGACACAGTCGCACTATCACTCAGTTGGTACGAGTGTGACGGATTTGATGAGGAAAAGCCGCAACTCTGCTTTGCCGCGGTTCTGGAGATGATGATGATTATTACTTTCTAATTTATTTATTGGATTCAATTATATTGTTTATGGGGTCACCGCGCAAAAGCCTCGATCTTATGTCTGCTTCTGTGCTTCACGCCCCATTTTTTGCCCTGACTGTGTGGACTGTGGATGAAAAGGGCACTCCTCACGTCCAGCCTAATTTCAGAGCCACTGGGAGGGAGTCTATTTATTTAGACTGGGGCATTTTGCAGCCAGCCCTTCTCTTTCATTTGTCGATCACCTGTTTAATGTACCTGTTCCAGGAATAATAATCCAGTTGGGTTTTTTGGGTCTTCCCCACTTGGTTGATTATTATTACCTGCTGGCCCTGATTCAATACAGTGCCCGTACGGAGTACTGTCAACTGTATTATTGTGCCTCCAGTCTCTCTTGAGTGTCCGTCCCCCTGGGCCCTTTTGTCCCTCATTTCTCTCTCTCTCTCTCTCTTTCCCCCTCTCCCCTTTGTGGCCACCTCCTTTCCAGCGTGGCAGAAACTTCATCGGCGATGGAATGCGGTCGGGATAACTGTATCCACGGGCATCACTGTATGACCCTGCGCCGTTGCAGTCCAATGGACCATGTACAACTCTCCCGATCTTCCATGATCTTCTACTGTCCTTCTCATTTAATTTAATTGTGTTACAAACAAGTAGTAGATCATCCGGAGCTCATTGGTCACTAAATGGTAGCTAAAAATAAACACTAGCCCTCAAGCGGGTTTGGAAGACGAAAGAAAGAAGAAAAATTACGACTGCCTTTTTTTTTTTTCTTTTTTTTTTTTTTCTTTCTGGATCTCATGGAAGGGTCAAGGAATGTTTTACTGGATGATTGATTAATTAATGAATGACTCGATAGTAAGTAGATAGTACTATAGTATGTACTGTTTGCCTCCCACCAGGAATCTTTATCAATCATCGATCGCATGCCAGTGTCAGGTCGGATTTGCCCTGGATGGTGCTGACTGACACATCGCTTATACCCTGGTTTCCCCCCCCCTCTCCTCCCAACAGTCGATTCCGCTTCCCCTCCGGCAGACAACTAAAGTACACATCTCAGATCCTAGGCCCGGGGGACCGATAAATAATAACAGGATTTATTATAGATAGATTACCTGGGCTGGTTTGTGTTTGTCACTAGTGTGACAGTAGTGGATTTCTTCTGGGAGGGGCAGGCTAATACAACCTTTACAAGTTACAACTAACAACACATATGATTTTCGGGGACTGCAGGATCTGGCCCGGGGCTCTGATGATTCTTTCTGTCTCGGTCTCTCTACCTAATGCCAGAGTGTATCCCGAAAGATGTCAACTGGCCGTCAGTCATACTGCGCCCTGACTTGACTGTTGCAGAACTGGTGAGCAGAGCCGACAGGTGTGCAATCGGTGCAACCTCGTACTATGGGCATTATTGTCAATTATTACTACATCTGACACTGGAGCTCACTAGTGCTGTTGCAGGTCCCAGACTCTATCCATGGACTTGTTTGTTTCCAACTGACCGTAAAGTCAACCTGACTGGGTTTGGCTTGGACTCCTGCTGGTGTCGACCTCCATCTATCTATTGAGACTAGTTTTATTAGCTCCTAGTGTACCTCTCTAGTGGTGTCCAGAGCTGTCCCAATTGATCGGTTTTAATTACTTTGGCACTCTATTTTATTATTATTATTATTATTATTATTTTTATTTGAGGATTAGTGCTCCATATTCTTCGTCCTGTCCGCCCTCTCCCTCTTCTTAGTTCATTTCATTTCCATTTCATCTCAAATCTCAATCCTCAATCCTCAATCTCATCTCATCTCATCGTCCATCTCATTTGATTTCCCCGTTTTTCCCTTTCGTCCCTTTAAACTTTCGTCCCAAACCTTCCATCATCACATCTCCATTTCCAGTAGTGCTTCCTTGAACACTCTTTTGCCCTCGCCCTCCTCCAATCCATTGAATCCCTTGCTTAGCCGTTACCACTTGCATTGACCCTCAACTCTAGTGGGTGACAAACCGACCCAGCTTTTGAAGAAAACCCGCGGGAAATTTCCCAGAGGGCAAAAAACGGGCAAGCTGCAGCGCGCTAGCGGGTTGTTTTTCTTCTCTGCTTGGTTGGAGCAGTAGATACTTTGCTCTTGACATTATTCAGATTATTTGCTGCAAGTGTAAGTCAGTACTCTTACTCTGGCCCCGGTACCCTAATTCCAGCTCGACATCTGCCACGCCCTCCTTCCCTCCTTCACATTGCCTTCAGACTTCAGACAGTACTAGTTATTTTACATTCTCTGGTCCTTCATCCACTCTTGTCTTGACTCTCTTTCTTCCTTCCCCCCTCTACTCCTTCTACTCCTCACTACCACCCCCCCCCCTCTCTCTCTCTCTCTACTCCTCCTGCTCCCTCCTCCATCTCCCTTCTCTCACCCTTGGGTGGACTCCTGCATTTCTGCCTGCGTGCAACTTAACCTTGTCCTTGTCTCTCTCATTACTTCTACACCACCCGTCACTTCCAGCTGCAACCACCCACCCCGAGCTTTTTCTTTTTCTTTTTTTCTCTCTCTTTTGGCTTTACATTTTACATGCATGCCAGAGATCAAGCAACGCAGTAAAACCCAATCAACTAATTCTCTGACTGGGATCCATTCAGTCCTCTACCATGACAGTTGCCGCGCCTCCTGTAGCACCCGTGCATGAGAATGGCATCAACGGGGTCCCCGGACACCATGTCAACACCATGAGCCTCCCCCGTTTTCACCCAATCGCAATGAACCCGAGCCAGGCGATCCCTCCGGAGCATATGATGCCCGTTCACCATCAGTTTCGTCCCTTCCACCCTCCTCCACCACTGCAAGAGCCGGGCCCGCCTGTCACAGCTCCTGCTCCTGCTCCTGCTCCGCCGCCGCCGCCACCATTCCACATAGACAACATCGAGAATCGCCTCCGACAGCTGGAACATGAGGAAGCGGCGCGCATGGCGGCCCGTAGCCACCTTCTCGCCATGCGGAAGCGAGAGGACGAGGAGTTTCGTAGGATGACGGAAAGTGCCGAGGCCGAAGAAGAGGTATGGTTAAGACTACTACTACTACTAGACTGCGATGAGATGTTTAAAAGACCCCCTGCGGAACGGATGGATTCTGACATGGATGTTTTTCTCCCCTGCGAATAGGATCTCCGTAGGCAACGGAAACGGTTGAAGCGCGAGTCGATGGGGCTCGGGTACAATAATGCCAGTCTCGACTCGCCGCCGCTTCGCCCGACGCCGCCTCGCCGCCTGTCGGAAACCAACGCGGCCACCACCCTTGCATTCTTCAAGCAACAGTCTCCCCCCGAGCCTCGTCCCATCCCCCCCCGCCGCCCTCCCAGGGCCCCCGCCGCCTCATCCCCCTCCCAGCACATCCACCACGATCCCACCGGCGCCACCTCCATCCGCCGCAAGCAGAAATATACCATCAAGAACGTCGAGGCCTGGGGCGAGCGCCATGGACGGCCCGCCGCACACGATCCCTCCGGGCGCGCGCTGTGGAAGCGCCCGTCCGACGGGAGTCTGGTCTACCTCACATGTCCCGTGTCGGGGTGCGGCAAGGCGGACTTCGTGACGCTGCATGGCTTCATGTGCCATCTGACGAAAAAACACAAGGATCGCAGTCTGGGGAGCCAGTCCCGAGCGCTGGAAGTGTGTGGCATCGTCTTCGATCCCAACGCCCCCCTGCCCCCCGTGGCCACCGTGAATCGGGCCTCCACCGAAGAGAGTCGGCTGGAGTCAGGCCCCGCGGACACCGAAGGATACCAGCAGGAGATGGAGTATTCCTCCGCCTCCGACTCGGACGAAGGACGAGAGATTGCCGTGAAAACAGAGGTCGTCACCGACCGGATGCTACCCGCACCGCCGATGGTCATGACGCCTGTCCCAGAGCAAATACCACTGCCCAGAATCAACGGCTCAACAAAACAGTCCATCTCATCGATCATCGATCGCGACCCGGAGGAAACGCCTCGGGAGCGGTTGAATTCGATCCCCCCGCGCCCGGTAGAGGCCCCCATGCAACAACAGGTCTCGCCGGATCACAAGCCCTCCATCAAAGACGAGGCCGAATTCCCGCGGCCGCATGATCACGAAAAAGAGAACACGCAACCTAAAGATACGGCCGAGGCAAAGTAAATCAAACATCATCAATCAAATTACATATATAATCCTGTTTTCATTGCACCAGCTTTTGCATCATCGCCTTGCATAGTACGAGCATGCTTTCAGATCTCTCTACCTACCCACCTACCTAGTCTGTGGTTGTTGTTGTGGTTTTTCTTGTTGCAGCTCTTGCGTCAATACCCTCTTTTGTATTCGTGGGTGGCCTTTTGCAAAAAAAAAACGTTCCTTTAATAATGTAATGTCTTACTCTCTCACCTGTCGAATGGTCGACCCATACGCAAGGGTCTGAATTGGCTGCATTCGCTTCTCCAATCCGATTACTTATATACTTGACGTCTGTCTGTGACTAGCTCATTATATACCCTTTCCCTACTGTAGTCCAGGGGACGATGCTCTTGAATCCACGGTGCCGTGACTATGACTGTGATTACTCTTGATTTGCGCGCTTCAAGAATGTCTATACTGCTCTGACCTGACCGCGTTCTCTCGGCTGATCCTACCTTACCCCCTCTGGTCGATCCTCTGATGGCCGTTGCAAAAAGCACAACAAAACAAAACATGTCCATAGGGCCTCGGCCATAGCCCATCGCACATACTATCTATCCTCCGTTTTACACAAGACTTCATAAATACTACCAGTATCAGTATTAACCATGATGATAAACCCATCACCGCCCCTCTACCAACCATCCTATCCCATTCTATAATCATAATCACAATTACACTAAAGATAAAATAATGATAATCACTTCAACAGCAACAAGTGCACCAAATACCCCGACCCCAACCTCAACTTCTCCCCCAACATCTCGTCACTCACCCTCCATACCCGAAACACGCGCATCGTCTCCCGCAACCACGCCTCAAACACCTCCGGCGACCGCTGCTGCTGCGCTATCACGCACACCGTTGGCTTGCGCCCTTCTCCCGCTCCCTCTCCCTCTTTATACACCGGCCGCAGCCGACACAGATCCGCGCATGTCCGAACCAGCGGCGCAACCAGCGCGTCGTTGTAGATGCAGTCGCATGAGAGAATGAGATCGAAGCCTTTGTCTCCTTCCCTGCCCTCTCCATCCTCCCCCCTTCACCACCACCATAATCATCCGCAGCAGAAGAAGTCGTAGAAGAAGAGACAGAGACAGAGGTAGAGGTAGATATCCCCACCCCCTCCTTCAACGACCCCGCCACATCCAACTCCCAATCCAGCGACGTGAAGATGATGTTCCCTTGCCTCTGCCCCTGCCCCTGCCCTGGTCCAGCCCCAGATTGCAGCGTCGACCCCTTCCCTTTCTTCCCGTGCCCCTTCCCGTGCCCCTTCTCCCTCTGCCTCCCCGAACCACCAGACCTGGTTTGCGGGGTATGCGTATGCGTATGCGCATTCGCCTCCAGATTCTGCCGAAAGAGCCGATACACGTAGTCCTGGTCCGTGGCGATGTAGTGCGCTATCTTGGGCGCGAGGGCGAGGGCGTTCAGCGCGGAGATGCCGCAGCCTAGTTCGACGATCGTGGAGGTCGGTGTTAGGAGGGTGTGTGTCCAGAGGGGGTTGGGGTTGTTAGTGGTGGAGGTGGTGTTGGAGAGCCATTCTGCGATGAGCGGGGTGATTTTCCAGAGGACTGTGGATGGGGTTGTCACTTTAGTATTTATGTGGGGGGGGGGGGGGGGGGATGTTGAGAATGCACGTACCGGCACCGGTCGTCCCCCCGGCGCGCGACGAAGATAGCAGCGTCGGCGACTGGTGGATGGTGTAGTCTTGGTCGTGAATGGTCAGGTCGATGGTCGTGGCGCGCGAGTCGACGAAGCCCAGGTTTGCGGATGGGATGTCTTGGGAGAAGAGGAGGAAGGATTCTGGTTGTCATGATGGTATTAATTCTGTAGATCTTGTGTCTTTTGGGTCTGTTTGTGTGTGTGTGTGTGTGTGTGTGTCTATGTTGGGGATGGATTCTATAGCGGTGGATTGGAGAGTGGAGAGGAGAGGAAGGATCTAGAGCTAGATGATTGGTAGAGAGGTAGGTAGATAGAAGGTAGTATATTGCTTATGGGTGAAGCTATCAACATTCATGATCGATCGCATCGGTATGTACATACCCTCTTCGGCGTCTTCGATTTCCGGCTCACCGAGTGCCGCGAGGAAACTCGTGAGATGCTCCATTGTTATCTGTCTGTCTGTCTGTCTGTCTGTCTACTATGTAGCTTCCAACCAACGAGTTGTGTATCCTCCGAAAGTATGTAGGTCTAGACTTGGAAATTGGACCTGGTGCTGTATAGGCTAGGCAGTCAGTCGAGCTAGATAGACCCCAGACGCAGTGTAATATCCCGTGTCGATCGGAATGTGCACTCTGCAGCAGTGCAGCAGCAGTTGCGGGCAGGGGGGCAGCGGGGAGGGTCGCACGATGAAGATCAACCGACGTGTTTCAGCTAGGGGGTCAGTCGGAGACACACGGATTGTGGTTTTGGCTGAAGATTGAGATTGGGATGCGCCTCCATTTTTTGCGGTGGGCGAAAAAGTTCATTATTATTGGGAGGTGAGGTTTGACCGCGCTGTAACGGCGGGGGCTCTGATTGGTGCGTGGGTCACACGGCATCATGTAAGCATGGCATAGCATAAGCGGTGCGGTGCATAGTTATCTCCGATGGATCTGGATTGGGGATTCTGAGTTCTGACTCTGTAAGTGGAGATTAGAGGGGATTGGAAATGTAGTTCTATGGTTGTGGTTTATACTATTCTGTCAAGAATTCGCCCTGGGATGATTGAAAAGGGAAATGTAATAAAAAAAAAAAAGAATAAAAAAAGGCTCTGGAATTGTTCCTGTTGGGCATCCCAACAAAAGCGGAACTGGGTTAGTAGCCTCCAACAAGTGGATGGATGGATGGATGGATGAATGCTGATGCTGATGCTGATGATGATGATGGAGTCAGGTCTCTACCCCGTCATTGCTGACACCAGCCCTGCCACGGGAGGAGCTAGTAACAGCTATTAGTAGCTATATAGCATTGGCATTACTATTACTCCAGACTTCCCCGTGCGCCCCGTCCTGATCCATCCTTCCCTCGGCAGCGTTTCCTGCATTCGGTCGCATCGAGACTTAACGATGGATGATGTGTCGCACATCAGACCGCTCTCATGACAGCTGTAGCAGACAGCACTCATTCATCTACTCTTCGGGTGAGAATCAAGGTTTTTGCCAGGTCCCGGGAGCTGTTGCTGTTGCTGCCACTAGTGATGATGGTGATGATGATGATGATGATGCTGCTGCTTTCTGTGGCGGACATCCGAGGCCCGCCTTGACCTCCCGACCAGCCACAACAAATACCTGGACTAGTGACTTCATTCCGATCTGCAGCTTCATCTTCTCCTCTTCCGGTCGCTTCATCTGCTGTCTCCCTCCCCCCCCCCCACCCCCCCCTTCCCTTTACAATCCACCGTTCCTCCCATTCCTCTCCCCGCAACCTTTTCTCCCCTGGGTTCCTCTTTTCCTCTCCCGTCCACTCCACTTCCCCAACGTCTCCCCAGTGTGGCGTCGGTCAAGCGTGGTTCTGCACCGCCGTAAGTCGTTTGAGTTCTGCTATCCGCTGTCTTCCTCTGGTTCCCCCCTCTTGTTGGCGCGCCCCCATTCCCCCAACTCCTCCTGAGGAGACCAGACCCAAATTCGACCCTGTTGCTGACCTCCCCACGGTACTCCCTTCTTCCTCGGTACACCTGTACTCTTTGCAGATACTTTTCCGGCCCCCTCCGCCTAGACATCCGCCCCCCCTGTCAAGATGCCTATGTCCAAGAAGGAACTCCAGGAGCTGCGCATCCAGCCGCGCATGTACAAGAAGCCCCCGTTCTCCGTCGAGGTGCCTGGAATCGAGCCCGTCGAAGGCGAGACCATCCCTCGTCGACTGCCCGCCGCCAAAGACGGCCTCATCCTCCGGCCCGCCGAGGATGTCGGCACCACCTACGATGTCTTCCGTCGCTCCGCGCGCGTGTACGGCAACGCGAAGGCTGTCGGCACCCGCCGCCTGGTCAAGACGCACGTCGAGAACAAGAAGATCAAGAAGGTCGTCGATGGCGTCGAGAAGGAGGTCGACAAGCAGTGGACCTACTTCGAGATGAGCGGCTACTCCTACATGAGCTTCGTCGAGTATGAGAAGTTTGCCCTGGAACTCGGCTGTGGGTTGCGGAAAATTGGCATGGAGAAGCCTGATAAGATTCACCTTTACGGCGCGACTAGGTGCGTGTGCGACTGAGCTAGGTTGGAATACGTGTGGAATGCTGACGTTGCTTGTTTTCGCAGTGCGAATTGGCTGGCCATGTCACACGGTTCGTGCGCATGAATTCCTTGGAGTTGATTGTCCTTGTCGCTGACCGAGTCTCTTGTTCTAGCTGCCGCATCCCAGTCCCTGACCATCGTTACCGCGTATGACACTCTGGGTGAGGAGGGCTTGAAGCACTCCTTGGTCCAGACCTCTAGTCTCGCCATCTTCTGCGACCCTATCCTCATCCCCTCCGTCGCCCACGTGCTGAAGGATGTCAAGTCCATCAAGCATGTCATCTACAACACTGACCAGGAGCCTAAGAAGGAGGACCTGGAGCGCCTCAAGGCCGATTACGACCACCTGAACATTATGAGCCTCGAGGAAGTGCGCAAGCTCGGCGAGGAGAACATGGTGGACCCTGTTCCTCCGGCTCCTGAGGAGCTGTGCTGTATCATGTACACTTCCGGTTCTACCGGTCCCCCGAAGGGTGTCTCTCTGACGCACGCGAACGTGATTGCCGCAAGTGAGTTGCCATTGCTAGCCCTATCCCAACAATACACGTTGCTAACGAAGACGTTTCAACCAGCTGCCGGTATCCACGAGATCGTTGGCCCCTACATTGGCCCCTCGGATGCTCTTCTCACCTACCTCCCGCAAGCGCACATCCTGGAATTCATGTTCGAGAACCTCTGCCTCTTCTGGGGCGGCACCATGGGTTACGGGAACCCCCGCACTCTGTCGGACTCCTCCATGCGCAACTGCAAGGGCGATATCCGCGAGTTCAAGCCTACGATCCTCGTCGGTGTGCCGGCGGTTTGGGAGTCGGTGAAGAAGGGTGTTCTCAACAACCTGAACAAGAACAACTTCCTGGTCAAGAGCATGTTCTGGGGCGCCATGTCCGCCAAGCACTTCCTCATGACTTCCGGCTTCCCCGGTGCCGATATGGGCGCCGGGCTCCTGGATGCCATCGTCTTCCGCAAGCTCAAGGAAGCCACCGGCGGCCGGCTGCGCATCATGATGAACGGTGGTGGTCCGGTCTCCAAGGACACGCAGAAGTTCCTGTCCATGGCCATTGCGCCCATGATCAGCGGCTACGGTCTGACCGAAACATCCGCCATGGGCGCTCTCAACGACCCGATGGCCTGGAACCCCGACGCGCTCGGTGAAATCCCCGCCTCGATCGAGGTCAAGCTGGTCGACTTCCCGGATGCGGGCTACCTGACCAAGAACAACCCCCCGCAGGGTGAGATCTACATCCGCGGTGGCAGTGTCAGCAGCAGCTACTGGGAGAACGAGGAGGAGACCAAGGGCGCCTACGCCGAGGACGGCTGGTTCATGACGGGCGATATCGGTGAGTTCGACAAGAACGGCCACCTGAAGATCATCGACCGCAAGAAGAACCTGGTCAAGACCCTCAACGGCGAGTACATCGCCCTGGAGAAGCTGGAGTCCGTCTACCGCTCCTCTCCCGTCGTCGGTAACATCTGCGTCTACGCTGCCCAGGACCAGGACAAGCCCGTCGCCATCATCGTCCCCGTCGAAGCCGCCCTGAAGAGCTTGGCCCACGACAACGGTCTTGAGGGTGACTCCCTGGAGACCCTCGTCCACAACGAGAAGCTGCAGGGCATTGTCCTCAAGCAGCTCCAGGCTGCCGGTAAGGCCGGTGGTCTGAAGGGTATCGAGATCATCAACGGAGTCGTCCTCTCCGACGAGGAGTGGACTCCCCAGAACGTACGTCTATTTTCTCTCTCTTTACATCCTCCCCATCCACGAACCCAGATTCTAACAAGTTCATAAACAGGGCTACATGACCGCCGCTCAGAAGCTCCAACGGAAGAAGATCCTCGGACGGTTCCAAAAGGACATCGACCGTGCCTATGGCAAGAAGTAAATCTAATCCGACAACCCCAGTATCAACCCCCGACCTCAAGTCCAGCGAAGCTCCTCACTTCCTCTTCGAGCGAAACCCTCCCGGATATTCCCCCCATGTTTAATATAGTATCAATATCCATGTATTTCATTTCCTTCTCTTCTTCTTATCTTGGTCCGATTTGCATTATTATGTTATGCATAACGCTCTGTCTCTCTCTCTCTCTCGTGCGCGCGCGCGTGTCTTAATTAATTGGACTTCTCTTCTTCTTCTTTTCCTCTTCTTATTCCTATGTCTCATGCCTTCATGCTCATGCCTCGGCTCAGTTTGTATCATGAATAAACTATCTATCTAACTTACCAACCTAACTAACTAACCGACCCAACTTAACTGCCAAAGTTAATCAAATTATGTTATGGTATGTTATGCTACGTGAAGTTAAGTTATTTATTGATTGCGAAGCGCTTTATGTGACCTCTGATCTGATGTCTCATGCTGGTGTGTTGCTGGTGTGTTGCTGTTGCTGGTGCCGCTATAAAATTCCCTCCCGGTTGCGTTTTAGCTTCCTTCTTTCTTCCTTTCTACTGTGTCCCTCTCTCTCTCTGTGTGTGTGTGTGTTAGCTTCATATCTCTCTGGAGGTAGACAGACAGGTTAGTGAAATGAATAAGATGAGATGAATCCTTCTTTGCTTTTCTACTCCATCCTGTTCTAATCTGTTCAGCTCGGTTCTACTATGCTGTTCAGCTCTATTACTGGCTGGCAGTCCCCAGTCCCAGTCCCAGTCCCCGTCCCCGTCCCAGTGCTAATCCAGTCCCTACCTACCTACCTACCTAGTCCACACTCTCCCCTCCCCTCACCTCTCCAGGCACCCATTTTCTTTTTTCTTTTTGCCTTGCGCCTCGGTGTCGGTGTCGGTTCGGTGTCTTGGCGTATGCTACGCCGTCTCGGTAGGTAGATAGGTAGTATCAATGGCTACTACCGAGTAGGCTAAGTCTACAGTAGATAGATCTGCCTAGATTACTTCGTACCTACGGAGTGGAGGAAGTCAGGTGAAACGAAGCGGCGGCGGAGTAGGAGGAGGAGGAGGAAGAGGAGGAGGGTTGTATCCCGATTTCTGATTCCCGATTCTTGGCTCCGTCGTCTTACTTTGATCAATCAATGGGTATGGGTTCGTGGGTAGCTCGGTGGTACTATAGATTGGTGGAGATTTGAGTGAGTGAGTGAGTGAGTGAGTGAGTGAGTGATTCATGTACCTACCTAACTTACCTAGTTAGTTAACTAACTACCTATTTATGTAGATTAGTCAACTATCTAGTACATAGTTAACTAACTGGTTACCTATGTACCCAGGTACCCAAGTAGTAAGTAGATGTGACTGCTCTCATGCTTCAGGGTGGTAGTCTCACTCTCAGTTTCAGGGGTACAGATACTTACTGACGGACCTAGGTAGTAGGTAGTAGGTAGTAGGTAGTAGTGATACACATACATATACAAGTACAAGTACAAGTACAAGTACAGGTACAATAAGTACAGATAAGGCAGTGTGATACTATATAGTACATACCCTTCAAACCAACCACGATAGATAATGAATCGACTGTTCTCAAACAAACAGCACAATCAGACCAGTCAGTCATTCGTCAGTCGGTAGCCAACATAGCCAATATACCCAACCAAAGCTAACAGTGTTCCTCGATCGACCACATCGATACATACAATGCTAGAACAATCTCTCCCCTTCTGTTTCTAGGCGAAACACCGTATATCTGATAAGTACATATCCAACCCCCGCACCAACAACTAATCAAAAACAAACAGACCTCATAATTGGATGGAAACTGCCTCACTCTGATGCATCATTCGCTCAGATTCAGAAAAACAACAGATCCACTCATTTTCTGATCTGATACCTACTAGATAGATATATCTATAGATACTAGATAGATACTACGATCCGAAAAAGGCAGGCGGGATATGACGGCAGGAGACTAACCGAGTCCAGACTAGCGGATGTCACCCTCAATCGGAGGTCGCCTCGCCGCGAACCTCCGACTTCAACAGTTCACAGTTCAGGTTGGACACCCGATACATCCATACATCCATACATCCACGCACACATCCATACGTGCATACGTGCATACGTGTATACGTGCATTCCTTCCAAGCTACGGTGTACCTAACTCTATCTTCTCCGCCAAAATGTCGTTCTGGAGGTTTGTAATCGCCATACCAGTCCCAGATAGCCTCGTACTAATAGACGGATACTACACTGCACAGCTCCTACCGCTCCCTCTCGCCCAAGACAAGGGCCCTGTTCGGAATCGGGGTGATGGCCTGGGCCTCCATCGGATTGTGGTCGTCGCCGCAAGTGGAAAATGCTATGGGAATGGCGCCTACGAAGGAAGAGCAAGAGGAGCTGGATCGGAAATTGGCAGTCCGGGTGTCGAGGGTTGAGAAAGGAGAGAGGAAGTAGGTGGCTAGGTGGCCTGTACGGAGGACGTTTTCCTTCCGTCCGTTGAGACGGAGGGGGGTGTGTGCTGAGGCGTCGGCAACCCACCCATCCGCTCATCCACCCAACTCTTGATTTCAATGGATGATGGGAGGCGCGCCTCGGTGGGTGTTTGAAACGCTAATGGCCGACAATCACATGTACTTGTGGGACTTGCAGGCCCCAGCTGAAGTTGGGGACGGGAAGCGCGCCGGAATAAAAATAGGCAGACGCCGGTGGGCATGGATCTCAGTCCAAAGGGGGGGACTAGGCGAGTTGCAGCAGGAAACGGAGGCATGTGCTCAATTCTTGTCGCGTGCCTAGCCTTGTCAGAAGTTTGTTGGCGGAACACAACATCCGGAGACCGTTTCGTGAAACAGAATTTTGACGCATGCAATGTCGGGGGCAAGGCCTGAGATGACTAGATGGGGGAGTTGGTGAAGAAGCCAGAAGGGTTGGTTGCGCTGGGATCTGGGTCAAACTAGAATGCCATTTTTGTAAGGTCGAAGCAGCAGAATGGGAGCAGGACAAAAGAAGAATATGAGCAAAATTTCCATGCAGGTCAGGCGGGTGCAGGGTGACTGGGAGGAGACGGTCACGGAGGAAAGAAGGTTTGTCTGGGAGGAAATTCTCCTCGCCGGCTTCACAACGGGGCTAGCCATGAAAGGCCAATGTTGACACGAATAGCAGCCCCGTCACTCACTCAACAGGGGATCCGCATGGCGGGTCGACCTCATCTTCCAGGATTCAGGCCAGCGTTGGCCCATGGTCTCGGATCCCAAGGCGGCATATGGGGAGGAGGACTGGAGTAGGATTTACAACCCAGGATCATTTGACGTACAGCAGAACATGGGGGCCCATTTGACTCAGATGCTGCCTGGCTATTATTGCATGCAAGACTCCGAAGGCCCCGAAGGCCCCGGTGCTCGACATGAATCGCCCCAGGAAGCGGAGTGGGACTGTGCGCGTTTTCCGGTAGGGGGAGGGCGTATTAGGCGTGGCAGTATGGAACCCTGACCGTTGAAAAGGGCAAGTCGACGAGCTTCATACATACATTGCGTTGGAAGCTGACGTTGGTGCAGTGAAACTGATGCAGATTGGATGCAACGGTTGCACAACGACCCGGAGACTTGTCTTGAAGGCCGTCCGACGTTCTTGTTGGCCGCCCTCTATCTACAAGCACGTACTTCCGTCCGGCAATCATACCAGGCCTCCTGTGGCTTGCAAGGCTTGGGCCCCATCCTCTTCGCCCACTTCCACCCCCTTGTACGACGTGCATGGTGGGCCAACTTAGGGGACCATTATTGCATCAAGCAGGCCTGGGTATTTGGTCGGCCCCGAGGCTCCGCCTGCCGGCCATTAGGGTGGACACCAGTCGCGAGGTGAAGCGTGTTCAGCCGGTCTGGAGACCAAGCCATGGGTTGATTGATGTGAGATGACTTATCACTGCTTCTGCACGTTCTATTGGGAGGGACCGCCGTTCCAGGCTGCCGAAATCTGTTGGGGGAGGGGGGGTGGGGATAGAGATGGGGGAGGGGGCTGGGCCTGTCTTCACGAAGCATCTAAGGTCAATCAATGGAAGGGGGAATGTGGTGGAGTTCAACTCAGTTGCAGTATTCAAATTCGTCGCGTATCTTTTTCCCGAAGAGATGGATGCAGACGCATCCCAAAGAAAAAAAGAGAGAGAGAGAGATAAGGACCGGCTGCCTGGCATGTTGGGCCCGTGAAGATGTACTGTACATACGGACGGGGTCGCCAATGGAGACAGATCCTAGGGTCTACCTGCGGGCGGATATCGAGTCTAAGGGAAACAATGCTCATCGGTCTGGGATGACGCCGGAACGTGCCGAGAGACCCAAGGCGACGGCGAGACGGTGGAGTGAATCCTAGCCAGTCAGCAGCCGGTCAGCCTGGAGAAGTCCTCCGCAGCAAGTGCACACAGTCGAGTGTCGAGACTAGACTGGATGGAGAGTCTCCCGTAGTTACCGCGATGGAGCGCTAAAGGGGGGGGGGGGGTTCGGGAGCCATGCATGCTCCGTAACAAGATTAAATCAGCGGCCTAATGTATGTCCGGTCGATCATGGAACGCATCGGTGGAAGGATCGTCGCGTTAGTCGCATCTTCCTTTTGACGTCGCCCCAGTGCCGTCATCCGCAGCCATGAAAGAAAGGTTGGGAGAGGCCCTCGCTTGTAAGGTCTGACGTGGTAGGTGAGAAGCTGAATTGGAAAGGATGTACGGGGGGGGGGGGGGGTTAGGAAAGTGGAGAGATGGATTTTGGGGGAGGGATGGACCCTGGCCCGAATCAGTGATGGGCGATGGAAGAGGCGTAGAAAAGGAGGTGTGTGAGGGAGAAAGTGAGAGAGAGAGAGAGAAAGAGGAAGAAGAAGAAGAGACCAAGAGAGAGCCACCGTCGGAGCCGGGGAAGCAAGTATCCAGCACCCATCGCTCCTTCCCTCTTTTGCCCTCCCGGGAAAGCGCATCGGTATGGTATCATAAATTACCCATACCTGTATCCGTATCCATCTGCTGCTGGCCGATCGCCACACCCGCCAGGACGAATGGCCTCCGATCTCGTCATCTGGCCTGAGATCCAGGCGGCTCGGGGCTTGTTCCGTCCAGTCATTCGTCTTCGCCATCGCAATCCTGGTCGGGAGGAAGAGGAGGAGGAGGAGTAATAGATGTCTTGCTTATTCTTTGGGCCAGCAGCATGTAAGTCCTATGGTAAGTAGCTATCCAGGCGACTAACTATCTATCTACCTACTTACCTAGGTAGGTAGGTATCTATGTACATGATGTTTCAATGTTTCAATCTCGATGGATCCCGATCCCCCTGTTTATAGGTGCCTGATGATATGTGGTAGCAAATAAACGTAACTTAGCATATCGCACGCATTCCATAGAGAATTACTAGGCAATAGTAAATAGTACGGAGTAGATAGCAAACATCCAGTAAATAGTAATAGTAATAGCCATAGCAATAGTAAATAGCAAATAGTAAATAATAGACCCAACAAAGAAAGACGATAGCAAGAAAATCGGGTCTCCTCGGCGTCTATTAACTCCTTTCCCATCCAATCCAATCCAATTCAATTCAATCCGCTCGGGCAGCAAAAGCAGCAAAAGCAGCCAAAGCCAGAGCCAGAGCCAGCCAATATCTCTCTCCTCACCTGCACCGGCCGCACCCTAGAGTTACTTGCTACTTACTACCCTAGCCTGCTACCGCTGCTAGATAGATAGATACTCCCTCGGGTTCGGGTTCCTTTTCCTTTTTGCTTTTGCCTCACCTCTCCCCTCCACTCAGCCCCAGTCCCTCCCCCCAGTCCCCAGTAGCAATACCCCTGTTGTATTTGGTTTCGGACCACTCGGCATGCAGCAAGGTAAAGTAAGGACATACATACATACACAAACACACACACACACACACACATACACACAAACATACATACATACATACATACATACATAAGGTACCGGTAAGTTGACCTGACAGCGGCATACCTGGAAGGGGAGGGGGGGGGGGGGGGCAAGTAAAACAAAGTAAAGTACTAGGTAGGGCAGCATATCGGAGAAAATCGCACCCCGGTAGCAGCCAATTATTTACTAGGCTCCGCTAAACCATATTGTTTGGCTTGGCGGGAGTAGGTACTTGGTATCTAGGTCTGTACCTACGTATATCTTATTTTTCTACTTTATTTACTTGTACTATTGATTTGATCTCGACCGGCGTTTGTTCGTTCGTTCGTTCGCCAGTCTGGGAATCAGGACCGGAACGGGACGGGATTCATTCAAGACATGAGAATGATATTTCTTCTTTTAGGACATGGCATGACTCAAACAAAATCTCGTTTGCGGGTAGAGAGAAGAAGAAAAAAAAACAACTTTTTTTTTAAACTTTGTTGTAAAGGGGTCAAACGAGAACAGGAGCCCATGATATCCTATCCTATCCTGTCCTGTCCTCGCGTTGGTCCTTCCCGGAGGGAGGGAGGCATGGAGAGAGGAGGTGGAGGGGAAGGGGTAACATCGGTCCTCGTAGAGAAAGGAAACGGGGCAAAATGACATGTTGGAGTCAAAGTGTTGGGGGGGGGGGGGGGGGGGGGGGGTTGATTTGAAAGGGAAACTGGAACAAGTAGATGGCACAGAGATCCCCAAAGGGGTTTAGCCAACGTGGTAATGCAATTTCACACTTTCTTTCAAGACGTGGGGGGAGAGGAGGGAGATCGGCTTGCGTGTTCAGCAGTCTATGGGGCGCACATGAATCATTCAAGATCACAAATAAAGTCCGTCGAGGAGGAAGGCATCCAGCATTCAAGGGAAAAGAAGTTGGTCACAAATGAGAAAGTAGGTGGGAGGGAAATTATTCTCGGGGGCCAATACCGGGGCCATCAACGGATTACAATGAGGGATTCGGAAAAGGGGAGGAAGAGAAAAAGTGTAGGGACATGAATGGAGAGAGAGAAAAAAAAAAAAAAAAAAAACTCCAAACACGAAGGGGAGACAAATTGAAAATACCAGATTGAAACGAAAAGAAAACCTGGAAGGCTGAAAAGGGAAAGGGAAATAAAAAGAAAAAGAAAGTGGGACTGAATCGAAAGGGGGGGGGGGGTGAGGAGATCAGAAAGGGAAAACGCTCTGTTAGGTGCACAGGCTTTGGGAGGCCGAGTTGTGAAAACGACTGTAGGAATTACTTCCACTATCGCCGTTGCGGGCAGAGTAGATTGGGTCGTAACCACCGCTACTGCTAGTGGAGTGATGATAGACGTGCGAGGGCATTCGAGGAGGGTGGTGTTTCAGAAAGCTCGACGACTCATGCTGGTCGTTGGACCCCAGGTGCATGATCGAATCATAGGGCTCCGGGAAGGGGTGACCGGTCTCTTCACTGGTCTTGGGGACCGGATCGTACTCAAAGGCGGGCGGGGGCAGCTGATGGCGGAACTGATTCGCGGGCTTCCTGTTGCCTAAGAGGGGAAAGCTCGGGTCCGAGTACGAATCCATGCTGGAGGTGCTCTTCATCGAATCCATCGGGTCCATGGTGTTGTCGCTCATGAGTCCAATATCAAACGCAGACGACGAGGATGACGATATGTGCGGGCTCTCACTGAGCGGTGACTGGTCTGGCGCTGTCATTTGATGGTAATCGGCTCGGCCGTAATGTGGCCCACCGCGCTGAGAAGAGTCGTACGGCATAAGGGTCAAGTGAGACCGTGCAGCCGATCCTATTCCCGGAGGTAGGACAGACCCTCCGCTCCCATCGCCAGAGCCACCGCTTCCTCCATCGGGTCCCATGCTGGTCGAACTATCGCGCCGGCCATCTTTGTAATGCCCCGGAGACCGGCCGCGGACCACCATTGGGTGCGAGAGTCGCCGGGCAACCTTGACGTACTGATTCTCCGTCGAGCCAGGGGGACCGGCGATCTGTGCATAGAGTTCGACGACCAGATTGTAATACTGCTGCTGGGCCCGTCGTTTCCCGTTGTTCGCCGTCGCCTTCTGGAACTGGATGCGTTCGAAGGTGTGCTGCGTCGGGGGTTGCGACGGCTGGGTAGTACCCGCGTAGGCACTGTATTCCATCGGCAATCCAGCCGACTGAGAGGTCAAGGGAAAGCCATGCTGACTGCTATTGGATGATCCGCTGTGGTTGAGAACCAGTGGCGGAGGCTGGCAGGGCTGCAAAACAACCTTCTCCGGCTTTTTCTCCGACTGCTTGTCCCGTTTAGGGGTATGCTGGACCAACTCTCGGGGTTCCCCAATCTGTGCGTTCACAATCGCCGAAATTGACATGGAGAAGGCCAGAATGGGGTCCGCTGCCTGGTCCGCAAACTTCAAGAAAAGCGGAGCATGTGCCCACGGGTGCAGGGAGAACGAACACGAGATAGAGAAGTAGTTGCGTCGATAACAAGTCCACTTTTCATCGACCTGAAAGAACCCTTTGTGAATCTTGGCCTGGATTTCGGGCTTGATCGGCATCGACTGGTTGCCCGAGACTATCGTATGAAGGGCGCAAGTCTCGTTGAAAGGCGGAGCGTCTGCAATGGGCTGTGGCAAGCGTTGCTGGACTGGGTCCATTAGCATACTTCCAGGCTGGCTGAACAACATGCTCGAATTCCGATCGACAGAGCTCTCGAGAGCCCGCGGTGTGGTCGTGTAAGGAGATAATCTGGCTATGTCCAGGCTAGACAGCGGTGGGAAGGATCCGCGATGGAGGGTATATGTTCCCGGATAGCTATCATTTCGGCCCATGATGGAAGCACTGCCAGGCACAGCACCTCCCTGTGATTGTACGCTGGGCGACATATTCGCAGGCGGTTGACTATACAGATCCCAGGGTTTTCTTATCAATCGGTGCATGTCATCAACGGTTCAACGACGGGGACGGACTTACAGCGGAGGCACCCGATGGGATCTGAAATCTGGCATTCTATCGTACGGCAGTCCCGATGAATGGGTATACAGCGAGTTCGACGTAGGAGAGAATGTTTCTGTATTGCACCGCATCATGTCGATTGGGGAGCGTGTTAGCCGGGATAACACGGCGGAGACTTGGGATAGGATGGAAGACGAACCAGAACATGAATCAGTAGGGCTCATGAGAATAGAAGGAGAGGTCGCGAAGCTAGAAGAACCGGTTTAGGTCAGTGAGCTGCATCTGCTGGGATGTTGCCGAAAATAATCGTCGAGAATGACAGCAGAAGAAAAGCAAGATATAGATCGGTTGGTTCCCAACGCATCAAGACCACACAGCATGTATAAGTGAATCAGCGACAAGCTGTGTGGCCATCATTTGCGAGGATATGCTGGAGGCCCGGTAATGCGACCAGGGAGCAGCAGGTAGACGCATGCAAGCAACAGTTTGGTATAGGCCATTCAGCATGGTTTTGACATAAAGAAACGGGAAAAACAGAGGCGATAATAATAATAATAATAAAGAGTAATAATAATAATAATAGGAATAATAATAATAATAATAATAATGACCAGAAATAAGTCTCGGAAATAAAAAGAAAAGGAATATCTGTCCCCAAAAAAGAAATAAAGAAAAAAAAAGGCGAAAGAGCGAGAATAAAATAATAACGGACTAAATAAAATCAGAGCAGGGGAAATAGAGGGAGCCGGACAACTATTCAGGCTGTTCGGACTAGAAGGGAGTGCTGTGACTAGTGGCTGCAAGTGGGCAAAGTGGAGCACAAGGGTCGTCCAAATTGAAAGACAACTTACGGTACATCCTGCATCGCAGGCTGCTGTGTGCTGTATCGCAAACCGTTGGTAGCTGGTATTGAGACCGGCTGCGCCAGAGGATGACCAACGGCGCCACCCCTTCGGCTGTTATCTTCCTCATCCATCGTAAAGCCAGCGGAGCTCGAAAACTGTCGGGGCCCCCCAGTATAATCGCTGTCTGAGTTCATCGATCCCTCCAGCGGAAAGGTGCTTTGCAGGAGCGTTGCTAACGAAGAAGGCATCGTCAGAATGTAGGCCAGGTTCCAAACGGTATTCAGGCAGATCTATAGCAAAAGTAAACGAAAAGGGAAAGGGAAACAGCATGATGATGGGATAAAATAGCAACAGTGATGATAATAAAATAAAATAATAATAAAAACAAAAAAAGGTACAAAATCATCTGCTCAGCCCGGTACGGAATAGGCTCGCATCCCTGTCAGCCAAGGAAACAGTATTCCTTGATGTCATACTAATACAAGGAAATCGGGGCTTCTGAAATTGTGTAACCCAGAACAAGAGCTTGGGATGCAAAGAAAGAAGGGGAATAAACGTCACCCCGGATGTAGATCGCCTGTCAAGCAATCGCGCCTCGGTCACAGAGCGAGTCGCCGTCGAGACTGCACACTGACAACGAAAATTATGAGGGCCAGGAATTCGAGGACTTACAATGATTCATTGGCAGTGCCAGCTCGGAGGAAACAGACAGAGACCGTAAAGGGGCAAAAAATCAAAATCGAAGTAGATCTAGTTAGACGAGGACACCTTGGGCCAGCAAACCCGGCTCAAAGACTGATTTGCGCTTGGAACCCTTGAATCCAGTCCGGACTGAAGCGCTAGAGGGACGCCCGGGCGACCGCTAGACGTGGGCGGCACCCAACAGGGGTCTGCGCGAAAGTTGAAAGGCTTGAAAGGCAATGCGAGCGACGAGTATTAGTGAGGTCTGTTCGTTAGACTCGCAAACGCGCGGCTCAACGTGCGCTGTTGCTCTTATTCGGGGGGAGGGGTTGGAGGCTGGAGGTGGACCGGTTCCTGGTATAACCACGCGTTGCTATAACACTGGTCAGTGATCCGACAGAACACGCGAGGCACTCCCCTCAGCGATCATGGACGTTTAGATTGTGGAAGGGCGACAGGAGGCTCGGAAACGAAAGAAAACAAAGGCTATCACAGTCGTTGCGGCCCTCCAGTCGACCAGGATGTTGACGAAAGCCGAGACGAGGTGTTCGCGAGGAAGAAAGAGAGACAGTGGGGACTTGAAGTGGCTGGTACGTGAGAGAAGGAAGAGGAAGGAAGCCAAACCGAAGAGGCAAGGCCATGGGAAAAAGAAAACATGGCGAGCACCTGGGAGTAGGACTCTTCTCGGCGCTCCACCATCGCCGTGCTAACCATGACGCCCAAGTTGGCGTGCTATCGCGCCGGTGGGAAAGCCGCAGAGAAGAAGGTGGAGGGGAACCTGCTAAGCTGTGGGCTTGCCGAACCCCACCGTGCAGGAAACCATGACAGACAAATACCGGGGATAAAGAATGTAGGGCTTGATGCGTCCAGTGCATTGAATGGCTAGGCGGTGTTCTGGGCAAATCGGGCAGAGGAATCAGGGCGGCATCTGACAAAGAAAGGGACAGCAGAGAGGGCAGAGGGCAGAGGGCAGAGGGCAGAGGGGGCAACAAGAGTACCATGGGCAAGAGACAGAACGAGGATAGATATGCCGGACCGTGATATGGACGCCGAACCGCCATGTCAGAGGAGACGAGATAGACATACCGGTATCGGTTCAATTGACAGATGATAGACAAGTCGGGTCAGGAGTGTTGAGTGGTATGCTGCATCTATGACTGCAGCGTTCGGTTTCGAGCTGCAACCCTATATGTATGTATATCGGCTATCCCAATGTCCCGCGTGTCCACGTCAAGGGGATAACGGTCTGGCTCAGCGCTGCAATTCTGCCCTTCGGTGGATTAATTGGGGGTTGTGACAAAGAAGACGGTGTGTCTCGTCGTCGCGTAGGCCCGTTATCCGTGCTGCAAAAGGGCTGGCCGACTAATAATCAGTCCTGGGGCCGACAATCGAGGGATCTGCCCGCTTGATATTTGTTTCCAGATGTTGGATGGAAGCGCTTCATTCATGTCATGTTATTTCCTCCTGCCCACACCAACACAGCGCCCACTTTCTCCGCTGTCTACCTAGCCTGGCCCCCTTTACGGCACCCAATAAGCGATCCTGGTAGGCATGCGGCGGAAATGTCTGCAGAAGCTCGCTGCGCACAAGCCCTGGAAGCTTCAGGTTACCAATTTAAGCTTGAAAAGAAATACCACTCTCGCCACGAGTTTGCTGTTGAGTTTCGTCGGCACCGGGATCAGAGACACTGATTGTCCCCAAGCCCTCGCTGGATGTGAAAAGGGAAGGGAGAAAAAAAAATCAAGGACTACAATGCGTGCCCTCGTTGACACCCGCTGGACTAGAGAAGGCGCTTTTTTGTTTTTTCCCCCTTCCCTTTTGCCCTTTTCGTGCGCTTGGCGTCCTTCCATCTCATTTTCTTTTCTTTTCTTTTATTGTTTGAATGGCAAGGAGCAAGAGACTTGATGGGTGATAATGGGAGTATCATCCAGAATAGCGCGAATAAAAACCCAGCAGGGCCCTGTCGAAGCCGTTAGAGAAACACGGTATTGGTCGAAATCCATGTTACATCCCCATGGCCCAAGTCTAGGCAGATTCATAGCTGCACAAACTTCCAGTGGAATGAACTCCAACCTAGGCATGGTTCAGCTGGCGGCGTGATTGGTGAAGTACCCTATACTCCATCCAGAACATCACCGGTAAAGTCAGCTGTCCTAGTGTGAACACCCGGCGAACGGCAGAGTGCAGCAAAAACCAATTAAGATAGTGCTAGAACAGATGGAGCAGCGACGATCCTTCACCCCGGGAATCCCGTGCAGACCCCAGTCGCATGATGGAGACGGTTGATACTACTACTGAGCTTGGGCAGATGCAGACGGCCAATGGCTCCCGCGACCCAGAGAGAACGGGTTAGGTATGTAGTCCGTACAATTGTTCAATGCCAGGCAGGGGCCGCAGGCCCAAAAAAAGAATCCATGTTCTAGCTGTGACGCCAATCTGGGCTGATCCCAAGAGAAATCTCGGGTGCTCGAGGCACGAGCAGCGGTAGCTCTTGCATGAATGAGCGATCAGGCGATCGACAGATTCGATCCAACGGTTGTTTCCCCCCCCCTGTGGTGGTGGCTCGCTCACCGACATGGCTGAGCCATTTGGGAGCCATTGAGTCAGAAATGCAGCCGGTACAAAGAGCAGTAGTCATGGCCTCTGCCAATACGCTATTCGGTTAGAACTTTTGACCGAACTATGCTCCGGCAACAATAACCCCTTCCCTAGTCACACCACCCTAGGCGTGGAGGGAGGACATTCGCTGTCCGGAGTACACAGCATGGTTTTTCCAGAACCCAGCGGTGGCGCTGATTGGGGCGACTGCATGGCGAAGCCCACAGGATCTGAAGGGGAAATAGTGGAAGTAGTAGTGACTTTCTGGCATCCTAGCAGGTGGGGCGTATCTTATTTCCCTTTTGTTCTTTCCTTCTTTCTTTCTTCATTTTGGGGCATTTTTTTTTTCTTAGAAAAAATCTTAAACAATAAAAGATTTTTGGGGGGGGGGAAAAGGAAGGAGGGGGGGGTTTCCCCTTTCCGGGGGGAGGATTATTATGTGGCTGGATGATCAACCAAGCCTGCAGCAAGCTAGTTGGTCGAGATGTGATATGCGCCGCGCTGAAAAAAAGTTGCCAAGGACGGATCATTGGCAAAGAACGGGTGTTGGGATTTTTATTCGGGAGCCAGTTGAAGGAAGCCGGTATAGGGTACGAAATCCCTAGTGGAGGGGGGGGGGGAGGGGGGATGTCGTGCAGGATGTGCCCGCGGGATGCGGCGCGAATCTCATAGTAACCTTGAACCAGGGGGGAGGAAGTCTAAGAGACAGAGAGGTTGCATTTCAGGCCAGGGTGGACCAATAGGCTGGTTGATTGGAGCCGGTCGGGCAGTTGGACCCATGGGGCAAGCGTAATTGTACTGGGTACTGTGTACGGAGTACTGTATAGGTAGGTAGGTATATCAAAGGCTCCCGAAAAGGGAGGATGCTGATCAATCCATTATCCCGAATCAATGCATCCATGATGGATGGGGGGTTTGTCAAAACCGGCTGATCATTGAGCGTTGGGCATTGAGCATTGAGCATTGATAATGACGGGTGATGACGATGATCACGGTGACAGTGACAGTAAGAGTTGATTGATTTGATGGAGGGTGATGAAGGGTGATGGGAGAAATGCGCGAGAATACTACAAGCGGAAGGCAGCAGCAGTAGCGGCAGCGCTGCACGAGACGCTAATCCCGACCGGGCGGGCGGCACGTGCCCTGAGGGGGACGGCGACCCCAGAGGGTATAGCGGCATACCTGCATGTACCTTCTTATTTCAACACATTTCAACACTGTCAACCACTCCTTCCATCTTCAACCTAACCTTCACCCTCCAACCCGTCAACCTTCCCCCCCCCAACCAAGATCATCCTCGACTCTTACGTCCGTGTGTCTTGGTCCGGGTCCGGGTCTGGTCCGGTCTGGTCCGGATCCGCTCTTCTTGAGTCTGACATGATGGTGACTACACCGTACATGTGTTTGAGATCGGGTCCACCGGGTCGTGATGTTTAGCTTCCAAGTCCAAGTGGGAAACCAACCTTGTCTAGGCAACGGTCCTTTCCTCGATCATGGATGGGTGCGGCAGATACATCCCTTCCCTCATCTCTTAATTGCCACTGTTCCAGATATCATCGACTACAGGGAAACCTTATTGCTGGCTGCTGTTCCAGAGTCGACTAATATCCAAAGAGTACACTATGTCCTTGGAGGGATCGGCAAATCACAGGGTATCATCCCATGGAGACATCGTTACATAGTGCTCTCTGGCTCCCTGGGCCTGGGGAGCCGGCGACTCCTCACGGCGATTAGGTATCCACGATCCGGCGTGAGCGAGAGCAGACTGGTAATTTCTTTTTCTTTGTCTGTTTTGGCCCCAGGCCGTCCTTGGTTCAGAGGGCCCGTCCGCCCGGGAAACCGTCCGCGTTAGAGTTCGAACAAGGTCCCATTCAAGACCAAGGGCCCTAACCCAGCTGGGAACGACCACACTGGACCTGCTCCGGATCCCGTCAATGCTAACTAACATTCTGCGCAGCTGGAGTATTTCCGATTGACTCGCCGCTCCGATGGTTGGGGAGCAAAACGCTCTCGATTCTTCTCACCTGCTGACTTCCTTTGCTTCCGTGCTGGTGGCTGATACCCTCGCTCCTGAGTCCTGACAGGCCTGCTGTACAACAGGCAGAATACTTACCTTGATAAGCTATAACGGACGATGGGGGACTATCGGGGCATGCTTCAATCTGCAGCTGGCCGGTATTACGGTTTGGACCGTCCAGATAGTCCCCAAGCCGGTTGTCTTGTCGATCAAAGCAGCTGGTCTTATATTGGGCCCAGAACATTCGGCTTTAATTTCCGGGGTCCCCTCAGGCCCCCACGTTTGGAACCCCCCCCCCCTGGCAGAACTCTACGTCTGTGTGGATTGCGATCTTTAATTCGTATGCTGGCCGACCCATCGGGGCGTTCTGACCGGGCCGCCGAATTAGGAGAGGGGCTGGTAGTCCTTGCTACTACTCCGTATTGCTAATGGATAATGGGTAGGAAACTAGGAATAGGTCGTCTTTGACATCCGTGGCCGTTCGTGGCGTTTTTGGACACATGCGGTTGAACATCTTCCTCATGAACTATAATGGGGCACAGGTGTCACTGAAACGCGTGTCATAGCCGATAGCTTGCAATGAACTTGCTGTCTCGGATCCGACAATTTTCCATACTGTCTGCCATAGGCCCGGACCAACCACTCATAGGGGCTTTCCTTACATAGCACTCCAGTTATTCCAAAGATCGGGGTGGGGGGGAGGGGTGAATGTAGTTTTATGAAAGGTATGTCTCGTGAGTATGAGTCCCCTACTGTCAGTAGTGCAGGGTACAGTATGTCTGTGGCTATGCATCTTACTTGAGATCTATCTCTCACAGTCTTTTGCCCTTCATTCCACAACACCTCCATATGATCAGAGGAAGCTATCCACCCAATAAAGTATGTTATAGTGTGGTTCCTCGATATTGTGCTCCCCAGCTAGTATTTCTACCGCATCCGTGTCGCCCTGTGCAACTTGACAAAGCATTAGTCAGTCAGTACCTGACCATATTTGTTGGCTTTTAGACGCCCTGCGCTGGTACGCATTGTCAATTCATATCAATCCTGCTTCAAACATACTGCAGGGTGTGCTGGGGTTAGATGGATGTTTCCTTATCGTCCCAATCCATATACCTGTCCGTGGCCGCATGCCTCGATGGGTGAGTTGTATAGCCTTCGCTCCGAGGCCAACAAATAACGTGTGTCCAGCCTTGAGGTTATCTCTTGGTGCAGCATACGGTCAGCGGCGCGAAGCAAGCCAACAATAGAAAAGAACCGAGATGATGGCCGGTGGGTGTGAGGCATATGCCTGCATGGGGCCCGATGATGGACCAGTCACAAATCTAGCCCTCGAGCTCTCCGAGGCAGACAAGATGAAAGGCCAGCCGTCATACCTGATTAGGGCGTAATGGCAGTGGTGACGCTGATGGTACCCTACTCAACAGGCTAGCATGCTAAATCCCGTGAGGACTTAGAGTGGCCGGTGGGTGCCATCGCCAGTCCGGGATGTTCTTGGAGTGACACAGAGAGAAGCCTAGAAGTCAGTTCTAGGGCCAAGACTGCCTAGTTTCAAGACTTGACGGAGCTGCGCACTCTACGATACACAAAACCATTGTTGACACACCCCATTCAATACCGTTTTCATGCAATGTAACCGGCCATTAGACAGACGGCGCCATTCAAATTCCTTCCGATAACGGGTGCCCCCGGGCTGATGGCGAGGATGATACGAAGCTGATCTGATTGACTATTGAACCCACAGACCTGGCGCCCCACAATAGAACACTCTGCATCTATTCGTCTCTCCCCGTGGAAGTGCTTCCTAGTCGGCGACCACGGCGGTTCGATGTCGGTCTCATGCCTGGTCATGCTCGCCATTCCCCGAGCGGAGGGCCTCCTCCCCAGCCAGTGCGTTGTTCCCCTTGGGATACGGATCCCTCCCTTGATACACATGCAGGGCTTCTCTTCAGCCTTGCCACCGAGGCCTGTCTGCCCAAACCATCGCAAAGACTCCCATCAAGTGCTGTCCGTTACGAGAGAAAGAGGCGGGCCACTTTCGAATCGCTATGGCCAGGACCTACATGCCATCAGCAATTCCTAGAGGTCCCGGATGTCCGACGACTGACTGAGCTATCATCCGCACTCATTACTATATGGCATGCCAACCCCTGTGATCTAGCTGTCATGCGTCTGACCGCTACCACACCTAACCAGCGAGCCCCCCCTTCGTAGCTACCATGAGGCTTGCCACCTTACCTGCTGCTGCCTTGTCGTGAACTGGCCCAAACTCAGGCCCTGGTGAAGACAGCGAAGAAAGCGGAACGATGTGCATTGACTCATCATCCCATAGCTCGAACGGCGAAACCAATCGGACATCAGGATCCCCAGTATCTACCGTTCACACAAGGAACTGAACGAGACCTGGATACCGAGCATACATAGCACCACCCTCAGGAATAGCAATCTACTGCACCTTCAGCACATACATCCCTGAAGAAGAATCTATACCCGACTTGCCAAGGCTAAGGCCAGACCAAATCCCCAACCCTAGACAATTTAACAAGAAACGGGCAGAATAAGACGTTCTTTTTTTTTTTTTTTTTTTTTCCATCTAAGAATACTTCATATCCCAGAGCTATCCCGAGTAAAGAAGAAGGGAGGAAAATGCAAGAGCATTAGAAGGGGGAGTCAAAAAATTGGAGGGAGGGGCGCAAAATTCCGAACCCGCTGCTTTTCTTTGTATAGAATCGACAAAAGGACACACAGGAAAAACAAAACACAAAATTTGCATGACACGTTTGGATGCCTTTTCAGTAATCATCATTATCGATCGGATCATACAGTACAAAGAAAAGTTGGTTAGATGCGGAGAGAGAAGATTCTTCAGCCATGGAGAGGAATAATGAAATCCGCCTTGTCGAAGAAAACCCAAGGTGTCGTTAAACGGGACCAAAAAAGGGGGGGAAAAAAAGTTATTTGGGGTGGGGGAAAGGGGAAGAGGAAGGATGATGATGATGATGGAAGGAGGAAGGCGAAGGAATCTAAGTGGTCCGCTTGGCGAATTCGACGCGCAGGATAAGGTGGCGGTAACCGACTGTGATGAGGAATAATATTAGTCTCGATTCCGATGTTGCTGACCCTCCGCGTCCGCGTCCTCGTCCTCGTCCTCATTCTCATCAAAGTGGACGACGACGACGACAACGACAAGGACGGGGACGGGAAAGTCATGGCAAAAGCAAAAGCAATTGAAAGTGCATGAAGAAGGATAAGGAGGGGAAAACTCACAGCCATCCATCTTGTCGCAGGCACGTGCAGCATCGTCCCGATCCGCGAAGCTGATGAAAGCGAAGCCCTTGGCTCTCTGGGTCTCTCTGTCTCTGGCCAAGAAGACTCTGGTGACACGACCGAAGCGTTCGAACAGATCCCGCAGTTCGGCTTCCTCTGCCAACTCGCTCACCTGTTTTTTTTGGAGGGGGTCTGTCAGACAACGGATCTTCAAAAGCTGGGGTTTCCCAGTTCGTAGAAAGTAAAAAGAAAAAAGAAAAAAAGAAAAAAAAAAAAGAGAATAACAGAAAAGAAGAAAAATGCAATGCAATGCAATGAAACAGCGAAAGAAAAGGCCCGATAGGAAAGCTTTCGAAAGCCAAGTAGAGAGAAACGGACACACACACACACACACAGAGAGAGAGAGAGAGAGAGTGTGTGTGTGTGTGAGGGAGAGAGCGGTAGTGATGGGGATTGATTGGGGGATAATCGATCCCCCTCCCCTCCATCTCCGGCCCTCCTCTCCAAAACAGAAAACAAAACAAGAAAGAAGAAAAAGGGAAGGAAGAAGAACTCACGTTTGTAACTCTCAGAGTCGCCAGATCGTCCTTCTCGAACTTGCCAGCCATGCGCTCGCCACCACTCGCAGCACCCTTCCGTAGATGAGGCGGGACATAGCTGGAGGTACCAGCGCCGAGCCCACCAGCAGCAGGAGCATCCTCGTCACCGGCCTCGAGGCCAGCACCACCAGCCGAATCATCCACGGGCGCCATGGTATCCTTGAAGGGACAGCGGGCCGTGAAATGCTCACCGGAACAGATACGACACTTGACCTTCTTGTCCTTGAGCTGATCCTTCATGCCGCCCTTCTCGCCGCCGTTCTTCTCCTCCTCCGCGGCCTGCACCTTCCAGTTGACGCTGGGCCGAAAAGCAATGTTCTCGCCGACGGAGGTGGTGTCGAACGAGGGACCGGGGGCGTGGCCCTTCTCCAGGCCGAATTTGCTCCAGGACCTCCGCTCCGCGACCTGCGGGTTGACATGTTCGCGCACCACGGTGGTCTTGATCCGACGGGTCACCTTCACCTTCTTCGACTCGTCGTTGATGTAGTAGGACACCACTGTCTTCGTGCCATCTTTGTTCGTCGTGATCTGCTGTGCGGGGAGGGCGGAGGGGTCGTCGAACTCTTCGTCGTCGGCCCAGTCGGCGCGGCTGGATAGAGGGGGGGAAAATTCCCTAACGTCAGATTTGTTCTTTCTCTTGGTCTGGCTGGCGCCGGTTTCGCGGCCCGTTTTTTTCGGGGATGGAGGTTCCGCTTACTTTCCTGGCTTCGACATTGTGTGTGATGCGGAGGGGGTGGTGGTGGTTCGGCGTTTCGTTGCTTGAATTTCTGGGATTTCCAACAACGAAAGTCGATTCCGTTGTGGATTTGTTTCGGCGCGGCAAATTGATCGGTGGCGCAGTTCCGTGGCTGGTGTCGGGCGGTCACGTGCCATCCACTGCTACTGCTGCTGCTGCTGCTGCTGCTGCTACTGCTACTAGTACTGATCATGAACATCTTCCTTTGTGAACTCGGCTTTTACATACAAAATGCCGCAAAAGGTTCGAGCCTGACCCAATAATAATAATCACATCCTCCCAATGACAACAAAATCCTTCCTCTTTCCTTCCACACATTCCCCCCTGTTTCAAGGCCTATGATTATGATCCCTTTGGACATAGTCGCCATCGAATATCGCTGCTTAACACGACTCTTGTATTGAGAAATCTCCAGACAATGAAGCCAGCAGCGCAATTCATTCAGACGTACTCGGCTCTGACACTTCCGTGGTTCTTTCCCATGTACCAAAGTGCGTATTCACAATGAGCAGAGAAGGAAGTCGCATGGATATGGTAATGGATATTATAGTACATCTCTCCATCTTGATCTCGCCCTTTTGGCATGTGTCTTCTCTCGAGACTGTCTAGAGCTGGATTCAAGATTGCATGCTCTTTCATATCTGGAACAGCGATATAATACACATCTCGTTATCCCCTACAGGGCGAAAGGATATTCATCACTCACGGCGGTTAAAATACAGAGGAGGCTGTTCACCAAGAGGCGCATCCTCATAGAGAATGTTTCGTATGGAATCAACCGGGCCATACTGAACCAAAGTTTGTTTCCAAACCGACAATCATGTTCTACCTTGCAGATGAACCAATGCATAACACTGATACGATAATGTCCGTAGATTTCACTCCAAAATCTGAGGCAGTTAGCTCTTGAAGCGAAAATTAAAGGCGGTAGTTTCTCCCTTTCTATTTGGCTCATGCACTTCATCATCAAACTCTGTGTGTATGACCATTCCATAGTGCTTTCTCGCTTTGCGAGAATCAACGCACGATTGGACAGCGAGCGGTGAAATAGCTCCAAGAGTTTTCGCCAAAGCCCCCCTGACAACAGCCGTCCATCCATCGACGTGGGCCATAACCTGGATGTCTGGGGAGAAGGCATCACGGAGATATTTGCGAAGATACGGGCTCTGTCCAAAGCTGCCGACCAAGAAAATTGCTGTGACTTTCCCATCAGAAGTGGTAATCTGGTCGCTTACAAGGCCCTTGACTTCTTGCAGCACAGGCAAGAACAGCTGCTGCATGTCTCGTCCAGTGACTCGCAGTCGACCACGACGAACCCCAATTGTCTCATCATCTGCTATTCCAGGAACGGGAACTATAAAGTCATCCTGTACATTTCCACTGAATGTTCGTTTTCCGACGTTCTCGAATCGTTGCATAGCCTCGTCCAACGTATCACGGTCCCACTCGGGGAGAGAAGACAGACGGTTGTTCAGCAGCTCCTCGAAGCGTCTGTTAAGAGAGGTGCTTCCGCACAGTGCTCCAGCCCCTGGTGCTTCTTCCTTGAGCCGCATATTGGGTACCAGCTCGATAATAGAGTACGTGATGAGATCGACCGTCCCGCCGCCTGCGTCACAAAGGACGATTGTATCTCCGACTTCCAAGCCGTGCGGACTGGATGCACTCAGGGAATGAATAGCGGCAGCTTCCGGTTCGGAGATGATACGAATCTTAGACGCTCCACCAAAGCCTGCTTTTCCGCACAGGTCAGTGTTGCTACCTTAGCTTTTTCAGGCCAAATGGCTGGGACTGTGATAGCGAACTCAGACTCGTACTGTCCAGGGAAGTGCCAATTTTGGACTTTAGAATGACGGATAGATGCTCTTGTAGAGACCGAAGATAGTCAGTCACGACGTCCGCAGGGGTCGAATGATATGGGAGAGAGATACGACGACAATCTCCATATGAAGATGAGATTCGCGTCCCGAGCCCCAACTTTTGATCAGGGGCAAGACCGAGCTTGATCCATTGGTGTCGGGGCATATTGTCCAGGATTTGGAAGCCCCACAGACACTTCGGACCCGACTTTGTATACTCATAGGAGACCTCACTGGGAACCTTCTCGCTGGTCATTCCATCATATGATTCGGTGGTAGACTGTGGTCACTGATTAATGATATAGTGTGTATCTGGCTGGTAGATCTTTCAGTGTAAATTCAGACACGGTGGCTTTGCGAACGACTTACATTGCTTGTTTGAGCCCACGCTATACCCGAGAAAGTGGTGCCGAAATCCACCGCGACGACGATGGTTCTCCCAGTAGAAGAGGCAGCCATCTAGTCGCTAACACGTGTAGTTTGTATAGACAATGCAGATAAACGTGATACCGAAAAACTCTCCGGCAATATAGAAAATTGGTTTCGATGCCTCCATCGGGATGTGCAACAGCTCAAACGTGACTGTCAGCTGAAGCAAAACCTTCTCGAGCTTAAGCAGTTGCAGCTTGACAATGTGGAGAAGCGCAACCAGCAGTTAGAAGCGCAGTTGCAAGATTGTCAGGCACGGCTCCTGAAATTCTCCCTTACGAGCTGCTTGAGTGATGCCGCCATTTTGCAAGAATTCATCACAATCCGGGAAAATCTCTCCCGCTGGATCGAAGAATTCCCTGAGGTGAATGGTGACTTTGCAAACGACTGTGGACTAGCATCTGCCACGCTTGTCTCGACTCACATGGTTTTCGGATGGCCGGAGAGGTTTCCAAATAGTTCCTGGTTCTGTGCAGTCGGAGATCTTGATGCACTTCACTTTCAACCCGTCTCTGGACAGATATATTTGGGGTTACGATTCCAGGTGCATCGTCAGAGGACGAGAAACTACTGGCGGAGCTCCATGATGGAATGCTATGTCCAGAGCCACAGAAGGGTCAGTTTGACGTAAAGAAGGCAAATATTCGGATTGACTAACATTCACAGATGCTGAGAGCATCAATGCTTGGAGATCAGACACCATGACTCCAACCGGTATCAGTGGGGCGTCCAAGACGTGTGCTATGACACGACAGAGAATATACATAAGTTCCTCCTCCAGTTCAGCTATGCAACCAATTTTCAACTGGGTCAATAACATGGCTAGATTGGAGACGGAAATCATAAAGCCTTCCGCGGATTTTGCAATGAAAATGAGCTGCGCACCGGCAAAAATACAGATGGGAGTGGTACGGAGATGGTTCCTTCCCACAAGGACTCGTGCAGAAGCACCACCATCTGGCACAGTTCACTGTCCAAGATGCCCGGACACACCACAAAGTTTCGATTCTAAATCTGGAAGCCCTGGACGATGACACTCAGATAGGCGAGATACTGGTGATCATTTATCCAGCTCTGTTTCGCTGCGGGGGCGACGGACATGATGATGTTCGAATTGAGAAAGCCATCACATCCTTGTACGCGTGCACGTGGAGTAGCTGGTGCAAAACAAAAGGAGGATGGAATCCAGGCAAAGTAGAACCCCCGGGTATCTTCCCATTCCAAGTGTACTTATACCCAGCCTACGCCGTTTTCCATAACTGGTGACAATTCTGCCGAGGGTGGGTGATAAGGGGAAGTTGAAACGGCCGGGCCTTGATGATTCGGTGACACCGAGGGCGTACCTTCCTTCTACTTACGGAATCCAGATTTGGGAACAGCCAGGAGCAGGACTGGAGACTTTGCGGGGGAAACCACAGCGGAGGACATGATTCTACTTTCTGTACTCCATAATCAAAAAAAAATAGTATCATCTTCTCATCTCCGGCGCATCTGCACGGAATGGTATATTGGTATATTAGGATCCAAGATTACATCTATATACATAAGACCAGCTCAGCCAACATCATAGCAGTGGTTGTATAGCCAGCCAGCCAAGCCAGGTTTCCGTTTCCGAGTGACAAAAACCGACATTCATCGTCAGTCGATCTCTCTTCCAAAATCAGACATGACAGAAAAGAAAAGAAAAGAAAAACCCCCCTACCAACCCAAGCATTGTTTATATCCCAAAAACTCATACCCTTCGTTTATATAAAAAGAATTACTGAAAATGAAAAGAAAAAAAAAAAAAGAAGCCACCCATAGACTTTTTTTTTTCTGTTTACCGCCCGAGCATTTTCAACTCGATGGGTCTCAGAATGGCGTGGATGACGAAGGAGAAGAGGAGAGCCAGTTCGAAACCGACATCACCCTCACCGGCCTTCATGGAGATGGGTCCAATGTACCATGTCTCGCTCATACCGGTGATCATACCGGCGACACCGAAGCAGAAGGAGATGGAAGCCGCAATGCCGTAGGGGAGCTTGTCGGGCTGATCGTAGGTTTCGGGACGGTATCCGCCAAAGCCACGACGGACGATGAAGTGGTCGGCCAGAGCGACACCGGAGTAGATGGCCAGCCAGTAGGCGATGAAGTCCATCAGATCTTCCAGGACGATCTCGAAGTGGGAGTAACCGGGGACGGCGACACCGACGGACACGCAGGAGGCGATGAAAACCCAGACGAAGCGAGGCACGCGCTGGGAGTAGCGGCTCAGGACCTGGAGGGTCAGGGAGACGGAGTAGATGTTGGGGCAGTTGTTGGCGATGATGGAGAGGGAGAGGATCACCAGGCAGAACTTGCCGAATCCACCGAGGGGGTCGAGAACCGCGCCCAGCAGACCACCGTTCCCGGACTGGAGGTATCCGGTCTGGTACTTGTTGTCACCACCGTTGATGGTGGTAGCGGTCATGACGGCGATACCCAAGAGCTGGGTGAAGACGAGAGGAGGGATCAGACCACCCCAGGCAGCGAAGAAGGTCTTGACCCGGCTGCGGTCCGAGGGCTGGTACACGGTGTAATCGGCGGCATAGCTGGTCCAGCCCGTGGCGAAACCATAGACAGTGGCACCGAAAGACAGGCAGGAGCCGAGCTCGGACGTTCCGACTCCCATGGGGAGGTTGCGGAAATCTCCGGAGTGGGCGAACATGCCCAGCACGATCATGAAGACAATGAAGGTCGGGATCCAACTCCAGAATTCGTACAAGTGGACGACCTTGTATCCGGCGAAAGTGATGAACAGGGTGCAGACGGCAATGACCAGAATTCCAGCGTATCCAGGGACATCACTGTTCACGGCGTTGAGAAGCTGAGCACCGACGATCGAGTTGGCGGCCGACCAGCCCAAACAGGACAGAACGTTCAGAAGGGCGACTGAAAAAAAAAAAAGAGAGAAGAGTATGAGTACTGGGTACGTTCCAGACCAGAGATGGACAATGGAAACACTTACTGAACTTTGTAGGCCACCAACCGAACCAGAACCGGGTGAGCACCATCTGGCGCAGACCGAAGGCAGGACCAAAGCAGGAGAACCAGCAAACGGTCAAAACACCCAGCAGGTTGAAGAAGATGCAGACCAGGACGGCATCGACAAAGCCGAGGGCGAAGGTGGAATATCCAAGGACACCGATAGCGAAAGAACTGACTACCAGGTTGGCCGCCAGCCACTGCGACGGGGTCAGTTTGGGAGCGCGGTCTTGGACCACCAGCGCGCAGCTGGTGAAGACGGAAGCACAATGCAACGAGAGTTAAAAACACACCATGCTGCTAATGTTGAGGTAGGAGGTATCGGTCCGTTCGTTGTCCGGCACACGCTCGACACCACGCTGCTCCACACTGAGCTTTCCGGCCAGACGCTGCAACTTGGCGTAGACCGAGTTGCCGTACATGAAGCTCTCCCCGGGGACGGCGCCATCGCTGGTGTCGTCCATGGGCGTCTTGCCCACCTGGGGGGCTTTTTCGAGATCGGGATCGGCTCCTCCGAACATGGTGAATGGATTGGTTGGATGGAGGGGGAGGGAGGTTTTAAAAACCACGCGTATCTCAACGGCGCAGGTTTGAAAAAAAAGAAAAAAAAAAGAGAAAAGGAAGACTATAAAAGTCTTGGGTTAGATGGAACTCTTGAATACGAGAGCTGGGGGAGCTCAGGTACCAAGTATAGTTCAGGGAGGAAAGGAGAAGGAGGGAAGAAGACGAGACGTGAACCACATCATTCCTCTTTCTTTCTTTCTTTCCCAGCAGGAGTGGCGGGGAGGAGAGCTACTAATATGTGGTCGGAGGCCGCGATAATTTCTTTCCCATCCACCGGGACGAGGCCCACCGCACGAGATCCGGAACGAGAACGAGGCACGATGATTGATCGGCTTGGCTGGGACGGAGAAACGCCGCCGCGACCGCGTAACAGACTTTGGGTCTGCCACGGCTGCCACTGCCATCGGTCGCGTGTTCCGCCGGACGAGCTGCTCTTCGCCGCTGGCCCTGAACGGCTGAACCTTCTCTTTCTTGTTTCGAGAAAAAAAAAAAAGTTCCCCCCCGCTTAGCCCTGCCCTAGCGCACACAAGCGGAGGCCCTCGCCAATCACCGCCCGATGGGCCCGTTGCCCGCCCTGCCCATTGGCGGATAGCCGGGCTGGGCACAGGGCTAAGCACCACATGGATTGCAGAAATTATCAGCAGCGGCCGACTGATTGGACACAGGAGGGTGCCAGGACTGGGTGGGGCGGGTGGCGATGGATGGAACCCACGCTGATAAGAATCCGGCTGATGATAGGCAGTCATCACAGCGACTGGCTGGCAAACCTGAGAGATTTGATAATGATAACAGGGCGTTATGTATTCCCGTTTGTAGTTTGGCCGGGCTCCCCGTTTGGCCCGGTTGCTCACTCTTCGCCTAGTAGATAATCTACTCCGTATACTCCTCCGTATCTACTGAGATATCTTCACCCCGGGAAGGATGTCCAGGGATGCTGACCATGCTGATATGCTGATATCATCCAGCTCCAGCATCGGTCAACCCCGAAGGGCTCTTCAGATGCTGCCATCAGGTTACATTTCGATGTCTCTCTCTGCTTACGGTCTTGCCACCATGATCATCATCATGATCATGTTATATCTAGCATGCCTAAGTACCAAGCCAGGGTCCAATAACCCTAGTCCCGAAGCCATCGTCATCTCGCCACCGCCCCAGACGACACCAGGTTTCTCGAATCTCGATATAATCCAGCCATCCAGCCATGATGATGATGATGACATAGGATATCTATCTTCCCCGGACTTTGCCAGTAGTACCCCACGGCTTCGGAAACCTACGAAGTTTCAAACTTCGGGGCTGACAGGCAGCGGTGATCGCCGCCTCCAATCGTTATCGCAGAGCTCTAGCTGCTGCCATGTGTTCGGCTTTCCGCGAAGCTTTAGCCCAAGCTTTTCGGCCCTGATACTGATACTGATAGTGATAGACGTTCGACTGGACAAAGGGGGAGGTCTGATTGGGGAGAAGGTGGATGAGCTCAGCATCTGGTAGCTGACCACGCACACGCCCTGATTGGACGCCATGCGATCCAGATAAGGCGGTTGTCAATTGTCACGCCCCGAGGCCATATCTCAGGGATCAGGATGCCATCGTTGCATGATACGAACCCCTTAGCGTGAAGGCTGATAGATTGCGGTGCTTTCACCCCGGAGTATCTGCCTGATCTGGCCCATCGAGGTTGGCATTGTTCCAGGCCACCAGCCGAGCCGTTCGTTCATGCCGTGTCGGGCGGGACTCAGGAGTCGTAGACAATCCATCCATCAGTCTAGGTATGGTATAAGTAACTATAGATGGAACACTGACCACGCCTTCTAGAACCTGGAGACCTGACCTGAATCAGCAATGTCCCTGATAGAGGAGATAGGATAGACCGTTGGAATCGTTTTCTGGGACCGGAGCTCTCTCTCTCTCTCTCTCTCTTAGTTACCCGGCACCGCAATCAGTTGAACTTCCACCTCGATCTGAACCCAGCAATATCAATGGCCCCGATAAGTTATATGAACCAGCACTGACCCTGGTTGCATCTGCACTACTAAACATTTACCCCTTCCCTGCTGCCTAAAATATAAGTACCTCCGTCCGTCCCTGCACATGCATGGGCCATGGATACGGTAGATAGATAGTCAGTCAGTCTACTGAACCCAGCGAGCCAGAAAGAATCATGACCATGACCATGCAACTCGTGCCTTGCCCTAACACACTTAGAGTATCACCCAGTCACGGCGAGTGGATCTCCTGCCTCCACCACACCCACAGTCAGTGATCAATCAGTCACAGTCACAGTCACCGCGACGCCCCACAAAGATACATGGATGGATATCCTCGGATCCCGACTGTCTCCATAACTGTGACTGACTTGACTCCAACAGTCGCCTAACAGAAATAGATTGGTTGGTTGGTTGGTTGGCTACTTTCTACTTTTATATACGGGGTGCGATTGCTCCAAGAAACACGCGCACGACAAACGCTAGTTGTGTTTTTCCCGGCGGTCGTGCTTCGGTTTGGTTTGGGCTGTTCCCCAGAGGCAGCCCTTCGCCCGGGCGTGCATATTGGTGGTGGTTTTAACTTTCGAGACACGTTTCTTGAGACAACGTTTCCCGACTCCCGTACCCAACCAACTGAGTAACTATCTATCTAGTAGTAGGTTTGGATGTCACTCCGGCGGAGAACGGGAGTCGCTCCATATAATTTGCAGATCACGCTTGCAGGATAACACCACCACCACGCGCCATGTGACCCATTGACCTGACCTTACTCGCAAATGACTCCCAATAATAAAAACCACAGGACAATAACAATAAATCCAAGAACACAATATTATTAATCACCATTGTTTTATCCAGCCCGTACGGTTCATCATAAAACCGCAGTACCAACCCAAAAGATAATACTCAAACGCGCCCCTTGACGCGTGCGGTAAAAAAAAAAAAAAAAAAAAAAAAAAAAAAAAAAAATTCGCGCATGCGCTCCCCGATGGAGGCCGCGGTCGGGTCGGTCGGTTTCCCGAGCCTCACTAAGAGTATCGACGTAGTGAGCTTGGCCGGACTATGTTACCACGCTAGCCCTTTTAATCAGCGGGGATTTTGCCGAGCTGATTCTTACCTTCCTTAGATAGATAGTACCTGAGTACTTATGGAACGGAACGGAATGGAGATTTGGGACTGGGACTGGGACTGGGACTACTGTAAGGTACCGACTACCTAGCGAACGAGCGAGTGAGGAAGCGATTGGAGTTGGGGCTGGGATTAGTTGGTGCTAGACTGCTAGACTGCTAGACTGCTAGACTGCTAGACACTAGGACTCGGGTTGAATCGCGTCGAGTTACGGAGCATCAGGCCAATGCCAATGCGATTGCATCGAATTCTGGTAAGAGAGCATGGATGGGTTCAAGGTTGGAGTTGGAGAAAGTACCAACCACTGTACCAGACCAGACTAAACTAGACCAAACTCCTCCGTGCCGGAGGATCAGTTGGGGTTGGGTTTTGATCAACTATGATTTCAACATCCAAGAGTCCTTGACTCTTGACTCAGCCCTCCCGGCTCGAGGCTTTTTACAATCAAACCACAACATCAAACACACCCGGACCGTACCCAAAAGACCAATCTAGAATAATCATCCGAACCCGATTCTCTAGTCTAGTCGCTACTCTCTACAGGTTTACAGCTTGCGCCACGCGTTAGTTAACCAACTCGTACCGCCCCACGCCGCAACGGACCTCTAACGCTATCTGAGTCATGCGCGGAACAGCGTCAGGGGAATGGCAACTGAATGTGGGAAGGAATCGGGAAGGAGATGGCTATGCCAGATCCATCTAATCTAGCTGCTACGGATCTATAGTCTATACATAGGTTGTAGTGTTCAGGGTGTCCGAGGTCGGAATGCTAATTTAATTTAATCATGATCATATGGAATTGGAATTGGAAATGGTAATGGGAATGGTAATTAATGGGATGGAATGGTGGTTTGATTGCGGGGATGGATCTCCTATCTATATCTATTCTGGGGGTTCGAGATTCGCGATACCTCCGACCATGCTGGAGTATCTAACTAGTGGTTTGGTATATATTTGTTTCGGGTTGGAGGGGAGATTGGGAGGTTTCATGGTGCCCGATTCTTGTTTTGGAATCAACTTTGCCGGGAGAAACCTAGAAGGAAGACAGGAGACAGGAGACACATGGCTGATGGCTGATGGCTGATGGATGAATGCCGCATGCCAATACGAAGCGTGGTTGTGTGCTGTAGGGCTGGAGGAAAAGATCCTCGTGACCGAAAAGGGAAAGATAGACGCCCGCGGGACCTAACTATAAGCTTAAAGTGTATGTCTATCATCTATCACAGTTTATATGAAAAGGCAATAATCCAAGACAGTTCCTATTCCTATCACGACATATACTTTAAAAAAAATAAGGACGTTGCTTTACAGAGCCTAATTCAGTACATATCCAACCCACCCAACTGCGATTTACCACGCATCTCAAGAACTCGACTCTACCACCTTCTCGGACCCTCCCGCCGAAGAAACAGTCGCTGCGGCTGGATCTTCCACCCCGTCCACGACCAACTCCTGCACGTCGGACGGGCCCTTGAACTGCTTGCGGGCGGTGGTGAGCCAGGTGAAGATGCTCAGCAGCGCAACCAGGCCGATTGCGGCGCTGGTGTAGTTCATCGAGTTCGGCGTCACCGGGGCATCGGAGGGGAAGTTGAATGTGATGAAGGCGAAGAACAGGAATAGGAAGCCGAGTGCATGCAGCGAGAGTGAGATGGGCTTTGAAAAGGAATAAGGGCCATCGGATGACGCGACGTCGTGGTTAAAAACCCACCCTAGTAGTCGGGCGAAAAGAACAAGGGCATATGAGACATCTGGATTTGGGGGGTGCACAGTCAGTGAACAGTCAGTCATCATCGCTCGTTTGGAAGGAAGAACTCACAGAAACCCGTGGTCGCGATGGACACAACGGTATTGAAGCCGGTCACCGTACCAAAGTAGATGGAGTTAAACGCCATCTGAATCACGACCGTCACCAGGATTGCATAGATGGGGATTCTCCTCCCCTTTGCGACCCGGGATAGGATGCCAGAAAAGGGCATCCCGCGGTCTCGGGCAAACGCAAAGAGAGATCGAGAGCCTTCGGCCACCAGACTCACTGAGGAAACCATCATGATCACCGCTATCATGCTGGCCATGAAGCACGTGCCTACCTTGCTTTGGGTCGAGTCGTAGAAGATTTGGATCACGGGGACCCCTGTGGAGGAGTCTGCGGTGGCGGTGATATCGCCAATGCAGAAGCAGAGTGTGAGCAAAAACACAAATCCGGTTACAGCACCCATTCCGACGGACATGATCATGGCTAATGGCGCATCTCTCGAGGGACGGGTCATCTCTTCTGTCATGTGGGCCGGGGTGTCATAACAGCACATGCCAAAGAAGCTTTGGAGAATCCCCACCATTGTTGCCATTGCGGAGCCAAAACCAGTCATGTTCTGGAAGTCTTGGAACACGAACGCGGCGTCTTGCTTGTCCTTCTTAGTAACCAACAAAACTACTACTATAATGATAAACGAGCAAACATTCCACAACAGAATAGCCCGGGATAGACGGTTGAGCAGATGAGGCATAAAGATATTGACCAGAAAGGCCCAGATCGCGACTGCATAGGTGACCAGGACGGTATGCCAACGCTCGATGACATAGTCGGGGTGGACCAGGTTTGCCTGCCCGAGGATAAAATTGGCCGCGAACGAGTTGTTGGCCGAGCCCATGGCGAGGATACCTGATGTCAACTGAGCACGGCGAGCAGAGCATCTCGACCACAGCACCACTTACCCGTCAACATGAACCATCCGGTAATGTATGACATCTCCCGAGCGATCTTGGGTGGTGCTAGCATGAAAACCCACGAATACTGACCCCCAGCTACAGGCCATCGCGAGCACCATTCTGCCATTGCCAAAACAACGGCGAAGGTGACGACACACACGCCGATCCATCCGAAGAGCATCACTGGCGGACCGCCCGCAGACACGCCAACGCTAAATGCACCACTTAAGGCAGTCCAGCTGTTCTCGCAGAGTCAGTTTACGGTTTGACTTGATGAAAGACACGGGGGGGTGCGTACCAGGTAACGATGCTGAAGCTGAAGCCAACCATGTCCAGAAGGCTGAACGATCGCTTGAATTCTAGACCGGTGGAGCATCAGTGAATGCCATTGTCAATGCAGAGTACACCGCAGGTATCCATACCCTGTTGATATCCCAAATGCTCGAGAGCTCGATCTTCCTGGGTCCCCGGGTCGAGGGCATCTTTGGGCGCCTCAGACATGACGGCGATAGCGATGGCAGTTCGGGCGGATTCGAAAAGCGACCACGGCCGACGATCAGCCTATATGTATATGGCCCATGATGCAGCACGATAAGCACTCGTCAGGGCCAGCCATTCCTGAGCTGAAGATCGCCTCTCCAGTGGGTGCTTATCAGCGGATCGACCGATGCGGGAAGCGTCATTGGTAGAGCGAGCTTCTTCAGCAAGGGGCATCGGACCTATCACCAAGGCTCGAGGCTATCCCTGTCGGAGCGTCCGAGGCATTGTTGACTGACTAATGAAGGCTAAAGGACCGCTCATCTTTGGCTCAGGCGGGGTTGCAACGTGCTAACCCCCGTATAAACTGTCAGCCGGATGTTCTATAGCTCAGGCTCACAGACCTTGCGCCCATCATGCTTCGCATCGAGACCATACAGGCGCTCTCCTCCCATCCCCTGCCCATAGCTGTTCTCGTGATTGCCAGCGCCATCTTTTGTAGATGCTTCTACCGGATCTACCTCCATCCCTTGTCAGCGGTCCCAGGACCCAAGCTTGCCGCCTGCACGTCACTGTGGTTGACATACCACACGTACATCGGCGATGAATGCACGGTCGTATATGGCTTGCACCAAAAATACGGCCCTGTCTTACGAGTCGCCCCCAATGACGTCGACATTGCCCACCTCGATGCGATTGAGCCGCTCTACTTCGCCTGCGGAGGGTTCCCCAAGGCCCGGCCATATTCCAAGTTCGATCTCGACGGGCACGCGACGATATTCTCTACCTTGAATCTGTCCGATCGGGCGGCTCGCGCCAAAGCTGTGACTCCTCTGTTTTCATCCGCCTCCATTCGGAGCTCTCAGAAGGCTCTGGGCGATGTCTTTGACGCTTTCGTGGCCAGGCTGCGGAGTGAGGCCCGCACGGCCAAACCGGTCAATGTCCTCAACGCGGCCCGGGCCATGGCAATTGACGGTATGAGTGCCCACCTCTTTCACGAGAGGTATGGCGCGATGACGGAGACGGCGGATTTGATGTCGGCCTCGCCATTTGTGGACTCCTGCGTGCAGATAGGTGCTTTCTTCAACCTGGTGCCTGGGAAAATGGGAGATGCTCTCATGGCGATGGTGGAACGCTGGTCGACAAATACGAAGTTGAAGGAATCCCACGGATTGATTGACAAGTACACGAGAAAGCTGGTTCAGACGGCAGTCCCGGAGAGTGGAAGCTACCAGAGCCGTCTTCTTGGAAAGCTAACTGCCGCACAATGCCAAATCGAACTCATAGATGTCTGCTTTGCGGGAACCGACTCGACGGCTATGAATACTGCATCGATCATGTGGTATCTCACAAAGCAGCCAGACATGTGAGTAGCGCAATGGGCTGTTCCATTATTGATACCTTGCTAACAGTAGTGCAGCTACGCTCGACTCAGACAAGAGGTCCTGAAGACAACCCAAAATGGCGAGGACCCGATGACCTGCGCTTATTTGCGCGGAGTCATCCGGGAAGGTCTCCGATTGTCGTGGTCCACTCCGGTTCGCCTGCCTCGTTTGGTCCCGGCTGGAGGATGGCAGTGTCTGGGGTTTCACTTCCCAGCTGAAACCAGCGTCGGTGTTGCGTCCTACCAGCTGCACCAGGACAGTAGCATGTTCCATAACCCACAGCAATTCGAGCCTGAGCGTTGGGATAATCCGAGTAGTGCAATGCTCACGGCTTTCATGCCTTTCGGTAAAGGTACAAGATCATGCCTTGCACAGCCACTGGCAACGTATGAAGTCACCATGTCTATCTTCAAGGTGGTCGAAGCAGACCTACTCCGGGGCGCAACGATTGTTCAAGATAGAATCGAGATCAAGGAATGGTTCAACACGGAGGTGAAGGGAGGGGAGATCCTAGTGCAGTTTGCACAGTCGTAAGATAGCATACGTCCACAGTGAGAAAAAAAAATAAAGAAAGTAATATATTAAAACATCATGTTTGCACAAACAAGCAGAACAATCCATACAGCCCTCAGTCAGGCCACAAATATGTCACACAGATATGGTACCCTTAGAAATCATCTTGAGAAAAATCAATATCCTTACCATCCAGCCACTCCATCATCTCTTTATATAGTGCGTCACGCTCCTTTCCGAATAGCTGAGGCATGTTCGGTTTAATCGGGTAACCCAGCCGACGCATGCCATAGGCCAGGAACTGGTAACCCTTGGGCTCCTGAGTCAAGGCCTCATGGTCGATCCTTGGGAGACGTGTCGGGTCCACAGGCACCATTTTGTCCTTCTCATAGATTGGGTGGTTGCAGAAGATCTTCCAACCGTGCGGTTGCTTCTTCAAGAAGAAGACAAAGCGGCAGTCACTATCATAGGAATGAGTTAGCTAAGTCAGGCATGTCATAGAAAAAAGAAATTTACCAGTCACTGTCCCACTCGACTCCATACTCATCAGCAAAACGCACCGAGATCGTAACCTTCATCTTATCAACGGCACGGTCACCCTTGATGTCCACCGCATGACCGTGCACTCGATGGCTGATGTATTCACCCTTCTTCCAGCTTTCAGCCCAAGACTCAATGGCCTTGTTCCGGTAGTTCTGCTGCCAGGAGATATTGATGAATGCGTTCAGGTCAAAGATCTCCCGAAGATCAGTCCACTCGCAGGCGTCGCGGTGGAGTGGCCAACCCTCGCAGATCTCGCGAATCTTGAACCGCTCCAAAGTGGACGCGTCATCGGTGTTGTATGTCAGACGGTTGGATGCAGCGGGAGGCTCTTCACCCAGGGCACAGCCATATTTGTCGGCGATCTTGAACAGCGCGGGCTTCTCGGTGGAGGGGATCTTTTCACTCTGCCCGGCACCGATCACCTTTGCTGCTCGCCAGTTTTTCCAGGAGAACATTGCTGATAGTTAAGGGGGTTGGGAGGTTGGCTGATGGCTGGAGGGAGGGAGTGAGGAAGGGGGGCCTGCCTGTGCCTATATATAAGGTTCTTGTTTAGCTTTGTATCAGACTCAACATCAAGAGCCTGAGAGCTTGAATGATATCACGGAGTAGTCTTGATCATCATGATGTACCCACAGTAAAGCCAGCCACATGATGCATGATCCAAAGGGTAAATCCTGTCACCAAGATCAAAACAAGAGACATGGGGTAGCATATATACCTCTGCCACTTGCGCATGACTTCCACAGCGACCTGCGTGTTTGTCTTGCTTGATTGCGCGAGAAACTTGTCCTAGCCCTCAGCTATCTGGTCTGGAGGTCTTATTTGTTCACATGCCCAGAAAGACCTAGAGTTCTCGGCCATAAAGTATGAAGTCTGTTGGGGAAACAAAAGAACGTCTGTCAGCAAAGGTCAAGTTGTTTGCGAGGAGTAGATTTATTCGTACCTTGGGACGATTTGTTGAGAAAGCCATTCCTACTAGCCAAATTGTCTCTGAATCATCGATCCACATACCCCGAGAGTAGACTCGAGGCGTCCAAGCGTTGTGGAAGAAAACCGGATTGGCAAAGGTGGGAATGTCTGGACTTCTGTTGTGGAGACTTCTCAACGGGGAAGCCACGCTAGGCCTGATACGGTTAGCGGAATCCGGGGCATGTCATCGCCTCTCCACCATCACCATCACATCCTCAAGGTTCAAACAGTCATTTCAGACATTATAGTCTCCTCTATACACAAACGCAACAAAGACCTATCACGCGACTCCACTCCTCTAAATTCTGGACCGCGGCCCCCGATATCTCCTTTTCAACCCCACCATCAACCCCGGAGACCCCCCCGTCCCGCCAGGAAGAGGCATAATCTCCTCTCTAGCCCAAAATGTCAACTGACGCCTCAAATGGTCCACTCTCAGCGGCTTCTTCAGAAAGACATTGAATCCGGCCTTCTGATCCTCCCTGAGACAGATGCCCATGCAGGCCACGAGCCCGATAATGGGCGTCCGCTGGATCTTGGGATCGGCGATGAAGGGCAGTTGGGTGCGGATGATATGGGTGGCTTGGATGCCGTCCATCACTGGCATTGAGATCTGGGTGCTGGTTAGATATATTATATCTTAGTGGGTTGGCGAGTGGAGAGGGGGGAGGGGGGGGGAGGGAAGGGAAGGAGAGAATAGTCCATACATCCATGAAGATTATGTCCGGGCGGGGAAATGGTCCGGACAGATAGTCTAATGCATGCTGGCCGTTGTGAGCGGTTGCGATGCTTCTGCAGCCGAGGCGTTGGAGAATTTTGGTGGCGAGCTTTTGGTTGATCTCGCTAGGGGACGTTAGCTTGTGTGGGTTTGGGGTGTCATGGGCAGTACTACTTGTCATCGACGACGAGGATGTGCATTGTGGGATGGGATGGGTTGTGTGTGGTATTGAGGTAGGTGAGCACTTTAGTGTGGATGTATGGCGCGAGGCTGTCTATCTACATGGCGGGACACTGGGAGAATGAGGCTGAGCAAGGCTGTTATGGGTCGTATTTCAGCCAATCACATGAGGTATAAAACTGCCATTAAGATGGAGGTCAAATGACATATGGGCTAGATAATTGGACAGGCTTGAACGGAGCCAAGCCACCGATTTGCATATCATGGACGGTATGCATTTCCAACAACCACTTCTGCAATCGAACTTTCTGCACCCGTTAATGCTGCTGTGTTTACCAGATGCCCACCGGACAGAGAAAAGTAATTCCTAGGTACATGCCATCCTCATAGCATCAGCGGCCTTCCAAGCAACAATTGACCTCGGGCCAGTGGTCTATTTGGAGATCATATCGAGGAATCGACGTGCGGAAGCCTGCGAACGGAAGAGATTGAATCCGTAAGCGCATTTTATATAAAAAAGAGGAAGAAAGACCCGCCGTAGCTTGAAGGAAATTCTATAGATACCTCGGCCACCCCCGGTCAAAAGCCGAGACCAGAGACGTTCATGGGCTGTCCCGATTCCATCGATGGGTTATACCGAAGACTATCCTATCAGCCAGACAATGGCCGTGGAGGCTCTGCAGAATCAACGGTTTTGCTTCATAGCCGGAGCCGTGGAGCTTCGAAAAGATAAAAGCAGTTGACCGCAAACATCGCGAGGAAAGGATATATGGATGGCTATCCTTTCATAAATGGATTGTTGATATTGTGACGACCATACGCAGAGTCTGAGCGAAGGGTATGCCATCACGACATCCGTATAGCCTTCCTGGCATCGAAGCCATCTTTTATAGTCCTGGATTCACTCCCAGGCAGCACATACCCGCGCTGGTTACTCACCACCCGTACACCCCCCTCCATGAACTCGGTAGTATAGTGCGTATGTCCAAACACCCAGACTTCCACGGGGACTCTGCGTGCTGCGGACTCGACGTTCCCTGGAGAGAAGGCGCATGATGAGTAACAACAAGAACCTCGCGCTGCTGAGTCTGCGTCTTAGCCTTTACATCCCCATCCCCATATCCGTTCCCGTTCTCCTGCTCCGTGGACCGGATCTCCCCCAGTAACCAGGCGCGATCCTTCATAATCACGAGCGACATTATGATCATCGACCGTCCAGCCTCTTACTTTCCGAAAATCTCGAATCTTCGCTTGTACAATCTCCTGTGCTTGGGGCGGGACATCAGACCAGAGGGTACAGCCTAGCACGGTAATGTTGGATCGCGGTATGTCGTACGGTCTTTGATGGAGAAGTAATAAGCGACCATGGAAGCAGGATTCCCGCTCGAGGTTCCTGGCTCTTTCGATTCCTTCGGTAAAAGATTCGCCGTAGAACTCATGGTTTCCAAGAACGAGGAAGACTAATTCGAATCAATCGGTCTGTTTCCGTATGAGATCTCGGTAGTCGTCGTAGTCCACCAGACGCCCGACATCTCCGGCGAGGATGAGATGGGTTGCGCAAATTGGAAAATCGTAGGATGAATATTGGTGGTTTACTTCGAGGTGGAGATCGGAGAGGATCGGGAAGGTAGGCGGTGGGTCATTTGGTATCGAAAATGCTTTGTGAAACATTGTTGCGTCCCCCCTGTGCTTTATGTCTGTGTAGAAGAGAAGAAAGGGATCATTAGCCTCGCTCGGGCTGTGGAGAACCAAACATGGGTGGAGACCGGGGAGGCGCTAACTCTAAGCTTAGGTAGGACGGCACGGCTTGTCTGGGGGATTATTGCAAGTTATGTCAAGTAGAATGATGCATTTTATCTACGGATGTCAAATATCCCTACAATAAAAACTGGTCCACCAACCCACGACGCCATACTAGTCCCCGATACGAATACGAAAACTATTGACTTATCATTTGCAGCCTAGACATAAACCTATAATACGCTCGCTTCCCGCCACCCGAAATATTCAACCTGAAACACAACGCGATAATCACAGACCGAAAATCTCTAATTCTCTGTATCTGCCCGACATTAAATGCACGCATATGGTATCAAAAGAAACGATTTTACTACAGCTTCGCCAGCATCTTGTGGCCCTTCTGCAACAGCACAGCGGCGTCCGATACGAGCTCGTCAACGATGGCCTTGGCGGGCTTCTTCTCGTTCACCACGGCAGCCACCTTGCCCATCAGATAGGGACGGGCGTTCTCGAGGGTCTCGTCATCGACGTCGTCGGGCAGGTTCTCCATGTCGTGCTCGGCGGGGATGACGCCCTTGGCGGTGAGTTGGCGGATCTCGGCCTGGCGGTTCTTTTCCCAGTTGTCGATGTAGGCGTTGTTGCGAACGCGGAGGGGACGGCCCTGGGGGGGTTAGCTGTCTGCTTAAATTATCGGGGAGTTGGGGGAGGGGGAAAGGTAAGTACCGTGAAGATGATGGTACGGACGGTGTCGCTGAATCCAGCGGTGCGGACAGCTTCCTGGTGAGCCACGGGAGCACCGGCCTCATCAGCCAGGATGAAGCGGGTACCGATCCACACGGCAGAAGCCCCCATCATCAGGGCCGCGGCGACGGAGTTACCGTTGTACAAGCCACCTGCAGCGACAACTTGCACGGGCAGACCAGTCAAGGGACTCTTCTTGCCCTCGCACAGCTTGGCAACCGTCGGGATGAGGATAGTGGTGGGGACATCGCCAGTGTGACCGCCACCTTCGCCACCCTGAGCACAAATGATATCTGCACCGGCCTCGAGCGACTTCTGGACGTGCTTGGGGTGTCCAATCATGTTCATGTAGAGAATGCCGGCGGCGTGGAGCCGATCCACGACATTCTTGGGCGGGATGCCGACGGCGGAGACGAAGAGTTTAGCGCCGCTTTCGATGATGATGTCTACCAGTTCGTTGAGCTTCCCCTTGGTGTAGTCGTAGCTGATGCACGAGAAGAAGGAGTGGTTAGTAGGTCGGGTTCTGCCTGTCACACCCCAGTTGGGCATCACGTGGGGGAGGACAGGGAAGTCTTACTTGGTCTTCCGGGCACTTCCTCCGACCTGGGGAAGTAGGAGGTCCACGCCAAACGGGGCGTTCTTGTCATGCAGGAAGCTTTTGAGTTCTGCGATCTGTTCGCGAAGCATGTCAGGGGTATAGCCGACACCGCCAATCACTCCGAGACCACCGGCGTTGGTGACCGCGGCGGCCAACTTGGGGCCGGCGGCCACGTTCATTCCTGCCAGCAGGACGGGGTGGTTGATCTTGAGCAGATCGGTGAGAGTCGTGCGGATTTGCTCTAAACAAGACGAGGGGAATCAGCACAGCACGTCCTGGGACATCGCCACATCACATGCGAATTCGAAGGTGGTTCGTGGCGCGCTGGGGCTTACGTGGAGAGGCCATATTGATGGTGGAACGGCTGCAAGACGGCTGCAAACGGCTGCAAGACGGGTATGCAAGTGACAGGAGACGGACAGTAGTTCAGAGAGGGAGTGTCAGTATGGGGAGGATGAAAAGAAGCGGAGGCCGGGGCTTTGAGAGGGCAGTTATAAAGAGGCCGGGGCAGCCGAGGAGCTGTTGTTCTGCAGCACGAGCCTCGGTCCAGTGCACGGCGAATCAGACCACTTCAGGCGTACCCCGACATCCCTGCCGAGTGCCACCTGACGCTCGGCGCGGGGTTGGCGGCCTTACTGCCTGAGGCCAGAGCGGAGCGCAGTCAGGTGCCCGGTCAGCTGACGGCGGGAGCCGAACCCGGGCCCGGACCGGCGCATGACGTATTTTCTTCCCCCAGATCGCGCTGCTCTGCACGTCGTTTGGGCATCCATCCATCACTAGCGCTGCAAGAATGAGACCCGTGCCCGTGCTGACTGCGCATTGCAATGCTGCAGCTCGGAGATCAGCTTCTGGGGTTGTTCGTCCATGCCGCGCTCTTGGTGCTGGCTCGTTCCCCTCTCAATCATTCCGAGGAGCTGTGCCATGGTCTAGATCGTATGGCAGCTTGATAAAGAGGTAGGTAGGTTGTCTGATAAGCATGTGCTGTATATCCGGTCTAACCTATAGCCCTAGAAGCTTGTTTATATCTGGTACGGTCTGCCCCAGATGCACACTCAACATCCGTTTGATACTCTGCATCAATCGAATCTCGCTTTGAACACCCTTATACTGTTCTTGGCTCTATTTGCAACATGACCAACTATACGCCCTGCAATGGACTAACTCACTCTTAGGGTCAACATCCACCAGAAAATTCGACAACCGATCCTGGTCTGGTGTCAGCTCAAGGCCCCTCAATCATGGAGCTCTAAAATCACCTACCCCCCGACATTTTTCCGCTGGTCGAACAGGACTGTTCAACGCCAGCATGGACCGAGTCCATTCTCCCACCCACCGCGCATTCATTGCCTTTGGGAGCAACGTCGGAGACCGCATAGAGATGATCGAAGCCGCTTGCCGAGAAATGGAGCGGGCCAGCATCCGGGTCAAGCGGACGAGTTCTCTCTTCGAGACCGCGCCGATGTACGTCCTGGACCAGGACCCTTTCATGAACGGCGTGTGCGAGGTATGTCCACCGATGCCCACTATATATCATATCCATAGCACTTCTATCATACTCACAACCCCCAGGTCGAGACTAGCCTCAGCCCGATGGACCTGCTCGACACCCTCCAGGCCATTGAGATCGGGCTGGGTCGGAAGAAGCTCATCGACAAGGGACCGCGCTCCATCGACCTCGACATCCTGCTCTACGACCAGCAGATCTTCTCGCACGACCGTCTTAGCATCCCGCACCAACTGATGCTCGAACGCGACTTCGTCCTCCGTCCTCTCTGCCAGTAAGCCCCTCCTCCACCTCCCCCCATCATCCCCCACCAACTAACCGCCACCAACACAGACTCATCCCTCACGAACGCCCCCCGTTCCCAAACCACACGACAACCTACATCTCGCACCTTCAAAACCTGCCCCCTCCCACACCAACCCCCCACCCAACGACCCCGATCCGCCCTCATTCCCCGCCCTGCACTCCACGCACCCCAACCGCCCAACCCACATAATGGCGATCCTCAACCTCACCCCGGACTCCTTCTCCGACGGAGGCACCCACAGCCCCGCCGACCTAACCACCCTAACCCACACAATCGAGACCATGATCGCCTCCGGCGCAACCATAATCGACATCGGCGGCGAAAGCACGCGCCCCGGCTCCACCCCCATCAGCGAAACCGAAGAACTATCCCGAGTAATCCCCGTCATCCGACACATCCGGACCAACATCCCATCGGCCTCCAACATCGCCCTCAGCATCGACACCTACCGCGCGCGCGTCGCCGAAGAAGCCTGCCTCGCCGGCGCGGACATCATCAACGACGTCTCCGCCGGGCAGCTCGACCCCGAAATGCTGCCCACGATGGCGCGGACCGGCAAATCCGTCATCCTGATGCATATGCGCGGCACGCCAGCCACCATGACCAAGCTCACCGACTACCCCAACGGAGTGATCCGCGACGTCGGGGCGGAACTATGCGCCCGCGTCGCCGCCGCAGAAGCAGCCGGCATCAAGCGCTGGCGGATCATCCTAGACCCCGGACTGGGGTTCGCGAAGAATGAGCCCCATGATCTCGCCATCCTGCGGGATTTGAATACCCTGAGGACCGGGGTCCAGGGGCTCGAGTATTTCCCGTGGCTGATGGGGCCGAGTCGGAAGCGGTTTGTGGGGAGGTTGACCGGCGTGCAGAAGGCCAGTGAGCGCACCTGGGGTACGGCCGCGACGGTCACAGCTAGTGTTGCCGGTGGTGCGGATATCGTGCGCGTGCATGATGTGAAGGAGATGTGGCAGGTGGGTCGGGTCGCGGATGCGATTTACAGGGGCATTTCGTGATGATGACTTGCTTTGTATTTGTTGTTTGCATGGTGTGGTTTTTTATGTATATGTTTGGGGGATGGATATTCAACTATGGAGATGACGATGGAAAAGAGGATGATGGAAGAGTAGCGGGTGTGGAGAGGTTCAACCCTGTTGGTGGTTGGTTGCATTTTGAGCGATTATAACCTGAGGATATAAAATGTGAATTTTTCGCGATGGTGATAGAACAGGATACGGGAACTGTCTACTAGTGCTGGGGTTGATCTAATAATGAAAACGTCCCAGGACCGTCTTATCCGAAGCGACAATTCATTGGCAGCAATACCTAGTTCCGCACTCAACAGCCTACTCAAGTCCAAAATATACAAGAATCCAAGACAGGGGAAGAAGAAGAAGAAGAAAAAAAAAATAAATGTTCAATGGAAAGAAGCCAATTAACGATTTTAACTAACGCAGAGCAGGCATGAGAAGTGAAAAGAGAGAACCGACCTGGACCGGTTCATCCTAGTGCAAGACGGACTTTTCCCAGTTCCAGTAGTTCTAATTGAAGTATGGGTGGAGGCAAGAGCGCCTACCGTGTAGAAGTCGGAAAGAATTCTGTTTATGAGGAGGGGGTACTAATCAGGGGAATAGAAAGAAGATGATGAGAACGCCACATATGAAGGAGATCGAGTATAAAGCTGGCTAACAGGTCAGGATACGCGCCGGCTGTGTGAATCGAAAGCGTTATCGGTTGTGTTAGAGCGCACATGCTCAGCTGTTCAGGTAGCTGCGTATAGCGCCTGGAGGTCGTTAGTATGGGATGACGTATATAGACTCAGGGGGAAGACATACCTTGCAGCTTGACTGCACCCTCTCCGACAAGCTGCGTCAGGTTCTCCAGGTCATCACCTGCCGTGATGCCGAACCGACGCACAAAGTCCTTGGCGGCATTCTCGATATCCCCGTAGGTATCGTCCGCAGCGGGAAGCTCATCCTCGGGGCGGCCGAAGTAGCTGTTACTAGAGATAGCCGTGGCGCTGTCAAACTGACGGAGACGGTCCTTCGCCTCGGCCTGTGCAGCGGGGTCGAAACGATCCCGTCCGAAGAACTCATCGGAAGAGATACCCTTCTGGGCGCCAAACCGGGACTTGTTTTGCTTCACCTCCTCATCTATAAAAATCGTTAGTCCGTGACACCACACAAAGAACGAGCATGTTGACCGTACCATCAGCGGCAGATCTGGTCGGAGCAGCGCCGAAGCCCAGCTTCTTCGGGGCGGCGGGCTTCGCGCCGACAGTCTGTCCGAATCCTAGTCTTCCAATGCCCATACCAAGACGCTCCACATCACCGGAGCTGCGTTCCTGGGAGGTGCGGGTGGCGCCGAAGTTGCCCTTGCCCGGGCTGATAGGAGACGGGGAGGCAATCGCAGTGGCAGCGGTGCTGGCAGTCTTAGCCTTGGCATCCGCCTCCGCCTGTTCAGCTTCGGGGTCATATCCCAGCTTCTCGATGCGCTCGGCTTCTTCCTTGGCCTTCCTCTCGGCCTCATCGAAGTCAATGATTTCCGCGGCGGCGACCTTCTTGGCCCCCAGCTTGGGGGCTTTCTTGGCGCCCAACACGCTGCCCTTCTTGGCTGCAGCAGTCGAGGGGGTCTTGCGGACAGCAGCGCTGGCCCGGATGGCGGCAGGGGCAGGGGAAGCGGCCTCCTTGTCGGCGGAGAGGGGCGACTTGGAGCGCGAGCCGTTTGCGCCGGAGTTCAGGAACGGCGAGGCGGTGCGACTGACGACCGGGGGGGTACCGGTGCGGGAAGGAGGGTTGCTGGGACGCTTGATGGAGGGCTTGTCCCAGGAGGAGAAGAAGTCGTCCTCATCACCGGCGGGGGTGCTGGAGCCGTTGGACGGAATGTCGGCGGGGACGTCTGTAATGACTACCTCCTCGGGGTATCTGTACACCACGAATAATCAGCCCTGCGACGCATCGGGTAGGATTCAGAACCACTGACTGTTGCGCATCCTGCGCGGCCCGTCTCTTCAGCTCCTCCTTGTACTTGACGGCGGCATTGCAAGTGTACTTGACTTTGGCGTCCTTGCTGGCCAGAGCGGCCGATCCGCCATGCGATTGGAAGTACTTGGTAGCGGACTCATTGCCGCCGACCTTCATCACCCGGAGCTGTTCCCATTGCCATTCTGCACGCCATGGTTAGTAAGGATGGGGAGTGGACTCAGGAGGCACGGGGATGCGTACGGTCGAGGTTGGTGGAGCGGACAAAGGAGATGTGGACACCCAGGTTGCGGTGGTTGGAGGAGCAGTCCAGGCAGAGGTAGATACCGAAGGGCACGGAGGACCAGGTCGGGTTCTTAGAGCCGCAATCGAAACAGATCTGTGCAGCGAAAGTCAGAATGGCGGCTGGATAGACGGGCGGAGGGAGGGGGGAGGGGCAGAGCGTGCCTTGTTTGCGGGCTTGAGTTTTATCTTCTCGAAGATCTTTTGGGCCTCGGCCTTGGAGGCAGCCATGGTGAGGGCGTGGAAGGGAGAGAGGACCCGGAGGAAGGGAGCTGCTGGAGCTGCTGCTGCGGCGGCGGGTGGAATGAATGAATGGAACGGGGATGGGGAGAGGATCCAAAGGACTGGAAATGGAATGCAATCGGGAGAGCGAACGTGGTCGCTTTGGGAGGCGCCGATGCCCGGCCCGGATTTGCAGGTCGCGCGGGTATTTTAACTTTGGACTCCTGATTGATGAGCCCGCAATGCAGTGGCAACTCGTGTGCCAATGTTTAGGATAACACCTTATTGAATGAAATACAACCCTTGGTCTCTTCGTCCTTAGCCTCTACAAAGTATACCAATCAGTAACATGAACAAACAGTACACAGTAGTACAACACAGCAAGAAAGAAGCTCCAGTCCCCGAATCCCCCTCGTAATGCAAATACATGCCCCGCCGAGAGTGCCGAAACTTTCAAAGCGGCGGCTGAAACAGCGACCGGAAGAGGCAATCGCAAGCCCACGTGACCCACCGGCTCCCCACACGGCGCGAACTGGGCCGCCAGTCCCCGTCGGCCACTATTTTCCGACCTTCGATCTACAGACTGCCAGCCATCTTCTATCTATCTATATCGATCCGATGCGGACCCAGGTGATGGTCAACCACCACCGCAATGCTTCCACCCCTACGACCTAGTCCAGCCCTGTTGCCGCGGGCTCTTCTGCGCCTGCGTCCTACCACCACCACCACCACCACACTTCTTCCCCGCACGACGGATCTAGCCCGGTGCTATGCCACCGGATCGAGCGCTCCCAAACGACGAAACGTGACGGTGTTGTCCGACGACGGGCGCTACGAATGGGGCGAGTTAACCGGCAGGGAGAAGATGGCGCGCGCGACGCAGCAGTCGGTTAACTTTGTTGTTGTTCTTGCGGGGGCGGTTTTGACGGTGAGCTTCACCTACATACAATAGCATATACCATCCCCCACACACCATATACCCTCTATCCTATAACCTTCCCTACCCGCCCAAGCTATGCAGAAAATACAAACCCCCACAAGCAACAGCCCAACTAACACCTCTTATCATCCATGACAACAGGGCGGCGTCTTCTACCTCCTCTACACGGAAGTCTTCTCCCCCAATAGCAAAACCTGGCAGTTCGAAAAAGCTGTCGAGCGCATCCTGGACGACACGCGGTGTACGGCGCTCCTAGGCGATCGGAGACAGATCACTGCGTTTGGAGATAATACGTGGAGTCGGTGGGCGCGGAATCGACCTATCGCGTAGGTCTCATCCCATTCCATTTTATACTGGATACTGCTCCGGGTTGGAGTTTGTGTTTGTGTTTGTCTTGTTGAGGATGTCTGCTGATGGGTGATGGGTGGTAGTACTTCAATTTACAAAGACAGGCTGGGACGCGAACATTTGAAGATGAATTTCCACGTACGTTTTATCCCTGCTGGTGCATTGGTTTGGGGGGTGTGTGTTGTCGCTAATTATACTGGGTGTATAGGTCGAGGGACCGCTGAACTCCGGAACGGTGTTCGTGCATATGATGAAGCCGTTGGAGCATAATGAGTGGGAGTATCAGCTTCTGGCTCTGGAGGTGCCCGGTTAGTTATCTTACGTGGCCGTGGTGGTTGCTGTTTGAGGTGAACGTTGGCTGACTTTACTTGTGCAGGGCATTCTCGGGTGGTGTTGGAGCAGGCTCACGAGAAGCCGGGTGTGGGCAAGGCGCTGAAGATCTTTGGGATTCAGTTCCGGTAGACGGATCTGCAGTCGCGGAGTTTCTGCTTATACTATGAGTGAAGCTTCCCGAGCAACGCAGATGGATATAAGGGCTCCGGATGAAGAGCGCTGCCTTGCCTGTCTCGGTTATATCATCACGAGGCAGAGAATGAATGATCGGCTTCTACTGACGAGGAAGCTTTTCGGGCGGCTATATTGGCTGAAACGGCAGGCTAAAAACCATTGTATTATAGCATTTTTCGAGTGTAAAAACACATGTCATCCAAGATATGAGACAAAGACTTAAGATATTCTCCTTGGCAGTTTGGATGTCATCTGCTTTCAGCCTTGGACCGAGCAGTATTGATCTACCTAGTGTATTCCCTACACAGCCATATGCAATGTGCGAGATCAATCACATCTGCAGGTGATGCTTACGCCTCGTATAAGGACTCAGACGAATGAGTATCCCTATTAATCCGTAACCGCCAGCACAACGAACACAAACATCATAGCATCTCATGAGAATCTAAACGAATCTAGATATAAAGAAAAAGCTCATATCACATATATACAAAACCCTGCCCCTCCAACTCCCCAACCCCCAACAAACCCCAGGGTGTCTTATCTTTTATAGCAACTATATCCTCGGCCCCTCCAAAATGGTCTTCGCCTCCTCCGTCCTCCACCAACTCTTGCCCTCGACACCCGGGAACTCAAACTCATCCATACTCTCCGGCTTCATCTCGACACTATACCCGGGCTCCAGCGGCGTGACATAATAACCATCTTTCACGCTGGAGGGATGCACGAAATGCTCATGCAGATGGTCGACGTACTCGAGCACGCTCTTCTTGCCACTGACCACCACGTAGTCGATCGTGCTGAGGTGCTGCGTGTACTCGGGCAGACCCACGCCGCCGGAGTGCGGCACGATGGGCACGCCGAACTTGCGCGCCAGGAGCAGGATGGCGAGCACTTCGTTGACGCCGCCGACGCGGCACGCGTCGGCTTGCAGCACGGTGAGGGCGCCGGCCTGGAGGAGCTGCTTGAAGACGACCCGGTTCTGGCACATTTCGCCGGTGGCGACCCCGATGGGGCCGTGGGGGGTGTCGGATAGGGCTTTTTTGATGGCGGCGTGCCCGAGGATGTCGTCCGGGGAGGTGGGCTCTTCGATGAACCATGGTTTGAATTCGGCGAGTTGTTGCATCCAGGTTATGGCTTCGGGGACGGACCAGACCTGATTATGTTAGTGGGCGATTAGGTATAAGGGTGAGGGTGAGGGTGAGGGTGGGATAGGGTAGGGTATGTATGTATGTACCTGATTCGCATCCACCATCAGGATATTTCCCCGATCATACCCAATCGCCTCCCTAGCAATAGCCAACCTCCTGCGATCCTCCTCGACATTGCCACCAACCTTCAGCTTAAAATGCTTGTAGCCCTGCTCGACGCTCTCCTTCAAAAGCGTCTTCAACTTATCCTCTCCATACCCCAACCAGCCCGCACTGGTGGTATAAGCGGGACAGCCTGGCTCTGCTCCGCCTCCTTGATGCGGTCCTGCTTGCCGGACTCGACCTCCTTGAGGAGCGCGATCGCCTCCTCGGGCGTGATCGCGTCCGTGATGTAGCGGAAGTCGATGCAGCGGACGAACTCCTCGGGCGTCATGTCGGCGACGATGCGCCAGACGGGCTTGTGAAGCGTCTTGGCCCACAGGTCCCAGAGCGCGTTGACCACCGCGCCCAGCGCCAGGTGGATCACGCCCTTCTCGGGCCCGATCCATCGCAGCTGGCTGTCGGAGACTAGGTACCGCCATGTCTTGCCCCAGTCGGCAGTGAGTTCGGAGAGGTCCTTTCCGACGACGAGTGGCGCGACGAGTGAGATGGCTGCGCAGACGATCTCGTTGCCGCGGCCGATGGTGAAGGTCTGGGGGTGGGTGTTAGTTGGTTGTATTGGACTTGCACTTGGAGTTGTGGAAGAGGGAGGAGAGGGGAGGGAGTGCAGAAGGGTATGGGAATGGGAATGGAAATGGGACTGACCATTCCGTGACCGGCGTGCTCGGAATCGGTGTGGATGATGCAGTAGGCGGCAGAGTAGTCGCCTGCGGCGTTCATGGCATCAGAGCCGGTCTTGTCGAGGGAGGTCTATTTGGATCAATCAGTTATTTATTGCCTGGCAGCCGGTTTTGAGGGGAGTTGGTGCAGGAGGGATGCAGTTGCGACTTACCGGAAACCTCACGTCCCGGGTAGTGAAACTCAAGATCTTCACCATGGTGTCTGTCGGCTGGTGTGATCAATTGATTGTGAAGTGGTAAGCTGGAAAGAGAGTCTCTCCGGGGGAAGAAAGAGACGCGATCTAGGACAATGCGGGGCAGTCGACTGTCAAGTATGCGCTCCGTCTGAACAACGCGGGGGATGTCTGTTTTGGGGGGTTTACTGAGCCAGAGACCATCCGGAGAGAGACAATTGAAGAGAAAGGCTGAATGCGAGGGAGCAGACGGTGTGTTCCAGCGTACTTATACCAGCAGCGCGAGACCCCTCCCCCTCCACGCTGTGTGGGGAACCCCCGCCTCATTGGCGGAGGAATTACTCCAGGGCGTGGGCTGGGTTTCTCCGCCACTCACGGGCCTCCCTCGGCCGGCCTCAGCCAACGCGGGTCTCGCGGCCATCGTCCCGATGGCGTGCGGCATTTACACTTGGAGGGGATACGGGCTCGGAGGCAGCTGACGGGGATAGATGTTGTATGGAGAGTGCTCCATGGAGCGGATATCAGATTCAAATCATTGTTCGCTTGCATAGTAGGTACAGAGATCCCCAGAACGCAATGCCATAGAGACAGCAACTGCATTGCTGCCAACCCCAGGAATTTCCCCACGGCTCGGAGCCCTATGAACAAACAGCCTTCCCTCAGCCAGAGAGGCCTCTCTTCTCGCTCTCCGAGAAGAAGATGATCATCCGCCACAGCTTGCGGACCAAAACCTCGGCCTCCTCGTCCAGTGCCTGGAAACGTGTCAGATAAATACAAGTAGATGAGAAGGAGCGGATTCGAGACTTACCTCCTCCAGCTGCTCCACAAGTTCCTGTGGTTGACCGTGCTTGCGCACATGTTCTTCCACCACATCCACCAGCATCTGCTCCTGGACACCCAGGTACTCCACGATCTTCTTCTCCACAAACGGCTTGAGCTGCTCGCTGACCACAGTCTCGTCGACAAACTCCCACTTGACCGCCCAGTTCCAGAGTCCCTCCTTGTCCGCGGGGATCTCTGCGGCCAGCTGACGGGCGGCTTGCGCCCGCTCTTCCTCGGTGAGGCCGGCGGCTTCGGCGGCACTGTCGAACTTGATCGGGATAAGGGGTCTCCGGGCGGTGGCTTCGGGTTCCTCCTCGTCCTCGAGCAAGCCTTCCACTTCCGCAACGGTCCGACGGGTCGTGGCAGCGTGAGCCTTCTGCGCCGCAGCACCAAGGGAGAGCTTGAAGCGCTGGGGCTCCCGAGGGGCCTCCTTGCGAGTCTCCAGCTCCTCCGCCTGCCGAGCAAGGAAGTCGTCGGCCATGCCGCGGGCTTGCTCCCGTTGCTGGGCGGTCCGGGCCCGTTCGCGCTCTTCCGCCGCACGATCCGCCTCGTCCATGCTGACCTCCCGGGACCGGAAAGCTGCCCGGCTGCGGAGCCATGCACCCCGATCGGCATAGTAGTCGTCGATCTTGCGACTGGCCTCGGTGTCGTCGTTCCACTCTCGGTACCGCTTGTCCATCTCCTCCTGCACTTCCTGCACCCTGGCCTCCTCTTCCTTGTCTCTCTTCTTTTCACGCTCCAAGGCAGCGGTTCGGCTTCGTTCGCGGTTCAGCCAGCGCCGTTCTTGATCCAGGAATTGCTTTTCCAGGTCGGCATCCCTCTTCTCCTGGCGGCGACGCTCCAGCTCCTCATCGCTAGCATCCGACTCGTCCTCCTCGCGGTCAAAGTAAGCCGTAGTGGCTCCGTTCATAGAGCCCCCGTTGACGAAAGAGACGCCCTTTTGGTAGTCCTTAGGAACCTGTACGCCGAAGCCCTTGGGTCCCGAAGGCGCATTCGACATGTTGCGATCCCGAGGGCCAAGGGGAACCCCGTTGGCACCAGCAGCAGGTCCACTGGGCGCGGACGGGGGAGGGGAGGCCAGTCGGTTCATGCGCGAGCCGGCATTCCGTGCTCTCTCCATGGACTCGATCTCTTCTTCCCGCTTCAGACGCTCAATATCCCGACGGTTGCTGCGTTCACGGAAGGCGGAGATCTCCTTCGCGACGGTTTCTCTCATCTCGGGGGGGATGTCGGAGAGCTCATCCTCCACTGTGATAGGGATGGTGACAACCTCCGCCGACCCGTCGTTCTGGCCATCCGCGTCCGCCATCGAGATATCGCCCTCGCGGTCAATCGCCGACGCATCTTCCTTCTGGGTAGGTGAGGATGGATGGAACAAGTCAGACAGGACAGCAGAAAGAGTACTGCGCGCAGCCTCTATCCGTGATTGACGCTCGGCAGGGTCTTGTTCACCTTTGCTGGCTTCGAACTGCTCCAAGTACTTCAGAGAGCTTTCATCGACAATAACCTATGTTTTTGTTAGCGTTCTGTATACCTCCTCACGCAGGACACTTGCCAGTAATGTGCTCTTCTCCGCCTCGGTCTCTTCCTTGGCATCCCCCTCGGACGGCGTCTGTCTCTTCACAGGCACTTGCACGTCCTTTAGTACTTCAACCGCAGTACCTAGACTTTCGGGGTCCTCGTACTCTGCAAACCCAAACTTGCACGGCTTCTCGTCCGCATCCGTGGCGCGGATCCAACGTCGGAGATGTCCCGCAGAGCGCAGAATCCTCTCCACGCCGTCATCGCCACCCAGTCCCTCTGTGATTCCACCCACAAAGAGCGTCCTGACGATCTCATCCCGCGTAGGAGGCTGCAGCTGCATCATCGCCTCGCGCACATTCTGGCGCTGGGATTCTATGTTCGATCCCAGACCGGCCCGCCTTCCAGGACCCTCGCTTCCACGCTCCTTGTTCATGTCCGGGGTAGCCGACTTCGCGGGACCCGAGGTTCCGAGGCGAATGACGGGGGCGGAGAAGTTGATGTTCGGCATGTTCGCAGGGGGTTGGAAGTTCGCAGGGAAGCCGCCAGGTCGACCAGGCTGTTGAGCGTTCGCCGGCTGCATGCCGGGGGGCGGAGTGGTTCCAGGGGCGACCATCCCGGGGGGAGGAGCTGTAGAGTCAGTTAGGATAAGGTGGCATAAAAAGGCTTTGAGGGGGACTCACCCATGCCTGGAGGTGCTCCCGGATAACTTCCATACTCCGGGGGCCTGCCATAGAGGCCAGGGGCTAATGCTATCAGTAAGATTCTTGACACCGATTTGAGCGCGCAGCCTGATTGACGGGGATCGAGAACATACGTTGGTAAGGATTGTACATTGCGACAAATTCGCAGCTCCGGGCAAAGCCTGAGGGCTCCGGAAAAATCAGAGGTATCGATGTGGTTGGGAAGAAAGAGGGGAATCAACGACGCGGGTAGCAAGCAAGAGCGAGACACCTCCGCTGAAAAAGCCCTCCGTGAAAGGTGAGTAGGAAGGGACGTTTGGCGAACGAGGAAGATCGCGAGCTGCGGCGGAATCGCTCGAGAAGAACCAGTTGGCCCGTGCGTCCTCGGCTTGGCGCCCGCCTGAAAGCCTTCCCGATCGGGACTAGGCTGTCTACACGGCTGTCATGTCGGGGGTCTTGGGAAGATCTTTCTATCCATCGATGCCATGTCCACTGTCCACTGAGTCTTGGTCAGTGAGGATACTTCAGTCACGCTCACCTTTTGACCGGTGTCAGGTCACATGTTGCGGAACACTTGAGTCTGGTTGCTTTAACTAATCACAAGGAGCTCACTAAAGGGGAGGAAATCCGGGGACACCGGGGACCTCAGTGTTACTACTCTACCTCCGCAGCTGGTTCGAACACTGTTGACCAGGTCCAATGCATGATTGCCGAAGAGAAGGAGTGTTGCCTATCTCGAACAGTATTAAGAGAGAAAGAGAGATAAAATAACTGAATATTATTTTAGAAGATACTGTTTTTATAATAATGTCTGATTTTTTTTTAGAAGCAGAAGTAATTATCTCACAAGATAGAAAGACTATAATATTTTAATACTTAATAATATAGAGTACTAGTAGCTGGTGACTGCCTGATAGATAGCAGGAAGAGTAATTTATTATTGTTTATTATTAATCTAAATAGACTGACAGTGTAGAAATGTCGGAATCGTTGCTCTTTGCCCTACTCCCAGGCGCCAAGCTTTCCATTAATACTATACACACTAACACAGTAACACTGGTTTGACTATTCGCAAGCTATGGATTTATTCCCCCCTGACTCGAATGGGAATGGCTATGAAGCAAGTAGAGGAGCGCAGGTATAAGACCCTGGACTCGGCATTATATCAGAGGGCGGGCTCTCAGTATTGTCTTGGCTTCGTAGGCAGCTCACATAGGGTTACGGACGGTATTCGCAGTCGGCAGGGATGCAGATGACCATCATGCTGACTTAGGTGTAAGAGGGCCTGCAGCTATGTAGTCGCTTCAAAGTCGTGCCATCCAGCACGTTGATACCCTTGAGCGCTACCACTTTTGCTAGTAAGTGAGACCACTCTGTCAAGGTGTTGCCCCATACCCGTCGTATCCGCAGTCCGGAGCCCTGGGGTCCGGATGGTCGCTTGGGCACGGACTGAGACCGTTTTGGTGTCTATCATTAGCTGGCTCGGTCAATTGGAAATCTGCTGGTCGGGAGAGCGGCAGAGAAACGGGAAACCGGTCTTTTTGAGAAGAATTGGTGTTCTGCATGCCATGAGTCTGGAGAAACGGGCTTGGCTGGGGATAGCGGGGTTCCGTTACTCATAGCCTTGGGGCCGGAGAGGTTAGATATAGCAAGAAACTCAATGGCAGCAAGGGACAATGTCGCAGAAAATGGAACGATCTGGATCGGAATTCTCGGCTTCTTGGAGGCTTCGATGGAAGATCTGGAAAACAGCGTGGGGGGGGGGGAAGCCAGCTTTTCCCGAGGAACCACCGGGACAACAGGATTAGGATTATTGTTATTGTTTGCATGTCAACCGCATCGATGACGGCGCAAACCGGGAACAGTGTTCGAGTCTAGAATAGAGTGATGACAAACGGGGTTCAGCTGACCGAGAGTGGTTTCAAGCACATGGGGGAGGCGGACAAATGAACGGGCGCGACGAGGGCAAAGAGGGCACCGAGACTCACCGGGCGATTGATTCTGCGTCACGGCGGGTGCGTCGCTCAGGCGGGTTCTGGGCAGCCCCACGCCGGTGCCCCTCCCTCCCTCAGCCTACGGACCCCAACACGCCGGTTGACGACATACCTCGTCTTTCCTCCGCCCCTCCCGCTTCTTTTCCTTCTTCTCTCCGCTTGCGCATCTGCCCTTCTTCCTTTCTCCTCATCTCCCCTTCCCTTCCCTTACCCTCCTTCACGGAAAAGTAGGTCTTCTCCTCAGCTCCAGCCCAGCTCCAGCCCAGCTCCAGCTCCTCCAACCCTCCTTTATCGCTGCCCCCCCCCGCTAACCCGGCCCCTCACCAGATCTACCTTCGAGCCACCCATCACAATGCCCAGTTTCTCGCAGGCCACCGAGCTTTCCGCTTGGAAGGAGCTCCAGGAGCACCACAACACCGTGGGCCGCAACATCGTCCTCAAGGAGTGCTTCGAGAAGGACCCCCAGCGCTTCGAGAAGTTCAGCCGCACCTTCGCCAACACCGTCGACAACACCGAGGTGCTGTTCGACTTCTCCAAGAACTTCCTCACCGAGGAGACCCTCGCCCTCCTGGTCAAGCTGGCCAAGGAGGCTAACGTCGAGGAGCTCCGTGATGCCATGTTCAAGGGCGAGCACATCAACTTCACCGAGGACCGTGCCGTCTACCACGCCGCCCTGCGCAATGTCTCCAACGAGCCCATGCAGGTCAACGGCAAGAGCGTCGTCGAGGACGTCAACTCCGTGCTCGAGCACATGAAGGAGTTCACCGAGCAGGTCCGCAGCGGCGAGTGGAAGGGTTACTCCGGCAAGAAGATCGACACCGTCATCAACATCGGTATCGGTGGTTCCGATCTGTAAGTGCCTGAGACAAGAAATCAGCCTGCATCGCAAGCATCGACGTGCTAACAATCGACAGCGGCCCCGTCATGGTCACCGAGGCCCTGAAGCCCTACGGCGCGGCCGACATGAAGCTGCACTTCGTCTCCAACATTGACGGAACCCACATCGCCGAGGCCGTCAAGAACTCGGACCCCGAGACCACCCTCTTCTTGATCGCCTCCAAGACCTTCACCACTGCGGAGACCACCACCAACGCCAACACCGCGAAGAAGTGGTTCCTGGAGACCGCCAAGGATGAGTCTCACATCGCCAAGCACTTCGTTGCCCTGTCCACGAACGAGGAGGAAGTCACCAAGTTCGGCATCGACAAGGAGAACATGTTTGGGTTCGAGTCGTGGGTGGGTGGCCGCTACTCCGTGTGGAGCGCCATCGGCCTGTCTGTGGCCCTCTACATCGGCTTCGACAACTTCCGCGACTTCCTGGCCGGTGCGCAGGCCATGGACAAGCACTTCCTCGAGACCCCCCTGGAGCAGAACATCCCCGCCATCGGCGGTCTGCTGAGCGTGTGGTACAGCGACTTCTTCGGCGCGCAGACCCACCTGGTGGCCCCCTTCGACCAGTACCTGCACCGGTTCCCTGCGTACCTGCAGCAGCTGTCGATGGAGAGCAACGGCAAGGCCATCACCCGGACGGGCGAGTACGTCAAGTACACGACGGGCCCCATCCTCTTCGGCGAGCCCGCCACCAACGCGCAGCACAGCTTCTTCCAGCTGCTGCACCAGGGCACCAAGCTCATCCCCTCGGACTTCATCATGGCTGCCGAGTCGCACAACCCGGTGGAGGGTGGCAAGCACCAGCGCATGCTGGCGTCCAACTTCCTGGCGCAGTCCGAGGCTCTGATGGTCGGCAAGACCCCGGAGCAGGTCAAGGCCGAGGGCGCGCCGGACAACCTGGTGCCCCACAAGACCTTCCTGGGCAACCGCCCGACCACGTCCATCCTGGCGCAGAAGATCACCCCGGCCACGCTGGGCGCGCTGATCACGTACTACGAGCACCTGACGTTCACCGAGGGTGCGATCTGGAACATCAACTCGTTCGACCAGTGGGGAGTGGAGCTGGGCAAGGTGCTTGCCAAGAAGATCCAGAAGGAGCTGGAGACGTCTGGCGAGGGCGCCGGCCACGACGCGTCGACCAGCGGTCTGCTGTTGGCTTTCAAGCAGAAGGCGAACTTGGCGTAGGATCTGGAAAGAAGGAGGGAATTGGGAATTGGACAGAGCCAGCAAAAAGGAGTGTGTGTATATCTTGATGAAGCCACGAGTGTCATCTTTTTTTCTTAATCTAGTTAGCAATGATAAGTTACGAATCGTATCGGACCTAGTTTATAGTCATGTTGTGCAGTAATCCAGTAATGCTGACCGCAAGTGGCAGCGCGCGCCACTTGGCCAGCAGGAGCGGAAAGGGTCCTTCCTTCCTTCCTCTTCCTTACCGCGGCTCCGACCACGCTGGCCCTCCTCTCCTTTATTCTTCTTCTTCTTTGGACTCGGACTCTTGTAGCACCACACCCTCCGGATCAACCGAGAGTGTGGCGGAGTGCAATTCATCTTCTATTCTTATTGAACATGCCCTTCTTGCAAGAGCGCACCCTCCATCGGATCTGCCAGTATGGACTCTTGAGTCTGTCGCTGCTACGGCCCTCCGCCGCGGGGTCCAGCGAGGCCTCCACGGGCCTCAATGGCTACACTTATGGCCAATCCGTCCCAGTGACGTGTCTGAATCGGACGATGTGAGCTGCCTATGGTCCCAATGGATCCTGAATAATAGCTAACCTACCACTTACCACCCAGTGACTCCGGCGAACATGTAAGCTTCCCATTACCATTACCATCACCATCACCACCAACCACGTTCCCCATACACCATACACCACTCCCTCTACACCATTCTCTCCCCCCAACAAACTCTCACTAAACCCCCCCTCTCAAAACCAGATAACCGACCCCCACGGCAAACTCCAATACATCCCGTTCCCAACCTGCAACGAGACCTCCCTCCCGCTCTCCCTCCCCTACAGCACCACCACCACCATAACCTGCACGATCGCCTCCCTCCCCGACGACCTCTACCACCTCCTCGAATACTACGTGCACTCGGACGTCCCCATGACGTGCCGCGTGCCCACCGCCCCTCTCGCCCAACAACAAGCCCACATGCCCCTCAGCGAGGGCAGCGGCAGCGGCAGCGACATCGACGTGCTGGATACCGACGGGCCCGCGTACACGCCCTTGACCTTCGCCGTGCAGGGAACCCTGCAGCGGAGCCATTTGCACATTTGGACGGATATGAATGTTTTGGTGCATAGTATATATAATCAGGAGGCGGGGGAGAAGGCGGGGTATGTGGTCGCGGGGACGGCGTATTCGGTGCCGGAGTTTGATGCGGCGAGTTTGAGGAAGTTGGAGGGTGTTTCTGGTAGTGGTGGTGGTAAGGGGGGAGGTGGGGAGGGGGAGGATGGGGATGTGGCGGGGGTGGTTGCTGAGGCGGCGAGGGAGCCCTGGACGGCGGGCCATGGGACGAAGGTTGTTCGTGGCGAGCCGTTGACGTTCTCGTTTCATGTCAGTTGGGTGCACGGGGCGAGGGGCATTGGCTGGCCTGCTTCTTCTTCTTCTGGGGATGATGAGGTGGAGAGGCACGGCTCCGGGTGGTTCTCGAAGCTGCTGTTCTTTGGGGTTGCAGCGTCGGTGGGCGCGTTGGTCGCGCTGTATTGGGAGAGGAGTACTGGGGGTATGGGCAGACGGCGCGGGGGGATGGGATCCTGGGGGTTCCGTCGAGAGGGAAGGGGTCGGTGGGTGTTGGGATTGGGAATGGGGGGAGGGGCAGTGGGTATGGAGGGTATTCGTCGCCGGCTCCAGGTGGCGGTGGTGCGGTGGTTGGGGCATGGGGGGTATGGGTATGGGGGTTATATGAGTGGGAAGAGAGATTGAGAGGGTGGTGGGTGGTGAGGGAGTTGGCAGCATGGTGTATAGATGTAGTTGGGGTTGGATGTGTATGTGTATGTGTATGTGTATGTGTATGAGTCCATGTAGGATGATGAATGAGTATGGATACTATGTGATATGGAGATATGAGGTTAATAGAACAACCCGGACATATAGTATCATTTTCTAGTACCAAACACAGTGTATGATGACAGACAAACATAACAGATAGTATACAAACCAGCAAAAGTAACAAATATTTCCCTTTCATCCATCCATCCATCCCATCCATTCCTTCCATTCATCCTGATCCTTACCCTTCCACTCAATTCAACCCAACCAACCCCATCCCCTACCCTACCCTATATACACCCCCAATCCCCGGTTCAAAAAAACCCCCCTCAAAAAACAACCAATCTACCACCCCTGCGCCCTCATCCTCTGGACCCTCTCAACAGTCTTC